TATGTTTTGCATTACAATATATATAATAGAATATCATATTATTTGTATCAAGTTAAAACCACTGCTATCATTATTGATATTGACTTTTTTTTCTCAGCTTATTTTTTCGTATTGTGTTCAAAATATAAACAAAAAACAGTAAAAATTTCGATCAATGAATGAATCTGGGTGACCGATTAATTTTTAGCCATTATATTTTCTAAAATCTAATCCGCTTATCCACATTTCTGAACAAATTTCAACATTTTACCTTTTATCTAAACACTATTATATGATAAACATGGTATCATCATCATCATAGTATTCGTTCATTTCAATCTTTTTTTTGCTCCAGAAAAAAATAGCTAAAATCTAGCAGAAAGTAAAAAATTTAGCTGATTTATTCAATACATATGATTTGGTCATAAAGTTTTCATTACATTTGGATTCTTTCCTTTCTTGTTTGTTGTCTAGTTTATTTATTTGTTTTTTTGTTTGTTTGTTTTTTTGCCTGACTTTGGAATTTAGAATTGGACCATTTTATTACAACCACATATATCACATTTATTAGATACCACCACATATGACGTAAATTAGATGAAACATTTCACCTGGTTTTTTTTTTTTCTTTATCACTTCTCGATTCATTCATTTGTCATATGAAATGTCAAACATTTTGATTTCGTGATCACCATGTCTGTTGTGTTTTTTTTTTTTTTTGTTTCTCCAATTTTAGAGATCAAAGATCAGATAATCGAACATTTTTTTTTGGTTTGAAATTTATTTGCGTGCTCATTCACATGTCGATGTTTTTCTTGTGTTTCTTTTGTTTGTTTGGGCGTTGATTCATCGTTAAATTTTTTATACTCCACATTGTATCAACAACTTTTATTGAAACAAAAATACAATCTTAACCATACTGAATTGTAATGGATAGAAATACCATTTTTTTCTGGTTTAGTTTGGATTGTAAATGATCAAACATCATTACTAATTCAACAAAAAATAACATCATTGGAACAATTAAACCAAGAAAAAAAACCAGAAATAAACTTCCTTATTACTAAATATGTTAAGTTTGAATCTCATCATTGAGCTTTTTTTCTATTCTGTTCATAACAAAATCATTTTGATTGGCTGTATTGGTTTTCATCGAAACTTTTCGATTCTGTATGAAATGAATTAGTGAAAAAAAAATCAGAAAACTTTCTTTACTAAATTTGGAATTTTTTTCTGTTTGTTGGTAAAAGGTTTTTTTCCGTTTTTCTTACACCAATCAAATTGATTATATTATTATACATTCTTTTTTTAGAATAATTAACGGAACAACAAAATAAACAAACATTTTTTTTTACTAATAGATTCTATCTGATTGAATTTTTTTTTTTCATTTTCTCACTCATATTGTGTGTGTGGCCATAACCCACTTAAAACATCCACAAACAAGTCACTGAAACAAAAACAAGATACGGAAGATAACCATTTGCCTTTGTATATGATTCAAAATTTCTTTTGTTTTTTTTGTAGCATTCACCAGACCAGACGCCCATCATAACGATGAAATATTCCGGATTCATATGTTTAAACATGTTTAGATGATTAATAGAATTCTCATGACTGTGTTTCTTGGTTTTTTTTCGTTATTGTTTTTTTTGTTGTTGTTGTTCACCATAAAATTCTTATTCTCATTCACATTTGCTTATTATTCACTTTTGGTATTTTTTTTTCTTAATATTTTTTTTTCTTTATTCAAGTACTTGTTTTTTTTGTTGAAATGACAATTTTTTTTTTTTCTTCGTTTCCTTTTTTTCATCCTCATTTGCCATTTTTTATATAACAAATGCTAAAAGATTCGAATCGAAAGAGAATGTCTATAGTGATATTGACGAAGAAGAAGAAATTTAGAACATAAAAAAGAGTCGCTTGCGCTCTCGCGCACACATACACATATTTCTTGTATAGTCTTTGTTGGCCATTCCATTCGTTTAAGTTTCTGTGATGATGATGATGATGTTGGTGATGCAAACAACAACAACACATCAGATACTATTGAGCCATATACCAGACATGGTTGATGGATCGTAATATTTTCATTTCATTATTAATATTTTCATATAATGATATGATTTTATTATAGTTTTTAAATAATCAAAATTTTCATTTTTGCTTATAATCCAAAACATTTTGTGCATAAATGTTTGACAGTTATATATGTGTGTGTGTGTGTCCATTTTATTTGTTCTTATTTCAATCATAATTGATAACGACCACATTATTATTATTATTATTAAACATCCAGATTGTCAAATCGTGAATCTAGTTTTTTTTGTTCTTGTTTCCTTTTCGATTTATGCATATAAAACAATAAAAAAAACAGATCGATAGTTTGATCGATCAAATGTGATTGTCATCTTATCTACTATTTTGTCATTTATGTTCAATTTTTTTTTGTTGTCATTTGGTTGATTAAATTCAAAATTTCAACAGTTTTTTTCCACAAAATATGTCCATCGAGACTAAAAAAAACGAAGATTCAGATCAATTCGTCAACTTGTTCGTTTGAAATCATCCAATGACCGCAACCTAATACATTCATCTGATAGTCAATTTGTCAAATCATCTGATAAAATATCTCTAGTGTGTCGGTTACTTATGACTTATTTGTTGTTGTTGTTGTTGTTGAACTTCTAATTGATCGGTAAATAACATGACATGATGACATCTACACCCTTCTTCTGAAATCTGAATGTATTATACATCTATTTTATGTTCAATCGAATTGATAGCTTAGTAGAAGCATTAATCTTTCATTACACCTAAATTTGTTTGTTAAATTTATTCTTTCAAAAAAAAAAAAAAAAAGCAACAAAAAAAAGATCTTGATCTTTTTGCGCAACCAACGAAAAGAAATAACTTTTCATAATAAAATATCAGATCAAACGTCATAAGTCAAATATATATATATGTACAGACACGCAATAACGCTATCATTGAATCGAAGGATTAACCTTAACCTGTATTTTTTTTCTCCATTAAAAATCCTACTATTCCATCCATACCCTGTTATCATCTTGCATCGTCATCTCATTGCGAACGATGTATGTGTGTTTGTGTGTGTGTTTATATATATAGTATTTCCCGTTATAATTGTTTTTAGATTATACGGATCAAACCAAAAGCATTGTTGAAATTCAATTTATTTCTATATATTCAAATCGTATATTTACATGTTTTAGCACTTTAATATGTTCACAAGAATTTTTTTTTTCTTACTATTATCCGTTTAGGAGCTGTCATCCATATATTTTTGTGTGACATGACATGGCATTGTAAAAGTTGATTTGTTCAGATTTTTTTTTCCTGTTTTGAAAATTTTTCTGTTATTCAATTTTCTTGATGCTACAATATTTTTTTGCAGAGCAGAATTTCCAGTCTTTTTTTTTCTTCAAAATTAAGAGTTCAATGCATGAATTTTTTTTTTGTTTGTTTAAGTTCATCAAATCAATCGATGGTTAATATTAACATCTGATCCAGAACGTTTGATGAGAAATTTTGTTTATTTTCATCTAAATCAAATCGATCGATTGCATCGTCGAAAATTTTGTTCATTCGTAGAATTAATTTTTGCCATTTACATCATTTGAATTTGAAGTTCAAAGTATTTGGATGCAATCCTATTCATATTATCACATGATGAAAAATGCCAAAAATGGTGTGGCTGATTTTTCTCAGAAACAAATCATTTAACCTGATTTTAATGAAATTTTAATCAAACGTTTTTTACAACAAAATTTAATTATTGAATCAAATGATCAATTACAATATTGAATTGTTTACTTAAAAAAACCCCGGGTTTTTTAAGAAGTAACGGCACAGTTTAAAGTTAGTTCACAAACTCAAAGTGTAATACCACTTACTTATTTTCTATGCTTCCCATACCGGGGGGTTTTTGAGTGCGCTAAAAAATAACTTTTGTTTTTGATGCTTGTTAGAAAGCTCGTTTTTTTTTGATCGGTCATATTAATTTGACCAAACTAAAATATTACAATCCATTGGTCAAACATTATTTTGAATGATAATAATTTTATTAATAATCAAAGTAATACGATTATTTTAGTTTATAATATTCATGTCACAAACATTCATGAACAAACTTATGTGAATTGAGATCAAGATCTGATTAAAGTGCTGAATTAAAAATAAACAAAAACAAAAACAATGTCCTTAACTCATTGCACTTTTTTTTGCATCATCACTATCATTAAACGAAAGGATTACTCATACAATGTTTACTTTCTTAGTAGTTTTTTTTGCAAATTATCACTTTTTTGAAAAAAAATTGTTTGCGTGTATCATCATTACTATGTGATGATTACATTGATTATGATCGTTGTGTTTTGCAAAATAATTTATGATTATTAAATAGTAAACTATATGGTTGGAAACAAAAATTATGTCAACATTATGTACGTTTTTTTTTAATTTCATATTTTTACATGGTTCATAATATTAATGAGGATGATGATGATGTTCTTATAATTTCATTGATGACAGGACAAAGCTTGATTAAAATTTTTTTCTATGTTACATAATCGCTTATGTGTGTTTCAACGCTTTATGTTGTTGTTGTTTTTTTTCACTCTGTTTTCAAGTATAAAATGTTTTCAGAATTTCAATTGAAATTTAAAATTTTATCATTTCCAATTAAAAAATATGTTTCATTATGAATAATCCAGAAACAAAAACAACAAAAACATTTTTATACGCGACACCTTGTGCACATAATTTATCTGTCACGATTCTATTCCATTGTTATTATTGTTTCGATATTGAATGAAATAGAATCAAGGCTAAATTCTTTGTTTTTTCTCTAAAAATCATTGAATCGGCAGCATTACGTGTATTTGTCATAATTGTTGTCCGGCTGCACAATTCATACAGCCATACATTCACCATCATTATATCAGTAGACCATTTACAATTCATTTTGTTTTTGTTTTCTCATTTTCATTCATTTCTAGGTGAAAACGATGGAACATTGGACAGTGGTGAATACCATAATCAAACAAAAATTGACACAACAACAACGAATACAACCGACAATTATCATCGTAATAGCAATCATAATAATAACAACAATAAACAACAGTCGAATCATTCATTCAATCAATCGACAAATTTACGTGAAAATTACCTAAATTTTTCTACATCTACCGAAACGAATACGAATAATAATAATTGCAACAATCGGCCACCAGCAATTCGTAGTAATTCATCTGCTAGTTCATTGTATCCATCATTGAATTCCAACAATAACAATATACAACCATCACCAAACTCATCATCATCGCCAACCAAATCATTTACTGGGGTATGTCAGTGTTTTTTTTTTAAATCCACTAAAAAAATCATACAAACTATGCTTATCTTTTTTTTTGATTTATTTATTTATTTGATTTAACGCTTATTTTATTTCTTCTTAGAATGTTTGTGATGATGATTATGATGATAGAAACCGTTGTCTATTGTTGATTGATGGGGTGTTGTTACCCTATCGTAACAACAAACAATAATGGATCATTCATTTGATAATAAATTTTTTTTTTCGTTGACCTTGACATTCACCTCAGTCTTATTCAAAGAAAAAAATATAATTCAAATTGTTCGACAATATTGTAAATACAATTCGAATATATTGATTGGATGAACGGAATGTTACGTCATCCATCTTATCTCGATTTTTTTTATCGAGTATCAATTTTTTTTCTTCTTTAGATGCAATTTCTCATCAACATGAATGAATTGACACAATCAAATTGTTATTGTTGAGAATGAACCATCGTGTTCATAATTTTTTTTTCATCTACTTCTACCTGTAGATGAAATAATAATGAACAAAAAAATTGCTGGTAATGATGATGATGATGGTGTGCAAGTTTTCGTCGTATCAGTGGGAAAAAAAAGGTCAAAGCACACATGTTATTTGTGAATTTTTTTTCTCTGTTAGGTCGTTATTGTATTTTATTATTCATTTTTTTTTGTCTTGCTCTTCAACAAATGTTAAAAAAACTAAGGAAGTAATATTATTTGGTATATGTTCAATATGAATATGAAAACCTTGTGTTGAACAATCAAAATTTTTTTTTTATTGAATATAAAATAAAAATAAAAAGACAACAAAATGATACAATAGATAGATCTCACCTGTCACTGTTACAAAGAAAGACCATCTATTTTTTTCCACATTCCATTCGATTCTATTCTATTCTGAATATATAAAATGGACAATGTATTCTCTGTGTGTGTGTTTTTTTTTTTTTTTTTTATCTATACTCAAAGCAGCCAGGTAGCTAATGAAACCATTTTTGTTCGTGTGTCTGTGTTATCTGAGCCTTAATAATATTTTCACACACACACACACACTACAAATATACGCATAATGTTTTTTTTGGCCATCAAATTATCGTTTGTATGAAATGATTGCCATCATCAAGGCTAATAAAACATTCAATTATATTGAATAATGGCTATGATGATGTAGCATTAAATATGTCTGTTCTGTTTATATCAAACACTGTGTTAAGATTGCATCCGGTTATTACTTCCTAGAATCAGGAAAAAAAACAAAACGAAAATCAAGCTAACACATTGGCTACCAATTTTTTGTTATTCAATGATTTTGTCAATCAAAATTTGATTGGTTGCTTGTTTGATGCGCTGTATTTAACTAGAATTTTTTTCTGACAGTTTTTTTTGGCATACTTTTTCTTTTTCGCCAGTTTTATTTATTTATTTATTTTTTTCTCTGTGTGCTAGTTTTGATTGAATATGATAAGTTCGAAGAATTCGGATTAAAAATCATAAACAACATCATTCATGGCTTTAAATGTGAGAATATGTAGAATGAATATTTGAATATATTTATTTGTTGTCGTATTATATCATTTTTTTTAAAGGAAAAAAATTGAAAAATTCATTCCGTAGAAACATGAATTTTATCGTTCATTTTTTTGTTTGATCTTTTCATTCATATATAATATCAATCAACGTTTTGCTTTTAGCAGAGCATTACAAGATTTTTGTCGTCAACAAATTTTTTTTATGTTCATCGACAATGATTTTTTATATTGCTTTCGTAACGTCCACACACGTGAATGGTTGAATGAACATTTATCGTTTTTTATTTTATATTTAGTTTGATTCTCTACATTCATTTTTTTTTTGAATAAATTGAATGTCGATATTCGGTAGAAAAAAAATATGTTTGCTTCCGCTCGAATTGTTTTTCAATATTATTTACATCGATTGATATTGTTTGCAATGATTGCTCGCTTCGTTGATCATTTGTCTTGAGCAATTCAAATGTTGAGATAATATCGGCAATGTTTTTGTTTTTTGTTACAAATGTTTTTTTTTCTAACTTTATCAATTTTTTATCAAATATTTCTAACACAACGTATAGAGTGAATGAATGAATGAATGGTTCATCTTGAATTTGTCGTTGTTCTTGTTTTTTTTTGCCGCTTCACTCCTTTTTTTCGCAATAATTATTCATTTACTAAAACATTATTTAAAGATTTATTAAGATCAAGATTTATATACATCAAATATTACAATCGTGTAACATTTGATAACACCCACACTATTTGTCCTAATTTATGGAAAATTTAGGTGTTAAAGATGATTTTCACCATTGTATTAATGATGATGAAAAGATTATTATTAATTGATGGTAAAGAAAAACCAAAAAACTGAAATAGAAAAAAAACTTTCAAGATCAAAATGATGTTAATGATAATGATAATGAATACAATGAATAAATGAGTTTTATCCATAATTTTCTTTCATATCTTCCTGTTTTTTTTCTTCCCTGGTTTAGCTTACGGGCTTGAATATATAGCTGGGTAGCTCTTAAATAGAAAAAAATTATTTAGTCCAGGTTAATTCATTCATTTTCCAAAAAAAATTTGTTACATTTTCATAATAATTGACCCGTTGAATAGGCCACAGCAACAACAACAACAACAACAAAAATTAACTAATGTATCGAAAAATTCGTTGCCTATAGAGAATAGGAAGGGAGAAAAAAATAGGCCATTAATACCATGTATGCCAAGGTCAATCAAAGATGTGTCTTTATTTTATTTTTTTTTCTATTCGTAATTTTTGCGATTCCATCTCGTCAAATGCAAAATGTACATACAAACACATCAAATAATGCTTTTGTTTTTTTTGTTTATTTTTCTAACATTTATTATTATTGTTTGAAATTGTGTTGAAATATCATATTATTAGGTTTGTTTGATGATAGTTGAATGATTGGCATTGTACTTTCATTTTAATGATTGATCGAATCATCGATTGTATGTTCATCTTAAAATTATTCGATTATAATTTGTTCATTAAAATTAATTGTTTTAATTGAATTAGTTTTTTTTCCACCATAAAGTAGAATTTCAAAGTTGAACCTGGAACCATTAATACAATAAACTATCAATTTTATATTTATTGTGCAAGAAAATGGCTTGGTCATTATAAAATAATTTATTGTCATGTGTGTGTGTGTGTGTGTGCATATTATGAACGTTGGTTTTTTTTGCTTTCAATAATATCAAAAGCTGTTAAACCTATAGTATAACAACGGAAAAAATTAAATCGGATTTGTAAATGATGATTGTCATATACATACTAAATGAGAATTCAACTCTTTTGTGATTTTTTTTATTGTTTTGTTTTTTTACAGTCATCATTTTTTTCTTTATTACAATAAATGTGTCAACCTTGCAATCATATCCTGATATTTTACATATTTAATACATTCTCAAATCATATTTTGTCATTACATTATTCAATTGAAATTACAATCTTACATTTCATAGCCATATATGAATATTTTTTTAGTAGCAAGAGAGCATTTTTTTTCTCGTTCCGTTTTGTCAAATTTATTTTCACAATTTTTTTTTTAAATTAGTTTCTAAATAAATTTCATCTTAGCCGACACATCATTCATAATTATTGTTCCTAGAAATGGCCATCATCATGATCATCGTCATTAAAATGATGAAATGAAACTATACTACCAGTAGCTATCGTACACTATTATTTTTTTTTCGTTGCATTTTACTTTAAAATGATGAATGAATACTAATAATGTGCAAAATTATGACCAACAAACAATCATCGTTGAATGTTTTTGCTATTTTAAATCACATCATTTTAATCTAAATTCATTCAATCGCTTTCTAAACAACAGAAAAACAGGGCAACTATAGTGAACGGAAAAAAAAGTGAAATTGAATGTTTAACTCACGAAAAAAGATAATTCATAAATGATTATGTGATGTGATGTGATGGATATTTCATCATCTTCACTTCATAATTTATTAGTTAACTTTAGTTTTGTTTTCTAGCATTTTTTTTACTCTATTTTCGGTAAATTTTTTAAATTTAGATGAAATGGAAAATTCATTTTTTTTCTCTTTTACATTTTTATTTTCATCAAAAATTTGGAAAAAAAATACTACAATCCAGTTTCAAAAAAATGTATTCTTAAAACATTTCAACATTTGAAAAAAAATGAAAATTAGCCATATATACTTCTGTGATAGAAGTTCCGTCTGTTGTGTATGAATGGCTTTCCATGTTTTATTATTGGATATGTAAATTTTTTCTTCTCATTTTCTCATTTCACCACATACATTTATATCAAATGAGTCGACATTATTCCATCTACATACAGACATGGCAGAATTTCGTTTCGATTAATTATTTTCCATCTACTTTTTTTTTTTAGGTTTAGAATCGTTTCTATCGTTTTCACACTTGCACCATAGAGATAATGATCGGAAATTTCCCATATCATTCCTATTTTTTTTTATATGATGACGAATCTATTCTATTGTTATTTGCTTCAATCGTATCCTAGCATTATTTTCATTTATTTTATATATATGAGAAGAATGTGATTTTGACAATCAAGATTTTCTTCTAATATAATTCGATTGTTCATTAATATTAATGCCTTCTTTTCTTTATATTTTTTTTTTTTGGTTCCATCCAATAAAATGAATGAAAAATAGAATCCAAATCTTCGCCAAAGACGTGGTGCAATGGTCTCTTGTGACAATCTTCTGGCCGACAGTCATGAACTGTTTGGTGGTCTCGGTGGTTCAGAAAGTACATTGAAAAATTTGAAAAATTCGAGCCGTAAAATTGGTGGCATTTTTTCCATACCATTTAAAAGTGATACGGAAAAAATGGAACAATTATCCGATCTATTAAAGCAATATGCCGAAAATGGTATACCAGATCCTAAACATTTATCATTCGTTGCAAGTACGAATAAATTAAATCATTTAAGAGCATCATCATTATCGATATCAAGTATGATAACTGGCGGATGTAGTGGAAATATCAGCCCAAATACACCAACAACAATGAATTCTACAACGCCCACATCGAATACGTCATTATTATCGACGGCAAAAACTTCGCTATCCACTACCGATCTTCATCGTTTACATCAACATTCCAATAATAATCCATTATCGATGTTATCTCAACCACAACAACATCCTGGACAAATATTATCATCCACATCATTTGACCAATCGGTTGATTCATATTATTATTTAGAACCAGAATGGCGTTCAATCGTCGATAATGCTGACCAATTACCTGCACGTATTCAAAGTCAAAATGAAGCCATTTGGGAATTATTACAAACCGAAGTGTTTTACATTCGTCGTTTAAAAGTCATCAATGATGTTTGCATAGCTTGTCTATTAAATCTACAAAATGAATGCCTTCTCACTGAGGTTTGTTGAATTTGTTTTTTAACCAATTTTCTATCTGTCAGAATATTTTACCAACATGAATTATGCAATACTCGTATTATTATTCTAAATAACGAGTTATGAATCAAGAATATTTGAAAAATCTACTGTTAAAAAGTTTTCATTGGTTGCTTGAGGCTATTTCCTATCATTAGTTGTTAGCAAATTTTATTATTCTTATTATTGACATGATTTTATTCCATAACTTTCTTAGTAGAAACGAAAGAATTTTTTTTTATTATAATCTAAATTGTCACTGACGTCTTTTAGTTGAAATTTTGTTTTTTTTTCATACTGTTTCATGATTACGATAAAAAGCAATGAAAACTGATTTTTTTTAAATATCATATATTCAAAATGATGATATCCATCAATTTAAACTGATGATCATAGAAATTGTTGTGCATGATTTAAAAACGTAGGCGTAAGAATAGTATGGTTCAAATATAAATGGAGCATTTATAACAAAACAACAACAACAACAACCGTTTAACATTATTGAGAATGGGACTCTATATAAATGATTCAATCACATGTCACGTTGTATCGTTGTGTAAAGATTTTCACATCCCTATTTGTTATTTAATCAAATCACATTTTTTTTGTTTCATAATAGAAAATGAAATAAAAACGAGAAAAAAAATTACTTTCTCATTTTTAACTTTATTATATGCTCATCACCAATATGGATTATCTTGTATTCGTGATCGATCACACGAATACAGCGAAAAAAAAAATTCTATTTCGTTATTATGATTCTAATTGATATATGAGAAACCTCTCTTTGCATACAGATGATGATGATGATGATGATGGCAAATAAAGATAATTTTCTATTCAAAACAAAAATGATAATTTATGTTTATGGACATCAGTGCATTGTAATATAAGAACGAAAAAAAACAGATCTAATTGCGTAGGTGCTAAATGCCGTTTTGTTTGTTGATCCAAATAAATCACATATTCATGTTTGTGTACAATCCTTTGTGTCGATTCATTCACATGGCCATTCATCATTTTATATATGGAATTTCAATGATGATGCAATCAAAAGTACAAGTTCCATTATATTTTTGTTGTTGTTGTTTGTCGTACACTTTGTTTGAAGAGTGAAAAAAAATTTACTTTTATTTTAATATGATATTTGCGTGTATAGAGATATACGGCAGTTTTTTATTGTTTATTGACAATGGACAATTTTTTTTTTTTCACTTGATCCTAAATTATGTTCATTTTTTAATTGCGAGAAAAAACTACGTTTTAAGGAAAAAAAAGGACAGAGATCAAATTCAAAAATACGATCAAGTTGACACAAACAACAAATAGTGTTTGTTATTCAGGAACGAAAAAAAAACAAAACAACAACGAAAGAGTTACGAGAACAAATTGTTTCCCGTTTCGGTTATGTACAGAAATTAAATTTAGCTTTATTTGGTCACATGCGATAGATTTTTTGATCCAGGAAAAAAATTTCTTGTGTTGTTAATTTATTTAAATCATTGATTTCACTGAAACAATCGATGACATTTGTAATTGATATCCATTTATCACTGGAAATTGAAAATTCTCTACTATACTTGAGTGCATGATAAATTTTTTTGTCGGATAACCCCATTGTCTGGGTCGATTCGAATTGATTAACAAATTACAACATAAGATTTTAATTGATTTTTCTTCACATTACCACTGATTGTATTTATTTAATTAAAAATTTTCTTGATTGATTTTTTTTTCATTCAGATCGATGTACGTAATGTGTTCAGTAATATCGGCGAAGTCTACGAAGCGAATCATCATTTCTGGATGCGTTATCTATTACCAATGTTAAATTATAGTCGTGAAACAAAGACACCATTGAATCCGACAATGTTGGAAGAAGGATTTCTACAGGTAAACAATGATACAATCATCATCAATATATTTTTGTTTCCATTGTTCAATTGGTGGTAATTTCATTTCATTAAATTTTGTTTTTTTAAATTCTACAGTTTGATCAGATATTTCGCCCATACATTCAGTATTGCTTGGAGCATAGTAAATGTTTGCATTATTTGAAAGAAAAACGAAAATTAAATGTATTGTTCGAGGAATACATATCGGTAAGTGAAATCTTTGTGTTGTATTTTTACAAAAAAAAAATTTGACTATTCGAATTCATCACATCTATTTCCGATTGTTGAGAGGTTTCATTGAAATCATTTCTCTAACGTCTTTCCTATTCCATTGTTTATCTCTGACTGTTACATTACATTTTGTTTCTATTTATTTATTTTTATTATTTATTTTTTTTTTTGGTTTTGTCGCATTCGTTTCCTTGATTCGTGCAGTGGTGCAGAAAACATAAAGATTGTGAACGACTTGATTTGATGGGCCTATTGGTGAAGCCATTCCAGCGTCTAACAAAATACTCATTGTTATTGAAAGCAATTCTAAATAAGACTGACAATGAAACGCATAAAGATTGCCTCAATCGAATGGTAAATAGATGACAAAAAACATCGAAAAATGACGGAATATTTCAGATTTCAATTTTTGCTCTCTTTTTTTTTATTCCCATTGTTTTGCAAATAGATACATTGTGTTGATCGATTTGTAAGTGGAGTTAATGCCTCAATGTCTAGAAAACAAGAATACGACGCATTATCAGCTGTCGTAAGCCGTATCGAGAGTTATGATGCTATTGATTGTAGCAATGATGAAGCTGAAAAGGTTTCTGATCTAATCGATTATTAATATTCACCTAAATATAATAATAATGTTATTTTTTTTGTTTTAGTTTCTCAAAGAATATTTATATCTTGATCTGATGCAAACGATGCCTGGATGTTCACGACAAAAAATTCGCCATCTATATCTGGAAGATACACTTAAACTAAAAGATTCTACAAACAAACAAGATGTACATTGTTTTCTTTTCACCGATGTATTTTTGGTTTGCAAACCATTAAATAAGAAGAGCAGTGATAGCCGCATGAAAGTCATTCGACAGCCATTTATCACCGATCGATTAGTTGTTCGTGAACTAAAAGATAGTAGTGGATTCTTGTTGATCTATCTGAATGAATTCAATGTGGCTTGTACTTATATGTTATTGTTCACATCCGAAACAAGAAACTGGGTCGAACAGATTAGAAAAGCACAAGAAGACTATCGTAGCCTTAAATTTTCATCTATCGAACCGGAACATTGTGTAACATATCAGAATAGCTATGATGATGAAGTGATCTACGGAAATGGTCATCATCAATTATTCAATGCATCACCACGGTCATCTAGCCGATCAAGTCTGTTACATTCACACAGTGGATCACAAGATATGGGCGATCAGCCTATACAAACTATCAATCAAACAATGACTACGACTGCATCACATCACCAGGTTAATTGTAATCAGCTTTCTATTCAACAACAATCGCCAAGGGCCGTCAGTTTTGAATTAGGTGATCTTCGTAATCCTAGTTTGGTTGTCGAAGATGCCGATTCATTTGCACGTTCACAATCATTTGATAATCGATCACCAGTGGTTACAATCACATCACCACGACATGAACGTCGAGCTTTTCTATTACGAAGTCAACAACAACAACCACCGCAACAGCAGCCACAATCGTTGCATCAACAAGGCGCCAATAGCAATAGTGGTTGTGGGAACCAAACCAATGTTGATACTAGCGGTTCATCAAATTATCTCAATCAAAATAGTCTTTCAGTGAATGTTCCATATGTTCAACCAGTCAATTCTGTTCCCGTTCAGGCACGTCAATCTCGTAGATCTGTGCCAAATATTTCGAATATGAATAGTGGAAACCAAAACACTATTGCAATGAATGAACCCACTTCCAATTGTCAATCGAATAATCCGCCAACAGCAACCATTCATGTGGCGGTATATCCACCACCAACTTCATCACCACCACCGCCGCCGCCATCACCACCGAAAAGGTCACCTACAAAAACAATTACGAATCGACCATTACCACCATTGCCTCCTCAATCTGCAACCGTTTCACCACCATTACCATCGGTACCACCGCCTTCACCACCACCACCTCCTTCACCATCATTGATGTCAATTAGCTCACGAGGAATACCTAGTCCAATGACAATGACTGTCAATAAACCACCATTGGTTAAAACGAAAAATATTTCATATGGCGTTGCCTCAATGAATTATACGCCCGATGCCAAAACCGTCGCTGTCGAAGATGCTAATATTAATAATCTGGCACACATATCATCAAATAATCAAAATAGCTCTTTGGATAAAGAGTCCCCATCATCATCATTAGAATTGACTGGGTCAGATAATAATATTGAAATGAATGACTATGACGATACAAATGAAGATGATACCAAAAACAATCGTGGTCCTCAGCAAAAAAGGACTTATCGTCCAGATCGTCGTTATCATACGGCCGATTCGATTGATCATCTCAAAAAAGAGAAAGATAATTCCATTCATAAACGTCTGTCATGGAATTATGGCAATCAACACCAGAAGCAACAAAATGTTCAGTGCCCACATCATCATCATCATAATCAGCAATTACAATATGGACAACAACAATGTTGCGGCGGCTGTAATTCTTCGGCTCCTTATTGTTCTTCTGGTGGTCAACCATTACAGCCTCGATCACTTGCATCAACTCATCAACATCAGAATAAATGCCTTAGCACTGAATCCATTTGTAGCTCTAGCGGTTTCAGCAGTACTGCATCCGTGCCATTAAGTGTTGGAAGTGTTACAGATAACCAGGGCGATCATTGTAGCTGTTGTTCAACTGTTCATCATTTGCAATTACATGAAGAAGAAGAAGATATTGATAATGATTCGGTAATGAAACGTGATCATTATTATCGTAAAACAACGAGAAAACCGTCCACTTCATCGGATCGTGATTCGGCTCTTCCAATAAGCCCATCATTAATTGATCAAAATTCAACTCCGCCAATATATTATCAGCATGAACATTCAAATTCACAATGTAGTATTGTAGACCATTGTGGAGTTGAAGATATACCTAAATCACCAGCTGATAGTCCGGATATAAAAATCGATGTCCGTGAAATGAAAGATGGGATATCATCTGTTCAGATTACATTAACTGGTGGATCAAATACAGTGACACGACCATCAAAAGCCGATTTAAAACGTATGAAAGAATTCATATTTTCAAATTGTAATTTGGAATCCTCGTAAGTACATTTGATTTGTATTTTGAGAAATTTTCTAAATTGAATCTAATTATTTTTTTTTGTAGAGAGGTGTGATCTCCTAATTTGGTAATCTTTTTTTCATTATCAAATTATATTCGACACAAAAGTGGATGAAAATTCAACTTGATCATCACGTTTGTTCGCATTTGATGAACACGGGAACATTGAAATATGGATCGCATTTTTTTGGCTGGAACGCGCTGATTTTTACTTGAAAACAGTGTTTTTTTTGAAGAAAGAAACTTTCAATTCCTGTTTGTTCATTGTTGTTTTTTTTGTATTTTATGACAAAGTTTTTATTTTGGTTAAAAAATATACAAGAAAAAAATTGAATTGAATGGTATCATTGTTATGTAATGTGAATTGTTTTTGAAAAATGTTAACCCAAATGAATACATTTATGTAAACGAAAAATACAAACAACACATATACTCACTTACACACTCATGAATACCAATGTATTAGTTTCCATAGAAAGATTATTTCTCATTACGATTTTATTGTTTTTCATTTAATATTTATCTGAAAGAAATAAACACAGAAAAATCACCATAACGGAATTATTGTTGCACAAAATAAACCACTAGAAGAATGATCTATATATGAGCTTAGTTGACACAGAAATTCCATCGTAATATAAAACTTTGTTAGCCGGAAATTTTATTCAATACGAATATATACACTTTTTCTGTATCATTTATGTATCAAAACATACTATGAACATGATTGAAAACAAAATAGTTCTTTTGACATTCCATTGCACGTTGTAAAAGATCCGTTTTGAATATTGAATTTTTATGATCACGATGACAACTATTATCTTCGGTCGATTTTCTCCTCCGCGACTGAGAATGATGATTAATATTCGCCTCATTCAGAGTTGAATGTGTTCGTCGATCACTTTCGTGATTGGATGATGAATAAAGATTTGCTCTAGAACTAGTTGATGGAAATTCGTTCTTGATAATGACTATTTGACTTGACACGTTTTCCGATATTGAGATACATGTAATTGTGACACATGACTACGATGATCCAAAATTTCATTTTTTAAGCTTAATCATCTTAAGATTCACCAGAACCTTGTGCAAATAAATCATTTCTTTATTAAAACATTCAATGACAAACAATAGATCGTGTGGCATAAATTCGGTCTCAATCGACCAATTTATTGTTTTAAAATTATTTCATCTTGAGCGACATCTTTTATCCAGACAACAAACAATTCATCAACTATTATTTATCTTGATGAACATGAAACTACCTTGAAATCGGATAAAAGGAAATAAATTTTACAAAACAAAAAAAAAATAAAATAAAACTAGAGTATATATCTTGAATTAGTCTTGATCTTTTAATGGATAAAATTTAAAAAAATCGACCAACTATTCATTCGTTCCAATGGCTGCAATTTGAACATAATTTTCAATTTAACATATATCAAACATGGTTAGGATTTTAATTCCAATTTTTCTTTAAAAAAATTTAAATTTTTCAATTTAAATATTGTACACGAAATGAGTGAAAATTATATCATCATAAATAAACGGAATCAAATATAGAAAAAAAATTGGTGTAAAATTGTTAGCGGGTAAGAAAATTATTTATCATTATTAACGTTGTTTACGATTTGAAATGAATAAATTTGCGGTTCCAAAACGAAAAAAGTTCATTCCAATCACATTACAAAGTTCAAAATTTCTTTTTTTTTGCGCACCATACAAGTTTGGATTGTCAACAAAAAAAAAAAAAATGAATATTTTTTTCCAGTTTTTTATTCAATTCATGGATTGTTGCACATGACCATGAAGTTTTTCTTGCTATCCATGGACTATTGTTGAACATTTATTCAAGAGAAATACATTTGATAATTGTTTCCCAGTAAAAAAAAATATAGTTTGAATAAATTCAAATGATTACCGCCAACAACAACTCTACCACCTTCAAAACCGACTATATCAATGTCATTTGCAGTGGTATAAAATGCCATTGGTCGATACTGATCATATTATTATTATTATTATATTCTCGTATCAAGAAATGTTAATATTAATAAATGATTTCAACTATTGTCTTACAAGGTAATCGTTATTGTTTTCATTTCATTTTAAAACAAAACAACACAAAATAAAATTGGACAAATCAACCGGCTGCTTCAGTCACCAGTCACCAATCATCACCATGACCAAAAAAAAATTTAAAAATTTTTATTTCAATTCTATAAATTAAAACAACAACACAAAATAAAATTGGACAAATCAACCGGCTGCTTCAGTCACCAGTCACCAATCATCACCATGACCAAAAAAAAATTTAAAAATTTTTATTTCAATTCTATAAATTAAAAACAATAAGTTAAGAAGAACAAAATTTGAAAAGGAAGGAAATTTTACAAAAAAAAAGATTTTCAAAATTGAAAATAGATTTCATTGAAAAAATTTTTCTTTGTTTCAATCAGAAATTATTTCCGGTGCGAAATAGAAATATTTTAGTTTGTTTATATTATTAGATCATTTTATTAATGACAGCCAAAAATCACATCAACATCTTAGCCTAGCCACTATAATGGATCCAATTATTGTTGCTTGTACGTAATTATCGTGATTAATTAATTAATGTGTCATATCATATTGTATAAGACTTCCAGAAAAAGTTGGTTGCACCTTTTTTCTGAAATTTCAGACGTCAAAAAAAAGTTATTAAATATTTAAAACGGAAATATTAACCCATTAATTGATCAGATAATTAACAATTTCATATCCTTTTTCTTTCTATCCACATTATTATACAGTTAGATGCTATTTAAAAAATACTTTAAAGCCTAATGTCAATAAATGTTAGAATTACTGCAGTTTTTTTTCGCATTTAGAATTTCATAGATCCTGAACCTTTTGTTTTGTTTTTTTTTGGATCATTTTCAAATATAAGTCTATAATTTTGTTTTTTCACCTTAAGGGAAAATCTGATCAGTCTGTTTCTTTTTTTCCTGTCCGTGAAAAAATTACAAGTTAGTTAGTTATCACTCAAAAACATATTTAATCGTGATCCTGAAACCAATGGAAAAAAGTAGCATGATATGTATTTAGTGGACATATTTTCAATGGAAAAAAAAGAGAAAAATAATTTCTGTATTAATGAAAAAGAAAACAAATAATGTATTAATAAATGAAAGTTTTTCTCAAAAAAAAAATCCAAGAGAGAAATCTGCTGGACTATGTTTAAATTATTATTAGCGGAATAACAACACATTTGTGTGTGTGTGTGTTTGCATGTATGTGGAAACTGATTATTCCCATTATCATTATCATTATTATTACACATTAATTTTTTTTCTGTTTGTGTTAATCAGTGCACAATCCAATTTCACCGATATCGTTTGAAGAGAAATATTTTTTGTTTATTCTTTCCTCACATATTTGCCTCAATCTGTTGAATGTGAGATTGAGTTTAGTTTTTTGTATTCATTAACTATCGATACATTTGAACGACAATCATCGTATGAACATAAATGAAAAGATAAGCTCTTGTATTTGCTTGTCCAATCATCTTTTCCGTTTCCATATTTTTTTTGAAAATCATTTTTTGTGAATAAATTTCAAAATCTTTTACATGTGTAACTAATTGATTTAATTTGTTTTGTCATCTCGTTCATTCGCTCTACAATTGATACTGATGAAATCGAATCAATAATCTTGTTTTGTTTTTATTTTTGTATTCAAAACGATCACACACACACACACACAAAAAAACGTCGATTTATCAACAAAATTTCGACACATCAAAATAAACGCGCTCGTTCTCTCAAATGAATTTGATTGAAAATTTCAAGGTAAATTTAGCCATGATTTGACTGATTGGTGTTTGAATAATTGTGATGTGTATGCATATGTGTTTGGTTTACATCCTGAAATGACAACGACAAAATCAATGCTTATCATGATTTCTTTCGAATGCTAAATTTCACGCTGTTAATCCAAAAAAAAAAAAAAAAAAATAAAAATAAATAAATAAATTTTTTTTTATCAAATTTATATTATAATTTTCAGGTAATTCTCTTGAATTCGTTACAATTTTGATCAGATTGATATTACCCATTCAACACACGATAGACATAATGATTATAATAAGAAGAAATGATTCAGACTGCGTCTCATCTGCACAAAATTCTAACAAGATATTACAAAAAGAAATTCTGAATTTTTTCAAGTGTGAAAGTTAAATATTTGTTATTTACAAAATTTTCCCAATAAAATAAAAAAAACCGCATCGAACACAAAACTAATATATTATTCATTATACATTGTACGTAAACAAATGATTTTACCCAATTGCATAAAATCATCACAAAAAATGACAGTATTTATTCAAACAAATGCTATTGTGGTGAATCTTCACAACAGTCATTGTCATGCTATTTAAATTTTTTTTTATAGTTTTTGCAGATGTCCATTTGAATAATAATAATAATCATGATTATGATGATGATGACGACATTGATGATGATGAAACGAAAATCAGTTTATTTGTCGTTTTGTGTAAATATTATGACATCGTTTCTGGTGATGATAATATGGAAGGAAAAAACGTTCATCTCGATTTTCATCAATTGAATGATGATGATGATGATGATGATGTAATCATCTTCCGATTATATATGCTATGGCGAAAATTTTTTTTTTTTTTTTTTTGAACGACGACATGTTCATTTTATATTATCGTCACAACGAAGGCTTAAACATGGAAATTTTTTTTTTGTAATAGTTATAGCATTGTATATGGATAATAATTTTCTCATTATACACATAAAATGTGAGATATAAATGCTAAATTCTAAGTTAAATTTTTTTATACAAAATTTCAACATCAGAAAAACAAATCAATCGATCGATACTAAACAATCAATAATTCGATTCATTCTAATTATAATATTTTATAAATATTTGCCATCAGGTAGTTTGGTGACTAGTCGTCGTTGTATATATTTTTTTGAAACAAGTAACATCTAATTGATTGATTGTTCCATCATCTTTGCAACATGCTTATGAATAATATATGTTTAGGATATATATCTTCATATAAGTTGATTAGCATTTTTACAACAATTTATTTCTTAAATGCATTGCAAAACTTTTGGACTAAAGCAGATGATCGTTCCATGTGTTGGGATCCATCAAATAAAAAAACATGATACAAAGACAAAAATATCCGTATTCCGTAACAATCGTGTGTACAGATATATAAAACACTTTTGACCATATTGCGCAATGTTCCAAATGTTTAATCAATAGTGTAAGAGGCGTTAATAAATTATCATTTCTTAATTTGCAATCATTTGAATCGATTAACGCATTTATCAAAATGGAAAAAAAGAAACATTCTTCTTCTGTTTGTTGAAATGACTTCTAAATATATTATATAAATGTTTATTTTAATTGTCCATGTAAATAATAAATAGCTGCTATATTTGATAATTTTTCCTCGAACTTCAACTTTTTTTTCCATATGGAAACTAATTTTAATTGATTCATTGTTTAATGAATGTTATTGCTATAATTGAATGAGATTTCTTCATTCATTTGTTGTTAATTAAGATTATGATCAAACTGTACATTTTTTTTGATGAAAAATATGACATCAATTTTGTTGAAGGACCCTATTGGCCATCGTCATCATCAGAGAATTTGTATTTGCTTTGAAATCTCAATAACCTTGTATTATCATACGATTTAAATGACAAATTCAATGAAAATAAATGAACATTGAATACGATAAAGTCAACATCACCTAGGATGTGAATCATATATGAATCATATTTAAATGATAAATTCAATGAAAATAAATGATAACCTAGGATGTGAATATATGAATCAATTGTCACATCATATCAAGCATATATTTCTCATCATCCGGCTTATTTGAATGTATGACAACGATTAATGGACGTGACAAAAAAAAAATAAATGTTGACAAACGATTCTCACCATTAAAATTAATATCTTTGTCTCAATTTTAAGCAAACGATAATTAAATTCCTGTTTTTTTTAAACTAGACTATGAAACCAACCAAGCGTTCCATCGGTTCTTTGTTCTGATGTATTCCAAAATTTATGTTATCAATCAAAAAAAAAAAAAAAAAAAAAATTGATAGATTGATGAGATTGAATTTGTTTATTATTAATTTGGTTATTATTGTTTTTAAAATGAAACAACTTGAAATAGGAAATGCTTATGAGAGGAAAGAAAAAAACTTTTCAGCACTTGTCATATTGTTCGATGGTTTCCTTTCTATATCCTATTCTATATTTCAAAACAATGTTATAGTTTTTTCACTGTCCACTAATTTCATATTGTCAACTTGACACAATTTCCGTTGTTTTTTTTTCTCTTTATACATGATGGTTGATTCAGATGGCTTACTCACTTACACATACTTGATTGTGAAATATCCACATTTGTACGTCCGTTGCTCCAATTGGTATTCATTGTCGCATGCTGCAAAATGTTTACAAAAATTGTAAACAAGCTAATTGGTTGGTCACCTTGAAGAATGGAATGTTTTGTTGATTTTATTAAAGAAAAAAAAATCATTATTTTTTCTATGCAAATTTGATTTATTAAGTTGTCATTATTTAAGAATACTCACAAATTTACTGTCGAAAGTGAGTGACCGGAAATTGTCTCATTGTTTATTTATTTTTTATTAAATTATATCGTTTTTTGTATTCATTTTAATCAAAAGAAAACAGAACTCGAATAGAAGTGACAGTACCGTGATTGTCATTCGAACATGTTCGATAATTGGGTTTACAGGTGAATTCACACACTCACACACACACAAATAGGCGTTTGTTTTTAAGATATAATTTTCTAAAAAAATGTAAGTATAAATCAAAACAATATTAATGACTGAGATTTGATTCGAACACATTCGTCAGGTTCTACATAATTCTTCAATCCTTTACATCTCGAACAGTACGTCATTTATTGCTGCATCATTTTTCATCAACAAATTCCAGAATGTTCATCTCGTATTTATCAATGTTGATTTATATGATGATGACCACTGTGACTATTATTGATGCCTATAGTAATGGAGCACCAAATGGTGAAGCATGTCGCACATTATATCCTGGTCATGGTGTCGATAAACAATATGGTCGTTCATCATATCGAATAAATGCATCGCATCGATTCAATGATTCAAAAATAGTGGTCACATTATATTCACCATCGGATACATTTCTTGGATTCATCATGCAAGCTAGATTACATAGTGATCGTGAAATGTTAGTCAATGGACAATTCTCTACTGATGAACATACACAAGCTTTGGATTGTCTTGGTGGTTATCAGGTAAGCAGATTTCAGCCAATTTATGAATAATTATTTATTTGATTATTATCACTTTCTTATCTGGTCAGAATACATTAACGCACACAAATTCATTTCCAAAATATAAAATTGAAAGTGTATGGACGGCACCGAAAAATTTTATCAGCGATATTGTATTTCGTGTTACTGTTGTACAATCAAAAAATGTCTTCTGGACAGCTATCGATTCGGATATGATTGAATTATCGCCAAATCCATTAGGCGTTCAATATAATCCGAATAGTTTCAATTCATTCAACACTCCCAATGATTCACCACAGGTGCCTAGTGGATTTGTCATGAATAAAGATGGTGGCCATCATCATCATCATGGCCGTTCTCCATATCATGTAGCGCTATCATCATCGGCCATTACACCACCATCACCATTTTTAACCGTATCACATCAACCATTAGTACAGAATTCACCAAAACACGATCCGAGCCATAGTACTCGTGATCTTATCTATTATCTAGATTATAATGTCTGCAGTCGCAAACTTTGTTTCGGTTTACCACATGGTTGTCTTCGTCGACGAAATTGTATAATGTTATTGACGGCCGGTTTTGTTCCGTACACCGATTCCACAGTGGAATTCGAAATAATTGCTGATCATAAAACGGCTATGAGCAGTAAACGAGCAGTAGCATTTGGATCAACATCACCAATAATATCTACCTCAGCCTATTATTCGATGGCATTATCACATGATAAAATAATGGGTAATGATAGTGTTACCGATTGTATTCTGAGCAATGGTCGACCACAAATTATGAATAGTATTAATGTGGGAAAATCAAATGAAGAACTATCCGAAAGTGAATTTCATGGTGTAACCCTCATGAACGCTACATATCATAATGGAATTCTTTTTTGTAAATGGCGTAAACGACGTCGTTTTACTTTACGTGGTACTCGTTATAATCTTCGAGATGATAAATATCATATCATGTTGGCGTTTGGCCGTCTATCTAGTTTTAGCAATTTCCGTCGTAAAGAACCACATTTCGATAAGATTGTTTCCGATTCGATGGTCGATTTTCGTATGACCGGTTCAATATCAGCTTATTCGAAAACGTTTCTGATCAAATTTCATGGTATGCATTTTAGATGTTTTCCATGTGATTATTAATTCCTTTCGTTTATTAATGCAGCATTCTTCATGATTGTTGCCTGGGTCGGTTTTGCCAGTATTGGTATCATCACGGCACGTTATCTAAAACCTTTATGGCTATCACATTCATTGTTTGGTGTTCGTATTTGGTTTGCGGTAAGATAAATAGCCAAATTCAAACTTGACGTTAATTCTAAACTAATCGACGTATAATCGACATACACAGATACATCGTTCGAGCATGATGGCTTCATTGATATTCGTCTGCATTGGAGCCATTAGCATTTTCCTTTACGTTGATGGTTTTGTTTTTGTGCGTATTTTTATGTCTTACTCTTGAAAATATAAAAATATGTCTATACCTCTTTTTCATAGGGATATCATCAAATACTTGGATTGATCGCCATAATTTGTGCGATAGGAAATCCAATTGGTGCCGTATTTCGGCCCGAATGTGAATCAAGTAAACGATGGATATTCAATTGGATACATTGGCTAATTGGAAATATTGGCTTTGTATGTGCCATCGGTGCATTATTCATGGCATTTCAATTGAATGCTATACATTTATCTACACCATATCTATGGTCAATAGCTTTCTATTTATTTTTCAATCTAACCGTACATTCATTATTGCAATTGTATTTCTGCAATTGTCATCATACCAAAGGTAGGTTTTAATTATTATATTATCGTGTTTGAAAGATTTTAATTCATTCATCATTTATATTTAAATTAGAATCAAGCGACATATCGAACGGATCATTACCATCTGCATCAAATACTAATCAACGAATCGATAGTCTGGCCGATACATCATTTTTACGTTATTTTTTTATTTTATACGTTTCCGTTATATTAATTTTTGTGATCACAATCATCTCATTTGTATTGATTAATTAAACTTATTTTTTTTACTTGTAAATAATCACCAATTTGCTGTACAATCGTCAATTTTATGGTCATTGGGGTCAGAACATTGTCTCATCGAATCATTGATCCTAATTTTTTTACATGCAAATTCAAACACATTTCTAATGTTCACAATACACATTCACACCTATATTTTTAGTCAGAAATTTCACCGAATTTTATTTTTTCTCTCATAAGCCTGTCTAAATGCATTCTATGCTGATTGTCTTATCGAACGACATTCATTTTTAATTGGTTTGTTAAAGAAGTAATAAAATTATTTTAATTTTTTTTATACTGTTAATGGCCAAAATATTAATGCAAATTATCGATATCCTGAAAGGATATGACGACAATGATAGAATTTTGAAGCAATAACAAAATTAAAAGTGAACAAAATCATTGACTTTCCGCTTTTTGATCATTACAAATGACATTCGTAAATCATTGGCGCAAGTACATCACACAGACACACACACACACACACACACATGAAAAAAGTGTGGTGATCAACATGCCATTCAATGGTGGCCATTTGAATTTTGTCATTAAATTATTATCATCATCATCATTCTAATTATTATTAGCAATTTTTTCAAAAAAAAAATTTCATTCATCCAATGCATTATTTAAATATTGAAACATTGCCATTGATTCTATACTTTGGCTCTGTTTCATTACTATCCTTAATGTACGGTGTGTTGAAATTTTTCCAAAAATATCAACATCGTCGTAGAAATAAACAGGAACGAAATGATGTTGATGATAATGAAGAAAAACATACGATCAAAAGAGATAGAAAATGTTCACTTCAACAGCTGGAGCAGCAACAATCAGAGAAAAAATCTCGTTTCACAAAATGGTTTTGGAATATGTTCATTAAATTACGTTTGACAAATAATAATCATAAGCATGTGTATTTTCCATCTGAACAAGAGAAACGTTTTGGCATTGCCAGCCAAACAGCACAACAACAACAACAACAAAATACCAACTCATATGTTGATATCACCGGACATGATCAGGAATTGACAAATTCAACCCACGGTATGTACGATACATTTAGCACGTACGCCATAAAATCGAATTGGCCAATGCCATTATCCAAGTCAAAAAAGTTTACTTGCAATAAATTTAAAACTCAATTTTTCTTATATTTTATCCTTATATTATAGCAAATATTACCCCGACAAGTTCAAAGGTCGATCTTTCATCTTTAGAAAGCAATAATCCTGATGATGACCGGTCATCGATTGTAACCGGTGGTGTAAAGTCACGTAAGCATCCACATTATCAACAAAATTCTTTATCACAATCATCATGCCTATTGGAAGAGAGTGGAAGTCTTACCAGAGTTGTAATCACTGAAATTGAACAACATCAATTTCAACGAAATAGAGAAATCGACGAATTGAACCAACAACAACATCAAAAACATTTGGAACAGCCAGATGAAAAGAATACTTGCATAAAGTTTCAAAATCAAAATAAACTAACCGAAAATGAAAAAATGGTGGTGAAAAAAATTCCATTACATGTGATCAATAATAACAAATTGAATGCTGCATTTGATTTCCTTGAAAATGAAACGGATTCAGATCCAATATATGATGTTCCATCATCACGTTCATTGATTAATTTGATTGATGTAACCGAAGTTAATTTGCCGGCCAAACAACAACAACGAGGTCATAATAATAATGGTGAAATCATTGCTTATTATCATACTAGTACACCAAATCTACTTTCAATCAAATCGGGCGTTAACATCAAAACGAATGCCAATGATTTTCATGGCGATTATCATTATGATGATGATGAAGAATCCATTTATGATACACCAAAAAGCCGATCATTTGTAGCCTGATCCTACCATCCTTGTAACCATTTCTTCCTCTTCTTTTTCGATTCGATTGGTGTGTGATCTAATTCTCTTTCACTATCTCCGGAAAAAACGAGTTATCGCACATTGACACCATCGTCATTGCCATAAATGTGATTGAAATGAAATTATGATGACATTTTTATTTCTAAAAAACCCCGTTGATAATGAATGAAACAGGAACAATTTGTATCACATATAATTTTAATGAAACTAAGATTCAGACATGAAAAAATCAATGAAATCTTTTCTTATATATCGAATAATAGTGAGACAGTCACGGGAGGCAACTTTTGCAACATTGCGATCAGGGTGCAATCAAATTTTTTTTTCTGTCGATTCCTTTATTTTAATTTTTCTATTTGAATCGATTCCAGTATAAAGTCTAAATCGTTACATATTTTCAATGTTTTTTTTTGTTATATATCTTTTTTTTTATTGTTATTGCTACTTGTTAACAGGTTCGATCACATTAAACATCGATAGAGGTTGTTTCGATCAATTCATATTAAAATTTGTTCGACGAACACACATCACGGTAGTCGAATGGAAAGAAAAATAAAAACACAGGCTATGAGCTATGTTTGTATTATTTGAATAATACCATTTCGTATATTTTTTTTGTGATTTGGATTTTTCCACTGTTTTTTCTGTTTCATATTTATGTATACAGATCAAATTTGAAACTTGTTTTCTTCTTCATCAAAATGAGAGATGGGGATTTACGCAAAAAAAAAAAACTTAAATGTTCCAAGTTTTCATTCTTCTTTCTCTTCATCATCTCAGATCAATGGTTTAGTTTTACATTTTTATTTCTATATATTCATGCTCTCACAAAATAGGTCAACCATCGTTTTATTGGTTCAAACATCTTTCGTTTCATATTATTCATTATTCGCGCTGAAATTCACATAGAACACACAAACACACACACACATATACATAGACACAGAAAGGAGATAATATAAACGATAAAAAAAATGATAGAACAAAAAAATGTATGGAAAAAATTGAAAAGAGAAATACTACATTTATTAAGACCGATGGAATGGAAATGTGGAAAGAGATTTGAATTTTCGTTATTTTTCTACTCTTCGTTTGTTAACATACAAACACAAAAATACGAGCCGAAAAAAGATTTTCAAGTGCGCGCGCGATTCAATCGGACCGTAATCGTTTTGTGGTCGATGTCTTCTTCGATGTTCGATTCATACATTATCTATTGGCATTGCAGTTGCCTTTATGAATATACAGACACAAATATAAGCACAACCTCAATGGTTATAGTTGTCATTTTTTTTTTTCATTTACAAATCCTGAAGATGTTTGTTCTTCTTCACCATCTATAAATTGGCCATCATCTTCTCAAAAGTTCTTCATCATTTGTTCTGATGTTCTTGTTCTCTTTCATCGTCATTGTCGTTTTTCGTTGTTCATTATCATTGTCAGATTTTTTTTTCTCGTTACTGCCATATGAACAAACAAATTTCTCTTTTAATTTGATTCATTCATCCGCCAAAAAGTTTCTTCCCTGCTCATAGGTCTATGTGCCGTACCTTCAGGTGAAAGTTGAATGTGTTCGACCTATTTCTTCATCGTCATTTGATTTAGTCACCAAACAAGGAACAACAATAAGTGTGTCTCCAAAAATTAATTGAGCTTATTGTGTTGAAAAAAAATTTTTTTTCATAGCCTCATTGAACACTGTATTTATTATTTGGATTGATTTGAATGAAATGGTTGAATGAAGAGAAATGAAAGAGAAAGAAAGAAAATTGACATCCTTGATTCAAATGAAAAATAATAAGAGACGAATGACCATTTTATTGATAACATCATCATCACCTTAACACAGAGCAAAATTTTTTTCTCTAATTGATCATCATCGCCTTAGTCGTTGTTGTTGTTTTTTTTTGTTGAAATTCCATAAACTTCTGTTCGTTCTAATTTATCACCATTTAAAAAAAAAATATTTCATATATGATGACATTGAATTTGGCAATAATTGTAATTACCGGCCATAAACATCAATCATTTATAGACCATTATTTCGCCACCATCACCCCACCACCATCAACAACAACAACAACCAGTAGTTACAATAAATAAACATCGATTTGATTCGATCGATCCATCTCCATGTCCATATATTCAAATGTTTACATATATACGAATATAATACATCGAGTTACTATGTTTGGTCATACCAATTCACTGATTTTCCGTTAGATGAAATGCCGCAATCAATTTTTAAAATTAATGTTCTCGGAAAATCTGCCACCTATCATGTATAGGTGTGTGTGTGTGTGTGTGTGCGTATAAATGTATCAGTGAAAATGTAGTTTATCAACAAATGATCAATTTTTAAAATTTTAAATAGAATACTTCCTCAATATTATTTTCAAAAACTACAATCGAACCTAATTTGTCTACCTGTTTGTGTTTATGGTGTGTGTGTGATGTGATTTAATGGATTTATTATAAAGTTAAATCAATTTTTTATATGCAAAAATTGCCTCATATTTTTTTTGTATGCATTTTTTGATGAAAAGATTACGGAACAATCAATCGATTTGATTGCCATTAAGATATGGTCTATTTTTGTTACTAAATTTGTGGTCCTAAATTTTTAGTCAAAATATTGTATAAATATAACCATCATTCACCATCACCATTTTCAAATCAAAAACAAATTTTTCAAGTTATTCAATATTAACTCATCATCATTTATTCTGATTCAACAAATCGACAGAAATTTTTTCATTTGAAAATAAAAATGTCTGCCACAGACGCCGTCTATATCCGTAATGTCAACTTTAGTTATGGAAATAATCAAATTCTTCACAATTTTTGTGCTCGAGTTCCATATGCACAGATCTATGCATTATTGGGTCCAAGTGGAGGAGGAAAGACTACATTACTCAAATTAATATTGGGACGTTTGAAAATGCAACAGGGCATGATTAGTGTGCTCGGTATGACACCTGGTGAAGCAAATTCAAATATTAGCTTCATGCCACAAGAAGTTGGCCTGTGTGATAATCTAACAATTAATCAGACGTTAAAATATTTTAAATTAATATATCGAATTTCCAATGAAGAATTCTACACCAGGTATGAGTTTTTTTTTTATTAAATTTTATTCTATCAAAATTTATTGATATTTTATCTATTAATTTTGAAAGACGTAAAGAATTGACTACATTGACCAATCTGCCAAATGGAAACATGCTGGTTCGTGAACTTTCTGGTGGCACTAAACGACGATTATCAATTGCCGTTTCGTTAATTAATAATCCAAGTCTGGTTATATTGGATGAACCTACAGTCGGTATAGATGCATTACTTCGGAATCAAATTTGGAATTATCTGGTATCGAAAACAGCTGAAGGAATGACCATGATTATTGTGACACATTATATTGAAGAAGCTGTCAATGCTGGTCGTGTTGGTTTGATGCGAAACGGTGCATTATTGGCTGAAGATAATCCACAACGATTAATGTCCATATATGGTGAGGCGAATCTCGAGGCCGTCTTTCTTAAACTCTGTTGTTATGAGGACAAAGGCTATAATATATCCACCTCGGATCTGCAAAAACATCATCAACCATATCAAAATCATGAAACAACTAAAATAGATCCATATTTTTGTTCTCATCATTATTCAATCGGTAATCATCATCATAATCATGACGAACTATTCATCATTTCAAATAAATTCAACAAACATTCCGAATGTTCGGTTAGTAGTTGTTCATCATTATCATCAACTCCATCCTGGAGAACATTATTCAATACAAGATTATGGACAATCAAATTGTGGATATTGTTAACATTGATCTATCGTAATTTGAACCAATTTGTATGCTCTTATTTTTCAATCATCATTATCTTGTTGCCGGCAACTCAAGCATTGATATTCTGCCTGGCTGTCAGTAAAGATATTACATTGGTAAGTGGTCAAAGATAAACTATCATTATCATAATTATAATGCTTTGATAATGTCATTTTTCATCAATTAAAGATACCAGCAGCTGTTTATAACGAAGAACCGAATCCTGGGTATGGAAAATTATTCATTGATGCAATGAAATCCGTTCGTGGTCATATAATTCAACCCAAATACTATGATTCAGCGGAAGAGGCGACAGATGCACTCCGTAAGCGTGAAGCAATCGGTGCAATTTGGATACCAGAAAATTATACAGAAGCCGTCGATATAAGAATCGAAGATGGATTATCCGCCGATAATGAAACTATCGAAGATTCAACTATTCGAATTTTTCTTGATAATTCCTATTACATTCTCAGTATTGAATTCTACACTACATTGTTGCAATCGTTTACGGATTTTTCACGCCAATTGTTTCATTCAAAGTATATGGATCTATTAGAAGTGCCGATCAAAATGGAAAAAACGGCATTATCAGAAGATTATCGTTTCAAAGATTATTTTATGCCCGGATATTTTCTATTGTTTTTGTATATATCACAAATTACTATGGCATCATTGACATTGAACAAAGAACGTAAAGATGGCCTATTCGAAAGATCACTTATTGCTGGTGTATCACATGAGCTTGTCTTTTTCTCACATATCATCACCAGTCTTGTCATTTCAATTGTTCAGCTATGGTTTCTTGATATTATCGCATTCGCCTTATTCGACAATCCGAGCAATTCAAGTTATTGGCTTAAATTCAGCCTATTATTACTTGAAAGTTTGAATGCGATGTCATTGGGATTTGTTATTTCATCATCAATCAATTCGGAGATATCCTGTCTGGTATTGGTATGGTTCATAACTATTCCTCAATGTCTTTCGGCTGGAGTACTATGGCCATTGGAATCATTGTCTCAACCATTCAATTATCTATTCTATTTATGGCCATTGAGTATACCCGTGAAGACTATTCGCCATATAATGCTTCAAGGTTGGGATCTTTCCAATATTCATGTACAATACGGCTTTCTTTCTATCGGTATACCGATGTTATTATTTTTCTATATCGCATTGATCATTTTTAAACGCAAACAATAATGTTAGTCGTTATCGACTTCAACAATTTCTTATTTTTTGATTATCTCTCCTTATCGACTATATATACATTTTTTTTGATAAAAAAAAATCATTCAATTTCATTGATCATGGTATTCATTTTTCTAAAAAATTGCATAAATCATCAGGTTAATAGATGTGCTTCAATTACAGCTAGAGAACAAAAAAAAGTTGGCGACCACTATTTATACAAATAGAATACTTCCGTTTATATCAAATTTCGATTTTGAGGATATAATCATTGATTGTAAGGAGAATGAATAAATGAATGATAGATTTGTTATATAAAGAAAAACATTTTCCGTATGTCTTTCTGTGCGTGTGTCTGTCTTCATAATCATCATGGCTTTTGTGTTTAATAATGATCATAATGAATGAATGAATGAATGAATAGATGAATGGATTATTGTATGAAATCTTTTCAGTCTGAATACATTTTTTTCCCGTCTTTGTCACAATTTATGTATATGTTGACTAGATGAATGTTATCATAAAAAGACATGATATATCAGGAAGCCAATTAATTCATTTGATCATCAAAATCCTGAAGATAAGCTTGAGCTCCAGTAAAGATTACATCCATCCATATGCGCATCAATTCCGGTGTATAAGTAGAAAGGATGAATTTACGGCTAAACGTTGCTGTAGAAACAACAAACACACAACGTGTTCCATCCGGTTTAGCTGGATTAGTTAAAGCTCCTGGTGATCCATGTTTACCATGGTGATTAGAGGATGAAAGTTGATCCGTTCCAGAATTGGATAGAAATTTTTTCATATTTATACGTGTATGATCAACATAAACGTCTTGGATTTCATCAAAAAATACGCCACCTGAATAGAGGGAAAAATACTCAATTAAGTATCATTTTTGATTGATTCGACATTTAATAATATTTACGTTTAGGATGTCTCATCTTTTCAAAATGTGATCGATCATGATAGTAAACGAATACTTTACGCATACGATCAAAATGAAAGTATCGCTTACGCCATTTGCCAACACCGCTTGTACAATGTTTATATAAATAACCGGAACAAGTATAGGGAGTCAATAGTAAATGATTCGTTACGATGGATGATGTTAAATCGTGGCCCAATGCATGCAAATGAGTGATTAGATTGATTTTTTGATTGGGCGCTGGCATGTATAATGTTAATGGTCGTTGGCTGCCACCAACAGTTGTGCTACTATTGGCTGAAATGGCCGAATTTCTTTTCCGTAGTACGGGTGGTTGATCACTATGTGTTGATAATTCTTCTTGTGATTGAAGATTCGATGTTGATTCAATAGTACGACCAGCGGGAAATCGTGCAGATCGTTGCCGTAGAACAATAGAATCGGATTCAGAATCCGTAGCTGTCGTTGTTGATTCAAGCATTTCATTACTGATACTCGATGCATTCATAATGTTTTGTTTATCATCAATAGTATTTAGACTGCTTTGTTTGTCAAGATCTAGTTTCTGATATACTGATTTCAACATCAACATATCGAAATTTCGTTGATAACCAAAATGTTTCATTCGACAGTCATGTGAAAGTTCATTGTCATATTGACTTGTACGTCTTATTATTGAGGTATTCGCTTCTATTGGTGATTTCACTTCATTCACAACGAATGACTCCTGTTCTTTTTCACTGAGATCATTGACTTTTTCCAGACGTGTTTCAATCGATTCATGTAGTAAATCATCCAAACTTCTCACCAAATCGTCTTTGTTTACATTCTCATTCTTTGTAGCCGTTGTGGCCATCTCAATAGCTTCTTCATCATTATCAGAACCATCATCCGAATCATCACTGAGATCTATTTCATGATTTTGCTCAATCGAATCGGCTTTTGAATCACTTTCATCATTTTCTGATTCAGCTAACGGTGCCAATGAAGGTGACTTAGATTTAATCAACGAGGTAATATTACTGGGTGGGATATAAAAGAGAGAAATTATCATAAAATTGATTAATTAATAGGGCAAAGTAATAAAAAGATTGCATACTTTTGTACTTCTTGTTGAGCTTGATTCAATTGGCATTGTTCATTTAAATAAGACGAATTTGATGTCGTTGTTGTTGTGGCCATAGTAACTGCATCAAAATTATCCGTTATTTTATCGACAGTAGGTTGTTCTAATTTGTTTTTAAAATTTTGTATTTGCTTTTGAACAATCTGAAGACATTTACGTAGTTCGGACAATTTAATTTCCCGCTCTATACGTTGAAATTCTAATAGCTCTTCATCTACCTCTTCATCATTTGTTTGTTTGTTTTGTGAAGAGTTGGTTGTTGATGACGTTTGTTGTAGTTCTAGCTCGGATTGTTCAGATTCCAATTCGAATATTTCTTTTAACAATAATGATTCTTCCTGTTCCAATGCATTCAAATGTTTTGAATTGTTACCGTTGAGGAAACGTTCAACCTGATGAACATCATCCGGGTTGGTCGAATTAGGAAACAATGGTGAAATGGTTCGACTTGATTTAAACGATAGGCTTGGTGATTTTCGTGAATCTTGATGTTGTTGTTGTTGATGGTGATTAACAAGTTGATTATGATGGTTAAAATGATGTTGGTGGTGTGAATGTGATGAATAATTTCGATTATGATGATGATGATAATGGCAATTATTATTACTACCATCAACAACGGACAATTTTTTCGATTTATTCAAACGTAGATGATGATCATCATCGTCATCATCGATGTCTTCATCATCATCTAATACGGCAGGATTCTCAATACCTTCATCCGATGAGCTGTTATCACTCGAACCTGTTGGACTTGTTTCGTCGGCTACAACAACCAGAACACTATTCGGATTCGAATCGACCGTTATACCGTTATCAGGACATTTAATTTTATTATGTTTGGTTATTAGTTTAGGCGATGGCGGTGATTTTGATTCATTATGTATATTTTCATCCTTGGCAATGGCATTCGAATCTAAATGGAAAAAAACAAGAAAATTAATAAGGAAAAAAATACTGATTTGCAAATAGATCAACTTGGTCGAAAAAATAAATAAATAAAACCGACCCATTGTATGGTGAGCAACAGAGATAAAAATTGTAAACTAAATGTAATTCAAATATCAATAAACAAATGAAAATAAATGGCAATGGAATGATGTATGAATCATGTCGATCATGGTCCTGTGTGTGTGTGTGTGTGAGTTGTTTGTGTGCTTGTTTTCATATACAACAAAAATATCCAGAACAGAACATTTCACATTCATATCACATGCAATAAAGAAAACATGATCAAATTACTATTTGTATATAGTTTTTTGGATTCCATCCAAATTGACAAGTCTACAACCCGGATAAATGGATGTTGATGTTGTTGATGATGATGATGATGATGATGGATATTCTCCATCGTAAAATGAATGAACAAAACAATAAGATTCTAATGATGGCTGTAGTAATAAGAAGTTTGATATTTATTTTTAGCTTTTACGATTCTATATTCAACAGATATGAAAAGCACCAAGACATGAAAGATCGGTCATTATTGAATTCAACAACATAGACTTCAACACAAACATGAACATCATATAGAGAATATGAAAATTTACATATTTAAAATGATTCACAGACAATAATGTATAGCGATGATCTTTATGGATCGATTGATCGAACTTGGTTCTATTGAAAGACAAAATTTCATAAAGATAACAACATAGCTCTTTTCCAAATCGAAATGGATGTTCCAAAAAGAATGGCTTACAACAAAAAAAAAATTAACTTTCTCTTTCTCGAAAAACGATACGATATTTTCAATGTTTTTTCTCTCTTCATTTTTTATATTGTCTCTTTTTTTTCTACTTCAACTATATGCTTTCAGATTTTTAATTTCATCTACGCTAAATATCGAATACTACCGATCCGGATCGATTGTCGAATGGTAGTGGTTAAAGAGGTGAGGAAAAGAAAGGAAAAAACATGAAACAACAAATGAAAACTTGTTTTTATTTCTATTATTTTATTTTCATTTCACAACCAATATCATTCTTATTGAATTGATGAGATTGCCATAGATGCGGCCGCTTGCGTGTTGATTACAATTCATCTTCATTGCCATTACCTGCCTTCAAGCATCATATACACATATTTCTCAAATATACAAAAACATAAAATTTTATATGTATTTATTTTCCTATGAAGGAATGAAATTAAGCTTTGAAGGATAACACACACACACACACACATATACAGAGAAACATCACCGAAACAAATGAAAAAAAAAAAATCTGAAATGAATTTCAATCTAAACAACGATAATAATATTCATGTTGTTGTCATGATGACGATAACGTTATAGATCATGGAAATTATAATTGACAACAGCAGTCATCATCATCATAATAATAATCATCATCTGTATGCATACCATTATTTGTCAATCTGTTCCTGTTTGTTATGATTGAATTGATAATACTTTAGTGGCATAATAATAATGATGATAATGATCATTATACTGATTGATAAAATCGTAATGAATTTCTGAAAATGATGCGAAAATCGGATTTAGCACTATTCAAATGAAAAATTTAATCTGGAACGATGATATTTTTTTTTGTTTATAAAAACATTTGATGATGGATCATTGTCTTTGGGGAAAAAAAATTCAACAGATACTGTTGCCACTTATAATGATGGATAACTTTTAAATAATGATCAAACCAATTAAATTGATTGAATAATCCTAAAACATAGACAACGAATGTTTCTTCGGGCAACCATTATGACAAACTAAAAAAAAAAAAAAATTTCGGAGAAATACAACAAAATAATTATTGCCATAAATGTACATATATAGAAATGATTCAATAAATCATATCAATATTGTCGTCGAATGCGAATGCAGGTGTCAAGGTTAACAAAAAAAAAAAAAAAAAAAATTTTCATTTCAATCATCATCACATTGGTTTATGGTGAGAAAAAAACATCATCATAAAATTAAAATGACAAAAGCAACAAATATATATTTCATCATCATCACTTATATGGCGTGTATGGAATAAAATTCAACCAAACAAATAAATCAATAGATGAAGGTTATGATAAAAATAATAATAATGGGAAAAAAACAATTCTAAAATAGCACATTTTTACAACAAGCACAAAAAGTTTTACAATATTCAATTTGTTTAGTTGAGAAAAAACTATATGCATAAATTAGAGTTATATTATGAAATGACAATCCTTTCATTATGCTTATTGACCATATCAAGTAACAACAACAACAACAACTGTAAAACAAAAAATCAATACATTCCAATGAGATTTTGGATGCATATCCGATTTATAAAGATAAACAAAAATGAAAATAAAATCTTATCTTATGATAATTTAATGTGAAAATGATATTTTTCTTGGAAAATATATTTTTTTTATCTTTCAATAAAATCGTATATATTTATTCTATCTTTTTATCCCTCCTCTTCATTCATTTATTTATTCATGAAGCCTATTGATGATGATATGATATAATAAGATTTTCTTTCGTGCCAACATTAAAAAACACATACACGGATATGAAACAAAAAAAAAAAAAAAAAGAAATAAGACAATATTTTGGTCATATTGTTTTCGTAAAAAAAATATGCGGCGGCGATGCTTTAGCAAATGAAATGGCAACATATAGGACAAATGACAAAAAATGGCTGAATGAATAAATAAAAGCCACAATTTTTAGTAATTTGAATATAGTGATGATAACAAAAACATCGGCCATTCATCGTTCAAACGGACATCATCATCATATCCAACACATTTTTTATCCATTTATATATCCCCAAAAATGGACTTGAAGTTGGACCAACACACACACACATACAAAGAGAAAAAAAAGTTATTTGACAATAAAAGAAAAAAAAACGTTCCATAAATTGATTTCATTTTCATCCATTCATTTATATAATGATATTATAAATGCAACGTAATGAAATGAAAAAAATGGGCGCCACAAATCATCCTCATCATCTATAGATCCAAATGACTATATATGACGATACTGATGATGAAAAAGAGAACAAAATTATTTACAATTTGTTTCTTTCTTCTATACAAGAGACGGACAAACATACACATTGGAAACAATGAATAGCATCAATTGAATCACGATGATAATCTGCTCGAAAGGTCATTTTTCATCTAATCATGAATAAATTAACTTGAAATCAAACAAATAATATAACCGTAAACATTAAAATACTATTATCTTTGTTGTTGTTGGTTACAAAGGAAAACACAGGTGTAGTTTGAATTGTAAAAAATCTCATTCCATCAATCACAATTTGTTGTTGATTTGAAATTTTATTCAATTTTTTTTTTTTTTGTCCATTCATTATAAGAAAATTCAAACTAAAAAATTGTCATTTGTTATTAACCGAAACCAACAAAAAACGAAAAAACATGCAAAATGTAGATATAATGAACAATAATATTAAGACCGAAACGAAACGGAATGAAATGATATATGCAACAGGTGAAACTTTGTATTTACGGAAATAAAGAACGACAGAACATATTGCACATTGCATTATTTTGTCTTTGTCTGCACCGAACAGCTATAATAATAATAATAATGAATCGATTTTTTTTGTTTCTGTCAAATAAATTGAGGTAAAATTAACATTTTACATAAAAAAACTAAAAATTCTTTAATACTTCAAATAACAAATCATGATGAGAAACACGAAGAATAATTAAAATCAAAAAAGAAAAAAATCTTTCCTATCAATCTAATTTCAATGTATGTGTGTGTGTTTGGTTTTTTTTCTCTCTTCAAATAATAGAAATGAAATTTCTATCTAAAAAGAACTAAATGAAAGATGGCTTTATCATCATCATCATCATCATCATTAAACAACATCATAAAATGGTTGTAATTTACATTCAAATTGAAAATTGAATGAATATTAAAAAAAAACTAATGAAAATGGCGGCAATCTGTTCCACATCAATCTGTCGTCATCCATTCAATTTTCAATTCAACAACAACAACAACAAAAAGCTGAGCGACCGCTAAATTAACCGAAAAGGGGATTCGTATGTGAAATTATTAAGCAAAGATTGAAAGAAAGAGAGAAAAAAATTACGTAAATCAATTTCATCATATTAGACTTAATGGCATACGAAAAAAAGGCAACATAGTGAATATATGTCCAAGTTTGGTGAAGGATTCAATTTGGCAATCTCATCATAAATGGCTTTGGATTATGATTACATTATGAATTTGATTTTGAATTAAATATATAACATGAGAGAAGTTCAGGAATTTCTTTTCAGCAACAAGAAAAAAAAAAATTCAATTCAAAAACATAAAGGCCATAGGTCGAATTAAACTGAATTTTAAAAAAAGCTTTTAGTGTTAGATATATAAATAAAAATAAAGAAAATTTCTCACCAAAAAAATACAATCAAATGAAACCGGAAGAGGAAGAAGAAAAACAACGAAAACAAAAAGAAATTATACCAACATAAAAAAAAGAAGAAGAAAAAGATCATCAATGATTACAATACAGAAGTGTATATATTAAATATCACCAATTCATTATCGTAATGTTTATTATTAACGAAACGATCTTTTGTTTTTGTTTTTGTTTTTTTCCGAAGAGTCACAATCAAAAACAAATGAAAATCTTTTGTTCTTTTTCAGAAAATCATCATTGAATGAATAATTATGGAGGTGAGATTTTCATCAACAACAGCGATCAATATATAAACAGAACACATACACGGGAAATATAAGTATTATATTATTACATACGATTTTAATATGTGAAAATCATTCAATCATGGAAATACGAATAATGCACACACAAACTGAAGGAGTCGAAAAAAACAATTCAAATTTAAAATTCTATTTGTCTGTGATCATTTATGATAAAGGGCAAAAAAAAAATGTTCTTTGGCAAATAAAAATATCATTCTTCTCAAATAAATGTTTGTGTCGGCATCGAAGAATATCAAGATGAAAATTTGTTTGTGTGTGTGTGTATGTGGCGGCAGGTCGACTAAAATTAGTTTCTAAGGAAAGAAAAAAAGATGAAAATAGTTGAAAATATAATGGTGATAATATAAAGAATATATATCGAGTAATATGAAAAAACTGAAAAAGACATACATGCACACTACACGGTTAACAAAAAGTTTTCACTGGCTTTTTTCCACACACACAAACACCGAATTAAATGAATGAAATGCCAAAATACAGAAATAAAAATGATGATGATGATTCTCCATAACAGACACATATAATGAATAAATACAGATTGATAAACATAGACAGATGTACACATCTTTTTTTTGGCATTATTTTATATGAAATTAAAAAAAAAGAACAAACAATGTCCGTTTGTATATATAAAAATGAACATGAAACTTTTTGGATACTTTTTATCCATTTTTTCATATGATTTTATAATAATATAAATAAACATGATGAAAAAATTGAAAGAGTATTCATAAATCGAATCGTTTACCAAGGTTGATCCACCACTCATTTATTCATTCATCGAGGTGATTGAGCCCGATTATTATCATTATTAATTCAATATTGATTGATAAAAAAAATCATATGTTGACCACCTGTTGTTATTGAGCACGAAACGAAATTTCTTTCATAAATAAAAAGTAAAAATTTAGAAATTGGCAAATTTAAAAAAAGTTTCGAAAGTAATGACATCTATCGGTATGAATACAATTTTGTGATTGTTAAATTTTGTTTGTTTAATCATCATCATCGATAATAATCACGAGCATGACTTAACCATAAATACCAGAGATAATTTTCTTTTCTTTTTTTTTGTTTGGAACATCTCAACACATCAAAAGAAAAAATTCATCGTTTTGACCGATAAATGTACAGGATAAAAATAAAAAAAAAACATAAAAATGGACAATAACAAAAACAATCGACAAGAATAAATAACATGGACTTTGGATAAGATTAAAAGATGATAACATTATTATTATTAACATTATGATTAACTTGATAAAATACAACGACAAAAAGGCCCATTATCATTATGACAATGATGATGATGATGATGATGATGATAGGTAGAATTGTATATTTCATTCTCTATTAAGCAAAAAAAAAAAAATGACCAACAAACAAAATATCAAACAACAACAAAGTATTTTATATATCTACAAATGACTACAGGTCACGAATTACACACACAATATACAATAATAATAACAACAACAACACAACCAGTCAACCGAACAACCAAAGTTTTATCATCATCAACATTTAGGTTATTGTATTATATCTATCTATCTATCTATCTATCAGACTAAACAAATTTTCATCATACAATCTACATCAAATTATGATTGGGTTGATGATTGTCTATCAAATGTATAAAATAGACATGATAATAATGGTTTTTTTTGTTCAAGTAGTCAAAAAAAAACTAGATCAATTCATTTGTACATTGTTGTTGTTGTTGTTGGTGTTGTCGTTGATACACCTTGAGGGGACCTACCGAATAGATCAAACCATATGATGATGTTGATGATGATCATCATCAGGTAGTAGTTGTCTAGGTATAATCGGATTATATTCACAGTTCTATAAGAAGAGAAACAAAAATGCACGCAAATCGTGTTGATGATGAGATTGTGTGTATTTATGCAAAAATACACAGAAAAAATTGGCCATCATCATCATCATCAATAATAATAATAATAATAATAATAATACTCCGTGATGAAATGAAGATGGAAAAAAATAAAAATCTTTATCCTATTTATAGGTTTTCAAAGTGAAAAAAAAGAACCTAAAAAATGAAATCTATAACCAGATTTTCCAACAAAAAAATTGACCAAATCCATTTTCATTAATCGTTAATTTTTTTTGTTGTTGTTTTTGAAGACAAAAAAGAACAACACACAAACATGACCAAACCTAATATATAGTCAATCTGGCTGACATTGTGAGCCGGAGTATTCAATGTATTAACATAATAATTTTTATGAAAATTAAGCTCGAAAAAAAATCTTAATTGTTAATGAGCTATAAAATAGTTGATGATGTGTAGTTTTTTTCATTATTCAATGAAACAAAACAAAACAAAAATTGACCATAGAAATGATGATCTGTTGCTTATAGCCAAAATATATTCTATACTAATAAACAAACAACAGGTTGATTATAATGGAAAAAATATCGTTTCACAATGTTTGTAAACTCAAAGAAAATGATTTCATTGTTTCTAAAAAAAACAAGGCGACAATTTCAATCTTATATGATATCTTGCTATTTTCTTTATTATCCGATGTGATGGTATGACAAAGGTCAAATGATTTTTTTTTGAGAATAAAATGATCCCGGTCATGTTAATGGAAAAAATATATAAAGATAATCCTACTATTTATCCAAAGATATGGCCATAATTATTTTCCATCAAAAAAATCAAGTGAAAAAAAATTGTTTTTTCAAAAAAAAGGATTTCCTCTCTAAATGAAAATGAATGAAATGAAATCCTCTCTATAGAAGCTTTGGGTTCAATGTGAAGCGTTATATAGTGGTTAACGATTTGTTGTTTACCGAGAAAAAAAATGACGCCAATGAATTGAACATATATAATCTTGATATTAAAAAAAAAAATCGTAAATTCAAATGAAAAAACTCTGGCTAGTAACAAAAAAAATGTAGTAGCATCATAAATTTTATATATATCAAAATCGTTTAAAACATTCATCTAATTGATACATACAATAAAATGAGAAAACGAAAAAAAACATTTAATTAATCAACTCTTGAACATTATCATTATCTAAGTATGAATTAAAAGAAAATTAAAAAAAAAAAAAAAAAAACGCGCACACGATGAAAAATTGAAAAAGAATATAATCTGTTCGTCTAATTGTTTTAACCTCTTCTTCAAAAAAAATGAAACAAAAACAAACGATGAACATATATTTCATATATAAAATAATCGATATGTGTGATCCAATTAATATAACAATTTTGCCAGCAAAAAAAAAAATCTCCTATGTGTGCTCATCCAAAAATAGCAGAAACCGAAAAATCAAAAATTATTTATTGATTGAAATGAAATAACAAATACTGAATAATTGATCAAACAAAATGATTGTTTGGTTGAAGATTTGTTTATATAATTTTTTTTTCTTTCTTTTGAAAATGATCAAAGAATGTTGTTCTTGTTTCTTGTAATCAGGAGCGCAATTGTTGTTGCTGTTGTTTCGCAATCAATAGAAACAAACAAACAAAAAAATACAAGTGATTAAAATAGAATGTTTTTAAAAATTTGAATAATCTAGTTTACCTACGAGATCAACATCAGCTGCAATGTCATAGATGGAAAGAATCATATGTATGAAAAAAAAAAAAAAAGACAACAGACTTATTGCGCCCACACACACACACATATATACATGAAATTTCATGAATCGAAAACAAAGTTTCAGTCATGATTTGTAAAGCGGCATAATGCAAATCATTTATCATGTTGATGATTAGTGAAAAAAAAACAAGAAAAAAGTGGAGGATGATGCGAATTTTGAAAAAAAAGAATTTCATTAGTAAGCAGCTAAATTCATTTATCTTGTTTCTTTCGTTAATAGACTAAGTTAGAGATTCATAATTATTCTATAATGATTTGGTCAATTGTATGAAAATTGATCATAACTCAAATTATTCAAATGAATTAGTATGAAACCGATCTATCGATTAAATTTTTGAATAATAACAAATTGAAAAAAATCGATTCAATTCAACTTACCAGATAATTCATCATTTACTTGTCGTATATTCGATTGAGGTTTTGAAACGGGATTTGTATTGATAATTGTTTTCGCTTTAATTTTAGATAGATCAATGCCCAATAATTTATTGTTGCAATTGTGTATAACATCAGTACAATAGGAACCCGATGTATTCGGACAACAACAATAACAGCAACAATAGCTTTGACATTTTTTGTTATCATTATCGTCATTATTATTGTTATTGGTCTTTTCATCCAACAATTTATCGTTATTTGATTCGGATGATTGATCCTCCATGTCTACTTGATCCAAATCGGTTATTTGTGGCAATTGTATTAAAGAAAATCGATTTGATTGTTGTTGATGTTTTTTTTGAACAATCGATGTGGTTGTCGTGGCATTTACAATGGATGATGAGTCTGCAATTTGTGCATGTTGGTCGTTAATTTCATCATCATCATCATTATAACTATTAATATTATCGATAGATGATGATACATTATTTGTGGTATTAATCGTAACATTGGTCAAGATTTGATTATCACCATGTAAACCGTGAGATTCTAAATCCTTGATTAACAATACTGATGAGGATATTTCTGTCGCATGGTTCTCACGATCACCAACTGAAAACGAAATGACGTCGTTGATGTTGCTCTCGCCTTTTTGCTGATTATCGTTTATCGCTTTCGATGGTTTAGGTGACAATTTGTTGGCGTTGTCACTACTGATGCTGTTTGACAGACCAAAGGATTTATTTTCATTCAATAAAGCTGCCGTCGACAATATGGTTGTCGTTGTTACTGTCGCAGGAGATATAGTAGTTGATAACAAAGTTAGAGATACTGGCTTCGGTGGCGGTTTTGGTTTAAGTTTCAATTTAGGCTTTGTTGTCGATGATGGTGGTGATGATAATGATGATGATGAATCTGACAATATTATCGTTGATTGTAACGGTAATTGGATAGGGACACGTTTGTCATTTTCGTTGATGTTGTCGTCACGATTCAAATTACAAAGTTTATTATTATTATGTATGATAGTATTATTTTTACCATTATTATCTTCGTGATCATTACCGTCATCATTGTTCTGTTTCAATGAAGACGTTTGCGACAAAGACGATGTTACAGAATGCGGTGAGGATTTTTCTTCAAATTTGGCAACCAACTTGGTAACGACTAAACGATTGCTATTATTATTAATAATGCCGTTGCCATTCAATGTTAGGACGTCATCATTGCTTTTATTGGTAGCCACAATACTTGCTGTGGTTGAGGATGCATCAATATTCGAATATTGTGGAATAGACGAAGTAGGAGGTGTCGATGATTTTGATTTTGTTGGTGATGCTAATATCGGTTTAAATTCGGCCGTTTTATTTTCAAAATGAATTTGTTGCTTTTTTCTTTGTTTAGGATGTTCATAGTTTTGAATTTCCATAATGTTATGATCATCGATTAACACTTGGCATTTAACATCATGATGATCATCATAAGCATGATCATGATCAACGTGATGATGGTTAAGCCTAAGGTCATTGATCAATAGTGGTGGTGATTTTTTCATATTTGTATGCAGTTCATACCAATGATTAATACTTTTGGCCGTCAAGTTGTTATCCTTATGATTATCATTACTATGACCAGTTTCATCAATACCGGTAATAGGCAACAGCATTAAATTATGCTGTTGTTCATCATGAATGATTGGTTCGTTGTTTTTATCAATTTTATGATTAGTTTTTATTGTTGATGATTCAATGGAATTCCATTCACAATTTGTTTGCTGTAAATAGTTTTGATTCGAATTTGAATGTAGAAAATATCGTATACAATCATCATCACATCGACATTTTGTCGATTTATTACAGATAGATGATGAACAATGATATTTATCATCTGTTGAAGTTGATGATGATGATGTCGGCAACAAATCATTCATGACAGAACCCGTATTATTGGTGTATGATGATGATGATAATTGCCCCAGATTTGGATTCTTTTGTAATGTTCGACAGAGTCGTATTATTTCTTCCAATTGAGCTGTTGCAGCATCTACTATAGAATCGGATGTATCTGGCGTATGGTTTGAATTATTTTGATGATAATAGTGGCGATGATGTTGTTGTTGTTGAGCTGACGTCTGGTTTAGATTGTAATAATGGTGGTTATTATGACATTTATCATTAATACCAGTATTTGAGCAACAAAAATTATTTTGAGCAGCTACATTTGCAAGTAATTTTTCGGACAATATTAATGTATCCGGTGTGGCTAGATATTGTGATATGTATTGCAATGATATAGCTGATGCATGTGCTTGATGACCGACTGTTTGTTGATGATGGTATCCGATATTCGATGATGAACAATAACCCTGATGATGTTGATGAGGATGTTTACTGTATAAATTATTCTTGACCATCGAACTCATTCGAGGTAATGAATTACGACGTTGACAACGTATTGTTGATGGTCGTTGCAGCTGTTGGGATAAGGCCATTGTTGATGATGGCTGATGATGATGATCACCTTTATTACAGCAATGATGACTGTTGTTTAGATAAATCATCGATGTTGTCGTACTCATTGTAGATCCGTTTCAATTTGACAATCAAAGTTAGTTGATTTATTGATTCATGTATACTAGATTTTTTTTATAACAACTTCGTTGGTGAATCTTCAACAATAACAAAAAATTGATTGAAGTTGATTGTGTGTGACCTGACAAATGAAATCTAAAAAAAAAGAGAAAAAAGAAATTTAAAATCCAATTAATCCAGTTGACTTTAATGATTACAAATCTAGGTCAAATCATCATCATCATCGATATTAGGCAAGGTTTAAATAATTTTTTTTTGAGAAAAATCTTTTCAAGGTAATATCATCATCATCATCATCATGATGATTGGTCATCATTATAATTTTTGTCATTAAAATATCATCACAATGATGAGAATATACCAAATGGTTAAAAAAAATGATGTTCAAAAATTTAATAGTGAATACAAAAACGTACAAATATAAAGCTTTTATAATTCATAAATAATAATAAACATTTCATGTAATAAAATTGGATAATTAGAATCTATTAGAGTAGATATAGCAACCAACCACTTGGTTTTACCGTATGTGATTCACAGGCCACCTGAGTTTTTCTTCAATAACATTCATACAATACATCACAAAGCTCATGTTTATTGCTGCTGTTATAATTAACTTGATAATAAATCTGTTTATTTATTTATTTTTTTTCAAAAAAAAGCTCAATTAAAATCAATTCAAAAGAAAACATATAACCTTATCTTTTTGGATAATAATAATAATAATAACAGTACAAGAAAAAATCAAGGTAAACGATTAAACTTAATTAGATATCATTAAGTTATCATGGCATTTTTGTTTGTTTATAGTATACATGAACATCTGGCAAAAAGATAGATCTACTTCTCAAATTGATGTCTATTTCGGTAATATTTATTATCAGGATTATAAATCTTTTTTTTTCCTTACAACCAACGAAGCAACAAACCGATTTAGTTAGTGGTCGGTGAAACAATCTCAATAATCTAAAAATTTTCGTTTCGGAAATTGTAATATTTTCATAGTACATGGTAATTATTCTAAAACTCTCTATTTGTATTGACTTTTGTTTCTAATTGTTGTCATTCAAATTATGAAACAATACATGTGTGGTGGTTATCTATAGATACTAAATCATGTTTTTTCTTTCTGTTGATAATAATCTTTGTTTTTTTTGTCTTGTTGGTGTTAAATCAAATTAGATTAAATCTAAATTCATTGTGAACAAAAAGAAAAACTGGCCACAAATGTTCATATCATTGATTGATCAAAATAATCATCATACTTAACGATGATGAAAATATCAAATGGAAAAGTTAATTTTTTCCGGATTTATTGATCATCATCATCATCATCATCATGTACAAATATTTCTTACGAATGATGCAATGATAGATAATTTGTTTGTATATGTGTGTGTGTGTGTGTGCAAAAGAAGGAAAAGAAAATAATTGAAAATTTCGCGTTTTTGGTGTCAGACGGTATCTTCACATCGTAGAAGAAAAAACAACACACACACACAAACATAAAGTGATACAAATTATATGAGGAAATAAATTAAGGCCAAATTATCATAAGATTGATAAACCAATCATCATGTATCATGTTTCATATGTCAACGAATTAGATTAGATTTTTTTCGTTTGTTAATCAAATAGCTAACTAACTAAATTCGACAACATTAATTGATCAAATATATATATGAATGTGTGATTTGATTTCGATGTTCAAATCATCAAACTTAACTATTATAATATGTGTCATATACATTACAAAATGAAATCAAAAGTGTTTTGGTTTTTTCTTTTCAAATACAATTTCATAAATAGAACATACATACCTTATTTGTAATGGTAATGGAATTCATTAAGAAAAAAAAAAATTTTACGCATGCCAAATATGAATTTTTGAATTTCATTCAAATTACATTTAAGGATATCAATATATGAATGAATTATATTAAATATAAATTATGATTCATCAATCAATCAATCAAAAAGAAACGAAATTATCATTTCGAAATGAATAAAAATCGAGATCAAAGAATCGAGATTTTTTCATTCATTTGTTTAGGCGTTACGATTGATGATGATGATGATGATGATGACCTATTGTGGTGATTGATTGAAATTCGATTCGATTCACAAAGAGATGATCATGTCCACCGATTTGACAAACAAATCGAGACAGCATGAGACATAACAACAACAACAAACGACGTCACAAAATGTCCAACATACACACATACATACAAACAAACATGGATACAATGGATTATTATGAATTGGTGGAACAGTCATCAGTCAGTCACTCAAATTTTGGAAAACTTGCTTTTTGCCTCTGTTCATTCAATGATGGAATGCCAAAACATGAAATATACGAGAACAGTTGTTGTTTTATTCAACGGAAAAATAACAATAACAAGTTGTCTTCGTTGTCGCTCGCAAACCAAACTTAACCAACAACAACAAAAACAATGACAACAACCAAATGAAAGATTGTTTTTTATGGGGCGGTTGCCTTAGCTTCTGTTAGACATTTCATTTTGTTATTTTACATTTGTTTTTTTTTTGGGGCCGTGGCCATTGATTATTGTCACTAACAAACACACACAGCATCCACACGCACTACTTGATGTAACATTGGATATTGGTGATTCGGGTCGTAGTGGCAATGGTTTGTTGTTTTGGATGCTCAAATGGATCAAATATGGCACACACACACACACACACACAAACACATGTAGGGGTCACATCTACACAATGGATTGGATTCAACTTTGACACGAAGGCAACTATATAGACTGTGATTGGCTTGATCATTTAAATTCGAATGTATTCAATTCGATTCTATTGGAAAAAAGGCAAAATTTCTGTAACGATTGAATGAATCACAAAAATAAATAAATAAAATAACAAGTTCAACCTAATGGAAGAAAATTATTTGCTTATATACAGGGGTCAATTACGATTCACGGCGTGTCAGCAACACAAGAAAATTTTCGTTCGTATTCAACGACGATTGAATGAATGAACAATGAATAAAACAAGTGCATGGAGAATCGAATCGATCATCCATCGAGTCTCACAACACACACTATCACACCAACCATAGGTTCTCTATCTTTAAAAAAAAAATCTTTCATAATAAAAAAAAGTGATTTCTTGTTCTTCCACTTGTTGCACACATTAAGAGCACCAAAACGAACTACTATGGCGATGATCATTTATGATGATGGAATGATCAACTCTTCAACCATCATCATGTTTGGTCAGGCTCATCGTTGCTCTCTCTCTCTCTTTGCTTTGCTCGATCAAATTTTGTTCATCCGCCTCTTTTTCAAACTCGGATAATCATAACATTACAAACATTGAACGAATAACAAAAGTTTTTTCATTCCCATTTTCAAAAAAAAAAATAAAGAAAATGTTTTTCATTTCTTTTTGTAGACTGCATATGTTTTTTCACACCTGTATTATCAATGTATGATATCATTGAGGATCGGGTAATTAATGTTGGAATGTATTAATTGAATTCATTTTGTCCATTTATTTCGTCATTTCGATTTTCGTTTCATAGGTTTTTTTTTTATTTTGGATCGTTAATAATTAAAATTTGCTAATATAAAACAGACCCGAATATGCCATAAAGGGATGAAAAATGATTGTTTCAAAGTTTGAAGGATAAAGTTAAATTTTTTTTTTTTTAAAAGAAAATTTTTCATCCTGTTCACAGACATTATAATCATAGTGTTGATTATATGATTATTATTTGTAAATCCATTCCATGTTCAATTTTGGAATTGATAATTTTTTTTTTTGGCTAAAATGGGACGAACAAAAAATTGTTTTCTTCTTTCCTTTTCTTATCTAAAAGGATTTTTTCTGCTCATCATTGGCAATTGCCTGTTGAATTTAATAACTACAAAGGCAGAACACATTCATGGCAGATATAGCAAAAAATAAAACTGTCAGTCAATCAAAATCGTGAAAAAAAATGTTTGTTTCTAGGATCAAAATGCAAACATTTTTGTTGTTTGGCTTGAAAGAACAAGAAGCTAACCGATGAGCATCAAATTTGACGGAATAAAAAATCAAAAAAAAAAAAAAATAAAAATCCGCTCACACTATCATCTTCATGCATGTTGGTATTTTTTTTTAATCTTGGAATTTAAATGTCCTAAAACATGTGGTATGTCAATCAATCAATCAATTGATTGACTGATTCGACTTAAGCTACATTATCATCATCATCATTCGATCCAATCCAATCGTCTCGATATGTGGTATTCAATTAGTGGTTAACTTGTCTTGATCATTGATGATGATGATGATAAAAACACCATGATTTGATCATCGGTAACAACAACAAAAGGAATATCTGGTTCTGATCAGATTCGTTTCTAGTTTTGTCCATTACCGAAAAAAAACATCGTTTCCAATCAATTCGAAAATTTCTATCCAATCAATTATTGATTTTTTTTTCATTTCAAAGAAATAAATAACTATCTGTGAATCTGTAAATATTCCAAACATTGATTTTTTTATGTCCTGCTAAATATAACTCTTTCGAATTTAATAAAAATAGATTATTAAGCCGAGAAAACTTTTGGTCTATAGACAATTGGAGCAATGCAAGAGAGAGAGGTTTTTCCGTTCCGAATCGGTTATGAAGATGAAAACTTTTCTGTCATGTTCAGGATGATGAACAACAACAACAACAAAAAAAACTCGTTATCTTCAAATTTGTTATAAAAATCGTGATTTTATAAGTATCAAATTAGAAAAGAATGCCAAAGACGTGTGACTTGCAATGTTTTCATGGATTCGATTGTCAATAACTGAATTGAAATTTTGATGAATATTTTTTTTGCTTTGTTTAGTTTTCATATTCTATATTCGGAAAAAAAAGTTAACCGCCTCAAGTTGTTACATTCACACATAAAAAATTAATGTGTATGTGTGATTTATATAATTGTTACGGAAGTTAATTATATTTTATCACCTTAAAATCATCTTCATTCATTTCTATATCCACTGACAACACACAAACACGAAGCGGGAAGAAAATAAACTATTTTTGTTTCTTATGGAATTGGAACAGGCAATAACATCGAAATTGAAATTGATAAAATAAAAGAAATTTTTTGCGGATAAAAAAAAGATCATCATCATCGATAACGGACAGACAAAAATGACAAGTATAAGTTTTTCAATTAGGCAATGATTGCTTTTTCGTATCAAAATAAAATGGTAATTATCGATGACGGAGTTAATTTAAAGTTAAAGATAAAAAAAAATTTAAATCCACTTCTGATTAACCTGGTACAAATTGTTTTTCTCTTTTAGTCCGGTTTGATTTGGTTGGTAGTAAAACCGATAACAATCAAATGCTATTTAGTCAGGTCTTTATCAACAAGGTCTACTTGGACATACACGGGTCTTATCACCATACATCGACGATAACATTATTATCTTTATAACAACAATACAAATACAAACAAAACAAAGGTCATAGAATATCATAGTATGAAATTTATTGACATGGAACGTGTTCACATACACGTACGTATACGTGTCATAACACCATTATCGTTCTGGTTCATACCGGCTTGCCATTTTGGACTTGAAAATTTTCGATTAGAAAAAAACATATAAAAAGACCAACCGAAAGGTCGACAATGCAGCCACAACGAAACGAAGTTTTATTCGCTTACTATGCATAGTTAGATTTGATGAATTCCTTTCATTTAGTTTAGTTTTATTTTTTTTCTGGAAGAATTCGAATAAATATTTCTACTGTTTCATCATCATAATAATAGCATCATCATGAAAGGTATGTTAATAATGATTTACATACACAAATGCATCATACACTATGATTATCATCATCGTTTTAAATATATATCCGAAACTATGAGCTCGGACATTGACGCATCCGATAATTTCATACCATTTTTTCCGATTGAATCATTTTCTCTCTCTCTATTTTAGCTGTCCCAATTTTTTTTTTTTAATTTTATCCATAACAAAACGGATATATTTTTTCTATATAATGATTTTAACTATTTTTTCGTATTATTATCTGTTTTTATCTGATATATAGGAATAATCAAATCGAACAAGATGACCATTGCCGTATCATCATTGTTGTTATTTTTGTTGTTGATACCTTCGTCAACATTGGCATTCAATTTACCATTTGATTTAGCTATGCCTGATCTGCATAAGTTATATAAACCATTAATCGATTATAATACACATGGTGCATTTAAATTTTTACGCTGTATGGGTCCAAATTTTGCACATCAATGTTCGAAACCAATATTGAATTGTTTACATCACAATGAACCAATCAATTGTATTGAACATTTAGAATGTTGTCAGAATAATAAGGCAACCATCACTTGTATACATTATCTAAAATCATCGACAATATATGATAAATTATTTCATGTTCCAATTGTTAATGATCAATGAATTATTAATTAATTAATTTTTTTAAAACATTTATATTGTGATCTTTTGTAAATAAAAATAAAAAATCAAACTCATCAGAGCCTATTTTTCAATTTTTTTTTCATTGTTATTCTTATGATAATATAATGATGACAATAATATGTTGATTATTGGGAGAAAAAGTAAAAATACAATATTATCATATCTTAGTACAATGTGGTAGTATAATGAAATGATGAAGTTTACATTAAAATACACAAGGCCAATATAAAATCTTATCCTAATTTCTAATATTGATTATCATCATCTTGATGAAGATTATTTTAATGATGATGATCAACATCAAAAAAACAAAAAAAAATATTACCTGTGAGTAAAGATTTTTGTGTTTTTATCGAATATTTTCTTGTCCATGATGATCATAATCATACAGATGTGTTATGCTTACCAATAATACGTTGGCCGATTATCAATTGTTTATGATTAATAAAGAAGAGTTCAAATTTACATGACATACAAACAGTTGATTATGATGAATCGTATTGACATGAACAGTTCGACAGGTACTAGATTAAAATGGCCGAATTTTTTTTCTTTTCTGTCTTTTTTTTTGATGAGATGCACGACTAAATCGCGGTTGATGAATCGAACATTGTGTCAGTCAAAAAAAAAATTCTAGATCATTATATGATGATCATCATCGTCGATAAATTTTTTTGTACGATCAATGATCGATGATTATATAGACTATAAAAGATAATGAAGATGATGATTTGACCGGTTCGTAGTAAATCAAAATTCATGGATACAAAAAAAAAATTATTGCTAGTTTGATTCACGATTACCAGATGGCAGTATTGCGATGTTTTCAACAATTTGCATTTTTTTTCAAGGATAACAAGCTTTTCGTCTTTCATAATCATTTTCTGACATTTGTCGCTGTCGATAATAATAACATTAATAGCTCAACAGGATTTTCCAAAATAAATCAATAAAAATAATTGAAAAAGAATTATGCTATGCAATAAACATTTGGATATTTCAATCATAGAAGAAATGACCATCATTTTATGCATTTTCAGCAAGAATTTCTTTTTGTTTTCAAATATTAGAAAAATAACAACCGCAAGATGAGGATTAAAATTTATAATCTCGATATGATTAGCTCATCGATTGCTATATTTTTATTATTTGTGTCCTTATCATCAATTACGATGGCACAATCAAATGATTTATGGTCAATGATACGAAATTTTGATCGATATATTCCGGTTTTTGGTTCCTGTGATCGAATTGTGTATGCTGGAGTGGCTAATTGTATGAACAATTTTGGTCCATCAAGAATATCGAAAGGAAGCTGTTGGTATGTATTTAATTCGATTGAATAATTATTTTGTGAATTTTTTGTTGTTTTATCGATCGTATACTAGTGCATATCGAAAATATCGTGCCTGTATACAAGGTCTAAAAGATGGCCATAATTTTGCTGTTGCACGTGACCGTTGTCCACCACGTTCATTATCGATGCCAGTCGTATGGGCTGTATCTGATCGTTTAATCGGTTTGCCATTAAGTTCATGTCCAAGTAATTCTTGCCGTAGCAGCAAACCAAAACAAGGATGATATTTTATTCATTTAATTTTATCTTAGAAAATTTTCAAATAACAAATGGATGAAATAAATAAAATTTGTTTTTTGTTTTCGCAGATACCTGACGTTCAATTACCAATGGGTTTTTGTGGATAATTACTAAATGTAATAAAGAGTTGCCTAAAGGCGTTTGAACATAATTTGATTGATGGATGACCATTAAAGTTTATACATTAATGGATGGATGGTTAATAATGAAATGGCCGATTCGGTTGAGTAAGGAGGATACACACAACAATGAAACATTCTTTTTCGTATATTTTACACTTTGCCTCCTATGATTCGATTTCTTTTCATTCATTTATGCAATATGAATTACTTTTCATACGTTTTTCCATGTTCAAATGTTGGTGAATTGAATTAAAACAAAATTGAAAGTTTTCCTATGGACGTGACGTAGACGTATCATGATCAACACTACCACTCTCCATTAATGACCATCATGGTTGCAATGATGATGATTATGATTATACTTGTTTTTTACTTGAAAAACTACGTCGTATATTATATACCATTAAGATATTTTCAATATAAATATACCCCTTTCATATATTCACCATTTCAATTTGATTTCACGTCAACAAAAAAAAATGGCAAAGATTTTGTTGATTTCATTTTTTGTGGTCATAACCACTTTCACATTGGTTTCAGCTCAACTTGGTATACTTACTTGCGATTCATTGATATTGAATGGAATGCGTGATTGTCTAACAAAATTTGCACCATCCAAAGATTCTAATCCATGCTGGTAAATGTACGATCAAAATTTTTTTGATAACTAATTGCATTTTTTTTATATACAGTGCATATAGAAAATATCGAGCTTGTAGCTCGGGTCTACGTAGTGGCTTAAAAGTGGCTGGTAAACAAGCAGGCTGTACGAATTCATTATTAGCTCAAGCACATCTGAATTCTCTTTCTGATCGTCTGACCGGTGTTCCATTGAGTGGTTGTAAAGATGCTAAAAAAGCATGCCGAAAATCATCATCAAAACCTAAAAGAAAACCGTCAACCAAACCTACTTCATCGCAACCATCATTATTGGGTGATACTTCTTCAATTTTATCACCCGGTGGTGGTGGCAATCCACTATCATTTATTCAAGATTCCGTTTCATCGGCTGTAGATTCATCTCGATCATTGCTAAGCGGTGGTTTTGGTGGTAGCTCACCATTATCATCTTCATCATCAAGACGAACAAGGCCATCAATATTTGGTGGCAATAATTCACCATTGGATTCAGTATTCAGAGGCATTGGTGGTGGTGGTGGATCACCACTTGGCGGAGGATTATTCTGATGGATTTAATTCGTGACAGAAATTCAAAATAAAAGCTTTCACCAAAAAAAAAAATTTAATACATGTTTAATTACATTTGAATTATTCACATTTATCATATTCGATTGATTGGTACGAACAAAATAAAGAAATAAATCAAAAAGTTTAACATGTCGAATAATTTTTTGCATAAAAATAAACAATTTTGATATATCAATCGACAATATTTCGTTTGTTTATTGTAATCAGAAAGATTTTCAAAAATAAAAATAAAAAATTGAGTTCATTATAAAATGGTCAAGTATTGCTGATCATTATCAAGCATAATCCACGCGCATCAAACTGTTCAATCAATCATGTCCTTTTTACATCCAATCTCATCGATTACGATTCTCATTTCATTATTGTTCATTGTTTCTATTTCTGGTAATAAAAAGAATGATCTAAAATATATTCCACAACATCAACCATTAACATTTATTGGTCATCATGTACCACAATTACCAACTTGTCCACCGGGTTTGACCTATTCACCGAAACACTATCAATGTTTACCCAAATATGTTGCTGCACACGTACCGACCATCACTGAAATTGAAATTGAACCAATAGTGACGGCTAGCCATTCGAATCCATATTCAGTACCTGCACAAGTACCAGCCATAGCCGAAATTGAGATTGAACCAATAGTGACTGCCAGCCATCCGAATCCATATTCAGAACCTGCAGCTGTAGCCGTACCGATTGCAGCAGCGATATCACCCGAAATACAAACTATAGCTGAGATTGAAATTGAACCATTAGCAGGACATGATAATCCTATGAACAGTTTAGCCGAATTAATCAATCTTGCCTTAATTAAATTCGATCGTATGGAAATGAAATTAGATGTTGCCCTGTCCGGTGTTAATGCATTGAGTCAAGTGATGGTTCATGTTTTACCACAGTTGGCCCAAACATGCAAAGAACAAGATGATAACGTAGCTGCTATTTTTCCATTTTTCGGTGAAATGAATTCAAATTTAGAAACTGCAGCTTCTTTTGCTCCACTACAAACAATATTAGATCAAAAAATGTTCGATGCATTCAATGCAGAAGATTCTGAATTATCATTTTCCAGTAAAATTGATTCACAAAATGATGAACAACAATCGGAACCAATCGACAATCAACAAACAAAGAAACCGATCAATACTGATCAAAAACAACAACAATCGGTTCAAACTTCAATGAATGGGACTAGTACTAATGAGACGAAAAAAAATCTTAAAGAGAAAAAAGTGAGCATAAATCAAAGTGAACAATTACGAAAAGAAGAAAATGAATCCCGGCAACGTCTTATGGAAAAAATTCGACAACAAACCAGCAGCAATATTGAAACTTTTCAATCAATCAACAATGGACAACAATCAAAACAAACATTGAAAAATATGAATAAAAATTAAATTACAATTAAAAATTAAGAAATCAATGAAATAAATCTTTATTGTTGTTTATTAAGTAATTTTTGATTAATTTTTATTAAAATCATTCTTTAAGATAGTCAGATAGTAGATAACATTCAATATGTGTATTATGTATGGTTCTTGATGATGATTGATTAATTGTTTGATTGATTGATTGAATAATTAATAAAAAGCATTAAAATAAAATCGCAGTATGAAATTTTTCTCCATATTTTAAGGAAAAAAATTTGATTACAATTGAAATAGAGAATAGAACAATTATTTACAATATAATAGGAACGACGACGACGACAACAACAACAACAACAACAGCAGTAACAATAATTCAATGAAAAAAAAACGTAAACACCAAAACGAAGCCACAGAATACGATACAAATTTAATCAATCGAAAGCCTGACGATATGAGAATGATGCATAGTGGATAATCCAAGCATTGGAAGATTCGTTGATTGAAATGGAACGACAATCGTTGAAAGATTGACACACCAAAGATGCAAACAACGAATCAACATCATCATCCAGTTCGACAACAAAGCAACAAGGAGCGACGTCTAGCGGCAAATAACAAAGACGATACAACAGATGATTCGATACCACGTGATGAACAACTCAATGGATACACGAAACGAGGAACAATCCACGAGTCATCACGATATGAACAACGACGACAAGAAGCAAACGACACGACTCAAACAGGTACGACTTATTATAATCCATATCAACAATAATGGTGGGATTACAGTAATTATTATCTACGTTCTGGTGGTCCAAAAATCGAAGCTAAACGTCTAAAACATTGGCGACGGCAGGATCCCAATCGATATCCAGTTTTTTCGGCAAAACATCAAACATTCGTAAACAATAAATAAGAATTAGAATCGATTCAACATATTGTTTTGTATTATATTCTATAGAAAAAAAATGAGTCCGATATACACTTTTTTTATGAATCAAAATCACACAACACTCACACACAAACAAACAAACAAATCCAATGTGAATCATATCTTGTATCATATGAATTTTTTTTTTAAACATTCATCAAAATGATTGACGAGTGTGTTTGTGTAATGTTTTTAAGAAGAAAGAGAAAAAAAAATTCAAGGAATTGTTTCGTTTTTTGGTGAAGAAATAAAAGAATGTGATGATGCTTATTGCTTGTTGTGTGTGTGTGTGTGTGTTGTATGAATGAATTCTGAATCAAATAGGAAAAAAATCAAAAGCAAAAAAATAGGAAACAAAAATATCGAAGAGATATAAGGGTTTCAGAGAATGATGCAGTTTTTTTTGTGTGTATGTGTATATATAAATTGAATTTGAAAATGATCTCAAATAATTTTTTTTGTCATCATTTGTTCTGCTTTTTCTCTTTAGTTTTTTTTTTAGTTTTCATTAGTTTCTCAATATATTTAAGAAATATATATTGAGAATAAATGAATGAATGATCAATATAAGATATCGATTTAATTGAATTGCTTCGGTTAGATATAGAAAAAAAAAGATCGAAATCAAAAAAGAAATGAAAAAAAAGATGTGAAACGAAAAATGAAATGTTCTTCATTGTGTCATCTATGCTTTCAATGTTTTTTTTCACGTTATTTTATATTTTCAGTATTTTTATATATTACAATATACACCATCATTTACGCCCACAAAGATTGATTGTCCACAAAATTAAATCTCTAATCAGTAATGAAACTTTTTTTTTCATTGAAATGAAATAAAAACCTAGTCATAGTTAATAGAAGGAAACTCGATTGATGATGATGATGATTGTCCATGTATGAGACTTTTGGTTGTACAAACAACGACCAGAATCATCGTATACAATAAATGGTTTTGAAACAAAAAAAAAAAAAAAAATTCAATTCAATTCGAAAGATAAAAATAAAAACTTATCGAAAAGAAAAATGGTTACAGGAACAGAGAAAACAAAAAACAGTGATATTATTTAATTGATTGTCCCAAATTCATCAATTTCTACTACCTAGCTGAAATGATGGAATAATATCATTTGAACACGCCATCCAAGTCTCATAAACAGAAAATACACACACACACACAAAAAAAAATGATAGTCTGAATAGTCTAATAGTTTGTTGATTGTAATTTTTTTTTTGTTTCAAATGAACAAAATGTTAAATGATTGTTTCATCGCATCTTATTTTTTTTTGGTAGTGTTTTTTAAATGGGTCATATGTGTGCCAAAAAAAAAAAAAAAAATGAATATTTTCTCTGAATATTGGGAATTTTATGTTTGTTAGTGTGTTTGCAATAACAACTAAAATTTCACACTGAACAAATAATCAAAAAGAAATATTTGAATAATTATTGCTTTGAAAATGAATTAAAAACCTACTGGGAATTCAATCCAACTTTGGAAAGATGTACTGTTTATATATTTTTAGATTTATGTGACATGCATTATGGATTACTGTTTTTGTTTATACATTTTAGGTGACCGAAAATGAATCAATGAATCAAATTTCTTTGAAAACTTTCAACATTTCTCTATTATATAATAATGACATTCAACAAAAAAAAGAATGTGTAACATAATCAACTAATTTCCTTGTGTATGACTCGTTTAAAATATGGTGAAAAAAGGCGATCTTTTGGATGGGAAATGGTCAATAAAAACAACAACAATAATAAAATCAATCAATAACAAATAGACAAACAATAATGATGTGATTAGTATATATTTTCATTCTCTTTATCTACAATTTGAGGAAAAAGGCTTATTTCATTGTTCAATTGATGATGATGATGATGATGATGGTGGTGATGGTGATGTAATAAATTTAAAAAAAAATCCTTTTTTGAGCTGATTATCTTTTTTCTCATATTATTTTTATCGATAAAGAGTGACAAATAAGTGAGAGAGAGAAAAACGCATCAATGTATTTGAATAAGGGTGATATTCATCTGTTGTGTAATGATCAATGAAAATTATACCAGAATATTATGCATGTATCATTCATTCATTTAGTTTTTTGTTTTGTTTTGATGGTATTTATACTAAGTGAAATGCAAGAGAAAAAAAAACAAAATGAAATTACACAAACCCTATATATGATGATGATAATGGATGATTTTTGAAACTAAGGGCGTGTGTCTGTGTGTTGCGTTCAGTTAGAATTTCTCTCAATTTTAAAAATTATATTATGATTATGATTAATTATTTTTCCGTTGATTATGAAAATGATTTTCATTTTAAGGGTTAAAAGATGAATATTAAAAAAAACCGATTGAATCATTAATTTTAATCGTTAATCGGCTTTGTTGTCGATTTTCATCTGGAATTTTTTTTCAACTATCAATTTTTTTTTCTAAAGGCAGCAGATATTTTGTTGATGTTTGTGTAATGTGTGTGTGTGTGTGTGTGAAAAAAAAATTATAATTATTATTATATATTAGATTGTCGGCAATTGATAAAAATATCTACATTTGTTGATAAATTCTGAATGATAATATGATAAGTTATGAAGCAATTTTTTGTGGCCACAGCCAAATGCACAAACGAACACACACTCACACACACACACACACACACACACACACACACATTTACACACAAACACATTCACACTAACACTATGAATCTATATATTTGATGATTAGGGTATCAATATCCTGATCCAGGTTGTACATATTGAGCACGAGTCTCATAGAATGTTGCTTGATTATTATTATCCATCGTTCCATAATTGGATGTATTCGTCGTCGTCGTTGTTGTTGTTTGATAGTTATTATTATTTGATTGATCCCAAGCTTGGTTCGGATCATAATTAGGAGCCGTTCCTGTACCAAATGGATTTGTACTGACACCACCACCACCACCAACAGTACCATCATCCCAAGTTGGATATGTCGATGTAGTTGTCGTATCATTCCAACCTGGTTGTTGTCTACCATCTTGATAAATATAATCATAAGCAGGTGGCTGCGTTGCTGGTGGTAATTGTGTTTCTTCTAATTGTAATTGTTCATCTTTTGGCGGTTCAGCCCATGGCTGTAATTCACCGGAAGCATAAATTCCATAGAAAATTACGCCGCCTAAATGTATTACACCGGCCAATATAAATACATCTTGCCATTCGGTTGATGTCTGTAATAAGAATGAAATGAAAATCAAATCATCAAATTCAATTATTAATTCAATAAAATAAACTAACCCTTTCTTTGGTCATTAAATTCACGACAATTGGACATAGCATACCAGCTAATGTACCAAAACCATTGGAAATTCCCATCAAAATGGAAGCATATCTTGGAGCGATATCCAAATGATTGACATTGAATCCTATGACAATTTAATATGAGTTATTTTATTTCATATTTTTCATCATTTGTTTTGTCAAAATAAAAATCACAATAAAAAATGACAAATTGAATCAACTAAATGGAAATAAGTTCGTCTTTTCCATTCTAGAGCTAGGTCAAGGGTCTTTGACAAAAGTAATTGTCGACACATTGACACAAGTCTGAAAAGACAAATGCTTTGGACTATATACGTGAATATTGTTTACCAAATGGTGGCGAACAAAGAAAAAAAAATTGTTGAATTTATTTTGAATCAATTTTTAAGGATTGATATAAAAAATTGTTACTCACCAGAAATGGCAAAACCGGAAAAACCGACAGCCAATGTTAGACATATGATTGCAAATGTAGTGTTATCGGTACTACCGACAAGAATAAGGAAAAACGCTTCCATACCAAAACCACCGCAATTGAATACTTTACGAACGTTTGTCGTCGTTAGCTGTCCAGATCGACGAAGAAAATCAGCAAGATGACCACCGATTGGTACAACAAATGTCATACATAGATGTGGCAATGCACCCAATAATCCAGACTATAAATTGAATCAATCACCATTATCATCATCATCAATGACATTCGAGATTGAATACATACTTTTTCTACGTCAAAATTGAATACTTCTTTAAAGTACATTGGTTGCGAAATCAACAGTAGATAGAATGTCCATGAACGGCAAAAATTGGCGATGATAATTGCATATACGGGCATCGAATGGAATATTTCACCCCAGGGCGTTGAATGAAGCTATAAGTTATTTATTTACATTATTTAGATTTTCATTGTAATTCAAAAAATAAGAGAGAAAAATGTCAACAAATGTATTGGTATTTTGACATTTAAGGGTTTTTCAGTTTTTTTTCACCCCGAAAAAAAACCAAAAGAAATAAACATGAAAAACATTGAGACAAATTAATTATCAATGTAAACAAATATGAACAAACTTACGGTTGGTGGTTTACTTGTGACAGGACCGAGACTATTTTCAATATATGCCAATTCTTCACGAGTAATAGTTGGATGTTTGGACGGTCTTTCAAATGATAACCATAGCCATACTGCATACCAACCAAGGCCTAACATTCCATAGAAATAGAAACAAGTCTCCCAACCTAAAATTTCGGTTAATAGACCGGACATTGGTAAGCCAACAACAGCACCGGCATATGAACCACAAAATGCTAATGTTGCCAGACGTGATCTTTCCATTGGTGGTGCCCAATGTCGCCATATACCATGACAAGCTGGATATGTAACACCTTCTACTAGACCTTGTAATATACGGACAAACATCACATAACCTGGATGCATTTTGGCCGCACAAGGAAGTAACATGTTAAGAAATGCTGACACTGCAATAGCAGTACCAAATACTCTGCAGAATAAATTATAAAAATTAATAATAAATATATTAATCATCGTGAACATTGAATATTCATACCTGTTGGCTGGATATCTAGCGGCAAGAAAACCGCCCGGTATTTGAGTGACAAGATAACCCCAAAAAAATGATGAATCCACAACGCCGATTGTTTCTGGAGTCCAATCAAATTCAGGCTATTAAAATTAGGATTAAATTCAAAATTAGAAATAATGATTTCAATTGGAAACGAAAGAATAAATGAAATAGGTAAAACAAAGTTAATTCCTTTATATTTTCTTGCTTGAATGATCTAATCCTTCTATTATGATCAATAATTCACTTATGTTATTCATAAAAAACAAAAAAAAAGAAAAAAATCAATTTTTCGTGTCTTGTTGTTAATATGTTCAATTTTCTTTGCATTTTGATTTTGAAAAACTACTATTTTTTTTCTTATTATATTGTTATTGTGTTGTGTTGAATTAAAATTCCAAATGCGTGTTCGTGATGTGCGTGTTCATGAGTGTGAGTGTTTGCTAAAAAGTTTGGTTAGTTGTCGTTGTTGTCGCTTTTGTGTTTTTTTTGTCCAGAAAAAAAAACTGTTACACGACATTATTTTTTTTCCAAGTAATACAATATTAATCAAACGAATCGATAAAAAATGTGATGTAATATCTGTTTGAATGAATAAATTAATGGTAAGAATTTGTTACAAGCTATTAACTTTGTAACAATTTTCCTTTTTTTTAATTGTATTTTTTTTCTTTAATTTTTAACTAGAGTATATTGTATACAACAAATAAATAAGAATTGGTATGGCATAATCAGCATCATCATCATTATTATTATTATTATGGACATGAAAAAAAAAATTTTTCATCAATTCATTGTCAATAATATATATTTATATGAATGGAAGAGAAATGAAAAAACTGAACATTTTCAGCATGCAAAAGTCACGAACAACCGAAACATTATTTCTCTCATGTATGGTATTTAGTTGGAATATTCTTTGATGAACAAATTTTTTTTTTGCTTCTACAAGCTTTGTTTAGGTTTTTACTTTTCCATACTCATTTTTACTTCATTTCGACGATGGCAATGTTGATTTAGTTAGCTAACGGCCAAAAAAAAACGGGCAGTTAGTTTGAAATCTCAAATCAAACTATCCAAATACCAAAATAGAGGTTATTCATTGTAGAATTTAGTTTTTTTTTCTCGACACAATTTTTCTATACTACCAGTTTCAATTTTTTTTATCGAGAAGAGGAGTTCTATGTGCGAACAAATAAAATTTCCAATGGGAATTTCTGCACCATGGTTCACATTAACCAATCGATCGACGATGTGATGTCAATAATGAGCAGAAATTTGGTTTTTTTCCATTTGTTTTTTTTATAACGTTTATAAACTGCTGTGTATATATGTTTTTTCTTTTGCTATCTCCATATATTTGATGAAAAAAGTGGATGAAAAAAAAATTTTGTGGATCTTAGTAGATGTTATAATAAAAATCATCTAGCTAATATTCACACACACACACACATATATAGAATTTTTTCCTAAAAAAAATAAAGTAAGAGTAAAAAAACGAGACAAGAAAAATCGGGAAAAAAATTATATTGGGATGAATCAGGAAATTCCAATGTTTGTAACGAGAAAATAAATTAAGTGCTACTTTGTCTTTTGTCTATCTGCAAAAAAACGGATTGTAGTTTTTTCCTGTTTTCTTTGGATTTTTGTCAGTTATTTTTTGTTTTGTTTTGTTTTTATTAACAGTTAGGACAGGATCAGAAAAATCAGTTTATCATAATTTAATTCTAAATGCCGTATGTGAAATGATCGTGATGTGAACGGCCAAAATGAGACTACAAATATACTAAAAAGTTTGTTTTCTTTCAATAATTTTATAAATTGATGTACGAAATAAATTGTAGATAGTAACAATGTCAATGTAGCTTTTTAAATTTTTTTTTCAAATACTTACAACGCCAGTTTTATTACTGGTCATATCCACAATAGCAACGCCCATATTACAACGTATACCAAAGCTAATCATGAAACCGATTGAGCTCAATATGGCAATAGTATAACGTTTTGTCATATTTGGAAAAAATGGACAATTTGGTTCCATAAATTTTTCCCATCGTTCTCCACGTCCTTTGAACATTTTATGATTCGGATCATCATCATATGGTGGTTGATTAGAGCCATCACGTTCATTATCTCCTAATTTGCTATTTAATTGATAAAAGAAAAATCAACAACAAAAAATATGGTCCAATGATTGTCGTTATTGTTGTCATTGGTAACCAGAAAAAAAGTCTAAAACTAGATAGTAAACACTTACCTAATGAGATCAGGAGCATCACCACGCAGTATGTCGTATATCATCATCGTCGAACATACGTCTATCAAGAAATAAGGATAATAAGATGTAGAAAAGAAAAGAAAAGAAAAAATAATGATACAATCAATAATAAGAATGATGAAAAATTTGTTTATCTTTCCCATTACGGTGAAAATATATTCCACTTTATTATTCATTCGTTGTTTAACATGAATATTCTCAATATTCAATGTTATGTCTGGCTGTTGTGTGTGTGTGTATCATTTGTATATGGTTATATTATACTATGGTTACACTAAGAATTTGATAATCAAATATCAATATCTCATGTTTTTAGTTTTAAAAAATAGTCAATGCATGTAAAGATATTAATGACAAAATTATGATTTGTAATACATCGATTAAGACAGTTGAAACAAAGATTTAAGAAGGTGAAAACCAAAAAAAAAAAAAAAAATGAATTCAAAATCAATAAACTATCATTTTTTTTGTATGCAAAAGTGCGTGAGTAGAAAAAAAAATCTCAGAGGCTAGATTTTATTCTTTTTATTTCAAGTTTCATATGTATCAAGACATAACAAGAAAACGAAAAGTCTCACTTTTTTTTCAAAGTGATCTATGTGAACCAAAACTTTTTTTTTCATAAATGTCGATTCATCTATCGATCGATCGATTTCAATGTCTTTTTTTCATGTAGTAGACTAGAGTAGTTTAGAAAGAGGGGTAAAATTGTATATATGCAGCAAAAAATAAATTTATCCTAACCGAAAGAATAATTCGGGCAATTTTTGCCGCCTGGTGCTCGATTGGATCGATATTAATTGAAACTTTTTTCTTTTTGGTGAGAGAAAAAGGTTAGACTAATACACACACACACACACACCCAAAGGCATACATGCATTTATAATAAAAAAAAAAATAATAACAGTATCACTCGTTTCATTTTATTCGAAGAACAATTTTCATTTATTTAGAACATTCAAGATTATTGTGATATCACTTTATATTGATAGTATATTCTTAGTAGCAATAATATAGTAAAAAAAATTATTAATAAATTCTATTTTCTCAGTGAATATATCATATTTATCGGTGTTGTTCCATGTGTCTATTTTTTTTTTATTGCTAATTTTAGCTCGAATAAAATAAACGTTATAGCCGCGCGCAAGTTCTAGCAATTTATTTAGCAAGCAAATGTAATTTTAAAATGGATTTTTTTCTTTCAATTCAACAATTGAACTGAATAATTTTTGATATTTGCTTTGAGCAAATTAACAATAAGAAGAATTTGAAACATAAGGAATGAAATCAACAAACAAACTCAGGTAAATTTGTTGCAACGAAAAAAAATCACTTTTAAATTAAATTATTTGACCGAAAGAATTAATTCAAATTTCAACAAAATAATATGATAATCGAATCTATATTAAGCAAGAAAGTTTTTTTTTCGACGCACATCAATAATATCGTGAGTTTCTATTATTTGTGGCTTCCAACTGTGTCCAAAATTCTGAATTCAATTTCAATATGAAGAAAAAAAATTTGTAAATCAAAAAATATCAAATCAGAAATATAGAGCATAGTTCAATCAAATGGGAAAAAAAAATTGAAATAAACAAGGTGATGAGCAGAAAATTTAATTTCAAAAGTAAGTAGATAGCAAAAAAAAAGTTATTTTGAGAAAAAGTCATTACTATAATTACTTTTTTTTCAGTGAATGAAATTCTATAGTCAAGAAATTTATCTCATGGAATTCATATTGTCTGCATTATTTCAAATGTATTGAAATTGAAAAAAAACATTCTCCTGGATTTAATTTCAATCACTAAGAATATTCTTTTCTCCATGCATATAAAAAGTGATTTAAAATCAATTTTATTGACTTTCAATTCGTTCGACATGAGAAAACAGGTCTGTTTTCTCTACAGTGAATTCAAAAAAAAATTTTGTCCATTTTCAATTTCAATCCAATCAAAAATCTGATTCATATATTCAATTATTATTACCAATTCAACATACAAATGCAAATATAATTCCTAAACATAATATAACATGTTTATAAAGAACAAGAGAGAGAGAGAGAAAAAAAAAAAAAAGTAATTTCAAAATGAGAGGATTTAGAGCTCCATTGTGTATTTATATGTTCAAGTGGACGGCTCAAGATTCTTTTTTTCCTTCTTTTGCAATAAGATTTCTACAGAAGAATTGGAAAAAAAAGATGAATCTCATTCACATTATGATGACGATGATTGTGTGTGTGTGTCTCATCTGATTGTCATCATCATCAACATTATTTGATAAAAAGAAAATCAAAAAATTAGAATTGTTCTGTGCTATTTATATAGAAAAAAGCCAAGCATAAAAGAAATGATTGAATAAAATGGAATGATAGAAAATACAAACGAATAATGTCTACAACTGGATACCACTGGAAGCCACTTGACGAATATATATTGTGATTTGAAAGACACATAATATTTTTTTTTCATTTGTATTTACATTTGTTTAACAACATTACTACTATTTGAAAACAGTTGAAAACAAATGGAAAATAAGTATTTTTCTTCTTAAATACAATCATTAAAAACCTATTTGCTCTGTATTGACTTACAATGAATCACGGCAAATTACGATTAATGGCGACGACTCACCAAAATATTTCTAAAGAAATTCTTTGCTCAGAATCATTCATTCATTTTTTTCGACTATATAATAATAATAATATAAATGATAATCTAATTGACAAACAAACGATCATTTTTTCAACATTAAATTTTATCCACAAAACGTGCATGTGTTGAAAATTTGGTTTGAATTCACAAAAAAAACACCTACATTATTCAATAATTCATTAAAACAACAATGATAACTATAAAGTTAATTTTTTTTTGTTACTAGCGAGTCAAATATGAAATGAAACTAGCAATTCATTTGCAGTATTATTTTCAATCATCATCACTTTGATGTTTGTAGTAGTATGAGCAGAAAAAAAACACATTGAATTAAATTGAATCATCATTCTTTTCATTTCGAATTGTTTTCGGGCATTTTTTTTCTCTTTAGTTGAAAACAACCTTTTGAATTGACGATATTTGTCTTGAATTCTATGAATCATATGAAATGCTTCATGATACGTATATAATATTATGGCCTCTGTTCAATTTTGTCTTTATATAGCTGTGCTGTTTATCATTAACAAATATACTAAATATAGATATCTCATCTAACAACTCTGAAATTTTTTCCAACAACAACGTAAAGAATTAAAGAAAAAATTGAATACAAGTTCCGTTGCATCAAAATTATGGATTATTATTATTATTATTATTATGAATATGATGATGATTATTATTATTGTTATGGCCCATATATATATAGGGAGAGTAGGAATGTTCCAAAATGTTTTTGTGAGAATGAAAGAACTTTACAGGTAAAATAACTATGGCGATGGAAAGAATAAATTTGTTTCAATTCACTTTAACTATATCCAACATTAAGTATTACAGGATTTTATGGCTATTTTTTTTTAATGAAGATTTGTTGTTGTTTTTTGTCGTTTGGATTATGTTCTTTGGATTTTTTTTCTTTTTTTGTTGCTATATGAATTTTGTCGAAAAAGCTCATTTTATAAATTTCTTTATCAAATATTTTTTTTTTCATTTTGATCAATATTAGCTAATAATGATCTCATCATCGTACAAGTAGTGGAAATTCAAGCATAGAAAAAAATTGAAGCGGAAAAAACTTTTACATATGAAAAAATCTATCATGAAACGAGAATATTTTACAGAAAAAAAACATTATTATAAAACAGCCGGATAGTAAAGAGCAAGCCAATCAGAACACACATTTATATGATGTTCTTCAATGTTGTTGTCGATGCTGTTATCGAATATAGCTCGTTATGTAATTGCAGGAATCGAGAATTATTTTCAATAACAACAACTATAACCGAACAATTTTGGTGAAAAAAAAACTCTCAATCAAACAAAAAACTACGACGACATGACAATAACCAAAATAACTATCCATAGGCAAGCTTGATATAACTAGCTTTTTTTTTGCTTCGTTTATAAACAAGCAACCAAGCAAACACACAGTGAAAATGTAATCAACTTGCCAGCAGCCTTATGATTTTTATATTTGGTGGTTTTATTTTTCGGGAATTTCTACTTTATAATGCTGGTACTGTTGATGTATTTTGTTGTCATCGTCATTGCCATCGATTGTGGGTTATTATTTTTTTGTTTTGTTTTGAATACATGATGATATATAAAGTTGTTTTCGTCATGATGATGAGAAAAGATATTCTATGATAAAGCCTTAGAATGTATATTTGGGTTTATAGCAATGCCTATTAGGCATTGTTTCTATTGTCATTAGCGGCTATCGTTGTATTGACATTCAGTCCGAATTTTTTTTTCTGCTGATATATACAGAAAAACATTTGCAGCCACATAACAGACAAACAAATACAATTAAACATTTTTTTCAATGTTATCAAAATAAGATGATATATATCACATACAATCATCATTCATCTGAATAATCAAATGAGCAAGCTCACCACTTTTTTAATTCAAAAACAAAAAGTCAAAAAAAAAATTGACTAAAAACTTTTTAGTTTTTTTTTTTTTTTTTTGGTACACAGCATTCGTTTCATCTAACAATTTAATTCTCTTCTATCAGTTTCTATTGGTTCCGTTTGAATCGTATACAGATTGATTTTTGTTTGTAATTCGAATTTGGTCCATAGCTTTTCAATTGAATCGGTAAAAAATATAATCACGAATGCGAAAAAAAAATCTTATTGCCTTAGGTTACAATAGAGGGGCTATTTGATTGAAAACTTGTGTTTCTTCTTCATTCCATTTTCTCTTTCTCTGTACACCTCTAACAAATGAAATGGGTTTTTTTTCGAATGTTCGATTTTTTTTTGCTGTTGTTGTTGTTGTTGTGGATGTTACAAATCATTCACTAACGCCAATATTTTGGCATTTAACAATAGCAATTCTATATACGGAATCATATGTGATGGAAAAAGTATTTGTCAGTAAATTACTGCCAATGGGCTCAGTTATGTACATACATACTCATCATCATCATCATCAGCATGATTTCAATCTTTTAACATTAAATTAATAGTTTTCTATTTTTTAATTTTTTTTCAGTTTGTCATCCGAATCATTTTGTTGTTTGATTTAACAAAAAAAAAAAAAAAAAAAGATGTATGACATCTAAATAATAGAAGAAGATAAGTTGTCATTTTTTTTTGTTTGTTTGCTTATCATTATTACCACCATTATTCAATATATCATAACATTTTTATCATTACTTTTCACAATATTATTCATTTTTTTTGTATAGATTTCTTTCACATAAATTTATTCAATAAATTGATTGAAAATACACTGTCATTGATTTTGATTAAAAAAACATTTTCATGAACCAGAAGTAAGCAGCCATATTTTCACTACTATTCTCATTTCCACTACCATCATATATGATCATCAACATCGTTTTAATCCTTTTGATTCACTAATATTTACATTGAAAAACCATATATTCTAGTTAAAATCAATGTCTTTATTTTTACCACAACCACCGCCATTATGACATTAAAGTTTTTTTGATGTTTTTTACTGTTATTATTATCATTATATAAAATCATCAGGATTTCTTGTTATCAAATTTAGAGGCGGGTAAAAGCTTTATTTTTGATATTCAGCGAATTATGTACATAATAAATTGAACAGAATTAGAACACGGTATATATTCAAAAGGAATGTAAAAGAAAAGAAAATTCTTTAAGCAGATTTGAGCCTTTTTCTTTCTCAATTTACTTTTTTTTTATTTCTAATTCAAAAGGATTCACTCGTTTTTTCCTCATTCATTTGTAGACAAAAATACGACTTTTGCAGTAATTCGTAGCCAAGAATGGAGATACGATAAATAACAATTAGACGTTACGGAAATTAGAAAAAAATAAGAATTATAAAACTACAATCAATACAAAAATACAAATATGACTTTACACGTCATTTGCTGAATTACAATTATTCTCTCTCTCTCTGTGTGTGTGTGTGTGTGTTTCTAATGGATGAATAGGTGTATTATGTTTTGATATGAATGAACAACCTGAACAAATCATCATTCATTTTATCATGATAAATTAAGAATATCTCCTAGATATAAACACGCTATTATCTAGGTCAGTGATTCCCAACCGGTGGTTCGCGAACCCCTGGGGGTTCGCAGTGTTTGCAGAGGGGGTTCGCGAAAATCTACAAGTCTATGAGGCTAAGCGTTTTGTGTGTAACTGCGATTTTTACACTCGCCAAGTGCTTGCACTGTGTACTTGCAATGGGTATTAACTTGGCATTTGATGCGGGAAGCTTTTTTCATGAGCCATGAGCCATTCCTGCTTATTTTCAGTACAAACATAACTATTTAGTATGAGCTACTCAGTGTGTGTTGTGTGTGTGTATTCACTCAATAGTTTTTCGAATTTAGATAGCGACCACGTCATTCATTTGTGAGACAAAAAGTACGACTTAACATAATTGACTTATTGCAGTAATTTTTTGGTGGTAAATTAATCATCTTCGGGGAGATTTTCGTCAAATATCTCCGATTGTTCCCAGAGGAATTTGTGTTTCTTCTGCAGACTTGAGCCAAAACGGTTTAGTCTTAGCACCAATATGAGATCAGCCAATTTTGCTGAATACAATGAATGGCTTCTTAAATTGGGCAACGGTACACTTCGAGCTGATCCAGAATACTTTCGTGTTCCAGATCAAGATTTAGCACATTTTTCAATACAAAAATATCAAACTCATTCATTGGTGAGAATACAATTTATTACAGCATTGATACCTAATAAATAAGGCTCTGATTCCTCGGAATTAGACGTTACGGAAATTAGAAAAATAAATCCACCGTCAGGCACGAAGCGTTAAAATAAGAATTATAAAACTACAATCGGATTTTTAAAACGCCGTAAAAATTAAAAGCAAAAAAAACAAAAAAACTACAAAACAGATCACCTTTTGATACATGAGTGTGTATAACGTTATTTATGAAGAGTCGTTTAGAGTCGTTTAGACTCGTGACATTTATGAAATGAAGGAGTTGATACTTAAGTTTGGGAATCGAGAAAATGAAAATGACAAAATCTATCGACGACCTGTTCAGAATTTACACGTCATTTGCTGAATTACAATTATTGACTCTCCTCTTCGACCTTTTTTATCTCTAAAAATCCGACGATGAATATTCAACAAACAAAAAATGTACGTGGAAAACAAGTAAATGAAATATGATTGAAAATGTGCTTAGCACACAAAAGTCAGCTGCACTGCAGCAAAAGACCACTGCATAAAAATTGTTACTTTGAAATTCCATAACTCAGCCAGTTCGACCCGCAGCACTATCTAGCTGGTCTCAAAATGAAGCCAGAGAAACACCCTTTCGAATAAGCCAAAATCAATTTTTTAACATTTTAATACTTCCTATCCCCCTTAATATTGGAACAAATTTTTTTAATTCGAGGAAAATGACAAAATATTTAATTTTCAATGTCCTTTTGAAAAAGTTGTAATTTAGTTTGAAAACTAAATATACACTGTTAGAGGTCAGATATTATTTTATCTTTTTCCTGCACTTGTAGATTCAGTGTTTAATAATAATAATTTTATTTTAATATGTGTATTCTTGTAACTGAATAGGTTATTTCCTTTTTTTAGAAATTCAGTTATTGTATCAAACAAATCAACAAATCAATTTAATACGTTGAAGCTAGATAACCATCAAACAATAAAATGAAAATAATTCAAATGTGGTCGTGTTAGTTTGGACTTGTTATTTTCTTGATTCTGAACTGCTCGTGTTAGTTTGAATGAACAACCTTCTGAACTGGTCGTGTTAGGTTGAATTTTCTCGATTCTGAACTGGTCGTGTTAGGTTGGATTTGTTATTTTCTCGATTCTGAACTGGTCGTGTTAGTTTGGAAACTTGTCATCATTCATTTCGTGTTAGTTTGGATCAACAGGTGATAAATTAAGAATATCTCCTAGATATAAAAACTTGTCATTTTCTCGATTTTGAATTCTGAACTGGCCGTGTTAGGTTGGATTGGTATTATCTTTGGAAACTTGTCATCGATTTTGAATTCTGAACAGGTCGTGTTATTACATGTTATTTTGATTCTATCGTGTTAGTTTGAAAGATTTTTCTCGATTCTCGCTTTTTCAAAACTGTCAAAAAACGTTACCTAAACAAATTAAAAATTTTTCCTGGGGTTCATTGGGAAACACTGATCTAGGTTATCATTATTGCTATACATATTTTTCTCGCTATTTATCATCATCATTATTATTATTATTATGAGTCGAATTGCATTTTTTTCCTACTCGTATTTTTCAAATAAACATAAACACACATGGGCTTCAAAGACTTTTTTTGTTGTTGTTGTTGTTGTTGCTGTGTCTGGTATTTGCATTCTTCATATACTTTTGTCTTTAAATGTTGATCCAAAAATAAAATGAATAATACTATGAACGAATATATAATGTTTTTTTTTGACATTATTGATATGAAAAGTTCCAAGCCGAAAGTTCCAATAGAGAATGAGAATTAATTTTTTTTGTACTATAGTACTAATGGTCCAAAGATGAGTGAAAATGAAATGCTCAGGCAAGCATATGATATATAATAATAAATTTAATTACCAATTACTAATCATATCAATGCTATCATCATCATCATTCCATTTGCTGGTTGTCCATCGTTATAATATATGTGTAGCATTCACAAACTAGAATATACACTAATCAAGTAAAGAATATTGAGATCGAATTGAGAGGAAATCATTTTATTAATATCATTACCGTAGTGGAGCAAAAAAAAAATTTATTACATTCCATTTTTCGTTCATATTATTATTATTATTTATAATAATAACGCCTAAAATAATTTTATCAAATATCATCATCATTTGTTTTTATTTTGGCAAAAAAAAAAAAAATTTATACTTTCATTATCTGCTTCACTAATTTTTGCTAGCTGCTGTTTTTGTTATTATTTGTTATTCGATATATAATGATTACTATATGCAAAATGTGAAAAAAAAGGTTTATACAAATAAATGAAACAGATTCCGTTATATAACAGATTCGGATTCAACTACCTAAATCAGATGAATTGAAATGTTGGAAATAAAATGGTATCATCATCATCATCATCATCATCATCATAACAAATATACATGACTGAATTATTCATGAAACTTGATGTTTTCCAATGTTCCAAATGTATGTACTATGCTTTATGTTTTACTAGTCTTCCATTTTGCTATAATATTCTGTTTCTGGAACAAGTTTTGCATACAATGGAACACAAACAAACAAAAAACAACAACTATGAAATAAAGAATCTTTATGCAGCTGGTGTGATACATGTGTGTGTGTGTATGTGGGCGCTTTATGCTAAAATTTGCGTGTATGACTCTTTTGAAAGAACATTGATCGAAAATCGAACCATAAAAAAATAATAATACTGATCAATGTACAACGAGACAACATTTTTTCTTTCTTTCTTCTGATGCACCATATTTTTCATATCGATATCATCATCATCATTATTATCATGATTAAAGATCATCGTAATGTATTTTTATATACAGGTGTTAAGTATCATTTTGTATGTAGGTAAAATTTTCACGTAAGAGGAGTTCCGGAATTTTTTTTTCCTCAATTCTATACTCAATTTACTTACTCGGCTTTGTCACGGGTACGAAAACGCGATATCGTTTGCCGTGCAACGGCATATGCATTTTCAAAATCGACCTGCATTTTTGTTTTGGTGGTGATGATAATAATGGTTTAATGTTGATGATTATATAATGTCGATTTGTCGGTTTAATATTGATCGAAAAAAATGACACAAAAAACCGGATTTTTTTCTGTTTGAAAAAAATCTCACTACATTATGATGAAAAAAACAAGCATTTTTTCAATTTTTTTTTGATGAAATACACGATAATGAAGATAATGTCTGATTGATGAAATGTTGATTTGTGTAATTCAAAAATAAATCATTCTGGTCACCAAATAGATATATTTTAATTTGATTTGAATAATCAATGAGAGCATTATGAATAAAAACTTTTTCAAAATGCTCATAAACTTTCGCCATGCAAAAAAAAGACCGATGTGTGCCAATATTATGATTTAAATCCTATGCTGGTTCCAATGGTAATTATTAGGCGAAAAGAAATTCGGTTAATGATGTAAAACTGAAATGACAGAAAAATTGATGAAGTAATAAATAATAATTTTTCATCTGACTTTTGAAAATTCTGGAATCACAAATTAAAATTTAGGGTTAATGATGAACCAAGGTTTAGGTTTGTATGTATGATTTGATTTGAAATTACTGGATTGTGGTTGATGGTTGATTTGATTTGATATTTGAAATTTTTTACTTGATGAAAAAGATTTTTTTTTTTACAGAATCGCTAACAGAGAAGAGAGATTAATCAGATCACAACATTTACATCAACAACGATAAAAAAACGATTTTAATGATAAAAAGGCACTGCTGAAATGATTATAATGATGTTGATTTGTGATTATTCCCTTGGTTTGGCTGAAAGTTTAATATTAATTTTGTGATGAAGAATTTTCAAAAAAAAAAATTTTGTTGTTAATTTATGATGAGATGCGCGGCAGTTATATCAGATGAGCGTGTCAATGATAACTATGATGATGGTAATGATGATTGTAACAAGAAATTCTGTGTCCAATAATGATGATGTTGATGTGTTTGTGTGTGTGTGTGTGTGCTTGGAATTACAATCAGAAATGGATTACAGTTCTATTTTTTTTTTGTTGTATTGGAAATCATGAGATTTTTCGGACAATATATTCACGCCCATTCATTTAGAAACAAACACATACACGCACAAAAAAACACAAATTTTGTTGTTTTTTTATCGGTAATCTTAAGGATTCGGAACATATCCTTGACCGAGAATGATGAGGAAAGCCAAAATATCACCGTACACCAGAAAAGTCCTTGGACTTACATTAATATCGGAATTGACTTTTCGTTCACCTTTTTTGTTACTATATACGAGATGAAATTCAAATCAAAATGAAATGAAATGAAACAAAACAAACAAAAAGTTGAACATCTTAAACATATTCACAAAAACCGTCTATTGGCTAAAATGAAAGAAGATATTTATATTAGTGAAGCAAAAGACCGATCGACCTAAAAAACATTAAAAAATCAGCCGAAATATACAACAAATAAATACTGATTGACTAACCGACCGACCGATCAACCAAACATTGCGGGATTGAATGTGAATTCTGGAACAAAATCGAATGAGCCATTTCAGTCAGTCGAGAGTTAAATGTCGAAAGAGTGAATTGAACGAGAGAATGAGCTGTTGAGAGCAAAGTGAAACTGAGTCGCGCGCGGGCAACACCATGGCCTTAATGGCGCCCGACAAGTAGAATCTTCATTCGCTCTTTCATTCTATGGCACACTCTTCATTGGACCGAAAATATCCTATCTCTAATACCCGCATGTCTGTATATTGGTTCGGGTTTTTTTTTGGTTTTCGGGTTTGGGTTTTCTGGTTTTTTCCTTCATATTTTTGGAACCAAGTTTGCCAAAGGAAGTTTGTTCGTTTGTTTTTATAACAAATACTCAGTAAAAAATTCTCTTTCCTTCATGATGTGTGCGTGTTTGTTTCATTATACTTACTTCCACCACCACCACCACCCTCATCATCATCATCATCATCATCATCATCACTTTGTTTTATTCATTCATTCATTCTATTCTATTTCATTTTATTTTCATTCATTCATGACGATGGCGACGACGACGACGACGACAACAACGACTCCGGCTATTGAGAAAATGATTGTTGTGATAATAAAACAAAAAACAAAACACACATACACACAAACGACGACGACGACGACGAACATGCATTGAAAAAGATTGGAAATAGAAAATTGGAAAAATTCGTATTCAAAAAAGAATTATTATTAGTTTTTTTTCAATTCGATTCTATGTTTTCTTTACCATTCATTCATAGTTATGTGAGTGTGTAACAAATTATTCATGATGATACACAATAGAATTTTTATTCATTTGATCAATATGAACAATTGTTAGGCTACCCAAACGACCGAAACTAAAATGTTTGATTCAAATATCTATTTTTTTTTGTTTATTTTGGTTGTATCCATGAATTTTGATAATTTTTTTCCTTAGTAATTTCATAATCGATGTTGTTCGGTTAATAGCAATTTTTCTAAATGACTTTTGATATATATAAAGATTCTGTAAAATCTTTTTTTAAAAAAATAAGTGAAAATTTTATTTATAGCATGAGAGACTGATAATTCAATTCAGGCTTTCACCATTCTTTTTTATTTATCATTTATTCGTAAATAACAGCAAAATAGAAATGCAAGTTTACTGTTAATTCGTGGCTGTGATAAATAAAATAAATGGTCAAATTTTGAGAAAGAAATTCATTGATTTCCACTGGAATTTTCAACTACACGAAATATATGTGCGGTTGAGAATGATGTTTGTGTGTTCGATAAGCCTTTTAAATAGGATTCCAAATGCAATATAATAATTCTGTTCATAAATGAAAGAAAAAACTTTGCGCTTTCAATTTTTAATCTTTACTTCTTCTATTTGGGTTTCATATATGAATTAGACATTTTAGAGAGAAAAAAATATCTACTGTTCGTATATTATATAGAGTTTAAATAAAATAAATAATATCCTCGTGACCATGTTTATATGTGATGAAATTATGGTAAGAATTTTTTTTTGTGAAAAAATGGATTTCTCGCGGTTGTATCCACCAACAAAAAAAAATTTCATCCATTGCTCCATAATTACCAAATATCTATAGCTCAACCAGTCAGTCATTCAGACAGCCAGTAAGTCAGTCAGTCACTGGAGTATTTGATTTTTTTTCAAAAAATAGACAGAATAATCTAGGTTTCCATTTACTATAGAACCAAGATTCAGATGCTGCTACTTTTCACGGCTTTTTTTTCTTGTTCAATCAAAATTCTGCTGTTATCCTATCGTGATGATAACAATATCCAGAAGATAGAATCATGATTGTGAATGAAAATTTTTTTCCATTCTTTTTGTTGCTATTTTCTTTTATATTTCTCATTGTTCCATTCAATGATAACAACAACAACAAAAATATTATTTGAAATGAATTCTAAAATGTTTATTTTCTAACTTCTCTTTGCTTCACTATTACAATCGACTAACTATTGTTGTGAATGAAAGAGAGACAGAGAATGCTAAAAGACAAAAGAAAAATAAAGAAAAGCTTTACTTGGTAACTACACTATTGTTGAAACTTTGTCATCGAAGAATGATCCTGTAGGTGTGTGCATGTTTCAAATGGGGTATATTAGTGAATCTTCTATGAACAAACATGACCACCACCATTACCGACACCATCAAAAACGATGACGACAAACAATGGGTGCTGCTTTCATTGGTGGTGGTGGTGGTTGTTGTTGTTGTCGTCGTTTTTGGAATACAATTGAACCAAAATGTTTTAATGTGTGTGTGTATATATATGAATCTGCAACTTTAGGCATGATTATGAAACAAACCAAGTTAATGGATCTACGAACGATTCCGTACCATGACATCATGATTGTGGATTCATTCGGAAACTTTCCATGAAAAATATACGACAAGGACAAGCCAATAAAAATGAAAAAAATGCGCCATATGAAATTTCGATACAGAATCTTATTACCACTACCACGAATAATATACAAGAAGAAAGAGAGAGAGAGGGAGAAACCATATCATGGCCACCATCATTGATGAATCGTGAATCGAAGAATAGAATACAAGATCCAAGAATCTTGGGTTTTCCGATTCTCGATGGTGTCATTTACTTGTTTAGGCTCATATACCACGCGTTTCTGTGATAAATAGTCATTATCATCATGGCCATCGAGTATAGCATCAAAACGCACTGTGACTTTTAGACTTAAGGGCTATGAGATTGTGTGCACCTTCCTTCCCTTAAAATATAATGCGAAAGACATTACAAAGCACAAATTCATACTCGAACACATATAAAAAACGACGACCGAATGAAACCAACGGACCAGAACCAGAAAATTCATTTTAGGAAGCGGGGGAAATCGTCACCATTACAAAAAGTAGAAGAGCCTTAAAAATTCTTTAATCATTCGACGCATGCGATGCTAATAATATAACAGAATACACATATTTTTCATCGTAACATAGTTGAAATTTCCCTTGCATATTTGTTTGTTCGCTGTGCATGTGTGACGTAGATATTGACGCCTTGTTTGCCTTTGGCCGTATAGCATAGTTTCGATATTTACCATATCCAAAAACGATAGACAATATATGTATAGTATCTCGAGGGGAATGAAAATGAAAAGTGTATTTCTCCTTTTTGTATTTGAATGTGTGTGTGGAGGGGGTGTGTAGAATTCTCTTATCCAACTTTTCCATTTTGAATGAGAAAATCGACCACCACCACCAACACCGAAACACAAACATTTCAGCAGCAAAAAAAGGATACATTACAATTTTAGACAGAATAAAGTCACAATATGATATGAAAGAGAAAGGAAGAGAGATGGAGAAAGTGTCTGAGGGATAGTGAGAAAATGAAAGTAAATCGTATTATATAAAGGCAATACTCATGCTGACATTGTCCGTTTTTTTTGGTTGTTTGTTGGTATACCAGAATCGTATTTATATATAGACCAGATAGATGGATATGAGTATAGATTGGCTTATAAACCAAACGTCGTCGTCACCATAATAATAGAATTTTTTTTACTAATACAAACCACTGGACAACTCATACTATGATGAGAATTGAGAAAGTAAGAGATAGTCGTGTATAACCGAATATCAATAGAAAAAGCCTCATCATACAAGTGAATGAAATGATTTAGAATGGAAAAAAAGTTAGACATTTAATAATGTTCGAGTAAGAAGTTATAACAACTTCTTTTTTCGAATGATATAATAATGAATAAAAATGGTAAAATCAATCGCAAATCAGCTAGATGAATTTTAGGCAATAAATTTAAGATAATTATTTTCAAAGAAGCAAAAAAATTGATAGATTCATCTGAATGGGAATTTATAATCATCAAATTCCCAGAAAATTGTGTTTATCATGAACAAAATGAAATGTACACGTACTCAGTACAAAAAAAAGAACCTCATCGATCGTTAATGATGATGATGATGAAACATTCATTTGAAATGAAAAAAATAACGATTTTCCATTATTTGAAAAAATATTTTTTATTTCGTTCATGATTTTATGATACCGTTATCATCATCAATTAGGAAAAAAAATCGAATCAAAAGAACGCCAATTGAATGCTTTCCAAATTCTTTGAATTTTTTAAGTTATCGAATTGTGTATATATTGTCTATATTTTGGGCATGAAAAAAAATATTTAATAACACTTCTAATATCTGGAAATTTTTTTTTGTAATTGTTATTCTATGGACAACTATCCAAATATGGCACTGTTAAACCTGTTAAACAACTAATTCAAAGTGAAAATTGAATTGTTCAAGAATTATTTAACAAAATAAAATGAAAAATATTTCCGAACATCAAAATGATACAAAAATAATTGAAATTTAATCCAATAATTTGTTTTGTTTTTTTTCTTCATTTCTGTCATTAAAATTAAAATTCGAAAATGTATTTCGCCCGTATCGTATTGTTTTTCTTGTGCTTATTTTTAAATCCTGAATTTTAGTGTTTTTAGCATCATTGTTGAATTATAATAGTTAGCTAGGCCATAGTTGGTTGTTATATAAACAATTTTTTTTCTGGTTCGGCAACTCATTAAAATTTTTAATGAGAATAAATGGAATAATAATAATGATAATAATAAAAAACAATCTACAATATTTGTCTAATAAAAATATTTTATTTTTTTTTTGCAAGTTTCGAAACGATTCTGTGATGACCGAAATTTTTTTTTCTCTTTCCCTATGAATAAATGAAATTATGAATTCAATGCTCATTTTTTTCTTATTCCATCTCTATCTTCAATAATATTCAACACCGTTGGGAGTGTGAAATATTTTTTTTTCTTATTTCATTTTCTTTTCCTTTTTCAAATAAGCTAATATTATAAAAAAAATGTTGGAGACTTGAATTTTTTTTTCTGAAAGTTTTTCATTTTCATTTATACATATAGAATACGATGACTTTGACAACGACCAACGCCATTATACCACCACGACAATTTGACATTTAATGTTTGCGAATTTCTGTGACAATTTCATTGTCGTTCATATTATACAAAAAAAATGAAAAAAAGAATAAATTGATAAAAGAAAGAAAGAGAATGTGCATCAAAATCATCACTATCATATTTTTTTTTGGTTTTTTCTTTTCGTTTCAGATGGAAAAAAAGCGCCAAAAACACGAAAAATTTCTGCCTAGGAGGCTTAATTAAGTTCTATTTCCTGCCATTATTATTTGATCGTGAAAAAAGGAAAAAATGTTCTTTTGAAAATATTATTATGGCTTGTTACGATATCATTTGTTATTTTTTTTTCATTCCCCAACAAGTCACGACCATTGTGATTTAAGATTCCCTGATCTATTATTATAAGATTCTAATATTCATAATGGATTCTGGATCAATTTATTTTTTTTATATATAAATGAAATGAAAAATAACAAATAAAAAAATGAATCTATTTTTTTTTTTTGATTCTATTATAGAAGCATCTTGAATTCATCAATCGATTGATTGACTATTTGATTGATTCGTGTTCAAGTCTCTTTGTGTTAATGTGAGTGAACATGGCCATATGTTCTTCAATTCCAAAGAATTGTCCATTATATAACCAATAAAATCACGAACAAAAAAAGTGGCACATTAAAAATGAGATTTTTTTTCAAAAACATTTTTTAATCGAAAAAAAAATTATTATTTATGATATGTGATTATCAAAGGAAAGATATAATTTATCCATTTGTATACAATACAAAATGATTAACTGCTGACAATAAAATGATGATGTTTAAGTAGGTTTAGGATTGCATATAGATACACTTTAAAACAAAAACGACAGAGATAGAGAAGAACCAGAAAAAGATTTTAGTTTCATTTTTTCTTTATGTGTATTCAAATCAATCCGGCTCTTGCCTGTCCACAGACAATCAATTCGCTATTCGGTCCATAAAGACGTGCAGTAATCAACATGTTTGCAAACTAATAGAATAGAAAAAATATTTGATATGATCAAATTGTTTTTTTTATTTTCAAAAATAAAAACTTACTCTTGGAGAAAAACTAGGTATGGGAAATATAACTCGAGCCACACTCAATTCATCTTTATGCAACGGACATGCAACATAATGTAGGCAAGCATCATATTCGATTGGTGGATAACCAAACTCTAGGAAACCGATTTTTATTCGTACATCGGTTGACACCGTTGGATAATCACCATCTGCAATAAATTTTGCTACCAATGAAGCATTTGAACCACGTGTTAATAAACAAAAACGGCTACGCATCTCTTCATCAGGTTCACAACCCATCACTTTTAGTCGTCGTAAATTGCCTATACCGCAATCATTATATTCCATAATACCATCATCGGCATCAGATTCTTGTTCGCTTGCTCTTCTGGATATCGTCTTTGATAATGTTATAACGGGTAATAATAACAGCAACGACAATATCAACATAGATGATGATGAATTAAATGTTTGCTGACAAATCATTTTGATTTTTAAAAAATAAATTTTTTTTTGTTTCGTCTAAAATGAGCAAATGAACCAAAACAAATGATGACTACATGTGTTTTACCTATGACTATTTAAGTATTTATGTATTTTTTTTATATCGGACCATTTACTCCGAAAATCACGTACACCACCAACACAACTTTACAAATCAATCAATCTAACCAATGATTTATATACACACAAACATATGATCATCTTTGTTCCTAGTCTTCAAGGACAGCTCAGGTTAAATGTATACAAATTTTTTTGATGATAAGATCAAAACATATAGACACACAAACACACATACTCATGCAAGCATTATTCATGGGTCTTTATCATTATATGAGAAAAAAGAGAAAAAAAAATTTATTACCCTGTATTCCGAAAAATAAATTAGCCTTTGGCCGAATAAAAAAAACTTTTTGTTCTCAAATCAATCGATCAATCGAATCCGATATAGTAATCAGTGGACATCATTATCGTCATATTGCCATATATATATTTCTATGTTAAAAGCAGAAAAAACCCAAACAACAATTAACCACCAAAAAAAGTGGACAAATCGATTAAAGATACTAATTTATGGCTATGACAAAATAAGAATTTCTATTTCGTATAATATATACAAATAAATAAATGTAAGAAAATTCTCTTTCTCTCGTAAATAAATGATCATTACTTGACTGAAGTATTCTAATGAAGCTACTTATCGTTTTCATTATTTTTTTTTATTCTTTCACGATTCCTAATTTTTGACATCATTATAATGAACAATAATTACTTGAACAGAAATGATTTGATGAAAAAAAATATTTTACATTTAGAGATCCAATCAAACCTGTTCTGTTATTCAATCTTAACACAATAGAATGAAAATTTATCATTAATAAATCAATTGATTGTTGCTAAAATCAGCTATACAAAACAGAAAAAAACAACTAAAGAAAATTGCAAATACGAATTGGTTTTTGTTTCTTATGTTGAGAATGCATATAAGTAATTCATTTGAGACATCCAACAAATCAATATTATAATGAAAGAAAATATTTGTTGAAAATTATGACTGAAAAATAATAATAATAATAATGGTATGACATGAAAAATGGTAATACATAATTAATCCCAACAGTACCATTTGGCCATCAAACAAAATGATTTCGATTCAAGCATCTTTTCCTGGTTTTGAAACAAGACAAACAAAAATGGTATGAAGAAGTTCATATGTTTGGTACGCCTATTAGAGTAAGAAAAATTTACAATTCTATATTATATAGAATATAATTGATATACCTGAACAATGAAAAGTTTTTGATCAGATTGACGGAATTTCACGAAAAAAATTCTTTTTATTCAAATTCTTTTATAAAATTCGATTTACATAACAGAATTATTGTTGCCATCTTTATTCTGTTTGAAAAAAATTTAAATTTCAAACAATTCTCTATGTAAACTTGCTTCTAACAATCCTTTAATCCATTGATCCAACTCGATCCAGCTATTAAATACCAATGTTTGTCCAAAATTACGACGTTCATGACTTTGTCGGGATTTAATTCGATGTCGTTCGATGAATGTTAAGGCGGGTATACTATTAGTACTAGTTATTTGGCATTCAACTAATGTGGTTGGGACTGTTGGTATTTGATTACTGACACTAGCTACCGTCGATGAATGTGGTTGTTGATGACGGCGGATTGCCTTTGTAGATCCGGCAGATTTGGTAGATCCACTCATATTTGAATTTGAACCACTTGAAACTACCAATGCAGTCGCTTCATCCGGATCTGCTACAATTGTCTGGCATTTAATTGGTGTAGCATTCTGGAATACATTTCCAGATTCGATACCAACGTACCAATAGATTTCATCCAGTTCATATTGGCTTAATAAATGATGTGTTTCTTTACAATATAGAAACAATTGTGATGATGAAAATTCGGCCAATACATGTTTGACCGAACGTGTATCACTTTGTCCGCAATATCGTATCACTGACATTAACATGATTGGCGTTACATTCAATGATTCATTTTCAAATTGAATGACTTTTAAATTTGGTAACTTGTTCATTTTATGGTCCGGCTGACCCCTCAGCAATCGTTCCGTTGGCTTTATTTCAATACAAGCATCCATAGACCAATGTGATGGCCAATTTGACCAGCAAAGTATTAAAGGCAAAATCTTTTCTTTACCCATTATGATGCGTTCAAGACGACGATTGCAAATTACTTCAAACACTGAATAGCTATTCAGAATTTCTTCATTATCATCAAGTTTTACCTTAATATCATATGATATAAATTATATAGATTGTTATATTGATCAATTTCACATGAGGTGTAACTCTTGCTTTATAAATGAAGCTTACTTTTTCCAGAATCATCTCAAATATTTCATTCGCTGTAGTGCTACGATTTATATGCACATTTACATTAATTTGCTTATTATCCGGCCATGCTGTCACTTTAATGCCGATGATCAATGAATTCACTCTTGTCCTATCATCACCATGATAGCCTTTATTAGCAATTGCTATCATATGTTCGCCACCAATAAAATTATTCATTCGATTTATTTTCATTTTCTGCCCAGATTGTTTTTTCGCACTTTGTTTACGATTCTGGCTAATGATTAGATTGACCACACGTTTGATATGCAATTCTTTTTCCAATTCCTCCTTGGTCACATCGAATAACCATACATGATTCTGAATCAATGCCATCATTATTGATCGTGCAACCGACACCGAGATGGGTGTCTTATTCGGTTTAGAAAAAAATAGTGTTTTGCATAATGAAGTCGACAGAGAATATTCTTCATTATTGTGTATTGCGCTATAGTAAATTATTTGAAATAGAAAGAAAATAAATGATTCTTGAAAATCAAATTGATCGATTACTTACTTGGCGAGATAAATGATGAAACGTCTGAGTAGAGCATAGTTAACCGGTGGCATAAATTTCAACAGACGTTTTATTTGTTCATTTTTAGAGTCAATTGAATCCGAATCGGAATTATCGGATTCGTCTATTTTGTTTATTGTTTTCCACAATTTTATCCAATATGGCAGCAATGCTTCAGTGAATAGACATTCGTTCATAGATCGTAGATAAAGCAACATTAGTTGGCTTATCTGACAAGCATTATATTTTTGTGGTAACAAATGTATATTCCATGAGTCGAATCGAAGTTGAGTAAGAATATTCTGTTGTGTCCATAAGTCCATATCGGCCAGCATTGGGGTTGTAGCTAAATAACCTGGCAGGCGATTCCGTGAAATTGGCTCATTTGGCTTTTCATTAGGCGATGAATTCTGAATCGTGATTGCTGTATGTTCATGTATGGAATCCTGCATGGGACCAAAAAGATTTAGGCCAGTTTGGTTAAATGTGTCGAGAAACTTTAGGCACTTGTCGATTGCTATCGGCACGTCATCTTTTGTTAGATATTGTTCTTCTAGAATTAATTTCTCTGGTGGCTGTCGAGGAACTAACCAAAATCTCCATATGGATCGATACCTATTAATTCAAGAGAGAAAATTTCTATCAAATGTCAAAGACATGAGAATATTTATCATCATATTACCAGAGATTAATATGAGATTCGAATGAGCTTACGAGATATACGACGTGACCTCCGTTTTGTGTTAGACTGAATCCATATTTACAATCAATAGCACAACATTCTCTAGACGAATCACTATTTTTACGATTAATTTGACTGCCAATTTCATCGTTCATCGAACTTTTCTCATCCATTCTGCTAAGCCGAACCGTTTTTCTCAGATTAAATATATGATATCGTTCACATTCTAATGTCGGTATTGTTGAACTATTCTGTCCCAATTCGAATACGTAGAAAAATCTATCGGTTGTAAGTAGTGCAAAACAAATTTGCCATTCAGCTGTTATGGTGAATTTTGCTTTTACAAATCCACAATGATAAATTTCTACGAAATGTGTTGATTTTATTATGAAAAACTCATTTCAAACAATATAATAAATATATATAAATATAAATAAATAAATATATTAATGTACCTTTATTTTTGAATGCATGTAAAGTCGTTGCCTGAACGAATGCATGTATCCATTGTTGACGATCAGTATCGGATCGTGCAGCAAATAAATAGATTCGACCTTGTCTGGTTTTGACACCGATTTCAAAGAAACATAACGAATGATTTCCACCATTTCCCAGATCATTGTTATCAGCAATATTATTATTGTGGTTATTACTATTCATATATTCAATTAATGATTTTGATGAACGAAGATTACTTGCTGGCTTTTCAATTTTTGGCAAACGCGTTTTTACCGGAATTGTTTCTGTTATTGAAATGAATTCAATTTCGGCTAATAAAATTTTACCACTCAACGAAGCCGACATTGATGATCGATTAAAATAATATGATAAATTGGCATCAAAATAATTCTGGCTATGACGGTAAAGTACACACCATCTGTTTTTGAAACTTTTATAATTTGGTCCAGTTTTCCATAGGTATCCACTACGTTGTAATGATAATGTATCATTATGTAAATGTTCAATCTCTAATCGCTCATTATTTGTTTCAACTCTATCCATTCCGGTAGGAATTACATCTTGATGTGAAATTTTAATTTAAATTTTCAAATAAACAAAACATAAAAAATTCCTACCTGATCTAGATGGTTTACGTGGTGGTAATTTTGGCGGCTCATCATTGGCTATTTGTTTGGTGTTGACAATCGTTTTATTATCAGATTTAATTGCTTCTTTACTTGTAGTTGGAATTTCATCAATTTCTGATTTATTCTTCATGCTTAAATCGGAATTTTCTCGATTACCATCCCCATCATTATCAAAAACAGATTTTTGTGATGCCATTAGAAAAACACCAGAATCCCCACTGCTTGTTATTGGTTTATCTTTCTTTGAATTCAACACATCATTAGTTGATGTGGACGTTGATGGGAGGTGATTCGTTTCAGTATTGTCATCTAAACTATTAACATTATCATCATTATTGAATGATATGTTGAATAAATCACTTCGGACGGGAATCTTTTTCCGTTTAATTATTGTACGTCTTTGTACTTCATCATGTGTTGTTGCTGTTGTTGTTGCCGCTTTTGTTTTTTCATTTGATTTATGATTATTATTATTATTATTGATATCAACATTTTCAGGTAATGAAGAAAAATTCTTCTGCAATGAATCGGTTAGTGAATTGATTTCATCAAGCAATTGTGTCATACGAATATCGCTTAAACATAATGATGATGAACGATGTTGATTATCATGTGATGATTGTTGTTGTTGTTGTTGTTGTTGTTGTTGCTTTTGTAAAGGTGAAGAATTATTATCATTAAAACATTCATGATTATCATTACCATCAGAATTTTGTTGTTTTTTTACTTGATTAGATTTCTTTTTACTTAATCTCGGTTTCGGTATTGGACGATAACTTATTTCACCATAAATTGGATTACTGAATGCCAAATGATTCTGCTGATCCATCTTATTTTGATCATAATATCTTATGAATAACAATTAACCAAAAGATTCATTATTAACGTTTAATGTTAATAAATAAATTAATGCTTAGAAAACAATGATTATAATTAAATGAATGATGATGATCATGCGACAATTGGATTTCCCTGATAGTTGCCATTAGCCAAATCAAATGTCGTCAATAGAGTGCCACTACTAAAAAAAATTTCAATGGAAAATTATTAATGTCAAATATGAACAAAACATTTTTATCGAAGCGGAAGTATGGCATGATTGTATGTGTTTGTTATGTATGAAAAGTGAAATTTATTTTTGTTCATGATAATACATGATTTCCGCTGTATGCTTTGAATCAATTCGTCACCACTACCACTCATGATCATCATCATGATCCACCGTCATAGTTATTATCATTTGATGACTAAACTTTTGTCTATTATCATGATCCATCAGGATCAATGAAACAAACAAACAAACAAACAAAATTACGTCATATATAAAAGAATTGAATTATCTTTATTTTCATTTATTACTATAAATTGAAAAAAAATTGATAGGCACTTAAAAACAACAAAAGCAAACGAAACAAAATCGAAAATAATTACATTTTTTCAAAAAAAAATCAAACAGTAGATTCAAGTAGAATGAGAAAAAAAACCTAAATGAAAAAAAGTGCAATTTAGAATACGTTTGTGTTAATGATGATTCATTCACAATTATTAGAATCCTTATCTTTGGGATACAGAAAAAAAATTTCAAAATCATACACAATAATAATTATAAATGAAAAAATTACCACCCTTTACATCTAACAATCTAAAGTGAATAATAAACACACATGTCTATGATTATAAATTTAACCATGAAACTTATTTTTTATCAATTAAAATTCAAAAGTGAATATTAAAAAACCTAATTAAAAAAAAAATTAAAGACAAGCTATTGAATTTTCTATCGATTTGAAATTGAATGTATTGAAAATTATAGTAAAATATCACTATTCCAATGTTCGATGGCCTAGAAAAGAAAGATAAAAATTATATAACAACTTTATTGAATACCTAATAATAATAATAATAAGTTTGATGTTGGTCACACTTTTATGATCCACAAATACATTACATTACATGTATACATTAAATCTTGGATGTTACTTTATTGAATAGTCTTTTTTGATTTCAAGATGATGGTATAATTTTATGCTTGATTTGAATATTAGAATCATGAATACTATAGCTATATCTTAATATCGCCCTTTTTTTCCTCTTTTTCGCATTTTCATATTCATCATTATCGTGTTCACCGCTGTTATTATCTTCATCAACATTATTATTATTATTATATTGATCTAGATTATGGGGATTATTTTTGAAAGATTGAATCGAATCATTATTATAATGGTAATAATCCTTTTCATTGTGATTTTGATCGACAAAATCTTGTTGTTTGTATTGTTTTTTCTTTTTGTTTTTGTTTTCATTGTTAATACTTGAGGCTTCATCGGTATTGAATCGAATTCTCGATAGTTTCGATATTTTTCGAGGTATTCTATTGGTTTTAGATAAAAAATTCAATGCTAATGGAATTGAATGATCATATAGTTTTGTTGGCTTGTTTTTTATCAAATCAGCAGCTTTCATTGTACTCATCATGCGTGTTGGCTGATGTTCAGTAACTTTATCCGGATCAACGATAATGGCCCGTGCATTTGTTTCCTGTGGTTGTATTATTGATGCTAAATGTTGAATTTGTTTAAGTTGATCCATCGATATCATTGTTGATGGTGATTGTTTTGATAATGACTTTGCCATAACATTATTCAAATTATCTTGACTGCTGCCACTGGTGGTTGAAATGAATCCCGATTGATTTGGACCAGAGGATGAAAAATTAATTAATGGATCAATGATTTTGCGAGATAATTCTCCAATTAGAGAGCTAACTAACATTGACATTTGAAAACGAAGAATTCGTGGTGCAATATAGGCAAGCATCAAACGTCGAAATGGAAGCATTAAAAATCTTCGTTGAGGTTTCCTAATTCGTTGAAATGATGGTTTGATAATTGAAATCGATTGTTTTCTACCAATCGCTGTTGATAATTCTGATTTCCCTAAAGGAAGTAATAGATTTGCATCGATTGGTAATGAGATGTACTCATTATTTTTCAACAAGCTATCCGATGATGATAATGGCCAACTTTGATTTTCACCACCATTATTTTCATTATTTGAATCAACCATATTATTGGAATCAATTTTAAGTAAATAATTTGAAAATAATGATTCAAATGTATTGCCATCATCATTATTGCCACCAGCATCATGATCAAAATTTTCATTTTTTTCCATTATTTTCGAATACTGGTTCCAGCAACAAAATGAATTTGATGACTGATGGAATACTGGTGAATTTGTTGCAGATAATACATCAATAAAATCTTCGACATCATGTTTTGATGATGAAACTGTTAATTGTACAATCATGTTGCTCATCAATATAGTAATGATTACAGACAATGATGATAATGATGTGCATTTGATTTTTATGATGGAAAAAATTTTGCCAACAAATCGGTACATGACTTGAAATTATTATTATGATGATGATTGGCGGTGTTCTCAGTTTCTTTAGATATTTTTTCTTTATTCTACTTTAATTCTGTAGGGATGATTGAAATCGAATCATGGAAAACTAAACACATATCGAAACGTACATTGATGATCCGTGATCATAATTTACATCATAACGATGAAAAAACAGCACAAAATACACACACAGACACACACACTTAATCACTGTCAATAAGAATAAATGAAGATCAATGAATCAACGGCATTTATTCCCTTTCTTTTCAATACTTTGGTACAGAACGTTCGACAAACGAACTAATAAAAATAAATGTAAGATCAAAAATTAAGATCAAGGTTCTGAATTGACAAGAAAGAAAAGAAAAAAAAAAACGAAATTTATGTTACAATAAAGAGAACGATAGAGATAAAAAAAAATGAAGGAAAACACTTTTTTATTTTAAATAGAACACACAAAACTAAACAGAACCCGAATAAGAACAGCCTATTTATTTATTCATTGGTTAATTAAGTTAATTACAACTCTCGATAATGACAACTCTCGTTTGTATTTGAATGAAGATGGCTATGATAATAAAATGAAGGTAAAATGTGTGTAAATTTTTCATTCAAAATGATCGTTTTTCATTCATATTTTGCCTATTTCGATATCAAACAGTGATTGTACCATTTTGCAATACTGGTAACTTGGCTTCCACTTTCATCGTTTGTATTTGAAGCCCGAATTCATTTTGGACAAATCAAATAAGAATGTCATTTTTTTATTCGTTCCTTATTTCATGTGTTCTAAATTATATTTAGTTATTTCACAAAAATGAAGGTAAAATTTTCAAACCTAAAAAGTGTAAATTTTTCATTCAAAAATGAACTTCATTAGCATCAACAAAAAAAAATTATAAACAAAATATCCCAGGGAATTGACCTTCAATCGTGTATATTTGTGTATGTTTGCAACGATGTTATGATAATTGCCTATCATTCGATATCAAACAGTGATTGTACCATTTTTGCAATACTGGTAACGATAACTTATGGCATATGTTTATTTGTTCTGATTTTACCACTTTCATCGATGATAATAACATCATGGCCAATCAAATTTCCATTTTTTTGGTTTATATCAACTTGGTTCGTTGAATTGCATCCATCATCATTCTATTCAATTATGGAGGCTAATTGTGGGTGTAAACAATAATAACAACAATAACAACAACAACAACACTCAATCTAATAGATACGGAAATATGATGATGATGAAAGGATGCACACACACACACACAAACACAAAATAAACAATCATTACAGAAAAAAAAGAAAAAATAAAATCTCATGATATGATAAATAATGCTGCCTTTGTTAAAGAATCGAATATGTTAACAAAAAAATCATTAATATCCAAAATGGTCGCATGTTGTTTACTGTAATACAATTCTATCAAATCCAATCGTCAATCGATACATGTCGCAAACCATCAAGCTATTTATTTATTAAAATATTGATATAAATCAATCAATCGAGCTTTTGCTTTTGTGGTCATTTTCTTTCATCATCATCATATATGATTGAAGAAAAAAGTTATCGTCATTATAATCATGATTTTAATACGAAAGTTATTTGTTCTGTCATTATTATTGACCATTTTGGTTATTAGTTATAGAAATGAATATCACAATGATGACACATCGCCAAGATTGTTCAATTCGATTATGACCGTCGAAGCATATCGAGTTAAATCAACTACAGATCCAAGTTTTGAATGTTCAGGATGTGCCCGAACAAGATTGATTGGATGTTTTCATGGACAATGTAGTTATCGTTGTTACCGCAGCTGTACGAATGGTACAAATGTGGTCATTGGTAAGATCTTTTTCCATTGTTGTTTGAATTGATTCGACCATTTAAAGTATAAAAATAACTGAACCGACAATCAATGCCTAAATGTTTTTATTTCATTTCATTTGAAAACGTGACAAAATTAATTCGGGAAAATTCGACCTAATTATAGTATATTTTTCTAGCTTCTAAATGAAAAAATCAATTACACTTTTTCTCATTGAAAGCAAAAAAACGAAATGTTTTTCATTGAACAATTTCTTTTTTCTTTTATAGAGGCACATCGATTTGTATTGGAAGGTCAACGTCGTCGACGGAAACGTTATGTCGATTAGTTGATAGAATTCACTAATCATCATCATCATCAACATCAACATCTTATCGAAACATATGAAAAATAATGAGCACAATGCCAATCATCGTTTCATTTCATCATTCATCTTTGATCCAGTAATAATGGCTTGGCATCTTATTCATAGAAAACTTTATCACACATCACGATGGATAACATAATTCGTAATTCAAAGGCACGTGCCTTTCTATCTAATTTATATTCGATTTTGAATCGATGTATGGAATGAATGCATTTTATTGTAGAGTATTATTGATCAAGAATCATGTCATTTTATTTTGTGTAGTATTTCGATACAATTTTTATATATAAATAAATGAATAAAATATAATTCATTGGATGAAAAAGAACAAAGAATTGATGAAATATGTAATGAAATAATTGGAAAAAAGTGAATAATTGAAGAAAATTCATTGCAGATTATACCAGCGTTCATTTTTGGTGAAAAAATCGATCTGACTTAGTGGTATTTCCACCTGGCCCAAACGTTTATTACCAGTCATATCAGATTCCCAAATTGAAACCTAAGTATAGGAAAAAAAATCAAAATCTTTATTTTTTAAATTAAATAAAATCTTACCTCAAGTGTTTTTGAAATTATAAAATCCAATCGATATTTATATTCAAATGGTTCCATGAATGTTGGATGTGCATTCTTGTACATTGTTTTGGATTTTCTTTTTGTCATTTTATTCGGATCTGGTCGTAGATATAGTTTTACATAGGAATCGGGCGGTGTTAAACGATCATTATCCAGATTTCTCACATGAATAACCACTACATGTAGTGCATCATCACGATAGCTAAGATCAAGTTTGATTTTTGGTTGCCGTCTCAATGTGATCTGAGATTGATAATCGGAAATAGTAAGGGCTGTTGAAAGATTATCGGCAAAATTCAAACTTTCAAGATCGAAAAATTGTTGATCACGTAGAATAGGATGAAAGAATGTATATACCATATCTGAATGGGAAATTTCCGAAGCCATGCTCATGAGATCTTTAAGGAATAATTTCAATTCACGTGTCCGAAGTGATGCGATTTGCTGGCGACTTGCACGATTCATCATTGGTGATCGCTTCAATGTATGAAATTTAGCCAATGGAAATGTTCGCGATAACTTTTCATATAATTCAAAAAATTCTTTAAAATTTCGGTAAACAAAATTTTCTGGATAATTAAGTCGATCAACTTTGATCTTATAAAAATATATTTTATCACTTTTTTCTGGTGTGAAAGACTTGAAATTTACAATCTCCAATTGTGTTATATGGCCATCAAGTGCTTCGGTAAAACGACATTTTGTGAATGAAAACTGACATGAATCCGAAATATTGTCTTCCATATTTGACATTTCATCTGATTCGGATATTTTGACAAAATTGTTTGTCGAGTCGTTCATTAATGATTCGGATGATAATGGACCAAGATAAGATGATTTTCGATCATCTAATGAACCAGTACTACCACTATTATTCCCACTACTTGAAATCGATTGAGCAATACTATGAAGAAAAAAGTTCAATTGTGTGGAAAATGATCCAAGTGCTTTTTCTATTAATTTGTTAAATTCCACTTTTGCTTGTGATTCAATTAGATTGGGCATCAATGCTTTATGAAAATATTGAATAGCATCGGGAGTCACGTAATCAATACCGGAACGAATCATCATCGCCATTAGGGAAAGTAGAAAATCTCCATTTTGTCTGACCAGAATAAAACAACGACAACAAAGATCGACAAAGAATTGATAATTCTTAGATGGCCGTCCACCTTCATTGATGACGAATGCCATATCGGCGGTGAATACAAACGGGACCCGATCCCGTTTAATACCGGCCATCATTTGAGCATCCCCAAAAAATTTACCAAAATCAATATGGAAAAGATTCCCTGATGTTGTGACCATAATATTATCATTGTGTCGATCACAAATGCCGAGAAGATATGTGATGACCACATAACCGGCACAGGAATGGATAAAATTTTCGATAGCAACTTTATAATGAAACTCATTTGTATTATAACGTTTTAACCAGGTGGCGATGGTGTGATGTTTGAAATTTCCGGTCAATCCATGTTCTTGTTGAATTTCTCGAAGAGTAGATGCATGAGTGACCATTTCAATCATACCAGTGCAATGAGAAGAATTCAAGACGCTAAAAATTATTAATCGAAGATTCAATCCAGAACGAAGCCAAACACGATTTATGATTGAAATGATTTGCATAACCAGCATATCTTTTCGAAGATCATCACCACATTTGAAAATGATTTTATGCCACCAATGTTTACTTTTGTAAATGTCAGTCAATTTTGATTGCGTTGATGATTCGGCTAACGTTGTGATTGTATGGACGGGATAATCGTCAAAACTAGACTTGATACGATAAGGCGGTGCCCCATCAAACACTAATTTAAGTGGTAAAGAATTGGAGTTGAAGTATGAACATCGATCTATGGAAAGTCCATTGACAAATAATGATGGCGACAATGGAAGAGAAGTTGGATTTGATTTAAGATCTTCATTGATTTTTTCCAAACGTTGACGTAGGATATTAGTTCGCGATTCTTTAGATGCTTGTTTTATTTCAGCTGAAATGGTTGAAAATTCCTCACAAATTTTATCTTGTCCAAGGAATTGATCACGAGTTCGTTCACCACATAGAGTGAGTAAAGCATTCAGATAGATTTGACAACGAATGCCGAAAGTATTATCATTCAGGCATGATTTTAGTTGCCAATAAAAATAATGACAGAATCGTGCTGACATCAGAGAAAATTCTAATAAAGACCAAATAAGATGACAATCGATCGATGTTTCGAATCGTAAAGATTGTACCAGTTGTGGAAGATAATCACAAAGTTCATCCACTGAAATAGAATTGAGCCATTTTACCACTGTACGTCGAACAAATTTATCCGGATAATCCATACTGAGCAATTGAAGGACTTCTATTTTCGTTCGAAATACATTTCCATAATGTCCTTGATCAAATCCTTTAAGCAATTCATAGATAGCGGGCAAATCATGACATGACCAACTGGGAGGTGATTTCATCAGTTTCAATATTAATCCAGGAAATTCTCTCAAAGTTTTCCTTTGTTTCCATATAATATCACGTTCATTACTTGTAATTTGTTCAATTGGATTTTTTTGTAATATCTTAACCACATTACTTGTGAGTCGATTTGTATTGCATCCATGAAAACCATATAACGAATCTCCTGAATATGAATTTTCTATCTTCGGTATTACAGAATTCATAGAAATGGACAATTCTTTCGTCTTAATTTCCGGAAAATAATAATCACTATTTGTGGTTAATGTTGGTGATACACGTATGACAATCATCATGGTATCCGGATCAAGATTATAAGAGGCAAGATAATTATTTTCTAAAAATTCACGTAATGTAGCCGATTTATCAGGTAAATCAAATTCCATTGAAATTGGAGGAAAGGTAAAAGGAGATTTCAGTTCCGTCCATGGCAAAAGATGAAATCCATTTTGAAATATTTCATCAATATCGTAAAGATATAAAAATGTTGTTGCCAAAGCATCGACTACAAATTACAAAATATAAGAAATCTTTCATTAAATCACATTCAATTTTCAAACCTTCAGATTTGGCTCTAAATCCAATCAAAATTAATTCAACTCTAGATTCACGGGGCAACATTGAGATTGGTATGCCAAAATCAATGCATTGATTGAACGTCAATCGTTTGTATCGAGATTTCGCATGTTGAATTTTAGTTCGGTCAGTGATCATCGATTTAATCAGGTTGTATCCATGAAAAATATTAACCATTATAGCATAATTATGATACATTGCCGACCATTTATCTGGGACTTGTGTACAAATGTCTAAATGTATGGTTAATAAATCCATTAATTGAGAGATTTCTATTCGTCGTCTTCTTTTTAAGGTTACAAATTTTTTCTCATTCTGATCATCATCAAAACTCATCGCTTTTTGTACTTTATTGGGAATTTTAAGCAGCCGAAAATTTACCGGAAAAGTATTTGAATACATTCGTATGTATTTTACGAATATTTGTACAATATTGAGATATTCATCTTCAAATTTCTTCCGAATCTTATCAGTATCGATATTATTATCGACACTGCCACCACGGCAATATGTTACAATTTCACGAATATTAGATTCTAATTTTTCGATAGCCAAGATTAAATCACTCGTTTCCATGTTTGATAAAAATCGTTGTAAAGTGGAAATTTTCTCCAGAATTTCATGGAATAGTTTTTCATTCTCAACTAAAAAAGTTTCAAAAATTAGTGATTATCAAAGATTTAGATTGAAACTTGGTTGAAGCTTACATGATTCCATAATAGCCGAGAGAAAAGTCGTATATGAATAATTAAGATCATCAATTAATATATTGAGCTGTTCATGGCTGAAACCTTGAAAATTATTCACGAATTGTTTCGGTATAATTTGTTGATAATTCAAATTATTCATAAGATTTTTTGTATCTGATTCACAACGCAAAAATGGACGCCAAAAATCGGCTGCCGTTTGATCCACCAATTCCAATACGACGTCTTTGTTGTTTATTTTACAATTTTGAACATGAACATATGATGATAAGGAGGAATCAGATTGAAGAAATTCATTAACACCGTTCAATTTGAGCAAAAAATCATCAATGTTGTCCTATAGAGTGAAAATTTAGCCAAAAACAACAAACATCGAGATTATAAGTACCTTTTCTTTTTCTGCAACGTTATGAACAACATGAGAAATGATCACATCAACAGTTTTATTATAATCGGCAGGAAATTTCATCGAAAACCAAAGATAATTTGAATCTATCATTTTTACACTGGAAACAACATTCGATTTGTTCGGTATTTTGTTGGTAATTTTAAAATAAACCAATGAACTAAAACGAACATCAATGATAATCAAATTCTCATCATTATCGTTTTCAACAGAAATTTGACTTAAATCTATACCAGCCAATGAATCATTTGGATTAGAAATTCCATAGAAATATAATTTATCAGATTGACTACTGGATTGTCGTTGGAAATTGTCGACCATAATTTGTGGCGAAAAAACTAGACCAGAATTTACATCACAAGAGCTTGTAGTTTTGTTAGTAAAACAGGTCATATAAAGAGATTTTAAATGTTCACAGAATTCAGTCATTTCTTTGTTAAATAAAGTTTTACGTGGTTCAACTATGAAGGATTCGAAAATAGACTGTGTTTTGCTTTCACAGAAACTGTTTTGATCAGGCTTGCTTTTATATTTATTGATGGGTAACGTATTTTCTTTACTATTATTGTTATTGATAATATCTTCTTTTAAAGCAGCCGAATCTCTCAAATCCCCTCTAACATTATTTAAATGTTCTGGTGATGAATGGACTTGAGGTTCATTTGGAACTAATGGAATTCTTTCAGCTAATGGATCAAATAAATCAATAATTTGCTTAGGATCTTCTGGCGTAATAGGATAGACTGAGGTTGGTGTCAATACATCGGGAACAAGAATTTTATTCTCAAATGATGATGATTTGTTTATTTTTTCATCTGTTTCTGTTTGAATTTTTGTCGAATTGATTTTATCAATTAATTGAAGATTCATGACTTGTTCGGGAGGGAAAAGATGTAGATTTTGATTCGATGATGACATCGTTGAATGACACTGATGAGGAGTAAGCCGTTTGAAAATAAATCATAAGAAAAAAGCATATTTTATTTCAAAAATCCAAACCTGAGAATGAGAAGGTATGTTCATGTAAAATGGATTAGCCATTGGTGATAGTGGTGAAACACCAGGCAGACTAGATGAAAATGTTGCAGGATATGTGACAGTTCTTGACAATGGCCAATAAAGTTTGGCATATTCATTTTTGTCGTGATCGTTGCTGTTGTTTTTATTATTGTTAAAGCATCTAACATTACTATTATAATATAAGGGATTTAGATGAAAATTAAAATCATTAGGATTCGGCAATGTATTAGTAATCTATATAGAATAATAAATTATTAGTAAATTGCAACATGGTCAACCATTTTTGTCTATAATAATACACACCAAAGAATTACTTCGTTCATTATGATTAGGTGAAACTTTAAAAAGTTCCATTATTTTTTCCTTGTAACTTTTAGAATTTTGATCATTGTCATTATCATCGTTTCGATTTCCATTCTGATCGATCGATGAATGCCAATCTATAAAATGTCTTGTCCGGTTCGAGGAGCTAGGTGAAAGCTGGTCACTTGAAGCGGATATTTTTTTACTTTTAAACAAATGATTTGGCCTTTGTAATATAGGTTGATTATTTACAGATAGTTGAGATGATTTCCCAAAATCATATAAAATATTATTCCTATGATTATCATCAAATTGATCATCTGAGGATGAATGTTGTTGATGGATGTCAAATCGACCGTTATCTTTAGGAACGGGAGGAACATAATCCCAAAGTTCAGCATCGAAACTAGTTAAGCGGCCCCATGTCATGAAGGCATTTTTTGAATCTTGTATCGATGAATCGGTTGGACGGGGTGGTAATTGTGGTTCTAAAATAAATAATATAATAATATCATTATTGATCGAATTATCATAAAAAAATACATACCTTTATCCATAATTTTTCACATCAAGAATTTATCACAGATAATTTTCAATTGATTTTGTTGAATAGATTGTAAAAATATATAGACACTTTTAAATTCAGTTTGACTTTGAAATCAAACAAAAGTCTATCTGAAATTATATGACAAACAGTTGATATATAGATATATCTATTATAATGATGATATTAAATTAATGTATGTCTTAGAATAAAAAAAAGGCAAAACGAAATCGGATAAAATTGTAAACAAACCAATAGAGTACACTTGTTGAATGTAAAAACTAAACCGGCAAATGGTGAGGAGGACGGCTACAAGTTCAGATGAAAATTCACTCGAACATTATAATTTGTTGATGATATAGATTGAATCAATAATGATAAATCAACGCATTTGACGACAATTGTTTCCTGCTTTTAATATTTTCTTTGTTTCATTCAACGTTTAACAAATGACATTGAGAATGCAAAATAATCGTTTTGGTAAAGCTTAGAGGGGAGTTCAAAATAAATTACTTTTTTTGTTGCTTGCCAGTTTATGATTTGTGTTGATATAATCACAATTAGAATTAGAATAATTAATTAATCTAGTTTGTCTGTAGTCGAGAGGTTATTATTATTATTATGTCCATTTAATGTTCGGTCGCTGACTTTATTTTGAAAAAAACTTGTTGCAAAAATTATCGACCATCATTATTGACATGACGACAATGACTCATTGAATTTAGGTTATATGCAACGTGGTTGTGGTGGTAGTGGTGGCGACTTTGACGATTCAATGAATTGGAGCATATAAAATTTGCAAGTTGAATTGAAAAAAAACAATGACGACGACAACTGGTATGAAGATTTTCAATGAATTAGAAAAATTGGAAATTTTCGCGTTTTATGATGAACGATGACATATGGTCGATTCGGGACAATTCCAATAACATGTGATAAATCGTCGATTATAAAATAGATTTGCAAACAAAATGAAAAAAAATGACGTCGATTGGCCAATTATTTTTTTTCCGTCGTAGTTTTTTCTTGTTTTATTAGTACAATAATAATAATTATTATTATTATTTTGTAGTTGTTGACTACAAATTGCTGTCTTTCGTGGTGAAATTTATTTCATTTTTTTACACGATTGGAGAGAAAAATGCTATTTTTCATATTATATCACCTTTATCATTATGACAACAACTGTGATACAAACATGTAAAAGAAGAAAATATCGATATCACTGATACCAATAATCATGGTTACCAATCAGTGGATTTTATTTTAACAGTATGGTCGTTGAATCGAAACGATGATGATTCCTGATAATAGAAAAATATAAAAAGTGAGAAAAAGATTTAACAAAAAAATGAATTTGTATTAAAACGGTTGCAAATTTCAATGTGTGATTGTTTGGAACAGGTTTTTCAGAATGTTAAATTAGCATGAATTATAAAACCGAGAACAACTATTAGTTTTTTGCATTCAATAGCTTCATTTCATTATTATTTTGTCAACTATAGTTAACTCATTAACTCTGAATGGATTTTATGCATGTCAAGTCCGGTTTCAACATTAGATATAATGAACTCTATTTTAGCAATAAATTTTTTTCACACCACGGTTTTGCTTGTTGCCACACAACGGCAATAGTCCGTTACAATGCAAACGAGAGAATCGATTTGAAATTCAGTATCAATAATAGTTTATAATAGCCACCTTCAAGGTCTAATAGGTGTGAATCTTTTTTGAAAGATATTCATTGAATGAAACAATGAAATAGTGATTCCATTCATAAAAATAATAATGTTTACCACGTAAAGATCATTCAATTTTTAAACTTACAAGATTCGATTTATGGATAGTTTAACATAGGTGATTTTTTTGAAAATTTAGATAGGTTATTCATACGAAGGATGAGTCAACAACCAGTATTGAAGAATCTAGGTGAGTGGGTTGAATGTGGTTATTAAACCATCGATTATCGATTGATCATGATTTGAGAAACAAAAAAATTTTCGAAATTACAAGCAATATAACCATGTTTGAATATATGTTTGCAATAGAGAGTGGAAATTTTTTACGACGTTAAATCATTTCGATTGATGATGCAATATTCTGTCGTCGATTAAAACATACGATGCTGGGGAAAAATATTGCATCTTTTCCACCCATTAATTGGTTTGTTGTTATCATAAAAAATTGAATTCATTCTTGATTACCAAATAAAACATTGTGTGTTATGACGCATCGACAATTGATACTCAATCAAGTAATAACATTCTTGGAGCATAGATGGCAGTTCCGCGTTGAAATTTGATTCGAAATTTTTTTTTTCATAAACTATCTTCATATAAATTCTTTCAAATTTTCAGTTTTAAACATTAAAATCATTCTGTTTAATATTATTATTATTTGTATAATGATACATAAGGATAAAAATGGGCGTTTTCATATCTGTTATTGTGAATATGAATAAAGTTAACATTTTTATATTGATATATGATGCATATTAGATCTGACATAAATTATATCATATCATTTAAACCAAATACAAATAATCGCAATAAACTATACGGATAAGGATTAAAAAGAAAATAATCATAAGGAAAAAAAATTCATCCAGTCATTGTTTTCAAGTAGTCGATTTGAATCCAGATACATAGCCAGTATTGGGAGTTATGTCTACACGACCAGCTTTTCCACGTCCTTTGCCCGATTCATCAAATCGTTGTTTATGTGAACCAGTATATTTGGTATGATCAGTTAGTCGACCGATTGCACCACTAGTTACAGCGGTCTACATTTGTTATTATTATTATTGATAAATGGAATTAAAAATTGGCATTCTAATAACAAAAAAGAAAATGCAAAAAAACTTACAGTTGTTTTATTTGTAGCTGGTGGTCCACTTTGTTGAAGTTTGTTCTTTAATTCTGCTAAATCAATTTTTTTGACGGTAGCCAATTTTTCCAAAAATAAATTATATTCTTTGAAATTCAATGTCTTCTTGGTTCTATTTTCATATAATTAATCATAGTAATTTTAATCAATAAAAAAAAATTCACAAACTTACTTGGAAACCTGTTTGAAATAGATTCCAGTATCGGTGGTCGTAATTGTTCGATTTGATGGATCAATAATTTTGGCCTGTTTAAACCATTTATCACTGTTGGATAATGTAATCGTTTCGCCAGTTGATTTACAATCACCAAATTTGGCAAACATTTTGAACAATTGGACAAATGATTCATTAGATGATGATTCCGTCGGAGTTTTATTTGAATTTTCAACATTATCATCATTATGATCATTTAGATTTTGTTTTTCCATACGATCGGTAATAGTTTGAATTTCTTTTTGGGATTTTTCATCTTTATTACTCAGATCCAATATGGCTTCAACCGAACCGTTTGGCTGTTTGATTTGGGCATCAATCTGTGCCATCTGTAAATATGTTTCAATTAGACACATTTTATTATTATTATTATTATTGTTATCGTTATTATTATGATTAATAATGCAATAAAACGATCGATTTATGATGAATGCAATGATGGCGATGATAAAATTCACAATATAATTAATAAGATTCAATATTATATGAGAAATGAATGATCGATGATAATATTCGACAATCAAACATGATAATGATGATGGTGCTAACGATTGTCTTAGGTAATATGAGATTGTTGTCGCCATTCTTGTTTGTCGTTGTCGTACCTCCTTTACAGTCATTTTTTTTCTTCTCTCCATTGAAATGAACAGGAGAAAAAAAAATTCATTTACAATATACAAGCTATCTTTGATTACTATGCTATGTGTTGAAAAAAAATATTCGTTCATTCATTAAACACAAAAAAGAGACCAATGAAAATACAAATATTTATTCATCTAAAAAAAGTGAACTCTATCATGTTGTTGATTGGTTGATTAATTGGTTAGATAATATTTGGATGGGTAGTACGTAGTCGGTTGAAAGAATCATCCAAATGAAGACGTAAGACAAAAGAAAAAAAAACAGTTATGAACACCAGTAATTTAAGAAGTATTTTTCTTTTTATTTATCAACCAAATTTATTTCTAATAATAACGATGAGATTATTATTGTCGTAAAAAGTGTTGGAAATTTGAACAATAGTCACACACAATAATAGGAAAAAAAGGGGCAATGAAATTCGAATCGGTTCGTTTGGCTACATTTATTTTTTTTTTTTTTTTTTGAAATGCTATTAATAGTTGAACAACAAGTCCAATTGATAAATATGATAGTTATGCAAATTATGATGATGATGATGATGACATACATAATTCATATAAACACACATTTTGGTTGATTCATCATCATTTATAAAGAAATAATTTTTTTAGTTTTTATTATTAAAGAAAACTCATAAAGTTGACGTATCATAAATATCTTTGGGCTCCAAATGATGATGATGAATTTGAAAATTTACCTTTTTCATACATCACATTCAGAAATCGAGTATAAAAAGAAAAAAAATTAAGTAATTATTTTTTTTTATTCAGGCCTAAAGCCTAGAGCCTACATTCAATCAGTCAAAAAAAAAAAAAAAAAAATATTTCATCCAAAATGATTTAGAATACATTCATTCATTGTAACACACAAGAGAGAATATAAAAATAATGTATTAATGAAAAAACAATTTTATCTAAATAGACATTTCTCTATTGAAAACTTTTCTTAGAATTTTCACTATGAAAAAAATAAATAAAACTTACATTTGGATTCGAAAGAATAAATTTCAATTTGTCGCACTATAATCACGTGAAATAAATTTTATAAATGATGAAAATTCCCGGCACATAATAACTTCAATATAAACAATTAATCATTCGGATATTCATGAAAAAATTCGTGATTATTGTTGTTGTTTTGTTTTTTTTTCTGATTGTCAAATCTATGAATTTTGATCGAGCCAAATGGACATTGTCCATTGTTGATCAGAACAACAGGTGTTGTTCAACATGACATACACAACAACAACAACAAAAAATTCAATTATTCGAACGAAAACCGTATCGCTGACGAATGGCTATATTTGATGGATTCAAATAACAATTATTTGTCTTATTTGGACATCCTAATTAATTGTTCTATGTTTTTTTTGACGAATATTAAATTGTGTCCAATTGACAGTCATGCGTGCATGAATCATTCAATAAACAATCAAACAGAAAATGTTAATGAAAATGAATAATTTCATTCTTTCTTTTCTTCATTCAGCAATTGTAATATTGAAGATAAAATCTTCAAAATGACCAAGTTTATCGAGTGTTTGAATATGTTCATTCGTTCATTCATTCATTCATTAGCGACATTTTTTTGGTTTGTAATTAATTTAATTGGTTATATCAAATGAAACTGAAACATAACTGTATCTTGCAATAAACAAGTGAAATTTTCACTGGATAAAAATAATAATAATAATAATAACATTTATCCAGCATGGTGGAATACAACATGTCGTGAACAAGAATTTAACTCATAGATCACAACAATGACATTGTCCGAACTTTTGTAGAATAATTTAGGTTAATTATTTTCAGTTGATAATAAATGACCATATTGCTATTATGAAATGATGATGAATAGATTGAATTGACCATTTTCATTCGAAAATCATAATGTTAATGGTCATTAGCCTAGTTGCATTTAATATGCAGTTAAATTGTTTCAACAGACGAAAAAAAAATAATACAAAAGTAAATGAAATAGAATAATTTGATGATACACGTCATTTCGAAAAAAATTTTAAGGAAAAAAGTCACAAAATACATTTGAATACATTTAACTTACATTTGCAAAAAATATTTTTTTCTCAGTCACAGGAAGAAATTCAAAAAAAAAATCAATGAATATTTAATGTAAATCGAATAAGATTCAAAAAAAATCCAAGTTTTATAGCTTGATGTACAAAAAAAAAACACACACAAACACACAAAATTAGTGAGATGTAAAATAGAATATAACTAACAATAATAGTCGTTATTATGATTTGATGAAAATCACGGATTATCAATCAAGTGGATTTATCGTCTTTTTTAAAAACTTTGTTTTTAGATTATGATGATATCTCAAATGTGGAGATAATGAAAAAAAAATCATGATTCATTACAGATCAAATTTTTATGCATATAAAGAAAAAAAAAGTTTTAGTCGAAAAAATCTGTTTTATTATGTGGCTTATGGATTTTTCGCCTACATTTTACAGATGTACATTTGCAAATTTACACACGGATTATAAGTTCTCACAAATTTTTAATAACTGAAACAAATAACTCATTTCTCACCTACAGAAAACAGTTTTTTTTGCTTCCTGTCAAATGTGTTGATTATTGTTGATATGATTATTTACCTTTTTATGGCAATGTATTATGATAACAAAAAAGTCACTGACAATGGAAATTGATGCTTATTAGTTTTTCACATACTAGTATGAATTTATGACGATGAATTGGTCAAAAAAAAGATTGGTTGAAATTTTGCTATGACTTAAGGTAAGTTTGTGCGTGAGCGTGTGCGTATGAGTGATATAATTCTGAAATTTAGGTTCAATGGATGTTTATTCTTGGGGAATTCCCAGATAATGTCCCAGTTCAAGTTAGGATAAACATTTTTTTAGAAGGAATAACAACAACAATGACGTCGTGGTGATCGTTACAGCGTCGCCGTCAATTATATGGAATTTCGGTTTGTTATATATCCATAGATATATTAGATGTTTCAGGGCTCTAGGTCAACATGAATTTTTTTCACATCTACTCTCTCACTAGAATTTATTTGTGAACGATGACGTAAAAATTGCGCCAAATTCAATGATGAGTTAATAAGTTATAAATAAAAATACTATAAAAGAAACTGATCTATAGAATACTTTGGACTAGTTTTGAATCACACCAATTTCCTCCATCTATGATTAAATTTTTTTTTCATTCTGTCTTATCTAAGATATCACTGTTTGATTTGACTAAACAATCATAAAAATAGCCATTATGTATGTAAAAAACAAAGGCTTTTATATCTGTTACCACAGTGATTGGTGATCATTTTTAACAAAACATACATTGATAAATATTGTCATTTCCAAAATCAATGCCAAACATCTACATTTATCAATTGTTACTAATAAATTATCAATGACAATGAGAATTTTTTTTTGTTTATTAACATTCAATCAATCGATAAAAATCAATTTTACATTTATCAATCAGTTATCAGATTAATTTATATAATAATTTTTTCACGTTTGCTTAAATTCAATGAATGAAATTCGAATCATATAGCTTAAGAATGTAAAAAAATTTTTTTTAAATTCAGAATGTTTTAAAAGATTTCATCGTCTACTGAATACGATATATTTCTACATCAATCAAATACAAACTTTTCAAACAATTCAATGTTTATAATAAATTGTCTAAAAACTTTGCTATAACAAGAGAATGATTTAAAATAAATGATACGTAAGTTTTACATCTGGATTCTTGATTTTATATATCTAAGATGAATATATAAATTTCATTGTGGTTATGATTTATGAATCTAATGTTTTGTGCTTTACGATTATGTTCATGATTGTTTGCCATTGCATAATGTTTATTTGGCGCGCGTTTAAATAAGCTTACATTATTTCTTATATATAGCACCTTTTAATTTGATCAAAAAGCAGAAGCATCTGTGCAATCAAGAATAATGGGTGAATAGGATTTTTTCAATGGTTCGATTTCGCTATGTTCTAGCATCTAACGTCTTGGCACATTTTTCCGGAATACATATACTATTGAATTGTTAGTTGTAGCAGTAGTAAATGGTTCCAAGAGCAATCTAGTCAACTAAAATAACCGAATAATAACAGGACGAAGGATGAGCTCAAATGAAACACACACACACACACATATATATACTTATATAATATTCATTGTAAACAGAATTCATGCTCATTCGCTTTAACATTGATTGAATCATATATTTGACTCATAGAATTTCAATAAATTATGAAAATAATTTAAACTATTAATCGATTAATTAATTAATTAAAAACTCAATCGTTTAATTTTCAAATTTGGGCTTTCGACTGTTGCCTTATCGATCACGATCGCTATTGATCGAATTTGTGGAGATGATTTGTTGAAATGTCCTGATAATAATCAATGACTTCATCAATTTTTTGATGATGATGATCATCGTATACATGATTGTTGTTCAGAATATTTTTTTTAATCACTTTTCATTAGAAAAAAACAAAAATCCAATAATTAGTTCAAAATGATTATAAAATTTTTTAAAATTTGCCTTACATCAAATTTCTTCCAACAATTATCATCATCTTTATGTTTGGTCATCTATTTATTATTTTTGAATCTGGATCAACGAAAATCGTCGACAGTTGTTGATGCACAGCGACAATATCATATTGGAGCCGTACTCAGTTCTGCTGAGCAAGTTGTTCAATTTCAAAAGGTAAAACAGTTTCAAATGTTTTAACGATTGTTTAATCCGATCTTCATAGATCATCGAGGATATAAATTATGAAGGTGATATTTTACCGTATGGCGTATCGCTCCATGGCCACAGTATACTTAAACAAACAAATCCAATTGATGATACCAGAAATTTATGCCATAATCTGATGCCTTTCGAGATTTATGCCATAATCATTGATGATACGGTTCCATCGAATGCCATTACATTCACATCATCATTACATAATATTCCGACTATTGGCCTAGCCAATCGAGAATGTCTATTCTCAGATAAAAGTCTTTATGGATCGTATATGCGAACCACACCAACTTATTCGAATCAGGCCGACGTTTGGGTACGAATTCCAATTGTTATTCGATAATTTTGATATAACTTGATATTAATTTTTTAGATGCGATTGCTCACTCATCTTGATTTTGAATGTGCTCATTTCATCGTATCGGATTCGATCAATGGTCGCGATATAAAAACACAGTTTATTACATTAGCCGATATCAACAATCTTGAAATAGAATCGATTATTGAATATGATTTTTCCAGGCCAATTCTTCGACCCGATTTGGAAGCGATCAAAGAACGGAATTCATCATGTCGAATAAATGTTCTCTACGTTGATGACTACAATGCTGAAAAAGTGTTGTCAGAAATAATAGGGTTAAACATTACAGGAGCTGACAACATATGGATAGTTTCCGAACAAGCATTGTATGCGCCAAATCTACCCATTGGCTTCTTGGGAATTCGATACAAAGATCAAAGTAATATCCAATCGCATATAATTGATAGCGTTTATGTGATATCAAATGCAATAAAAGAAATGCGCAGTAAAATCAATGCTAATCTCACAATGCCACCTGGTGATTGTCGTAATATTGGACGCTCCCGATGGACAGATGGGGATTTATTCTATGATTTCTTACGCGGTCAAACAATCATTTTTGGAAAGACTGGCAAAATAAGCTTCGATGAACATGGTGATCGTTTGAATGGTCATTATGAGATTTGGAATCAACAACCAAATACCAACCCGAATAGAACTTCAAACAATCGATTGGTCAATGTCGGACAATATTATTATAATCAAAGTGCTATGAAAATGACCATAGATATTGATGAAAAGAAAATCGTTTGGCCAGGTAATAAGACTGAAAAACCAATCAGCTATTCGACGCCCGCACATTTGCGTATTGCTACATTGGCAGAGATTCCTTTTGTATGGGTATTGCCCGTGAATGAGCACAAAGGTTGCAGTGCTGGACAAGTTCCATGTCCTATTCGTAAGAAAAATGGAAAAACTGGTCTATATTATCAGGAAACCTTTTGTTGTGAAGGTTATTGCATTGATTTATTGATACAATTGGCTGCACAATTAAATTTTACTTACACATTGCATCAAGTAGAAGATGGCTTTTATGGATCGTATAGATTCAATGATAAAACTGGTCACCATGAATGGACCGGTTTATTGGGCGAACTTTATTATGATCGGGCAGATATGGTGGTTGCTGCATTAACAATCACACCGGAACGTTCATTAGCCATCGATTTCACAAAGCCATTTAAATATCAAGGCATAACCATCCTACAAAAACAACAAGCCATTCATCGTCTTGGTCATCCATTAACGTCTTTTTTGCAGCCATTTCAGAACAGCCTATGGGTTTCCGTTTTTGTTGCCGTTCATGTGGTTGCATTAGCACTTTACCTTTTAGATCGATTCAGTCCATTCGGACGTTATAAATTGCCTAATTGTGAAACAATCACAGAGGAAGATGCTCTCAATCTATCAAGTGCTATTTGGTTTGCATGGGGTGTACTATTCAATTCAGGAATCGGCGAAGGAACGCCACGAAGTTTTAGTGGACGTGTCCTTGGCATGGTTTGGGCTGGCTTTGCCATGATAATTGTCGCATCATACACTGCTAACCTAGCTGCCTTTCTTGTGTTGGATCGACCCCAAACAGCATTGAGCGGCATCAATGATCCAAGACTTCGAACACCTCCTGATGGTTTCAATTATTCAACAGTTCGCAATAGTGCTATCGATAATTATTTTAAACGTCAAGTAGAACTAAAATTAATGCATCAAAGAATGTCTGAAATATTTTTCAATAATGTTGAGGATGCGATCGCCGCTGTCAAATCTGGTTAGTAAACTGTTTCTAAAAAGTTGTCATTTTTTATAAATTTCAATTTTATCTGTAGGTACATTAAGTGCATTTATTTGGGATAGCGCTCGTCTTGAATATGAAGCTGCCAATGATTGTGAGTTGATCATTTCTGGTGAACATTTCGGTCGATCTGGTTATGCTATTGGTCTTCCAAAAGGTAGAGTTCTTTTCGAGTTCATCTAATTGGTTTATGATTTTTTAACTTTGCAAACCTCATCAGATAAAATCTATTGGAAAGATAAGGTATCTCTAGCTTTGTTGGGCATGCACGAAAGTGGTTTCATGGAAGATTTGGATCAAAAATGGATCCTATTGAATGAACAAGTCTGTTCCATCAGAACAGAGCATTTTCCTCCCACTTTAGGCCTTAAAAACATGGCTGGGGTGTTCATACTGGTCGCCACGGGTATACTTGGAGGTGTTGGTTTGATTATGTTTGAAATTTTTTACAAACAACATCAAACTCGTAAACAGAAGCGAATGGAATTGGCTCGTAATGCATTAGATCGATGGAAAGAAATGGTTCAGGTATTTTTTTTATCATTCCATTCCGATAATTCAGATATATTCTTTTTCTTATTATATTAAGAAACGTAAATTACGAAAAGAGTCACTGAGAATGGCTGCCCAACAACGATATCGTGACCAGCAAGTATTACATCGACGTCGACAACAACTAAGACATAGTTCGAAAAGTTTAAGCGATGAACGATTTTCAACTTCATCCTCTATCGAAATAACGGATCCACATGGACATCAGCATTATCTGCAGCAACAACAGCAATCACAACAATCGGAAAGATGCAATAATCTTTATAATGATAAACATTCGGATTCTCGTCATGGAGAATTCAGTCGACCTTCAAAGCCCACCTATTTGGAATTGAAACACATAAATACTTCTATTCTACCATCATCGGTAGCAGCTCAACAAGCTCATCCACCGCCAACATTGACAACAAGCCGACGAATGTTCGAACAGGAACAACATCCTGTTGCAAGTGCTCGTATATATACGAAACCAAAACTTCGCCGTGAATTTTCTATAGCATATGAAACTAGTGATAATACTGGAAGTGCTGGCGAAGATCCTAATTTTTCACAACGCACATCATCATTGTCGTCGGCACGAACCACCGAAAAGTATGGTTCGAATTTTGTAAATATAATCTAATATAATATAATTAAATTTGTTTGCAAACAACAACAAAGAAAAAATTGTAATTTTATTTCTGCTCTTCTTTTATTTTTGGTTTTTATTCCAAACAATTGTAAATATAATTGCTTAATTTGACTAATTGTGTTCAATACAATACAACAATAAACGACTAAAACTATTTCATTAATTCCGAATGTGAATTTGTTATAATTTACTGGTTTATTTTTTTTATTGATTGTTACCGTTTCCACTGACAACTGGTTGATCATTATCATCATCATGCCATTCTTTAATCATTCAATGGCGCAAAGTATGCGAAAATCGTCGAATGATCCGTCATTTTCGAAATCTAAATCAAAACGAATTCAAATTCGTTCAATGCCTGGTACAACTGATCCGAATCAAACGGTAGCCAGATCTGCTGATCCGTCCATTTCATTGAAATATACACAAAAAATATCTCAACGAAAATTACTTTTTACAAGAAGTTTGCTTAGATCTCAAGTATGTGCAGTAGTTTACCTTTTTTCATGGTTTAAGTTTTATTTTTCACAAAATTTTAGATTGAACAATTGAGTGCACAAGAAGGTGCTCTATCAGTGCGACAAGTACCAAAGTTATTCGAAGCATTTCAGATTGACACAAACAACAAACTAAATGAAGATTCGGATGTGCAAATGTTTCCGGCAAAAAATACATCGATGCCTGAATATGTCATGATGGCATGTATATATGTAACTCAAAATGTTGATCCGAAAAATTCATTCTATTTAAAAGTTTTACGTCATTTGGGGCGAAAACATCCATACATCGTGAATACATGGGAAATATTTTCCGATGATGTCAACGTGTATATCTTTCAGGAATTTGTTCCACGAGGAAATCTGATCTCGTATGTCGAAGAGAATCCTGTCAATGAACGACAACTTTGTTTTTGGGCACGACAAATTTATCGTGCATTAGATTTTTTAGGCGACAGTGGTATCGCTCATAGAAATATAAAACCTAATCATTTATTACTGAAACCAATGGGCAATGAATTATGTATCAAGTTGACAGGTTTTAAAAACTCAATCATATATTGGAATATAGAAGAGAATGATGTCAATTTTTGTCAATGTTTACCGATCAATCAGCAAAAGAGTGATGGGCCAAATTTTCAGGCACCAGAAGTTTATGGAAATAATAATGAATTTTTCGATCCAATCATTGCTGATTTATGGTCATTTGGAGCGAATCTGTTTTTTACATTGACACAATTTTATCCATACAACATTGATTATCCGCATGATAATTTGGATGAAGAAATCTGGCATAATGTAACTAAAATTCCGAACATAAGCACCGAATGTCAGAATTTTCTATATGCTTTGATGAGATCAAATGCTAATGATCGTATACCATTTGATTTTATCGACAAAGATGATTGGTTCCGTAAATCCTATATGATACCCAGTTGAGCAATGATTTTAATAATGTTTCTGAATTTAGACTAAATTATATTCACAAAAAATTATCTAATATTTTGTAGATTTTTCAATCGCTCTTATTCCTTCCATTCGTAACCGTTTTATCATTGTGTTGTAAACATTTACCGATGTTGGCCCGACAACGCCTTTTTCTTGTATTTCTCCATTCAAAATCATATTGGCAGCGATTCCAGTAGGATAACCGACAGTTTTGGCCATGGCTGAATATCCATCGGGATCTCCGTATACGACCAGATCGATGTTACGTTTTTCTTTGCTTTGATCAGGCCATTCAACATTGATTTCATGTCGTAAAACGACCAGATCACGTTCACATGGCTGATACATCAATTTGTTGGTGAGATAATACATCAACGTTTCGAATGGTGAATGTTTTTTGGCAATCATTTCATCATCTAATAAACCAAGTTCTTCAAATGCTTGCATACGTTGTTCATCTTGTCCGATTTTATCGAACATTATATTTTTAACAGTTGTAGGCAGAATATCTTCGGGTTGTGCCAACAAATTGGCAATGAATTGACGCCACGTTATATCTGGCCCATTTGGATGTAGTAAAGGATGCGGATTAGTGTTGAGCAGTTGCATCATGTGAAATCCTTTCATCAGGTTACAGAATCCTTTGTACCTATTTGATATGGTTACAAATGTAATGATACTCTTTTAACTAAACAGATAATTACCTCAATGTGCCACGTAATAATGTGTGAACGGAATTTAGTCCGTAGACATCCTGATAGATTAAAGAATCACGATTAGGATATCCTTCGAAACTAAAACCTTTTAAAAAGTCAATATCTCGGACAGCATCCATCAAGGCACCACCTTCGGGAACTTCATACAATTTTCCTTTTTCGAGCCATCGTGCTCCGGATAATGTATTCAATATTACTCCTCTGGGATTCCAGCTAAACTTGTATAAAAGTGAATTATCAGCAGATTCTGGAGCAGGTATACCACCACAGAATGATTTAAACGATGTGATTTTGCCTCCGTTTGAATGTACTTGTTCGAAACATTCCATCGCAAACAAATGATCAATACCAGGATCTAAACCGACTTCGTTTAAGATGGTTACACCAGCTTCAAGTGCTGCATCATGAAGAGCTTTCATTTCTGGAGTTTTGTAACTAGCCGTCACCATATTCTTTTCAAATTGAATACATTTCTGAGCAATGATCGGATGTAGTGAGTAAGGAAGCAAACTGATTACGAGATCAGATTCCTTAATAAGTGTCTCTAAAAGATCTTGATTTTTTAGTACATCAACAACTACTGATTCAGCATTTGATTTCTTTGCATTTTTGGCGATATTTTCACTCGGAGTCTGAAGATCTGATGCAATAATTACATGAACTTTTTCATCGCGAGTCAATATTTCGACGAGAGGAGCGGCCACAAAACCGGCACCCAAAACTAATACCGATTTTTCATTGTCTGCTCTCGATTTACCCAATTTGCTTTTATCTTTATGAGCTCTCATTTCCATTATATATTGAAAATTTGAAGTTAATTCTCTATTACTAGCAATCACTGCTCGTTGTACCACATCACTGCCTTTGAATTTTTCGAATGGCTCGTTTGCATCTGAATTAATGATATCAAAGATATATGGTTTGAGCAAATCACCAAAAGATTGAGTCGCTTCTAATGGTAACTGTGTGGGCATATTATCGATCGAACATACAAGTACACCAGGTCCTATACGATTGGAAAAACACCAATTTACAAAAAAAATTATATAAACATAAATATTCATAATACAAACCGGCAAAATCACTAGTCTTTTGGTTATAATCAGCATCGTATAGACAGAATGGATTGTCAATCGTTGTACAATCGGTCATGAACTCTACAGATCCACCAGGATCAGCACTGATATCACAGATAGCTAATAGTCGATGTGGCAGTGCAGGAGAACCTATAGATGTTGGTAACCAAGGTGCATAATGCGGTTGCAATAATCTTTTTGCATCCGGGATAGTCAATAATCTCGGCGAATCTGGTGCCCAATAAATTCCATTTACAATGACAGATGCATGTGGTGCAATGTTTGAGGCGAAATTTGAGTAGTAACGTTCAGGATGTTGTTCGGCTTCTTCCGGATCAAATGTTGAACCATTTTTATGGACCCAATGATCAGCTCTTGAAACGACAGCACCGTATACTTTGGTAGTTTGACCCAGTTGTGATACATGTGGCAAATCTTTAACATCGACATATTCAAATGGTAATTCTTGAAATATTTCCTGTGCTCCTTGAGATACATTTCCTGATTGATGAAAAATAGCAGTTATTTAATGATTAAAATTTTTTCAACGAGTAAATACCGGATCCGGTGAAAACAAACGTGAGTGGACCAATCGATCGAGGCATCATAGCTAACGCTATTTCATAACCACTTGCCCGAACAGCTTGTTTAGCACTTCCGCTATCACGATAATTATGAGCAGGACCAATATGCATGAATGGTGAATGGTGACCTAATGCCAATAGCCGTAAACCTAGGCCATGCATTATGTTGATCATACCGGCAATACCGGCATAACGACCAAAGGCTACCACACGTTGATTCATAGAATCAACCATTTTCTCATAATCAATCAAACGAATATTACGATCAAGACATGCATCAAGCAATGGCATATTAGCTTCCTGGGCTTTGATCGTATGAGAAAAGAAGGCATACGTTTTATTCGGCAATAAGAGATCAACAGGAACTTGTTTGACGCCAATTATGACTGGTGCTTCACTAATGTCTTCTTGAACGACAGCGCCCGATTGTACATAAGCTTGCAACGGATATGCACGACGATTTGAAGGCTGAACAATTACCTTAACACCTTTCCGAACCAATTGACGAACATGAAGTGGAGCCAATGGAGCACGACGTTCCCAAATTGAAGCATCTTCTCGTCTGATTGCTTTAGTAATAATATTCAATGATTGATAAAAATATTGATTAATTGATTGAAATGTTCTAATGTAATTACCTAATAAATCATACCCAAGATTTTTTTCCCATCAACAGAAGTCGATTTGAATCGATGTGAGATTGATCGAATAGCTACCGCTGTTGATCTAGCAGTCAAATATGGTATATACATCTTTATAAATTTTTTTATAGGATTAAAATTCAAAAAAATTTATAAATATTTAAATAGTAGGCGTTTTTGCTTGTTTTTATTCTGCTTGAATAAACTGGACTTCTTATTCAATGAGATTAAGCAACGAATTGTTTGGATGCTTGACAGCATTTGTCACTTTTTTCAATCGAAGGTTTGGGGAAAAAATATCCAAATGTTTTGGAATTATAAAACGAAAATAAATTTTATTTGTCTTATTTAAATTAAAATTTAATGATGAGAAAAAAAATCGACACAATCGAAAAAGTCTTGTAAGATGTCTTTTATTATTTGAATAAAAACATCGAATGACATTCTCATTTCAGTGAATGTTAAAAAAAACAAAATTAGCTGATCGTTTACAGATAAAGATCGCAAAATATTTGATAAAACAAACTTGCATCTAGTCTCGTTATTAGCAGAATTTTATCTACATTGATTTTTATTTTCGAAAAAAATTGTTTTCTTCTTCACTTGTTCATATATCGATTATTCAAATGAAATTGATCGGCAGTTAAAAGATGGAAAAAACTTCAAGTATGATAAACACATTTTTTTACATGAAATCTTTTGCTATTATCATCTGATGATGATTATTAAAAGCTAATAAGATCATGAAAAATTACATATCAACCAACCAATGCCTCTTACAGAAGTCAGATCAATCTTCCGAATGATCACGATGTTCATTTTTCAGATTTTTGCAAGTTTCTATTGACAAGTATTAAACAAATTCATTAAATTATGAATCAACAAAATATTAGAATACCAACCTATAAATTCATTGACCAAAGTTGTTTCGACTTCACTGCGCATATTGCCAGTCACTTCCTCGCATTCGACCAACGGAAAAAAAAGATCAATAAATTCAATAGAATATGGAGCAGTGATCATCGATAAAACTTCAATGATAAAATATCGAAACAATGATATATCAGTATCGCCTTTTTGCCAACATTGTTTAATATATTTTAACACTGGAACTACGCATCCTTTGCTAATCAAATGAATCATACGATCAAGGATCATTTTCTTCAGTTCAAGCTGTGCTAAAACTTCTAGTTCATCGTATTGTTTTTCAAATATATCAATGTAGAGATTTAGGGTTATTTTATGCAACGTGTTATGACAGGCGGTTACTTCGTCCAATAAAGCCAAATGTAAAGGAGTTTGTTCAGTATTTAATTTAAAATAACTTGGTTCGCTGACAACATGTTTAACCCAGTAAACAATTCCATAGGCTACCACCTGATATTTTTCAATCATTTGATATAATGTTTTCAATTCTGGTAGAATCTCAGACGATCCTTTTCGTTCTACACATAATGATGAAACCTTTTCGATCGCCTGTATCGTTGGTTTTAATTCATCACGATTAATGGATTTCCGAAATTGAACATTATTATAGGCATTATTATGTTTTCTATAAGTTTCATGAACAGATGATGCATAAGCCAATAGATAGACATATTTAGGCCGTTGATCAGAGTGTAATTTTGAACCCGGTTTAAAAAGAGCATCCAACAATAGATCAAGAAATTGTGGTATTCGTAAAAATTCAACTGGTGGTGGAGATGTTTCTTGATAACATTTATATAACTATATTGACATATCAATAATCAATAATATTTTATTAATTCGATTAATGTAATCTCACCATAGTTATATCGGCAGGATTGAGAGCATCTTTTGCCAACATTGCTGATAATGCTTGCGATAATCGAGGATGTGAAGAAATTCCCATTAATGAGAGCATGATCGGTGTTGCATTATGTCCGCTAAAATTTTAATAGAATTATTAGAATCAAAAAACATTACTTAAATTAGTCTTGTTACTTTTTCTGTGCGAATCGTGAGATTTCCTGAAAAAGTCGTTTAACATTAGAACCACCTTTTTGTTCCAATGATAGATAGTGTAATAAAACTTGGCTGTAGAGATAAGTATGTTCGCCATGTGAAACCAATTTCTGTATGAAGAAACGATAAATATTTGATTTTTATTTCACTGCTGAGAGATCCACTCGGCTTACCGCAAATTCATTTAGAACTTTTTCCGAATCAAGCATTTCTTCGCCTTTTTCCAGAAAATTAGTGACAGAAGTTTTTAAGATTCGGGTGAAAACTTCTAATTGTTGTGACGCAGTCGATATTGAAGTTATTTCGCTTTGAAAACCGGCATCAGATATTAGCTAATCAGGAAACAAGATTATGAAAATGTTTTCACTGATAACAAAATTTACCTTAACCGTGAAAGTTAACATAAGGCAATCAGGATATTTGTCAGCTAATTGAAAAATCAATTTACGCCAAGGCTGGTGTTGAATCAAAGCAGTAAGCCAATCTGGATTCTGGTTTAACAGGAAAAAGATTATTTTATAAAAGTTTTATCATTATTTAAAACTTACTCCTTTCGACTCATCAAGAAAAATCGAATCGGCCTTTTTCTGATCAAAGTGTTTGATAATCATATTTTTGAGATTATCTTCAACTGTAGATTGAACTTCAGCTAATGTGAGATCAGTCATCAGTAGCCATTCTGCCAGAAGGTTAGCGATTTGAGCAACAGCATCATAATTGGTTGATAACAAGTGAATAGCCTCGTCTTTGGTTCCTTTAACATGAAAAAATCTCCAAAAACCGAAATATTTTCAAGTTGTAAGTTAGCCATTCTTCTCTTACCTTTTCAAAGTTGGCATAACCGAATCTTCCATAATGAAATCTTTACTGCCCATTAATTCAACGCATTTCTGATAAACTTCGGTAGGATCTTCACCCTCATAATTGTCCATTTCAGAATCCATACTTATAAAGGTGAAAGTTTAATAATTTAATCACAAAAACCGAAAAAATAGCGCGATTTATCTATAATTGTAATATGAAGCAAAAAAATTAAAAATAAAGTGTGCGAGTAGCGCCATGTAGGTGTAAATAGCTTTTTAATTTATAGTTTTAAATTTTTTCAAATTCAAATCAAATTAATTTTTAAAATAATTTTTAATTATCACTTGATTTTAGTAAGTTTAACTCTATGAGTAGAGTGTACATAAAGAAAAAATGGGCCAACTTGCCCAGGAAGAAAAGTCGAAGGTATGATTTGATAGGTACCCGTTGGTATCGATTTCAGTCTTAGATAGGTACAACCAGAACGAAATGATCCAGTATGTTTACGTTGAAAATAATTAGGCGAATTTGGATTCATTACTGATACTGTTACGACTTCCAAACCGACTGCATATGCTTTAGGACCTCTTAATTCGATCATCACTTCATTATCATCGTCTCGTGAACTACCATCAAGTAAAAACTGATAGACAGGATTATTATGGTAGGTAGCTGGATTATTTGGACAACCACCGGCCGTTTCCGCTGTCCATTTACCGTTTTTCTCCTGTGTTATATACGGTCGGTTATCATATTTTCAAAATTAAAAAATAATCATTTAATGGATACATGAACTTACTTTTTCTTTATAAAGATAAATGTTTGGTATTTTTTTCAAAGAGAATGGCGAAGTTGAATAGGCACGAAGACTGTATAAAATGGTGGAAGATTTTTCATATTGCGAGATAACTAACGTATAACGAAGTTCTGAATTATCTTTACCAACAATAATCTTACACAAATAATGAGGTGAATTAATTCGAGCACCATCAATATAGGGCTTTGGTTCGACTAATCAGACAACAATGATATCATTCGATATAAGTTCAAATAAAAATCAAATGAATGGATAAATGAGAAATGAAACTTACAAGGCAATATGACTTTTTCGCCATTATTCTTATAGACCAAAAGAGCAATATACTCTTTGTTATTGGCAAAATCATCTCTATCCATAATATGCCTGGTCAATACGATCCACGTTGAACTATCCGCATTTTTGATCTTCAATGAGTATTGAGGATTATCACCCATGTAATATAAATCTTTGGCCGGACCAACACCGGCATTCCAAATGCTGAAATGAATTTTTTTTTGTTAATCATTTATGTGTTTAATATAGCCAATAATAAACTTACTCGTGAGTACAGTAAACATATTTGAAAAGGGCCGGATTCCAACTTAGATAACAAACATCAAAAAATTTAAATAAAGAATCAATATCGATCCAGAATACTCCATTGTCGAAATTTTTTGCACTACTTGGATCGTAATTTAATACTCTTTTCATTTCAGTAGTCCAACTGCCCAAATCACGTTCGGAGAATTTTCCTTTCCATCGTACATGGCTCCATGGATTTTTCAATAGGAACAACCGTTGATCCTGAAAAAATTTCAAAGGTAAATTAATTGATTTCAAAATGAATTTTATTCGAAAAAACTACATTAACACTTTTAACATCAAGCATAGCATATGCATGCGTTGATACTAATCCGGTACGTTCGCTTTCGAAATCGGAAATATCACCAGTGGCAAATGTAACCAATGCTTCGCCAGCATTATAACGTCGAGAGATGAGACTGAAAAAATTTTCCTTATTGCATTCTGATAATGACATACGTTCCGGAATCCATCCGGTCAATGCGTGAAGATCAATATTCTAAAAAAATGAAATAATGGCGCTTTAAACAATTTATAATTTATATAATTGAATTTATTTTTCAAATAAAATTTTCTTACCGAATTGCTACCCGGAAAATCATAACCGCCCATTACTTTCATGTATGCCTTTTCCAATAACGATATCCAGAATTCATTTTTATTCTGAGAATATGAGCACATTAATTGTCCGTAATGACCCATCGGTAACCGATCATCGATTATGACTTTACGTAGAATGCCATTTATATGCAAAATGATCATATATTTACCGCAAGGATTATATACCGGTTCTCCATGTCTATTCTGTGGGAAGATTATACATGAAATTAATTTCTTTCCAAATCTTCTTTCATAAAGAGCTGCGACAGTCAATGAAGCGATAAAAGAACAATCAGTCACAATTGTCTGTTTGATGGCGAAACAATCAATATGTTTAGAATTGGAAAATATGACCGGATTTTCAGCAATTTCCGAAAGTCGTCTAAAACCTACAAAATTCGCCTTTTGTTTCGATGAAAGTTTTAATAAGCCATTCGGATCTTCAAACTGCGAAAGTGTGCTAAATCGTTCTTTTAAATCTAATTGAGCAAGGAATGGAACATAATCGATTCCATTGATGTTTGAACTTTTTCGTAATACTTTAATCTCTTGCTTGGTATAAGAGTCATGTCCACTGACTATGTGTCCACTTTTCGAAATTGAAACCATGGATTCTTCATCAATCGATAGGCTTTTATCTAATTTCTTTTCCAATCCTACGAATTCTTTTTTCTTGATGTTTATACCTTTGATTGCTTCGGCACGTTCCAACGCTTGAGTAATGATCAACGTAAGTCGTTCACTCAATCTCGGATCTTGAATCTCTTTTTTCTAATCAAATCAAGATATAATTAGTGTCGGATCTATAAAAGAATTTCGATTGAATACCGCTTTGAGACCAGTTTCGACTGCCATCAAATATAATGGTAATGCTTCATCAGTATCACCTTCTTCATCTTCGTTCAAAGCTTCTTTAAGTAAAAATTCCAATCGCTGTACACTACAATCCGATTCATCTTTGATTGTGAGATTTTTAAGCTCATTATCCAAAACTTTATCAAGGTTAAAAATTCAAATAAACTCGTTATAAACATTTTTACAAAGAAAAATGAATTTATACTTTGGTTTTGTTTTTCTCGTAACAGATCATATCGTTTTTCGTAATCAGAAATTTTTTTCTCTATTTCTTCATTCGCGTCGACGTTTTCAAGATTGACATATTTTTTAAGGATTTTGGCGGCTTCCTGAAAACATGAATGATTTATGTTAATAAAGTATATTCGATTCGATGATAAAATCAACACTTACATTATAGAAATAAATGGCAGCTTCAAGATCTTTTTGTTTATCATAACTTACGGCCAAAGTGGCCAAAACTTGAGCTTCGTTGAGTATGACCTGACCATTATCCGAAAAAGACGATGATGACATTTTTCAATTTTTGACTTAATGTCTTCTGATTTGCAAATGCAAATTGCCAATATATTGGCAAGTCGAAGTTTTTTTTATATCCACATTATACTACAGCTGTTCAGCTCACCTACATATGATCCATATCAACATCAAGTGTTGTTTATGATATACGCGCAACTAATGAGAATGCTGCACCCACTATCGATAATTGGAGTCAACAATCGATAATTTTATTTTTGAAAAAGTTTTTTTTAATTCATTCCGAAAAAAAATTCTCAATGAAAGAATAAACAATTGACAAATTCAACAATCTGTGGAAACAAGATCTGGCTGAAGAAAGCCGATAAAACCACCGACCAGATGAACACTGCCACTCACTAAAACGACAATCGGTGATTGAACCAATCTGCCGTAAGATTCAATCTGTTCAATAGCTACCCCGATACAATCGACTTGTAGATTTTTCACTCGAGGAAACAGTTCCTGCCAAATTCTTGCATTATTCGATCGAATTTCATCTTCACGATTTTCAGTGATTGTTAAATTTGAATTGTCAGAATCAATTTCCTTCTCATTCATCACACGATTTGTTGTAAAAATGGCCAAATCGAAATCGGTACCAGCCGTTTTCGTTAGCAAAGGTCGTGGATCTCGATCGCCCGTACAATTGAATACAAATATTCGATGAATCTTTGGACGGACACCATTAGAAATACTATCGAGAGTAGATGAGAAATGATTGATTTGTTGATTGAACCATTGACAGCAATTATTCATCGAATCAATCGTATGTGCAGCATCAAGAAAATAGGTAGTATTACCTTTTCGAATGATTTCACAACGGCCATGCCATACAGTTTTAGTGAGACCGATAGCCAAATAATTTTGACAAAGTGCTACTGCATCCAAAAAACCGTATCCATCATTGCCATTGATGATAAATTGACTGTTTGGAAATTTCATTCTACTTAGCCAAACATTAACTAATTGGACCGCTAATGATGCATTAAGCTTTTGAGCTTCGCCTTTTATACCTAAATCGATCTTTGATGATCCTGGATAATGGGACCATGGTGGCACAATATAAAGTGGAGCTTTTACTTGTTGAGCTTTGGTTTTCAAAGCTAACATTGCTTCTTCAGGCTGTTGAACGGTTAATGCTGGGACACCTTGTTTGAATATTCCAGCTTTGTTTTCGGCAATATCGGCTAACGTATTGCCTAACAATCGACAATGATCGAAATCCAAAGATGTAACACCAGTAACGATTGGTTTCTCTACGACATTCGTACAATCTAATGTACCACCAATACCGACTTCCATGATTGCTACATCGACATTCTCCTGCACAAAGACATAAAATGCCATTATGGTCAAAAAATTAAAATAGCCAGGCATTTTAAATTCATCCGTCTTGTTTGCTTCCAGAATGTTGTACACATGATTAAAATAACGGGCAAATTTATCCTCAGAAATCGGTTGACCATTGATACGAATGCGTTCCCGTACAACAACCAAATGTGGTGATGAATAAAATCCAGTCTTATACCCGTTTAAACGTAGGATTGATTCGGCAAATGCACATGTTGATCCTTTACCTTTGGTACCAGCAACATGGATAACCATCAAACGATTCAAATGTTCCGGTTTAATACCCAACGCTCGTAAAAAATGATTGGTCTTTTCTAAGGAATTGGATTTTTTACCAAAAGCAGCATTCTTTAAATAATCAGCATTTGATTGTAAACGATTCAATCGTTCAATAGCCAACGTATAGGCACTCTGTAACTGACAAAAACAAATCATGTTTGAATGAGAATATCTATAACAAAATGTAATCAAACATATAATACTTTATCCATTTTATATATGATCGATATGGCCAAATAGATATCATCCGACAAAAAACAAAAGAATTGTTGTCAATATCGATCGTAACATCAACAATGAATGTTTTTTTTAACGATAAACACACGACTTGTTGATCATTTGAGATGAGATAGACAATGAAAATTTTGTGAAAAATGTAATATTATCACTAAAATGATAGAATTATTTTTATATATCTAGTCTATACTGGAAATTGTCTCGACTATTTTATGATTATTGTCAATCAAAGATAGAAAAATCTTAGAATTGTACGGATGTGTCGTTATATAAAAAGACAATTAATTATCCCAAAAATAACAAATTACCTGAGCTTCAAACTGTGGATGTTTATTGGCAAAAGTTTCAGCCAATAAAGTTAATTGACGGCGACATGTTTTGAGATTTGTTGCCGACAATTTTCGCTCATCATCATCATCCTCATTAACACAATACATTGTTTGCTTTTTCATTGCATGATTATGTTGATGATGATATTCCATGATTGACGATTTTTCAAAAGAATAGAAACCTTTTGGAACGGATAATGAATTACTATGACGAGAATAAAGAACAGGATTGAATAATATCAACCTGTGCATCGATGAATGAGATTTTGACAAGCATGATGTTTCATGTATATTCGAATAATATGCAATTGATGAAACGGATGAATCAAATGACTCTAGTATGACAACTTTCGAGGCACTTTTTGTTTGATAAGTATTTGTTATTGATGGTGATGATGATAATTTATGCCGTTGAATGATAAGACTATCACTTTCATGCTTCTGGCTATACTCAATTGAATCAGGCTGTTTATTGGATGAAATCGAAATCCAGTTGTTATTTTGGTAATAACGATTACGATAGTGATAATGATTATGATGGCAACAAGTACCGCCACCACTACCGATCAAAGATCGACGGACAAACATAAACCAGCCAGTTTGACTAGACATTTTGTGCTAGGCGATTGCACACGAGTGGACACTATTATTTAATGATTTATTGATTTTCACGCATTCATCATTCAACTCTGTAAAAAGAAAGAAAGAAACCAGTTATGAAAATCCATACCGAAATTAACAAAATCAAATTTCATGGATGGAGAACATTTTTTAATCGCTTAAAATTTATTTAATCGATCACATTTTAAATTTATGATCACAAAACATGAATGCATGCCGGTTGGTCCGATTCACAGAATACGTTAATTGATGGATTAATCACGAAGAAAACGATTCGAATTTGATGCTAACAAGTTCCCTACCTGATGAAAACTAAAGTTTATTCAAAATTTTTCTTTCCATTTAGGTTAAAATAATATTTTCATATAGAAAAAATAACAAATTGAAATATAATCCTAGTTATATTATTTTCGTGATTAGATTAATCATCAATATATTTATTTATACAAAAAATCGTATCGATTTCATTAAATTTATATCTTATCTTATATGAAACAGTAGCGGCCAATAAACATTTAAAATCATGTCGTGATTTTTTTCCTTAAATTTGAATAAACCAATCTTTGGTTCAGTTAGGTTAGGTTTAGTTATATTTTCAGTTTTTTCTTTCATGAACCATGATGGCCAATGAACGGAAAATGATCAGGACATCAACAACAACACATTCAGACTATATAATTTTTTTCCATAAAAAACATATGACACAATGCATTGCGTAATTATTGAAAAAAAACTTATTCTTTCAATAGTGGTGCAATGCTTATAGCATTGAATGAGTAGGCCAAAAATTCTGGTATCATTGCTATGATTCAAGGCAACATCGGTTTTTCGTATATACAAAAATTATAAATGAAAATTTATGAAGGACTCGCGCCATTTTCAATGCCAAATAAAAAACTTAAGGACAGGACAGTGGGTGAAGATGCGTCAAAATGCTTTTCGATTAGTGAAGCCCCAACCATAGTTAGGTTTATCATCCAGTAAAAAGATTCATTGTATCCAATTTTAGTTTTATAACGGTATCATATAACGGTTGCAATTTTAATTTCATTGCCAAGGTATTCGACCATATTGACGCAGTTGCAGAAATGATAAATCATCATATATATCAACTACTGATGTCTTTATATATCAAACCACGACCACCATCATCATCATCATCATCGTTGAATGAATTTTCCGCTTGTTGAAACTCGACTCATTGGATCATGACTACAATAAAAAGTAGGAGGTCCATTCCAATAAAGCAAAAAAACAAACGAAAGAATGTTTCAAGGTAAATTGGAAGCCATTGCTTCTATTATATAGCATTAATTGTATGTGTAATATACAATGGGAAGGCAATCTTTATTAAAGAATTAAATGATAACCACCACCCTTAAATGCATCCATGTACAATCCAATCATTCTCAGTTGAATGGATGACTAGAGTGGTGTAATCAAAAAATAAAATGTATATTTGCCTGTATAAGATGGCGAGGTCAATTACCCTCAGAGCATAAAATTTCACCTCCACTGTAATGAAAATCCTTGACAAAGTCCTTCAATCGCCCTCATACGACCTTAAATAACTTTATATTGACATTGAATATGGTATATGATTCATTATTATTTGATGATAGACGTTTGGTAGGATTGAAAATGTCATCAAAATTCTTTAGGGTACCATATGTCCAGAATAAACACTCAATGAATCTGTATAGAATATCTGTATACAGAATCGGTTGTCGACCTTCATATGAAAAACCCCTTTGATTTTCAATGATATTCAATGTAGTTATGTACGCGTATCGCACACAAAACATTCGATGCTAATGATAATGATTTCAATGTCAATTTCAGGTGTATTTATGCGTTTGTAGTTGTTGCAATGATGCAAATGTCCCTGATATTTAAGTTTGTATGTGTGTGTGTGTGTGTGTGTGTGTGAATCGATATATAGCTAAATAAATAATTTTTTCTCTTTTATCGATAATGCTGTCTTTATCGTTATTATTATCATCATTTTTGTCGTCATGGTCAGAATAATATTTCTGATATATAAATGACAATGAATTCAAAATCCTTGAGTTCTTGCTTTCTCTTTATGTGTTTCTAAATTGTGTTTGATTTTGAATTTTAAATATTTTTTACATACATATAGTCATTCAAAGTAATTGCAATATTTTTCAACATTGAAATCGAAAGTGTATTTGGTTTGAATATATATAAAATGCAAGCAAGCAGACAGACAGACAGACAACTGAAACATTTTGAATTAAGAATGAAATCAACAATCATAACTAACTTTTTTTAAAAGAAAAACAAACAATAATTTAAAATTGATTGCTAAATTCAGAATATTCAAGTTTTTTTACATGACTAAAGCATCATGCTAAATGGTTTAGATATCAATTGTCGAAAATGTTTCAACCAAGTTGCACCCACAGCACCATCAACGACACGATGATCACAGCTTAATGTCACCGTTAATAGGCTGGCTGATCGTGGTTTATTATCTCCACCCGGTACTAAACGTTTTTCAGTATTACCGACAGCTAATATACATGATTGTGGTGGATTGATGACTGCTGAAAATTCTGTTACACCAAACATGCCCAGATTTGATATGGTGAATGTACCACCTTGAAATTCTTGTGGTTGTAATTTACCATCACGTGCTTTTTTGGCTAAAGCTTTTACATCATTAGATATTTCGATCAGACCTTTTTTCTCGGCACCAAAAATGATTGGCGTGATGAGTCCTGCATCCGTACTGACCGCTACTGATATATCGACTGAATTATATTGGCGTATAAATGTATCTTGCCATGATGAATTAACCTGCGGTACTTTTTGGCATGCCAAAGCCGATGCTTTGATTAAAAAATCATTCACGGATAGTTTAGTGTTTTCAGATTTGAGCATTTCATTCAGTTGTTCTCTCGCCCTATAACAAATGGAAAATTTTTTCATTAAATCTATTGGTTGGAAAAATTGTATTTTTTTCAGCATACCTAAGAATTTCGTCGACTTCGATTTCGGCAGTTAAATAATAATGCGGTATGGTTTGTTTAGACATCATCAATCGTTTAGCAATGACTTGTCGCATATTTGTCATTGGAATATCTTCGAATGATGTCATCATGGAGGGAGTCATTGTCATGGCCAACATTGATGGTGCATTTATTACATCTTGAGCACGAATTCGACCGCTTGGTCCACTGCCTGATAATCTTGCGAGATCAATCCCTTTTTCCTTGGCTATTGTTTTTGCAAGTGGACTAGCAAATATTCGTCCTGCAGTACCGGTAAAAATTTGGCTTACAATCGGTTGTGAACGAGGCATTGAGGCTGCAACTGTGGCTGGTTTTTCCGGTGTTGCGTCTGTTTTTGTTTGTTGCACCGTATATGGTGGTTGTGATTTCGGGGGTTCACTTGTTTTTTTCGGCGTTTTTTCACTGGTAGATGATTCTGTAGGCACATAATTGACAAAGGCGTCAATATCGCTTTGCTCCGGAACTATTATGCATAATAACTGTGAATCGTAAGGGTAAAAGAATAAATGTCAAGTTTAGAATAACAAAAACTTCATACTTTTCCAATGGGAATATCTTTTGTACCAGCCGGTATTAAAATTTTTGCTAGATAACCTTCTTCTGGTGTTTCAAAACCCATTGTTGCTTTATCCGTTTCGATTTCGGCTAATAAATCTCCTTCATTCAAACGATCACCTTCTTTCTTTTCCCAGGAAACAATCGTACCCATTTCCATGGTAGGTGATAACGCAGGTAATGCAACCTTATAATGAGTTGGTAAATTACCAGAACTAAACGTCCGTTTATTTGAAATCGGAACAATGAATCTGAATAAAAATGCAAACAATCAACATGTGTACAAAACAATGAAACAGAACTAACCTTTTATCAACATTATTATTCACATATGAATTTATCAAACGTATACTTGATGAAGTTGTTGTTTCAATTGTAGTATCGTATCCATTAATTCCCCAACAAGCAACAAGAATCCGATTCCTGGTCAATAGCTTTAAACGGCATAAATTTTTCGAATTATACATCAATGTCATACGAAACATTTTTGTTTGGATTGCTGAATTAGGTAATCAGCGAATCTACTGTGGCAAAGTTTGTTTTGAACGATGATTTTGAATCAAAAAAAATGAATCTTACATAGATCGATGCCTTTTTAATTTTATTTTCCTGATTTAAAGATTGTATATATCCAAAATCCTCGAAATTCAGCTCGGGTCAAATCATATGAAAAACACCCGATTGTAGTGACATCTGTTTGAAGAAATCTGTTTTGATTGGTAACAATTTCCCACATGTTAACGTTTGTGCGTTGTGCCATGGCATCAAATTATCACACACACACATGTGATTAATGTTGATTCAAATGTTTCTCAAATATTTAATTCTTGTAATGGTATAATTAATCAAATTCTTTATATCAATACTAATTGTTGCATTTGTATAGAAACCATTTATTTTCCCTGAATTTGTGTAAAAAATGCGTATTTCTCTGCGATGTTATCTACGTAGTATACCACAATGTCGGATTGTAACGACAAACACTCCTGCCATACTATCACGTATGGTCAATATTCGAATAATTGACAGACCACCTCACATATCGTTGTTCAATAATAATCAAATAAGTATCCGATTTTGTTCATCATCATCATCATCGTCATCATCATTGCCATCGCCTAATGACAATGAAATAAAAGACAAAAACATTGACACATTGGTACAGCCTGGACAAGATCATTCTACACAGTTTTCCGATGAATGGGGTGATATTGGTGAAGAGATAACCGGACGAAAATTGTTAAAAGAAGAAATTATACCCTTATTGAATAAATTTCTTCAAAGGCCAACTGTTAGACAATTGGCAGCTGAAAATGGACTCAAACCTAAATTACTGATAGAAGCATTTTCAAGTTTTCGAAAAAAAATTCTTGATTCTAAAATTCTTGATCCAGAAATTCATATTTTATTGAGTGATATTCTACAAGGTAAAGGACACGTAGATGATCTATTCCCATCATTTATCAAACATGCTAAAACCATATATCCTCACATTGATTGTCTGGATGATTTAAAGAAAATCAGTGACCTTCGTTTGCCGCCAAATTGGTATCCAGAAGCACGGACAATAAATCGAAAATTTTATTTTCATTGTGGTCCGACTAACAGTGGCAAAACTTATAGTGCTTTGAATCGTTTTTTAGAATCTAAATCCGGTATCTACTGTGGTCCACTCAAGATGCTTGCCGTCGAAGTTTTTCAAAAAGCCAATAATGCAGGTGTAGCATGTGATCTAATTACGGGTGAAGAACGTCGATTTTCCGATGAAAATCAGTCACCTTCTGCTCATGTTTCCTGTACTGTTGAAATGTCATCTGTAAATCAAATGTACGAAGTAGCAATCATTGATGAAATTCAAATGGTTCGTGATCCTGAACGTGGTTGGGCTTGGACACGTGCTCTTCTTGGGATTGCTGCAGAAGAGATTCATCTTTGTGGTGAAAAAGCTGCCCTTAATCTTATCATCGAAATTCTATCAACCACCGGTGAAGTTGTTCAAATTAATGAATATAAACGTCTTACCGAATTAAATGTCGAAGATAATGCTCTGGAATCGTTGGAAAATGTTCAACCTGGTGATTGTATAGTTTGTTTCAGCAAGCGAGACATTTATAATGTTAGCCTTAAGCTAGAAAGAATGGGTCACAATGTGGCTACTATCTATGGAACATTACCACCAGCCACCAAGTTATTGCAATGTAGTAAATATAATAATCCAAATGATCCATGCAATATACTCGTTGCTACCGATGCTATCGGTATGGGATTAAATCTTTCAATTCGACGAATTATTTTCTATTCGTTGATCAAACCAACATTTAATAGTAAAAATGAAAAAACATTGGATGTTATACCGGTTAGTCAGGCGTTACAAATTGCCGGTAGAGCCGGTCGATACAACACTCAATACCATCAAGGCTATGTTACGACATACAAACCGGAAGATCTACCGATTCTCAAAGAAGTTTTAGCCTCACCGATTGAAGATATTGAAGCTGCTGGCCTACATCCAACATTAGATCAGATCGAAATGTTCTCTTTTCTATTACCAAATGCGAGCCTAACGAATTTGTTGGACATTTTTGTTAGTCTATGTCAATTGAATCCCTATTATTTTATGTGTAATATCGAATCAATCAAATTTCTGGCCGGAATTCTCGAACACATTTCATTACCATTAAGAGCTCGTTATGTATTCTGTTGTGCACCGGTTGATAACAAATCGAATTTCGTATGCGCGATGTTTCTAAAATATGCACGTCAATATTCTAATAATCAACCAATGACTGCTAATTGGTTGTGTCAAACGCTAAAATTTCCATTTCGACGACCGATCAATATGGCCGAATTAGATCATTTACTAAGCGTTTATGATTGTCTTGATCTATATCTATGGTTAAGCTATCGATTTCCGGATGTATTTTTTGATCAGGAATCCGTACGTGATATACAACGAAAATTGGATGAAATTATATTGGATGGTGTTTTGAATATAACGAAATTACTACGTGCATCTGGTGGTGGTGGTGGTGAACATCATAAAGGTCAACGAATGTATAACCCACAAGCTCGATTCAAACAAATCAATATGTTATTGTCGAATAATGATAATTCATCGACTTCGAATAATAATAACAATAATACGTTGAATTATAAGATATCGTCGAAAATTCATCATCACTAAAATTAAAACTCTTCCACTCATATGCTGTAACTTTTAGTTTGTTTATTAATTTTTTTTTCTGTAATTCGAATATTAATGTAAAAAATATTCAATAAATGAAATCGTGAACACAAAATACAAAAAAAAAATTGAAAAATCATTTGTTTGTTTGTGATAGACCACTAATACATATCCATCTGCCATCCGGTGTCTCTTTCCATAGGCTAACTTTATTATCGCCTCCTGAAACGGCCAGAATGTTACCCATGATAGACCATGATACATGCCATACAACATCATCGAATGTATTCAATATGTTATATGACCAGCCAGAACTTGATGATTCTTGATTGGCTGTAGCTAATGATTTTGTCCATATAATTACACGACGATCCTGAGAACAACTAGCAATTAATGTTTTCGGTAAACCGGTGGATGGAGCCCAGGCAACATCACGAACCCAATCTGAATGTGCTTCCAATTTTTGTTCTTCGATCCATTTATCTTCCGATTCACTATATAGCCATATTTTAACCAAATTATCGCAACCACCACTGACTATACGTTTTTGTGGTGTATAGGAAAAATTTGTAGGCGGAAAAACTGGTCCCCAACTTACGGAATTGCACCCAATTGAATGAGCGTTTTGAATTTTTTTCACATCCCAAACATTGCTGTCAATGTTGCAGCTAAGAACCGATATTGAACCATCCGAAGATCCGGCAGCCAATATCAATCCAAGTTCATGAGGCGCCCAACAAACAGAATTAACGCTTGAATCATGATTATTTGATTCGTATAACTTTTCCCACTGATTCGTTGAAGTCTCCTTCCAAATGATGACTTTTTTATCATAAGAACATGAAGCAAGTAAATTTTCAAATGTTGGATGAGCCCAAGCCAATTGCCATACGGGACCTTCATGTCCGCTTAATTTGGCCAATAGTTTATGTTGACTATTGGATATTTCAAATATTTTGACATTTTTATCCGATGAACATGTGGCCAATCGCGTGCCATAATAATCCATCTGTGCATCATGAATCATATCTTCATGTGAAGTATCCACTTGTGTCTGTAGGGTGACCATTTTAGCATCCTCTTTGTTAAACGTATTCATTTTGGTACTAAAAAGCTACAACGATGATAAACTTGATCAACAAAAAAAAAAAAAAAATCAACAACCAATGCCGCATTTGATAATAATCTTAACAGCTTCATCATCATCATCATATGAAGTGTCAATGATTTCACACGCTATTTAAACTCAACAAGTTAATGCAAGCAAAATAGATTTTTAAAAATCAATTCAGTATATTCAGTATTTTAATCAAAAATAAAATAAAATTTACAAAATATGGATTCAAAATCACGTGAATTTACATAGAATATAGTCATATTAAATATATAAAAATTTATGAGAAAATATCTTTTCAGTCGCTATCATCATCAATATCATTAGCATGATCGTTATCATTCTCCGCATCTTCATCACTTGAACGAGTCATTGGACTTCTTTCCACTTCTGAATCGGAACCTCTATTTTTCGAGCCCGATTCATCCGAATCATTATCATCCTCAAACGATTTTTTATGTGTAGTTTGGCGAATATTATTTTCTTCTTCGTCTTCATCATCAGATGGGATTTTCTTTTTCTTTGTTTCAGGCTCTTCATTGCTTTCCGAATCATCATTATCATTAACATTCGAATCTGATGATGAATCATTTTTGATACGTTTTCGTTTATTTTTCGATTGTTTGACAATTTCATCATCATTATCTTCATTTGAATAGATAGGTGATTGATTATCATCACTTGAAGCTCTTGCTTTTCCAACCACATCTTCGTCACTGTCACTGTCGAACATGTTTTTAGATATTGTTCCAGCGTTTGGCTCATCATTCGGTTCTGGTTCATCGCTTGATGATGAGTCTGATGAATTGATGAAAGCTTTTGATTTAAATTTACCTGGTATTTCTTTTTCAACTTGTTGTCGAGCTTTAATAGCATGCCGTTTTTTATTCGATTCTTTTCGAGCTCGTTTTCGTTCTTCACGTCTTCGAGCTCGTTCTTCATCATTATCTTCACCAGCACCATCCGAATCGGTATCACCACCACTAGTTGTTCTTTTTCTCTTTCGGCGTCGCCTTTCTTTATCACCATCCGAAACGGTTCGTTTTTTCTTTGTCGACTTATCCGGACGATTTTCGATATTACTTGATGAATCAGTGACGAATCCATCTTCATCATTAGCCATAGATTTACGACCACGAGCCTTTTTCGGTTTCTCTTCGGGAACATCCTGGAAAAGTAATATATTTTTCGTTTTTTCCACATATTCCTGCCGTTTCTGAATTAATTCCTGTGCTTGTTTAATCTTCTCTTCTTCACGAACTCGTTGTTCTTCCATTAGTTTCTTTCGTAATTCTTCACGTTCCATTTCCTGCTTACGGCGAATCTCTTGTTCTTGTTCATCCATTGTTCTGGCTCTCATTACATGATATTGTGCTTGTTTTAACAAATCTTGACATCGTTGTTCTTCGATAGCACACCATGCCAAATCGAATTTACTTTTATCGCCATTAGTTTTTAAATATGTAAAATATTTAAATGCAAGTCCTAATTCTTGGACTGCAAGTAAAACGGTACGTAATGAACTTTTTGTATCTTCCAGAACTGAAGCAGCCAATTTTTGTAAGACCAATGCCAAGTTGAACAGAATCAACGTATCGTTTGGCAATACACGACGAATTTTCAACAAAATATTTTTACATTGACGCATTTTACCCCATTTGTAATAGGCACGTGCAATGTACAACATAATATCGACATTTGTACTCTGGAAAAATCGTTTATGACAATTTTCATACATTTGAATTGCGCTCACATATTGTTTTAATTCAACATAAATGTGTGCAATATTAATCCAAACATCGGGAAAATCGGCTGTCGATTCACGAACTTGTGAGAATACGTCTCTAGCTTCATTGGTATAACCTTTATGTGCTAAAACACAACCAATACCGTTGGCTGCGTAAATATTTTTTGGATCAATTTTCAATGCTTGTCTATACATCTGAATGGCACGATCCTGATGACGTCGTTCTTTTTCCTTATCTTTAGTCGGCTGATATAAGGTTTGCAACCAAACATTACCAAGTGCAACGATTGAATATGTGTCTTGATTGGTAGATTCTTGATTCAGAATACGTTCAAATTTTTTCTGACCAGGACCATATTCTTGTTTGGCTAGATGAAGATTGCCAATCAATGACCAGGCATCCGGATGATCTTTTTCCACTTGCAACGCTTCTTTAAACCAATCACTAGCTTCATAGATTTGACCTAAATCTCTAGCCATACAGCCTAATCGCAGGTAACAATCAACATAATTAGGATGTTCACGTAGTATATCCTTATAGATTTGTTCAGCTTTGTTATACTCATGAATTGCTTCATATAATCGACCGAGATTATAATTGATTGTCACTTGAATTAATTTAAGATAATGTTCTTCGATTTGCAATTCTTCTTGACATCGTTTCAGGGCACTTTTATAATAATCAGCAGATTGTTTATAATTTCCCAGACGAAAATATAATGCGGCAACATTGTTGTAAATTTCGGCAGGTATCTCCAAATTATTATCATTATGATCGGCAATCTCTCGAAATATTTTGATCGCATTCTGATAGCAATTTAATGCTCCTATAGAAGAGATTGAAAAATTATGATTTACAAAATTAGTCATTTAAATTCTACCTTGTAGATCTGATTGTTCAAGCAATTGTGCTAATTCAATCCAAGCTTCCACATCTTCTGGATGTTGATCAATAACTTTTTTCAGAAATTCACGAGCTTTATCTCGTTTTTCTCCATCAACCGATTGTGAATAAAGTGAGCCGAGAATTTTCATCGTTTCATAATTGTTGGGAAAATATTTCAAAACTTTATCAAAACAAGATGCTGCATTATCGAAATCACCACGATAAATGTACATCTGTCCGAGGCCATAAAATGGAAGAACGAATGATGGTGATGCAAATTGTGTAGCTTGATAATAGTACTGAAATCCTTGATCATAATCACCTTGGATATGAAATTTTCGAGCTAATTGATAACAACTTTCAGCACGCATAGGCTCATTTTCCGTATTATAGAATGCATGTAATGCTAAATGTTGAACTTTGGCATAATCTTTTTTAAAGAAGAAATGATCTGCCAAATGATTCAATACCATTGGATGAGTTTGATCAATTGAATAAGCTTTCGATAACATTTGTACACCATTTCGTATGGAATCTGGTGTCTTTTTGTTCAGTTCCATTATTGCCAATGCAACCAATGCGCCAACACATTGAGGATTCAATTGAAGGGCACGTTCGAATGCCAATTTAGCTTTTTCCATTTGGTTTAATTTATAGAAACAATGCCCGATTCCAAGACGAATATTTGCCGGGCAATCCGGTTTCACTCGTAAACATTTGCGATAAAAAGTCAAAGCTGTTTTGTAGTCTTTTTTGTTGAAATTAATACAGGCTTTGCCTAACAATGACGGTATATTGTTGGGATATTGATTTAAAACGAATGTGAATTGTGCATCAGCTTGATCGATCTTTTCAGCTTCGGCTAAACAGAAATGGGCACGGCCAACCAAATGATTTGGATCATACATAACAATCTTGTCAGCATTTGTATACAATACCGTTGCTTTTGTATAAAGTTCTCGTTTTCTATCACGATTCTTTTCTTTATTACCTTTGGCCACATAATAGGCAGCCAAAGTATCTAACGCTTTCATCTGATCACGTTCATAATCTTTATAGCTTAGCGACGCTTCCGTACGAGAATATTCAAGTATCTGGACAAAATCGTCTTCTTTTTTCTCCTTATAATAAGCAAGTGCCAATTGAATCCAGATGTTTAAAGGTGGTGATTCGGATTGAAGAATTTGCAGTACTTCTTTTGTATCGGGCAGATTATCTAAATCAAGCTCAATGACTTCATCGGCTGATTCTTTCAATGGAATTTCGATTGTATGACGAGCCATACTGATGAATGATTTAAGATTTCAGAATTTATATTAAAAAAACAACGATGAGAATTTCAAAATAATGGACTTCTTAAATGGATATAGAATTTCATAAATTCACAAAGCAAAGAAGCATGTAATTGTCAATTTGATCAAAAATTGATACCTGAGAAGTAATTGCAAAAATATAGTTGACTTGTCATGTATAAATATGTTTTCATTAAAGTTGATACGTTTAATATTTTCTGAACAACAAACAAGTTGGAGATTTTTTGCGATAATTTTGCAAAAACAATAAAATTCGAAATCAATCATATGTTTGTTCACATGAATATGATAAAATTTGTGATTTTTGAAACAAGAAATTTAATTTTTTGAAAATTTATCAATAAAAAAATTTCTATTGAAAATCACGTCCTATATGAACATTGAGGATTCTATACTTTTCGCGCCAATATGCCATTGGATATGTTGACTACCACGCCTTTTTAAATGTGGAAAAACATTTAAATTGTATCGAAAATACTAAATTAAAGGCGTGTTCAGAGTGAAATTTCAAATTCATGATGAGTGATCGCATGCGTAAAAGGTAGAAATTTTCAGAAGTTTGCAGAAGACATACACAAAAAATATATTTTTTTTTTTTTTTAGTGAGAGGGAAAGAGAGAGATTGAAAAAGAGCGAAAGAGGAGCATAGAAAAAATGAATGCCTTGCTTTAATTAGAATAGAATGGTATCCTGCTGCTGATGTTGCTGTTGCTAAACTGTCGTCTTTTGCAGATTCTTAATTATATTATGCCGCCGCCTTCACCACGACCGATGGAATTGTATAATAATAATTCATTAAAAAGTTGATCTACCTAATTATATTATCATTATAATTATACCTGTATTTTGTTGCTTTATTGTGACTCATTTTTGTATATGTGTACAATATTGATTTTGTGACATATTATCATAGTGTTTTGTTCATTGAATTTTTAACAACTACTTTAGGTCAAGAACTTTGCTGGTCCGACTACTGTTACTGTTGTTACATAATTGTCAAATTTGTTTTCTCTCTGTTCATTATACAACTACATAAATATGGATTCGGATGACCAATATGATGAAGAAGAATTACATTCCTTCTTGTTGACCGAGATACGTTCTGGTTTAAATTTGGACAATGAAACATTGGAAGAATCATGGAAGTCTTTCCGTTCAATTAGTGTCAAATATATTCTTGAAGTAAGAATTTAAAATTTATCAATGATTTCATTAATTACTTATGTTTACCGTATAAAAAGGGGGATAAAATGGATTGGCTTGCATGTGCATTGTACATTTCATGTCGGAAATGCACAACACAAACGGGTCGTGGACAGACTCGTATCGAAGGCAATATGGTCTCTTTGACTCGAATTCTTCGTACCTGTAACATCAGGTTATAATAATTTTAAATTTTTTCCCGATTCATACTAACTGTTATGTTTTCATTCGACTATAGTCTTGTACGGTTTTTCAATAAAATTAAAAATTGGATCGATATGGCTGGTTCTTCCGTTGATTTAAGAAAAAAGATTGATCAAATTGAGAAAAATTTTAATGTCACTTCAGTTATATACAAAAAATATAAGCCGATATTTGAGGAAGTGTTCAAATGTCCTGTGCCTCCGTGTAGATTCAGCCCGAAAAATCGTAAAATGTAAGCTCTCACCACCCCCAATAAACATGAAAACAACTATCATTTGATTGTTTTTTGTTTGAAAAATTAGTCGCAAGCAACCATTGAATTCTATGGATATTTTTACGTTTTGTTGGACATTGTTCGTTTTTGTCAAATCTCGTTTTGCCAAAATCGGAGATGATTTGGTAAACTCTTATCATTTACTACTCGTTTGTGTCGACTATTGTTTTTCATCGGTACTTTCATTCGACAATTATCGTGATATTGTCAACACAAATTTTTATGGTAAATATCATCATTATCAAATTGTTTATCAAAGGAAATTGACTTATTTATTGTATTGATAGATAAGCTAACAAAAGAGTTGAAAAATGATCTCCGATCATTGAACAACGATGAACGGGTTTCCATTATCGATACTCTTTGTGAAAAATTCAATGGCATCCCTGTCGAAGTTAAGCATATTCGGCAACATTGGTTCAAATCTTTGCTAAATAGATTGAGTGACAACAACAATCTTCGTAAACGAACCAATGGTATTATTGACAACGATGCCATTGATTTTAATTTGTAAGTTAACAATCAGATCCAATGACGAGTGGAAGTTGAATTTTTTTTATTTCTGTTCTTACAGCAAATACATTAAAAAAGAATACGAAGATTTCGTCTTGACCATTGGCGATTTCGATGAATGTATCTTTCTTAATGAAGAGGCCAGCAAAGAACTTGGAACAGCAGAACTTCAATCGCAGTTTGATATTGAAGAAAAATTATTTCAGCAACAAGTATCGTATGATACTTCCAAAGATACATTGGTTCCGGCAACACCGTTAAGCTCCAGACAATATCTTGCCTCAAGAACACCTGTCAACAATATATTGACCCCGATTTCCTCAGCAACAACATCAATCAGTCGGTTGCATTCGATATTACAGAATCATAAAAATGAACCGAGCAGAGATTTGCAACGAATCTTTGAAATGTGTGACAAAGATCCTCAGACGAAAATCAAGGACATTATTAAAAAAATGGGCAATGTATTTGCTGATGCTTATGCCGAGAGTAATCAAGATCAATCAATAATTCGGTCAAATGAAGAATTTCAATGCATTATGACGTCTGGACGAGAATTTGCCAACAAACGTCGTGTTTTTGCTGAAACATTTTTTTATTTTATATTTGAAAAAATTTTAAAAGGTGAATTATCGAAACGAATACCTCAATCGAATATAACGCAATCATTGTCAAAAATGGTCTCGTCTGAATTATTGATTCGTTCTTTGTACGCTTGTTCATTGGAGATAATTCTTTTTTCTTATAATATATGCAACCGCGTGTTTCCATGGATTTTACAGATTTATGATGACCATCCACAGCTCAAGATTCCACCCTTTTTCTTCTATAAAGTTATCGAGCCAATCATCCGAGAAGAACAAGGACTATCGCGTGACATTGTCAAACATTTGAATACGATTGAAGAAAAAATTCTCGATTGTCTTGCATGGACAAAGGATTCTCCATTATGGATTTTGCTGTCGAAAACTCCTTCGCCTACTTATGCCGAAGTTTCATTGGATTTGTTCAACCAAGATGGTGGTGAAAACACTGCACCATTTATGAAATCGCCGGTTATTCGTTCTGATTCGAACAATTTGATGAACGCTGTTTATACTGGTTTTTCTGAAAGTAATGTCAAACGGCAATTGTTCACCAACGGCAATGCCGATGCTTCAAAGAGTATATCGCCACAGACTCAAATATGTCACGATGTATCGGTCATACGTTCGGCCAAATCTATTAGTCAAACAAATACGCCGGTCAAGCAAGAAATCGATGAGAACCTAGTTCCTAGCCCAAAGTCTTCAATATTGTCCACACCAGTCAACAAAAATCAACGAAACTCTCAAATTGCACTCTTTTTCCGTAAAGTATATTCATTAGCATCACATCGATTTCATGACCTATATAAAAGATTACAAATAACATCTGATGATGTTAAATGCAAAATATGGACTTGTTTCGAGAATGCTATACAAGCACATACTTATCTAATGTGTGAGCATCATCTGGATCAGATAATAATGTGTTGCATCTATGCTCTGTCACGAATCAATATAAACGGCGATCGTAGCATTCAATTCGGAAATATTATAAATGAATATCGATTTCAACCACAAGGTTCGAGTATCATATATCGAAATGTTTTGCTATCTGTTTTGAAAAAACCTGATGCCAACAGTGAGCAACAGCAATCGGAAACGGCTGCTTCCAGTTCACCTGAAACGAATGGAAAATTTGGTTCTGTAATCGACTTTTATAATAAAATATTTTTACCCAATCTTACATTAACATACATATTACAATTCTCTTCTGAGGAAAAGGTATGCTTTTGTCTTTTATCTTTTTCATCTCATCTCATTTTAAAACCGTTTCAATTTTTTCTATAGAATCTGAATGTCAAATTATCCCCAATGCCTAGAGATAAATTTGCATCGTCCAATATTCAATCACCATTGCGTTGCGTTCCAAATTATCCGGTTTTTGTATCACCATTACGTAAATCTAAATGTGCATCACCTAGCAAAAATATTACCTATCGTTTCCAGAATAATTTGACTACAAGTAAAGATTTGGAACAGATTAACAATATGATGAAATCAAGCACTGCTGCTGCTGCTGCTGCTGCTCATAATCCTCATATATCCTCATTGACGTTGCCGAGTAGTAACTTTGGTAATCATAATAGCCATCATCGTAACATAAAAGCATCGATTGCAACAGCCATGATTTCTATGTCTTCGCTGGGTGGTGGTGCCAAACGAAGTGTTTCGAAACGAATTTTACAAGATGATAATGAAAACGGTGATAGTCTGGGTGCATCTCCCAAAAAAGTGCCCCGTAGGATCAATCTTAAGATTCGTGAAATTTTTTCTGAACGGCGAATAATGAGTGCATCTTCATCTGCCAATGCAAGCACTAGTGTTAGTGGCGATGAATCCAACGATTCGATTCAATTCAATAATACAAGCGCTAATGGTAATGTGAACATTTTGGCCAGTAAGATGGAAATCAGTAATAAAGTAGATGGTCGTCACCATCAAGAATCGTCACATTCTACATTTGAAAGTGATGATCACACAGCAATCTCCCAAATCGATCCATCAATGGTTCAGCCGGCTCAAAAACAACAGCCAATTTTACAACCGGTTGTCGCACAAATTATTCAACAGCAATCAAATGGCGATATTGGATCGACAGCTTCAACCGCTACTATTGTTCATCATCAAAATGTTATCGTGCCAGTAACGACCATTACCAGCAATCTAATCCGAGCTGATTAGAAAGATTTTAGCAGAACATGACAAAAAATTTCGAATATTATCTTTTTATTTGTTTGTGAAATCATTTGTTAACTTTTTTAATATTCTGGTATTTTTTTTTATTGATCCACATCAAATTATCATCAACATTATTATTTACATATTTCGGTAGATATAAATCGAATCCAAATTTTTCAAATCAGAATATAATTTCAGGTTTTTTATTTTTTTTGTGAGTAGTTTTTAATATCATCATATTCATTCAAACATTTAACATACAGAATCTATTACACTTGTGTTATCATATTTACATTTTGAAATAAAAAATACTAATGTAATTGTATTTAAAATTGTCGAAAAATTAAAAAATTATGTCTTAATTCATCAAAAAAAATTGTTCTTCATTTTTTCTATGGAATACTATCAATATTATTCGGACAACAAAACAATGGCTGCCGATTAAAATGGCTTTTGATTATATCATTTTCATGATAAAATTTCACTTTAATCCACACATAGTAGCAATTATTATGGAATCTTTTTTCACTGACCTTCATTTCAAGCAAAGTGTTGTTTGTATAATAAACGCTATATTGTGGAAGCTGTTTCAGATCTGTATCAGATTCTTGCTGAATGGCTACTTCATAATGATATTTGTGTTGCTGTTTTTTACAGTTGTTTTTGATGATAAATGGCATGTTCCAAGGCGGATCCCATTCAATTTTTATTCTGTCACTGTTTTCATCCTTTTTCATGATAATAAACTGGCAGCGAAGATTTTGTACTTCGCCAAGGTGCAAAAGTTGATTATGATTCGATGATGATGAATGATGTTGATTATGATTCGATGATGATGAATGATGTTGATCATTCATCATTTGCATCTTGTTGATAGATTCGTTAAATAATGTTATATCAATAACAGTATCCTGATAGATTCGATAAAGCCATCCGGGATGGTCACAGCATAGAAATGGCTCGAGAGGTTTATCAATCGATTTTTGTATTGAATACTTTTGCATATCATTCAGATGTGATAGTCCACCGTATTGACGAGGTTGATTATCATCAGGAAAACGTGTATTAGCACGAATAGGATTGGTCCAGGCTGAATATCTATAGCCCAATATTGATTCAGCAAATGTTCGATATATGGTTGAATGTTCGGCTTCAATACCATATGGAAACAATTCTATCATTTGAATTTGATCTTTAGCAGTCGGTTTAATGAACAAAGCCAATATTTGTTCTGAACCGTGCATTGATATAAATTTCTCGGCACAAATCACTCTTTGTATCAATTGTTTTAATTTTTCTAAATTGTTGATTTTATCACGAGATACAATAATAACATCAAGGTTGTTGCTGAATTTTTGACCAATATATTGTGAAAATTCATTCAAATTCAAAATCTTGCGGTTTTGTTCACGTGCAATCAGTACAATGTTTCGATGAGGGCAATCCACTTGATTTAATCTGAACGCTGACAGCAGTTTTTCTCGTAATTCATCAACTAGTATTCGAATGTAACGATATTCTTCTACCTTTCTTGGTATAGATGATTGTGGCCGTTTGAATCCATATTGATACCAACCAGTAGATGTAGATAGACCTGAAAAGGAAAAAATTGTCAGAAACTATATATACAATTATTATAATTATAACACAAGTCTAACCGAGGTAAGCACTTTGAAAACAGATTATAGATTTCGAAGAAAATTCATTTCGAAACAATATTCGTTTTGCTTGCTGTTGAAAAAAATAATAGCCAAATGATTGTGGCCAATGATCATCGAAAAATAATATATCAATCATATTGGTTCCGATTCGTTCTCGTATTGTCGCTTGTAATGGCAATAGATCATCGTGTATTAGATGAAGCAGATTATCCGGTTTGAATCGACTCATTATCAATGTGCAACCGGGAATCCAATAAAAATTATTATATTCATTTTTTAACTCTATTATTTTTTCGAATGGTACAGTTGCTAGATATTTCACCAAGAATCGGTTATGATCCCAAACGGCAGATAAACGGCCAAAAAGTTTGTATTATTTGTCATCAATATAGAAGGTGGATAAATAATGGAAGAACTTGAATTAAATAGCAGGAAATATTCATTGGAATTTATTCGATAACACAGCGTTTCAAATCGACAATATGTCTCATTATTGTCATTCGATGATGATGATGATGAACACCACATTGAACTAGGTCTACAATGAATGATGGATATTAGTAAAAAAATTAGAAAAATCGGAAATAGTTTAGCATAATTTTACGAAAGATGGCGCTACACTCCGGAAACGGAATTTTTATAACCAGTGATTCTCATGGCAATAAAAAGTACTGCCAAGAGTGGGGTTTGAACCCACGCCCTCCTTAGAGGATCAGATAACTATATAGAACATATACAATCATCGCAAAAGCCGGAAAAGACGATGCGACCGGATATAGTCTTAAATCTGACCGCAATCCATAGCAAATCCGAAAAATCGGAAATTGCGACCGGATTTAGTCTTTGAAAAGACAATGCGACCGGAAATGTACTTAAGTCTGACGTCTTAGACCACTCGACCATCTTGGCACGCCCATATTTTACAATATGTCGAGATTCTCGTTTTGAAACAATAGCTAGATCTAATAGATCTTTTCGATAATAATTCCTATATAAAATAAACAACTATCAATATCAATTCTCAGAGGATCAGATCACTAGAGATAACGCAATCATAGCAAAGCCTTGGAAAAACAATTTAACAAATGTAATTTGACAACATGAATCAATTGAATGCTTCAACCGCTATGGGAACAAGCCTTATTGAAACGTTTGCATTTAACAACGTTCAGAAATATGATAGTACGAATATCGAGTCTTGGATATCTACTGTTCGGTCGGGTTTCCAAACATGCGGTAAATCGATCATTATCTTATCAATGTTGTCAGTACTGACCTCCGATGTCAAATCCTCTCTAAAATCGATTAGAACGCTTTCGCACGTCCTCTTTATAACCAATCCCTGCATGTACGCCTGTTTGTCGATACCCAGTGATTTCATGTTCAAACGATAGCTAGATCTAATAGATCGTCTCGATAATAATCAACGCTATTATTAATTCTCATTAGGATTTTTCTTTTGTAAGTCATTGCATATACATGATGAATAATTAATTGATTTTTTCAAACAATTCACTGAGAAAAATTCATCATCATACTTACGGTAAAAATTCTATAGATGATTTTTTGAACAATGACATCGCCTCAAATTCAATTCCATACATTTTGGACAATTCTTTGATTGTCTGTCCAATGAATTCATGCTTGTTCACAATCAATGCAATAAAAAGACCAGAAAAAATAATAAAAATTGTTGCTTTATTCGGCATTTTTACGTTTCATTATCATTATGAATAAATATAATAAGATTAAATTCATGAAAATATAACATGGATGATGATCAAAACAAAACAAAACAAAAAAAAATCGGCGCGATTCTCAAATGTTTATTTTCTTGCGTAACAAATTCTATGAACAGTCATAATTGTTTGATTTTAAGAATTTGTGCAGAATTTTCATTGCTATGATTCAAGTAATAGAGAAAGTTCATGCAGAAAATTATGGCCATCTTTATAGGTGATATATGCGATATCCGGATCAATAATACTTTCTTCATATGACCAGCTATCACTGATATTAGCCATTCTTTTCGAAGTGGTCAAAAAAGCTTGTCGATAAAATGTTTGACATTCTTTCAATGCTAATAGTGGTGATACGCCACAAACCAGACCCATTCCAGGCCTTTCAGGATCCGGTGTAATCAATACCAATGGCATTTGAATAGCACGCTGAGATTTACTGTTAAAGGAAGCATATGCGCTCAACGTATAAATGGTCAAAGCTTTTAAACAGCCAGGATGACAAAAAAGATTTGCATCTGGTGTACTTTCCGGTATGATCACATACCATAAAACATTGTTCATCATAGACATTAAATGTGCATCGATAATTAATTGTACTTGTTTGACAATGGCTGATAGTTGTACTTTTGCCAAACCAATACCGGTATCGATCAGATCCTGATTACTCCAAGTAAGTGAATCAAATGAATCAAAAAATTTTTGATTATAACTTTTATCTCGACCGGGCGCTTCTAATAAGGCTCTGGATGCCATGGCCAAATCGGAAGCACTGAATTTCTGTCTAATACCACGACAGCCAACAAAATTATAGCAGATTAATTTCGGCAAATTGTATTTGACTTTTTTTTCATCAAATTCTGATTTAAGCTTTTGTCTTAAATCCAGATCCATGGATTGAAATTTTTGCTTACTTTGATTCAATGGTAGACCAAGTTCGGCTAAAAATGTATGCAAACGTTTATGGCCTTTAAGTTTCCAGATTTTAAAACCACAAGATGTGTACATTGTATGACAAAGGCTTTCGTATAATGACCATTCTCGATACAATTTTAGGTTTAGATCCTTTTCATATGAAATGTTCAGATGATTGGTTGTCATAACTAATTCGGAATGTTGTTGATTACCCGGTGGTTGAGCATCATCACGATTAATATTTAAAACGAATCCACGATCTGAACGAATATTTCGTAATCGTTGCATCGAATCTGATAGGTAGCCCATTTCTCTTTTCATCAAATCACTTGGTAATTTGTAAGTATTTTGTTTATCAGTCACAGATAATATGACCAACCATAATAAATCGTTTGAATCCTTTCCCAATTTCCAGGCTAAATCGAAAAATATCATGGCCGTTGAATATGAATAATGAGAATTTTCTTCATATTCATTCATTAATTGCAAACGTTTAGTTTCGAATTTTTTGAATGCATTTCGTTTACGAAGTTGTTCAAGTGAAAGTTGACGCACATCAACATCATCATCATCGTCATCCAGATCAGAATCCCAGAATAATTCTTCATATTTAGGAATTTTTTGGAATTCATCTTCAATATTATTCAGGCCGGTTATTGAACAAAGAACCAGTACATCTTTTTCACTGTAAACATTATGAACATTTAATGGCCGATGACAATCGGCAATGAATATCTGTACATCATTTTCAGGCATTAAAACATCGATTACATCAGAAGTGGCACCTAAATTTATCATTAAAATAAATCTAATACCGATACGACGTTCTTGATAGGCACGTTGAAGTTCTGCACGTGTTCGAATCGGTACAATCGTATATGGAATATGATCACATTCGAATATGTATCGAATAATTTTGACCGCTGCAATCGAATCCAGATCATGGCTTACCAATATTAATACATGAGAACGATTTTGTAATAAAGGATCGTAGAAATCTTTACGATTATCACTTATTAACATTTTTTATGATTGATGAAAATTAAAAATTAAAAAAAAATCAAAACACAATTTTGAGACAATGTTTATTGTGTAAAAATCAACAACCAGCTGTGGTGGCATAACAAGCACACAATAAAAAGGCGCCAAATAGCACTCATAGCACATGCGTTATTCGAATGAAAAGTTGAACGAACGAGCAAAAAAATTTTAAATTTTTTCCCGCCATTTAAAAAGCATTTCATTGAGAATGTAATTTGAATTTGTATTTAATTTGCATGTAGGATTTTGCTAATATTAAGTAATGTAATAATAAAACTTTAATTTCATATTAAATCACAGAAATCGGTAATGTTTCCCACGATCTATGGATTCAATTCGAATCAGAATGGCTGATTTTAAGAATGAAATGAGTGCAATAAATGGCTTTCATCATCGTCAATCCCTTTATGTCTTTGAATGATTTTATGGGCGATAGAATTTTTTTTCTCATTACAATTTTAAGCTCGAACAAGAAAAAAAATATTCGTGTCAAATGACAACATTGAACATTTATGTCGATGGCGACGGTGAAGGTCATCATCATATTATTTGAATAAAGCAATAAAGAAAAAAAAATTAAAGATAATTAAAGTTAAAGCCAGCCAACATTCAACATCAATTATTCAAAATAATGATTGTCAATGGACATGCAATTGCATACGCCGTATAGAAAAATTTAAATTCGAATCGGAAATTTCTACTTTCAATACAACACAAACAAACATGCACACACATACATGCATAAAATCATTTTGTAACGCCTTTTGAATCGGTTTTAAATCTTCGCTGTGTATGTATTCAACCAGGTTGTCATCATCAGTCGTATAAATTATAATTATAATCGACAACAGGAAACAAACTTTTCCCCAATCTTCATACAAATAGAAGAAATTTATAGATCACTTCCGGCAATCAAAGTCGCCGTGATGCTCATCATCATTACTTTGGAGTTTGATCGAATCATCAATCCGTCGCTTCCAGGCAAATTTTTTTTTTTAATGCCGTCCTTGATTCTTTCATTATCATTGTCATCATCATTATCATCATCCCATAATAGAATGATCATGTCATACAATTTCATAGCTTGCAAAGCAATGTGATTATTATTGCTGGTGTGTCCATTAACATTTTAAACTGCCAGTTATGTAAGTAGGTACATCACCCTATATTTTAGATGTGTTTGTCATCATCTGTTGTTTGTGAATGGGAAAAAAAGTACCAAACACAAAAAGTACCGAAAAAAGACCAACTGGGCCAAACCGGACCCCGGGGTTGTTTTGAGAAAAAAAATCAAAAGATTTGGAGCGGACAACACAATCAAACACTAATACATCGCCTGCCACTGAATGGAAAAACTGCATCCATCCATTTGTGTATTTTTGAGTATGTTGCATTTCAACTGAGAACTAGGTCAAAGGGCAACCTTATATTGAGAATTTTGCTGCTTGATTGTAATGAATGAAAAATGCTTGCTTGCTTGCTACCCCTAGTCTGAATGTTTTGTCTACAAAAATGGTACTCTCTCTATCTTAGCTCGTAATGCTCCCATACAGCAAGCCAGGCCATTCTATTTTGATGTTGTTTAGTTTGATCTCGACCTGTATAAAATTGCGTGATCGATTCTTTGAACATTGAACATTTGACATCTGGCCATACACACATCAATGACCTCATTTTCACAGATTTGATGATCACAAAATACGCCCCATCTTCCCTAAGGCCAAGAAAATTTGGTGATTTTGTTTTGTTTACGAAAAAAAAATTCATACAAATTAGGTTCAGTGATGTTGGCCATCGTGTCATTCATTCACGCCGTCATATTAGTCGTAGTAGCTGCTGCCGCCGCCCATGGCCATCATAATCGACGGTTTTGCTTTTCGATTTTTATTTTCAGCCATCCAAATCGATGAAGGCCAACCGAATATAATAGTTGGTGGTTATAGCTTAAAATTATGTTTTGAATGTCGACCTTGGCGGCGGGAAATGATGATGGTGAATGGTTTATATGGTCAATGGTCTAAGCTTACTTGTTTGTCTCTATGTGTTGTAATTGTGTGCAAGAGAATTCACTTGAAAAATTACGCATCATCATCATCATAGAAAATGAGGCGCCTAACATTTGGGAACATCTGTTTTGGCTTGAAAATTTTTCTGCCTCTAGGGTTTTCATCATTGGTATTCGTTTTTTTTGGGCGAAATTCGAATCGATGATTTTGAGAACCCATAAATCAGTTTGTAGGATTTTTATTTCTCTCTCCACTCTCTTTTATGTTGGCCGTGTGTTTGGTAATGGTAATGGTGAAAATGAATGAAATTCAATGCCAAATAGAAGAAATGACCATTTCAAATTGATTGATCGGCGTTGTTCATTATGTGTGTAGATGAATCGAAAAACACATAGATACAGAGAAAAAGAGACAGAAAAGGGACTTCACGAACCATGAAGATGGAACGATCCAAAAAAAATGAAATGAACCTAACGGGCCGTGTATTTGACCTGTCATGCGAAACTATAGATGTATGGCCTAGACCTAGGTTCACATGTAAAGCTTTTAATAACCCTCACTACGCCATTCAATTGACACCATCAAACAAACGAACGAACGAACCAACTAACAAACGAACACAAGAATGGAACAGATGTGCAACTATCATTCATTTCTCTTTGGTCTTTCCTCCCTCCCCAAAAGCATATACAAAGACTAAGGGCAGATTTTGACTTGGCGGCTGTTTTTATGAACATGGAAGGAGCGTTCCCTGGTAAAGCAGTAAAGGGGGTTTATATGTTTGTTACATCTTGCTTTTGCTTCTAAATTTTTCATGAAACAAAAGAAAAACATTGCCTATACTAAGCCATGATGATGATAATGTTATTAACAAACATTCATTTATTCGGCATGATGATGATGGCCATAAGATGGAGATAATGAAGACGCCCAATAAGTAGTAATTTAAAAAAATAAAAAGTTTAAGTTTTGAATTTTTTTTTTTTTTTTTTGAAAATCAGACAGAATCTGCGCATGAGTAATGCAAGGCAAGGACACCATGGACCAAACAAAAAAAAACACACACACACATTCACGGTCTTATTCTTGGCCTTGTGTGATAGTGGTACCCACAACCACCACCACGACTCCCGCGCTCAAGTCTCCTGCTGGTTGATTTAAACACAAAGAACCAAAACGAAATATTACTACTAAAACAGAGGCAGACAAACGAGCGGTTGATTGGTCCAATCCAAGAAGAACTGCCGCGCAACGAAACAAATCGCGAACTACGACCATGATGATGATGATCACAAAGTATTTATTATTATAGCCGCGCGCGCAACGAAACCACCATTCAAAGAAAGGAAAAAAATTTTCATCACATTTTCAAACATTTTCGAATTTCGATTTTCGAGTTAATTCATCAACATTTATCGCTGCTCTATTTGCTTTCTCACTTTTGAGTGTAATCTTATCAGTGATCATCTATGAATACCGTTGTATTAATTCAAATTAGATAATCATCAACCATTTTTAATGAAAAACAATGGAAATCCAAGAAGAACCATTACCATTGTTGACATTATCGAATGGTCATCATAATAATAATTTTAAAACATCGACATCAAATAGTGATCGAAATGGAAGTTCGAATTCAGATTCAGAATCACAAGATTCATTAAGAAATGGCAACAATGGCAACAATAGTCAAGATTCAAATCGTTTTAATTCATATCTAAATCGTGGCAGTGAATTATGGACACATTGGACATGGCTTGGTGGCCAAGGAAAAATGTCAGTAATGCGTTGTAATTATTGTCTTGTAAATAAACAGCTAAAAAATGCACCAAAATGTCGCCGTCATTTAATAAAATGTCAAAAGACGCCCGAAGTGGTACGTAAATTTTTTGAACGTAAAGAAATCGAAGCATCGCGAGTATCTGCTTTTATGCGTGAAATACGTTCAAAAGAGGTAAAATTTCCTCGTAATCAACAACATCAGCCACAAACTCAATTATCAGCTGATAATCCGAATCATAAAGTGGAAAAGATTGAATCAAAACCACATATTCCACCGCATATCCATCATCGATCAGCATCATCAAGAATCGTACCTAAACCAACAGCCAATGATCTGAAACATTTAAATCAAAAACAACAAACAACAAATGGACACCGTAATCATCATCATCAAAAACAAATGGTCACAACAACAAATTCAAATAACGGGATTAATAATAATGATGATGATGGTGATCATTATAAACATAAAGATCATTCTAAATCACCATCATCGAGAATTGAAGTTACAAATTATTCTACTACCGATCTGATAAATAAGACAAGTATATTAATGAATTATTCCCCATTGATTAATCGTTCGATGAAAAATTTGGCCGATCAATCACCAAAGACAACAACAACAACAACGGCAACTAATCCGATCAATATGAATGGTCGTAATAATAATAATCATCATATTAGTCAAAATGATCATCCAAATTGTGATAGTACGATTGATTACAATCATTTACTCTATCAATTAATGGTAGGTGATTATTTTCATGTTTTGCACCAAATATATTTTTTTCTGTTATTTAAACTCGTCAATGTTTGAACATAGATATCATTCATTCAAATCGTAATGGATGCATGCCATTCACCATCTTTTCGACATATAGAATTACTCTACTAGCCTAGAATTCAAAATGTTGATGGTGATGATAGTGATGATGATGATGGGAGCTGTCTGTCTGGTTTTTTCTTTTTTTTCTATACTTTTGTTCAATGTCAGTCATCATTCTAGAGGCTATGTGGTTTTTGTTGTTGTTTTTGGTTTAAATAAATCTTCAGATAGACATTCGTATGTATTTTCGAAGGCCATAATTTTTTTTTCTCTCTCTGTGTGTATGTATGTTTGTGGTTACATCAACACATTATATTCGTTTGTTTGTATTCGTTTTTGGTCTCGAAATAATATAATGATGAACATTGAACATTTGAAATTAGCATAAAACCAAATCAAGGCAAAAAAAAAATATTATGCTAAATGTTGTTGTTAACATGAAAACAAAACTAATATTACATGTCATGGTCAACAAAAAAATATCAAAAAGGTTGCTTTTTTTTGTTGTCCATATGTTTTGTTTTCTTTTGGCAAAATATTTATCATAATATTTGGATTCCATGCATATTGACTGATTGGAATATGTTTCCAAGCTATTCAATAAAGAGAAAAAGGTTAATTTGTCTTTAAGCGACACACACACACAGCAATAATATTCTTCTGAACAAAAAAAAAAAAAAAAAAAATATGGCAGGTTTTCTGCATCTGCAAAAGCAACGCCGTTTGATTGCTCCATCTGCCCGATTGTTTGGTTCCATTGTTGTATTAGTGTGTTTGTACAACGTCCCTGTTTCTCTCATGTCAATTTATTTTTTCTCCCTCTGAGTTTTTTTCATTCATCGGACGATCGATAGCCGACGTCTGGAATGGTTTGCAGGCATATATTTTTTTTGTATCATATGTTTGTGTGAAAGATTAGAATGTATGTCGATCTCGGTTACTTTTTTTTCTTGTTCAGCTAAGGCAATGTTCACTCCCAAATCTAGCAATCTCTCTTTTTCTTTATACTCATCAGGTTTTTGGCTAGGTCGCGATCCAGTCGATTACTTTCCAAACACAAGTGTTGTGGTCATCATGGTCCTTGAAAATAGACTCTGTAAGCTTTTGCTCAAAAAGGTCAAATTTATGCTTCGACTGACTGCTTCGATGGTTGTCTGTTGATGGTTGAAATGACTCTGGGTCATCATCATCATCATCATCATCCACAACACGACTCATGAGGGTGGAAGGAGACTAATCATGATTATCGGGAGGGAGTAAAAGGAATGTGGCTATCATTTGGGGCCAAAGAGCAGCGGTGGCAGTCCTCAACAGTGCTGTTGATGATGATGGCCTATGTCACATTGTGCCCTTGTGCCATTCTCGAATACCATTTTACATTTGTATATATGTGTGTGTGTGTGTGTCGAATTTGGTGAATGAATGGTACTATAGTTTTTACAACATTTTATAGCTTTGAAACTGAACAATCGATAAATAAACGAGCCCAGCGAGACATCTGGCAAAAAGAAAAATTCAGCAAAAATGTCTGCCTGTACTTGTCTCAAATGGATGGATGGTTTGGTTCATTTCAGTCGGTTAGTTCGTGGCTAATGGGAAATGATTGAAATGATTATGATGATGTGAGAGAAAGATGCACGGCAACGGTCACGGTAGCGTGTGTATATGTGTACAAGTTTCGGAAACTGAAATCGGATCAAATGTTTGCTCGATTGTATTTGTATTTGCCAAAATGTCTGGCTTAGATCCCAATGTGATTTTATTTTTCTCCAAACAATGGGAAATTCGGGACCCAAAATGTTCATTCAATCATTCGTTGGCTTATTGATTACATTTCGAAGAATTAATGGGATAATGGCAATTGTAAGAAGAATGATGAATCGAATGAACCGTATTTTGTATATGAACCAGATTTTAACACTAAAAAAAAAAAAAACGGTCACATTGTTTCCCAGAATCATCAAATTATGATGGCTGGCTTGGCTTTGCTTTGCTTGGCGTAGCTGAACAATGGGCTCCACACACATTTGACTATTCAAAGCTAACATTTTGTTATATTATTTTAAATTTTCGAAACTATAATAGGAACATGAATGTGTAATGGATGAAATGAAACTAAAAAAAAAATGCATTATGTTGGGTGGATGTGTCAAGCTTGTATGATTTAAATAACATTCGTCAGTCTGTCATAAATTAAATGTTTAGGTCGGCAATTCGCAATTCTTATTTTTTTCTTATAATATAAATCGAACTTTTCGCAATGACTGAACTGGTTTTTCTTTTTTTTCTCTGAAAAAAATTAAAACAAAAGAATAAAACAAAATCCTTTATTTTATTACCTAAATATCCTTGAATTATTTTGAAAAAATTTTGAATGAAAAATAAATTGCCAATGTTCAAAATTATTACATCACCTGTTGTCAATAATCAATGATAATGATGAGGCACTGGTATAAATCAATGGATCATGCGGTACAATAAGTCGTCGATAAAGATTTTAAAGTAGCAATTTTTATACTCGGTACATAACATTTTTTTATGATTCTTATCTCAAAAAAAATCTACTAGACATGTTAGAACAATTCATTATAAACGAAAATTTGTCATTCGATTCAATTTAATCGTTTTTAAATTTCTCAGTTACTAATGGTAATCTTTTTTTTTTTTTTTTTCATTATTTTTGTTTTGATTATTATAATTCAATCTAGTCAATGAATTCAATACCATCGACAGCGATTTCTACCTCTACTGCTGTAACTAATGTAACGCCGGATAATCCAACCGTTGTTGTTGATCATCAAAATAACAATAGTAATCGTTACCCCATATTATCGGGCAAATTGAAACGAAAACACGTACATCCAACCGTTATTGATTATCATCATTCAACTAACGGTAAAGAAAATAGTCTTATAATTCATGAACCAACGAAAAAATTGACAAACAACAATCATAATCAAAATGGTGGCTTGAATAGTAATAATACCGTGGTCATTAATTTGGATGATATGTCAATGATGTCCAATCACAATCTTCAAGATGACCCGATTTATTTCAATCAATTAGGAAATGGACATGAGGAAAGTTTAATTGTGACAATGAATGGTAACGGTCATTTGCGTAAAAGAAAACGTGACAATTCTTTATCATCATCATCATCTTCATCACTAAATAATAATAATTCATCAAATTTCACTGGTAAATCGACTGCATTCATGCATAATGGTGCAAGTAATGACATAGATCTTCGTAATAATAATAATAATGGCGTTCATAATAATGTTAATGGAAATAATTCGATGGAACTGACCGAATTGGCATCGCAAGATATTGATATATTACATGATGACTTGAATGATATCCTTATGTCTGCATTAATTAGCCATGGAATCGAATTGGATTTCATAAAAAATTCATATTTTGAAAAATTCATCTCAAAATTGGTGAAATTTTGCACATCAAATAAAAATTATCGCCTACCATCAGTGGATACACTAGTATCGAATAATATACTGAATTTGATAAGGAAATTTGATTATGAAACTGCTAAAATATTTTCCGAATGTGATTCAATAATTGTTTCGTTCGAAAACAACGATGACCATCCGAACAGCAACGAAATTAATGATGATGATGTTACCGATGAAGTTGCAGCATTGATGCCCCAATCGTATGGCAAACGGTTAATTCAACGATATAGCAGTAGTGGCCCAATAACGAAAAAACAGCAACAATTAAACGTCAATCTTATGATTGCATCATCAAATACATGTTTGAATTTATTTTACAAATCAATCACTTATACAAGACAATCGCCATCATTGTCGCCCAATAATGGTGATATCGATGTCAAACATCTTAACAATCAAATCGATTCGTTGTTTAATAAACTAGGTCCGGATCGTATTAATGCCGTCATATTGCCATACAAAGAGGATCGATGTGCTAAGATGATCCATTCATATCTGGCTGCATGTCATTCTCATATTGTACCGTTGACCAATTCATATCGTCTATTTCATCATCTACTTTGTGATATATGTCGTATTCCGTCCATACATCGTGTAATCACTAGATCGATGATTTTGTTCCAAGATCTATTGGCAACAACCGAAACCATTGATGATAATCAATTCGATTTTCATAGAGAAAATCAAAACCACTGGAGACAGGTATTTGAATCGGATCAACTCGGAATTTTTCGTCATTTTATAAGGTCAAATGATGATGATAATCATTCTACTGACATTTCTCGACTGAATCAACAATCAAACAAGAATGCTTATTGGATCTCACTAAATATGATGCTTTGCTGGTCACTTGTCGCACGTTCAAGCATAATGAAATTATTCGAACAAATACACGATGATGAGGATGCTTCGAATAACAACAATCAATCGATTAATCAACGTTTGAAAAACATCTTACAACAAATCCAGCTTGAAATTAGCCAATTGGATCAATTTTTCGATCAGATCTCAATTCTATTTAATTTTTTGACACCGTTCATCAATGGTATGTATTAGTCTGTAAATTATGTTAATGTTCTTATTTTTAAATTTGTTTCACCATAAATTTTATTTTCTTTTCTCGTTTTTGTAAAATTTATACAACAGCCATACATTTGATTGAAAACGAGTCCACCGTGATCTCAGACATCATTAAAATTTATTATGATGTCAAGTTGGCCATAAATAACAATAACTTTTTCAATGGTATACAAAATGTTTGTGATAAAACCGAACGTCAAACGATTGACAGTATTCTACATGGCTATTTAAATGAACAAAATTTGTCCCGTTATTATTTTCTGGCCTATTATCTGGATCCACGATTCCGTGAAGATCGCCGTATTGAAGAGAATGAAGAATTAACCGCACAAGTTTATGATGCATTATTCACTTATGCACAAGCACTTGGCTGTGTTAACAATGAAGAAGAGGATCGTGAGAAACTTGTTGATAGCCTTGAAGAATTCCGTAACGGTGATAAACTATATGGTATGCAGCTGCTTAAATGTCCAAAATCACCCAGTAAATTCTGGAAACATTTACGACGATTTCCAGGCAGTGCTAAATTAGCTTATTGTGCATCACGATTGTTATCCATATCGACACGTTCAATGTTGATGACAACATCACCATCTGATGATCCATGTGTACGTTCACTTTGCGATCGAATCATTAATCACCATCGACGACAAAATGATAATGATACTAATGAACTCGATCATGATTGTCAGATGGCATGTGAAAAATTATTGCCTATCAAATCATATTTATTATCTAGTAGCCAGAAAATGCCAGCCATTTTGATCGATGGTGATGGGGGCGATGTTGCCGTTATCGACAAGAATATTAGTAATAATGGAAAAAGTTCAGGCCAACTAAACTCAAACATATCTCAGATAATCTTTAATGTGATTGCCTCATTGGATCAATATAGATCATTTATTGCTCAACCATTTTCCACCCGTGACTTATCGACCTTTTTCGTTAATAATAATAATCATAATAATAATGATGATAATCAACAATCACAACCATCATGAGTGAATAATTTAAAGTGCCATCATTGTAAAAAACAATGTGTTCAAAAAATACATAGACACAACGATATACTCTTACAAACTCATTAACACACACACACACACACACACATTTTCATAACATTCATTTTCATTTTGAATGTGTTTCTGGATACATATTCAAACTTTTTTTTTGATTATGAACAAAATATCAACAACATATTTGATTTTTTTCTACGTTTTTTTATCACATACACATAATAATCAATTTAATGCCAAAGTTGAAGAGTTTTAATTATTATCTGACTTTTTTTAAAGTTGATAATTATACATCTGTTACTCACACATCATAAACCCAAATGAAACTTATCATTGATTTATTGGAAACAACCCTAATTCTCACTATTTTTTTCTGTAAACTCGTACGACAAGCTAAGGATAATCAGGAAACCAATTTTTTTTAAGACAATTGTTGATTTGATTTGATGAATAATTTTTTTTTAATATAATGTTTATAACAATATCCTAAAATTAATTTTAAAAAAATATTTTTTTATTTGAACAAATAATTCGTTGATCAAGGGCATATGTGGGTGGAAAAAACCCGGAAAAAAATGTGTTTCAATTGTTAAGATTGCCAGATGTTAAACGGGTTTATTTTCAAATCGATTAATTTCCACCTTGAATTGTTAAAAAAAATAAACGAAAGTAAGATGATATTTATTAATAAAGCTGCTTATCCAATGGGGTTTTCATGAAACAAAAATTTTATCTCTCACAACTTTATTTTGGCTTTAATTTAGATCAATGATGCATGCCGTGTGCTCGTACTATAGTTGAATGTGTTCGTCATCAACAACATCTAATTCTTTCAAGATCCCCCATTCACAATTATCATAATTAATCAATTTATCTTTTTTTTTGTTCCATTATTCATCGACTATAATTATAATGGAAACTATATTTAATCATTTTTCTGGGGACAAAAATTTTTTCACTTTAAACGGACCTTGGATTCAAATAGAATTTAATGTTCAGGCAAAACAAGATTTTTATTTTTGTTGAATAGACGATCGATCATTCATTTGTCTGACATTCTATTCTAAATTTTCGTATTTAATTTGAAAAGTATGAACAAAAAAGAAATCTAGAACAAACGATCATAATGTTGTCGAGACATATGAAAACATGTGATTTAAAAGTTGTTGTCGAATCTATCATAAATTTGGCATCTAAAATAGATTCCAATCAGAAAAAGAAACGAAATCTTTTCATTGTTAATATAACTTTAGCACCTGTTGTTGCTATTCAGACCTGAAGTTGGCCATTGATAATCAGCAATCACTTTAATTTACTCTTATCATTTTTTTTCGAAATTCGAATTCTAATTGAATGACAAATCTTATAATTGCCTAAACATTGTCCACAATGTTATCAATAATTATTACAATAAATTGAATGTTCATATGATTGCTTCAGGTGACAATCATTATATTTGACAACATAGTACATGTATGAATCAGAATAGATAATGGTGAATCAAAATTGACTTTTCAACGCCCTACATATGATCGCCCATCGCATAATTATTGATATCTACACATCAGGATTGGATTTTCAAATTCCAACGAAAAAAAATGGTTTGATATAGCAGGCGCTTAAATCATCAATTCAATCAGAAAAAAATGGATGGATCAATCACCACTAAATCATTGGGAAAAAATGGAATTTGCATTTTTTTTTATTCCACAATACATGCATCTTTACTGACAAATTGATGATAATCAATGCTTGTGGCAAAACAAGTAGAAAAAAATGCCATTTTTGTTCGTTTTTTTTCTTGATCTAAATTGGATACTGAAAGTAATAACGAAAACAATAATTTCGTTGTTCGAAACATGCCAAAAAAAAAATCAAACATCGCTTTAAATGATTTTTATTTATTATTATTTTTCGTTTAGTTGTTAATCATGGCGGCCATGAGAACGCCTTCAATGATTTAGTTTTCTTATTTTTTTCCTATTTGTCAATTGTGTATGTACGATTGTTTATTCGTTCAATTTATAATGATAAATATAAAGCTGCTGTTCTATAAATGAATGTAATGGCTATCTTGAATTTTGAATCCTACTACTGGAACTTTATTTTTGTTCTTGTGGAACAACAACGAGTGTGAGAAGAAAAATTTTGTACACGATTTTTAAATAGTGATTAGAATGGAAATGGAAATTTTTCGTTTTTTTTTGGAACACTTGTCTGTGAATGAATTTAGCTTTAATTTTTTTTACAAATCAACCGATATTTAAATTTTTTTTTATCACCACAATTATTGATTAGCTGTCAAGGTTAATATAACGGCGAGAAAAAGTGGCCATTCTATTTTCAAAAAAAAATGTTCATTTTTTGTTATTTTCAAATGATGTAAAAAACGAAACAATCGTTGTCGTCGAATCATCATAATGGGCGACTTTTTTCCCTCTTTTTACATATAAAAAAGTTTTCCATTCAAAAGCTGTACCTTCCATTTTTCAAAATCCAAATACCATAGTTGGCCATAATTTTTTTGCATTAGCCAATTAATGCTTCGATCATATTATCAATGACAGAGCCTGTGATTGTTATTGCTGAATGATGATCATTGTATCTATTTATATGAAATTTTTTTCACCCATAATTGGAAATTAATTTTTGATTCAAAAAAAATCATGAATAATGAAAAAAAAGAAATGGCCAATTTTAACAATAATTATGATCCAGAAACCCTATGAGAAGAACAAAAAAAAAATAATTTTGATAGTTGAATGAATCAAAATCCCACAAACCTTAACAAGAAAGTTAAAAGTTTTCATTCATTCATTAATGTGAAACAATGCTAATCATACCATAAAAATAAAAGTTTGACTTGATGAATTTTAATGATTTTTTTTTCGTTTTGGTCATCTCATCATCATTAGTATAATCAAAGACAGACACATTGATTAACATTGAATAGTTAGTAGTATCTAATGTAATAATAACGTGTCCGTAAACGAGAAAAAACATTTCGTTCGATTGTCTGCTGAAATCGTACGAATCGTGTACATATGATTTTGAAACATTAAACATTTCAAAATGAACCATTTCATGTTTTGAAAAAATAAAAACTTGACATTAAATATGAAATGGATTCATGTTTCATTTCGGTTAACACAAAAATAGCAAAAAATAAAATGACGAAAACAAGAAATTCGAAAAAACAGCAAATTAATTTTTAGGTTCGCTTTTTTTTGTTTTAATCGAGAAATAGTGAAACAGTTAACTGGCAAATGGCCAATCACATCATATCAATTTGATCAATACGTTGATCGATTTGCACAACAACTTTCATCGTTGTATATGTTTCGGACAATCAATTTAAAAATAAAAAATTTCTACATATTTCCAAATATAAAATGCATGTTCATGTTGATATATTTCTAGCGTTCAATGACAATAATGATGATGATGATGATAATGATCCTTGATCAAACGAATTAGAAATCAATCAAATCCGATTAGCTCAAAATAAAAGTGGACATGTGTTTCCAAAATTGATTGATATCGATTCTAGTAATTTTTTTTTTTCGTTGATGTTTTGTCAATGAACAATTTTTTTTTTTTAGTTTTCACCTCAAATAATACATTCGTGATGTAGCTTTAAGGAAATTTTTGTTTTCAATTTCGGCAAATTTTGTTTTCAATTTCGGCAAATTTTGTTTAAAAATTGGACATGATAATTGATCATTATCTTGAATCGATTTTGATTGACATTGATTTATTTCGATGATTTTTTTTTATTTTTTATTTTAAGTTCTTCAAAAAAAAACGAATCCATTCAGCAAAAGTTAAAAAAAAAATACAAATAAAAATAAAAAGTCCAAGCAACTATGTTAAAATATTTTTGTCAGTTTCATCTGATACAATAAACAAATTATGAAACAATGATTTTTTAAAAGAAAAGTTAAGACAATATAATTTCAAAAAAAATAGAACAATGCTTGTCCATTATCTAGCTTTGGATAAGATTAGATTATACATTGCATAATTCAGTGTCCACACTTACGTATGCTAAATGTGTGTCTGCTACAACAATGAAAAAGAACAAAGATTCGTAACCAAAGAAATCTATCATGATTTAGAATAACAAAGATGGCCTTCAATTTAGTTATGGGAATCTTTTACAACTTTCGTTTCAAGTTTTTTTTCCCGTTTTTTTTAGTCAACATCATTGGTCAGCTATTCTAAAAAATTTTTCTTGATTTCATTTCAATTTCATCATCATCATCATCATCATCGTCGTCGTTGTTGTTGATGTTGTTGTTGTTGTTGTCAGAAATCGTTTATTACAAAACAATACATGGACGAAAAAAATTTATTCATCATCATCATTCCAGGAATCTTCATTTGCCATCATCGGACATAGGTCCATAATGTGTTTATGGTCATCATCATCATTTAATGGTGACAAAGGATCTCTCTCTCTCTCTCTTACTCTTTCTCTTCTTATTCATCCAAAACAAAAGCTGTATATAAATTTGGACATCGAACATACATTGTGTGTTCGTGTTTGGAACAATCTTACAATCCTAATGATAGGATTTTTATCCTTTGTAAGTTGTCAATGCTGTACAAATGTTTTTTAGTTTGACCATGAAAAGAATATATGTGACGCTTAAAAAACATGTCATTTCATGCTTTATGGACTAAACAGAAAAAATTGAATCTATCATTGGAATTCGATTAATATTGATCCAAATTATTGTACTCGATTACTCTGATACGGGTACAATGAGTCAGATCCAAAGTGTTCGCCCAAGTTTATTTCAAACATACATACGCACACACACTTGTTTCAAAAGAAGGCGTTTGTTCCTTTGAATTTAGAGAAAACTCATCCCACACACATACTTCTGAAACTGTCTTGGAACACTTGGATCTCTTTTTCGTCTTTCAATTCATCGAATAAAAAAAATCTCTTTGAAATGATAAATTTCAAACACAACAACAATTCCATCATCATTATTCGAATTGGAATTTCAACACATTCGAAATGTATAAAAAGGCATCGCAAAAAAACTAATGGAATGACCAGTATATAATTTTGCCATCCTTATCATCATCATCATCGTTGTAGTGCAAAACATTGAAGTTTTTTTCAAAATATTTATTGGTGTGTGTGTGTGTATAAAATCAGTGTTTATGTGTTTAAAATAATTTTTTTTTCTTATTCATAATTTTTTCAGTGCCAATTCTATCCTCAAATTCAGATCAAATAAATAATGTTCATAAAAGCTTTGGTAAGTTGTTCAAGAATTTTTTTTCGTGATTTAATCGATATAGTTTAATGTGTATACCAGTATTTCATAGAATATAGTTTTAAAATGCATTGACTATTAATTATATGGCGAAACTTTATTAAGACTTATCCATTATTGAGACCAAGACCAAAAAAAAAATCTCTTGATGAAGATGTGTGTGAGTGTTTGGGCTCAAATGTCTTGTCACTAATCACTCACACTTCATAAACATACACAACTCCAACTTTGGAATGGGTTTCTTTGATCTATAATTGAATAGTTTTATGGGGAACAAATCAGAAAGGAGATTGTTTTGGTTAGAAAGAAAAAGCACACACTTTTTTCGCATTGAATCTCTCGAACTTCTCGACCAAAAAAAAAAAAAATCAATAAGCATGAAAAAAATGTAAATTTTTTCTGTGATCATAGAACCCAGTTATTTTTGGATAAGTCTTGATGAAGTTCGCGATGAAGTGTGTGTCTAAATTCTAACCAAAAAAAAAATTTTGCTAATTTCCTTTCTTTTTCTCTTCTTATTTGTTCTATTATCGATCCCATTCCATCACAAAGTTGGTTGTATTGGTGTCCGTTTCCGCTTATGCTAAACCAAATGGTTATGGCTTTGCTGGTTCAATTTACGGTGGCCTATCCCATTATCCATCGTACAGTTATGGTGTGAAAGATCATGTTGTCCATCATCATACTGAACAAAAAGTCATCCAACCAGTTGTTCATCCACAACCATACATTCAACCAATCGTTAAAAGCGTACCAGCCCCTTATCCAGTACATGTTCCATATCCGGTCGCTCAACCATATCCAGTTATTAAAAAGTCCGGCTCCATATCCAGTTGTGAAAGAAACCATTCGACATATTCCACAACCAGTACCAGTTCCAGTAACCAAAGAAGTTTATCGTGATGTTGTTCAAAAATATCCAGTCCCACAACCATATCCAGTTCATGTAACGGTTCCAATTCCACAACCATATGAAGTTATTAAAAAAGTTCCACAACCATATGAAGTAATCAAAAAAATTCCACAACCATACGAAGTTATTAAAGAAGTTGTCAAACATGTTCCAGTAATCAAAGAAGTTGTTCGTCATCAACCTTATCCAGTACATCAACCATACGAAGTGGTCAAAGAAGTTAAAGTTCCAGTCGAAGTTGTCAAAGAAATTCCAGTACCGGTTGAACATATTCGGCATGTTCACGTTCCTATTGCTAAACCAGTAGAAGTGTTGAAACATGTTGAAGTTGTACAAGAAAAAGTGAACAAAATTATTCGCGATCAACCATACGAAGTTCCGATCATCAAAAAGATCGCTGCACCAGTTCCAGTTCATCAACAACCGATTGAACATAGCTACGGTGCTCGACTTCACGGATATAAATCCTCTTAAATTCAATAATATTAATACAATGTCATCATAATGGACAAATCAATTTTTTTCAAGTATGAAGCAACATTTGGATGAATGAGCTATATATATTGTGTGTGGTTTAGAAAAAACAAATTTTTATCTAAAATCTGTTTGAGTGTCCATGTGTGTATCTGAATAAAAATTTTTATATTCAAAATAATGCTTGGCTGATACAATTTCTTTCGAATGCTAATCACTTTGTTGTTTACTAATCCTCATTTGATCCCAGTTGGTCGTAGCTTTGTCGGTTGTTGCTTCATGCAAACCAGCTCCATACGGGATTGCCGCTCCATATGGTTTTGGTGTACATGGAGCTATGCCATACTTAGGTCATTCCTACAATACTTATAGCCAAAAAATTGTTCAAGTTCCAGTCGCTCAACCATATCCAGTTCCGGTAGTTAAAACTGTTCCACAACCGGTAACTTATAAATAAAATTTTTGTCCATTAGTATCGGTGATAAACAAACATTTTTTCTTCTAATATTTTTTAGGTTCCAGTTAAAGTTCCAGTTCCTCAACCATACCCAGTTCCAGTTGTTAAAACTGTTGCCGAACCAGTAGGTTTCTCGATTTTTTCATTTTGAAAAATTCATTCATTTTATTTTATTTTGGATTTAGACTCCATACATTCAACAAGTTGTTAAAGATGTTCCAGTACCACAACCTTATCCAGTTGTAAACCACGTCGTCAGAGATGTTATCCGAAAAGTTCCATATGGTGTTCCACAAGTATGTATCCATTTTATCCAGATCTTGAACTAATCTCATTTAATTTCCAACATTGTAGCCATACACCGTCAAAGTTCCAGTTCCACAACCTTACCCAGTCGAACGAATTGTGCCAGTTCCGCAGCCAATCGAAAAACTTGTTCCAGCACCATATCCAGTTGAACGAGTTGTCGTCAAAGAAGTTCCAGTCGAACAAATCGTAGAAAGAATTGTCAAAGTTCCACAACCTGTATGATAAACCATAATACTATTTACTTTTTTCAATATAATCTGATATTTGAATTTCTCTAAAAAAGATCCCAGTTCCTGTTGAAAAAATTGTCAAAGTTCCATATGAAGTTATTCGAACTGTTGAAAAACCATATCCAGTCGAACGGATTGTCAAAGTTCCACAACCAGTTCCAGTACCGGTTGAACGAATCGTACCAGTCATTAAAGAAGTAGTTCGGGATGTCTATATTGATCGACCAGTTCCAGTTCCAACTGTCAAAAAAATCATCGAACCAGTTGCTTATCCAGTTTATCAACAAAAGGTTTTGGACTATAAATCATCTTAAACGCCGTGATTCAATACTACCGTACAAACTATTGTACATCAGATGAAATCAATTTTTGGCCTTGTCTGTTTTTTCGAATGAATAAATTGTTATGAAAATAAAATAACAAAAACCATATTTTATCAAGGAAAACAATTTATTTGAATTATACAAATATATCTAAAAAAAATTATGTTTTTGAAGGTGGTGTCAAATGTTCGGGCATCGATTCCAAACGTTCTTTTGTCACTTTCAATGCCGTTCCTTCGGGTAGATTGCGTTGGATGTATTCTAAAAATGTTTCTGCTGTCGATCCGGTTAAATATTTAATTTCAACACTACGAAAATATGTACGAAATTCGTATTGAACACGATATTTTTTCTTAACAAAAGCAGCCCGTAATAAAGTACGACGTTTAATCAAACGAAATGGCTCCCATCTGTGAATTAAAAAAAATTTTACATTTAGTTTATAGCTTTGAGAATTAAGGATAAAAAATAAATACGTTCGGGATACTGGAATATCTAAAAAATTTGCAGTCATTAATACAAATTTTTCGTAGCTATCCAATACGCCACGATCGGCTGATCGAGCTTCTAATTCTATTTTTTTGTATAGAATATCTTCATTTAGTCCGACTGATTCATCGTGTTTTTTAGGTTGACTAGAAATTGTTTTAACAGATGTTACAGGTCCAATTTTCACTATGGACAGATCATTTGATCTCCATAACCAATTGATAAAACCAAAACGTCGGAAATGATTTGAAATTGAAAACATTTTCGCCGATCAGAATCCAAAAACAACTCGCAGACACACAGGCATGCATTTATAAATTTATAAATGCATATTCACATAGTGTTTATGAACAGTTCCAATGCCTCCCAATTTCTTAATTTGATCAACAGACTCATTTAGAATTTAGAAAAATGGATTCACGGTCATCAAATTATCACCGAAATCATGATGATGATGATGATGATGGTGATCGAAATGATAATCATCGACATCATTATAAACATCGTAAATATCAATATCATTCTGAACGAATACGATATCAGAATCAATATGACAATCAAACATCAAACAGTCAATCGTCATCGATTTCATCGATTGTAGCCAATCATTATAATAGTATTCATAATAATGATATTCAAGAACGAAAAAAGAGCCGTATCTATTATATGAGAAATTTTAATAATTGGGTTAAAAGTATAATCATACGTAAGTGTAGTTGAACTAACTCTAAATCATTATGTATAAGCTTAATTCATTTGGACATTGATTTTTGTGTAACAGGTGATACTATAAAATTATTACGATCCGAACGAGATGATCAAAATGATACCGAATTCATTGTACATGATCTCGCCTGTGGTAAAGGTGGTGACCTAACTAAATATGAGAAAAGTCAAATCACACATTTCATTGGATCAGATATTGCAAGTGTTTCTATTGAACATTGTAAAGAACGATACGGTAATTCTCGTAAATACTTTAAAGCCGAATTCATCAATGCCGATTGTTCTCGTGAACTGATCAAAGATAAATTATCCGATCCAAATATTCGTTTCGATATGACTAGTTGTCAGTTTTCATTTCATTATTGTTTTGAGTCATATGATCAGGTTCGAACTATGGTACGCAATGCATCTGAATGTTTGAAAATTGGTGGCATTTTTTGTGGTACAATGCCAGATTCAATCGAAGTAATGCGACGATTGAAAGAATGTGGAACAAATCAATTCGGTAATGATGTATATTCAATCAAATTTGATAAATCCTATGATGAAATGACAGCCGCTGGTATATCGTTATTTGGAGCTAAATATGATTTTCATCTTGAAGAAGTGGTTGATTGTCCAGAATTTTTAGTCTACTTTCCAATCATGGAAGAAATCTGTGAAAGTTATGGGCTTAAATTGATATTCAAAAAAAGATTCGATGAATTTTACGAAGAAAATCGTGAAGGTGATGATAATTCACGATTGTTGAACTTTATGGAAGCACTGGAAAAATATCCACCCAAAGATCGTGAACGTCCAATGGGCAAACCAGAAGATTATCGACATATTCGTGAATATCTACAGAATTCATCCGGCCAATCGATCAATACGATCGGCACCTTATCCAAATCCGAATGGGAAGCTGTAACATTGTATTTGGTATTTTCATTTCGTAAAGTTTTTTGATTCCCAGAGACATACATTTTGTAACGACATTTTTCATTAATAATTCCTAAATCGAATCTAAATTTTTTTTCGTTTAATTTTAAAATCAGTTAACATAAAATAAATTCGGAAATTTTAAAAATCATCCGATAGATGGTGTTAGCGTTTGTTTAACTCACTCATGCACACTAAAATTAAGTTTCCTTTTCCTACACGTTGTGTTGTCGTGTGTTTGTTTGATTTTTTTCGTTTTCATTCTGTTTCATCAAGAATTTTAATTCAAAATGGTTAAAAAAGTCAAGGTATTTATGATAATTTTCTATGAAAATTTAAATTTTATATAATTATTTGATTTTGTATAGAAGATTGTCAAGAAAAAGACGGCACCATTGCCAGCAGCAATAGCATCGAAAATACAAAAGGAGAAAAAAGTTGTCGATCCATTGATTCAGAAACGACCGAAAAATTTCTCCATTGGTTTGTTAGAATTTTCATCTTTGCACTTCAAGTGATTAAATTATTTTTTTATCTGTTTTGGACAGGTGGAAACATTCAACCGAAGCGTGATTTGACCAGATTTTTTAAATGGCCAAAATATGTCCGTATTCAACGTCGTCGTGCCGTTCTTTATCAACGACTCAAGGTTCCACCAAGTATCAACCAATTTCGTGGTAATCTTTTGGATCGACAAACTGCTACTCAATTGTTCCGTTTGTTGGATAAATATCGACCGGAAACTAAACAAGCAAAATTAGAACGTTTGCGTCAAAAAGCTAAATCAAAAGCCGAAGGAAAAGAAGTAGCACCAACCAAACGCCCACCAGTCGTCAAAGTTGGTATGTATTCACTTTATCCTATTAGTGCAATTTATTAAAAACAATTCATTAGGCGCCAATGCTGTAACTACGGCGATTGAAAAGAAAACAGCTCAATTGGTTTGCATTTCGGCAGATTGTGATCCAATCGAAGTCGTGCTTCATCTACCAAGCTTATGCCGTAAAATGGGCATTCCATATTGTATTGTTCGAGGTGGCAGATCTCGTTTGGGACAAGTTGCACGATTAAAATCCTGTGCCGCATTAGCATTGACACAGGTAAATCCTGAAGATAAGGTACGTTTAATTCGTTTCTTTATGTTTCAAAAAACTTACTAATTTTACATGTTTCATTGTAGATTGCATTGACAAATTTGGTGGATGTTATTCGAACCAATTTCAATGATCGTTTTGATGAGATTCGTAAACATTGGGGTGGTGGTGTTATGTCGGCCAAATCGCGGGCTAAAATTGCCAAATTAGAGAAAGCAAAGGCTAAAGAATTGGGACAATTAGAAGGCTAAACAGAGGATGACAAATAACACCAAAATAATAAATAAAATTTAACATCCATAATTTAAAAAAATGATGATTTTTTAAATAAAAAACTTTTTTTTTAAATTTCAATAAGAGCTTTTATTCTTTAGTTAGCTTTAATACAATTCAGGATTATATAACAAGGCAAAATATTGCCCAAGAATTAAAATTCTAGTTTTCCAGGTTCCAAATGATCCAGAATGAAATCTTCGCCATCTAGTGGCGATAATCCAAAATGGGTGTCTATCTTTGTGGAGCTATTGATGTTATTTAGCATCGAGTTGCTACTGCTGCTTTTGGTCTCTCAGTTGATTTGATCCATTGGATTTTCTTCTGTTGAATGATTTCAGTTGACCTGATTGTTGTTTGTTATTTAGCAGCAAACTAAATGCGCCATATCTTTTCTGGGGGATATCGCCAAAGAAAATAGCAAAAAAAAAAAGTTTCAACCATTTATTTTGCTCATGTTTTTTTTGATGTTGATGATTGTTTATTGTTTTATGTTTCATCATATTTCGTTCATCAAGTCCAATCGACTAAAATAACTGTACTTAACCGATTCGTTTCTTTCTTGAAAATCTTGAACTAATTTTGATATTTAAAACAGATTAAAAAACTGAAACTAAACTAAATTATTTTTGAATATTTCATCAAAAAATACAAAATAACAGCATTTATATTATCATCATTAATATAATCAGCAAAATAAATATTTTAATCATCAACAAAAGCAGATAGAAGAACGTTTCGGTTCATGTACCTGGTGGTCGTGGTGATCGCAGCATTTTTTTGTGGTAATAATTAATGACGTCAAAACAATTCTCATTTAAATACATACATTCGTATAATTTTCTACGATAAATGCAGTAAATAGGTGAATTTTTTTTAGTGGCTATGAATCAAAAAAACGAAATGTCAATTGTGATGGCAAATTATTAACTGAAACTTGGATTTATTAGGATTTTTGTCAAAAATCCTGCAAAAAATATTACTATAATAGAAAAAATTTATTTTTCAAGACAATCCCAGAAAACCACGCGATAAAAATGTCTTCGATACGAAAATGGTTAGCATCGAAAGTATTTTCATCGGTTCTATCCAATGATGGCCATCATCATTTGAACGATTCAAATGGATCGAATAATAACAGTGATGATGGAGGATTCTCATCCTTATTCGGATCACCATTCTCCAGTCCCTTCAACATCAACTGGTGTAGGTGCTATAAGTAGATATGGAGATGCACATGCAATCCCCGGATCATCACATGATCATAATTCAACGATATTATCAACATTAGATTTATCATCATCAAATGCTGAAAATCAATCGTATTTCTCCATTATATATCATCATTATAGATCACGAATCCGTAAACATCAGATTCAAACAGCAACGATTCAGCCGAATGATAAACTCCTAATATCATTAATGTATCAATTCTTTCAAGCAAATGAAGAATTGAATTATACTTCATCAGAATTGGATACATTTGATGGCCGCAAAGATACTGATCGTTGTTCTGCCTTAGTGAATAGCCTCAAGAAAACTCAAGATCGTGTTATAAGTTTAATATTTAGTATAATGGACGAAATCGGTTGTGAACGTGCTTCAAGAGAGTATCGGCTAAAATTTCCCGATGAATTACTCACTGGCGAAGGTATCGAATCACTCAACAGTCAAATTTGGTTTGGAGCTGAATGCCTGACAGCAGGATCTACTATAACGAATAATCAAGATAAGTCGAATTATCTGAGACCTATAGCAATCAATTTAACGACAACATTGGACCAGATTCGTTATGAATTACGATCATGTTGTAATTATCTACCCAAAACGTAAGCAGATGATTTAGATTCTTAACCAAAGTATTCATCATGTTTTTCTATTTGTGTTTAGGCCTCGAATTTCAAAAGATTTAATTCGAAAATTAGAAAACTTTGATAATCTTTTTTCATCATTCGAATACGATTATGTAAAGGCAATGTTACAAATCAAAAACTGTGAAGATATTGAAAACCTACAAGAATTGACCATATTGTTTAGTGAAACATTATCATACACACTCCATAAAGGTTTAATTTCCAAAGATGATGTTGATGGCTGTCAACCATCAGTTATGATTGCCTTACCACGTCTGTCGATTGTTCGTGGCTTATTACAAGGTTTTGGTTCAGTTGTTTGTAAACACGACCCAGCAGAACTGACAACTATTTTACGACCTTATCATAGTTTATTGCTAGAATTGCATGAATTCCTAATGAATCTAAGTGATGATGAAGTTTTTTTTCTTGAAAAATTACTATCGACTAATCATGATAATCTAATTGACTATTCGGTTGATAATCAAACTGTGAATATTTCATCGTTGATGATGATAGATACACTGAATTTTCGTCAAATGAATCAAGATTCTCATCAACATCATCAAGATAGCCAATTGGCTATATTTAATAAATTTTTTCGTCATGCGAAACGAATGAAAGATTCTTGTCCACGTAATCCTGAACTAACTACAAATCATCGTCATCATCATAGCCATAACTATGATGATGAAGATGATAATAATCAATTACAATCAATTAAAAAACATAGATCTACGACCACGTCAACAATTTTGAGAAAATCTTTATTAACCAATCGTTATATATCGGCATCAGTGGATTTTTTATTGACCAATAATGTCCGCAATGATTCTGCCCCCAACAATAACAACGATGAATCGGGCAACAATAACAATATACAACGTTATAGTCCATATAAATCAAACAAAGTGCTTTTCCGTTTTAATTCATTGCCTAATATCAATTTTGATTTGACCAATGACAACAATGATATCGATGATGGCGATTATTATAATTGTAATCCTATCCATAAGCGTTCATCAATTATTTCGCATGATTATTCATCATCATCAGCTACAACAGCATCAACTTCATCATCATGTCCATCGGTATCGATTACCTGTTCATCATCATCATCCATGTCGGTTGAATTAGATTTCCTGAAACAAATCAAAGATATGCTCAAACGAACACAATTGAAAACTTTGACAAAAAATCGTAACTGTTGTCAACAAAAACAACAGCCGCAGCATCGATCAATATCAAGTGGTGGAGTGGCCACCAATTTTAATATCCAGCCTATAAATGAAATTCTTGCTAATCCACGGGCAAAAACAGCGGCAGATCGTCGTCGTTGCCATCATAACCATCATCATCACAATGATAATCATTCGAATAGCCATTGTGTTGATCAACAGTCCACACAAAAGACTAGTACGGCTGCCATGTTTACACCAACAACATCTGCATTTTCTAACAATTCCGTTCATTTTGATTTAGGTATCTATAAAATCGAAGCTACTCTTATTTGTATCAGAAAGTTAATTTGAATTTTTCATTTATATCTCCATTCAGATTCATTTTATACCGACGATCTTTCTCAGTTGACATTATATACCAGGAAAATTTTGCATCAAGTTTTTGTCATGATTTCAAGTAATATTCATCATTTGTTTGATTTGGCAACTAAAATTTTCTCATTTTTCTCTTTAATAGGAATCGCCGATGAATTTCAGACCAATTATGCCAGTGAATTACGTAACATATTACGTACGGTTTTTATGCTTCAGGATATCCAAGAGGAAGAAGAGGAAAAACGAAAACGTCAAATGCAAAATGATCAATCAATGATGATGATGATACAACCAATCGAAGTTCAAATTGGTCAATTATATATCGATAATAGTGATAATAATAATTATATTGACCATAATACTAATGGTTACAATTCGGTGGATAATCGTGAAATCGAAGAAGCAATAGATGCTTGTCATGAATATCTCGTAATGAATCAAACGAATATGAATGATCAAACGAATATGAATGATGAAACAATGAATGAAACAATTCCATCTACCAGTAATCATTCTAGTCACAATAATTATCAACCACGCTGTCCGCCTTCACCAAAAACAGTGGTTGCTGTTGATAGGACCATTTCGGAATCAATAACTGAAGATGATGATAATGATGACACAAACTGTGATAGAATGACGAAAAATATTCGTAATAATCATGGTAATAATGTCCGTAATCCTTGTAATTATTCGGACCGTGCTAGTTCTTCATTGGAAGATATACGGCCTAAATTCCAAAATCATCAAGGATCAACATCCAGTTTATCCTCGAATCGACATAACATTCAAACTGAAAAGACTGTTCGGACAAATGGCGTCGCTGACCATAGCCATCATCAGAATAGTCAAACAAACATTTCTCTAGATTCATCGCATTCCACCTCGTCATCGATATCATCATCCAATCAATCGTGTCACAGTTTGCAGCCATCTCAGTTCACATCTTCGAGTGCAACAACTATCGATGAAACTCGAGTTAATAATGGTGAACTTCCACCATTTCTTCAATTCACAGACACTGGATCTTCACATGGAATGATTCCTATTCTTGGTTCAGCAATAAGTATGGTAGAACAATCATCATCCATGATTAACGCAACTCCGACCCGATTGTTGATACCACCAGTATGGAAGCCCGATGCTTCTGTAACAAGTTGTGAATATTGTTCACAACCATTTACATTCATGCGACGACGTCATCATTGTCGCCGTTGTGGTCGTATTTTTTGTCATCAATGTTCATCGAATTTTGTTGCATTGAAATGTTTCGGATATGCTAAACCGGTGCGTGTTTGTGATCAATGTTTCGTCCAACATGAACAACAACAATCAAATCATGATCAACAGCAGTCACAACGTCGTCGTCGTCATAATCGCCATACACATCGACATCGTCATAATGCTACTTTTGGTGCCTCGTCATAATTTTTTTTTTTTGAACCGAATTTCAATAATTTGTTTTTCTATCTCTTTTCTTACTTCAAAAGTGATCTTATTTTTTGATTCTGGTCACCTAATCGCTTTTTCCTGTTTTTTCTTTGTACAAATAAATAATTATTCTGTAAAAAAATACTAAACTGGCAAGGCACATGGAACCCTCAAAATGAAACGAAAAAAACTAATTGTATTTGATTTTTTTCTACTATAAAAATAAAAAATTATACTGCTGTATATCACCAATTTTTATATTGATCAATTCACTTTAGAAGTTTGTTTCTTGTTTCTTTCTAAGTAATTTTTTATTCCAATATTTGATTTTTCCGATCGGCTTTTCGGCCGTTTAAAGATTTTGACGCTATCAAATGGCAATCATTGCATTTGGTATCATTGGCGATATTGTAATTGGTATTTTATGCAACAGAAATTCGGATGCTTTTGTCGATTGTTTACTTAAGTTACTTTTAATTTTAAACAGGAATTGGCACCAATTCTTGTAATTTGCTTGCACAATGCAAGTACTTTTGCATAGTGTAAACCTGGCATTCACAACATACACACTAAGCGACTTTTAATGGATTTTATGGCTTTTTTCTGCAATTAATTTAATTCAAAAAAATTTGAATTCATTACCTTTTCTACACAGCAATGTCTGTTAAAAGTGTTAACAGCCGCAGACATGCGTAACAACTCATTGCCTGAATTTAGTTTTTTTTAGCTTATAATCTTGTGAATATTGCATTCATTCACATATTCCGCATCCCAACCAAATCGACCAATGTGTACATCACCATAGCTACCATTATAAATGCTATAGCATTTTACATTGCTCGAATCTACACACACAAACACTCACTCATTGATCAATGATCAATGGTGACGACGAGAGCACACGAGTGGCAAAACTCCACATTAAATTGCACAGAATATGTGTTGAAGAAAATTACAATCACAAAAAGCAAAGCCAATCAAGTATTTTTAACAGCTCAACTTATTGATATCGTGGTTGAATTTTCACATTTTTCAAAAACAAGCATTTTATTGATACAAATTTTGAACAAATTCTATTAAATTCGTGAGTTGTTTGCAAGAAAAATTTCTCAACAATTACTTAGTAGATAAATCCTTTGAATTCAATTCCAGTTTGATTCATCTATAGGAAAAAATATCGTATCGATTATTTTTGTTTACGTTTGAGTTTAAATTGATTTAATTCAATACAATCGTGTAAAAAGATATTCTTTTGTAATTTATCCTATTGAAAATTTCATCATAGTTTGATCAAAAATGATGGATCCAAACATTGGCTGGTTCCAGCCCGAACAAGAAGGTCCGGCATTGAAATTATGGGTTTCCCTTTGGAAACGTGCCAAAATGAGCCATCATACGGCCATTGAAAATCAACCAGATTTTGTTCCCCTAACTAATAATAATAATGGCACTCACCATCATAATGATCATCATCATAATCTTCATCTTGGGCATCAAATGAATGATAATAATAATATTGATGATTGTCATAAACAAGACCAAACAATGCCTTCCACAACGACCCCTATTTCCATATTTCCTAATGGACCTTTCCATCCATTTTATTTGAATCATATGGCTAAACGAAATCATTCGGATAATCCGGCATCTACATATAATTTTAATGATAATCAAAATATTTGTGCTAAATATAATGGTACCCCTTGGCGTACATTACGTGGACATTACAGTCCTGGCATTATTGGTCTACATCAAGAAATTGAAGATTTTTATAATTATATGAAACCAACACCAGAAGAGCAATTTATGCGACAAAATGTTGTCAAAAGAATTTCCACCGTTATCAATAATTTTTGGCCCGAAGCCAAAGTATGTTGCAATAATAATAATTAACTTTATAATATAAAGCTTGTATATTCATAATTAATCATTTACAGGTTGATTATTTTGGTAGTTTTCGTACCGGTTTATATTTACCGACAAGCGATATAGATATGGTTGTATTTGGTAAATGGGAAACCATACCATTGTTTACATTGGAAAAAAAATTGTTAGAAACTGGAATTGCCGAAGATAATAGTATCAAAGTGTTGGACAAAGCTAGTGTGCCTATCATCAAACTTACTGATCAAGAAACCAAAGTTCGTGTGGATATAAGTTTCAATACTAGTAATGGAATCAAAAGTGCCAAATTGATCAAAGTATTCAGTTATTTTTGTTCATTTTACCATTTTATTTATATTTGTCTTTTTGCTTAGGATTATAAACAAGACTATCCTAACCTAGAAAAACTAGTCTTCGTTTTGAAACAATTTCTTCTACAACGAGACTTGAAAGAAGTTTTCACTGGTGGTATTAGTTCATATTCGTTAATATTAATGGTCATTAGTTTCATTCAATTACATCCACGAATCGAAGCACGCTTACCTGATGCTAATTTGGGTGTTTTGTTAATCGAATTTTTCGAACTATTTGGACGATATTTTAATTATTATCGTGTTGGCATTCGTGTCAAAGATGGTGGCAAATTTGTACCTAAATCTGAAATTCAAAAAAACATGGACTCTAATTATCGGCCATCAATTCTATGTATCGAAGATCCTTTAAATCCATCGAATGATATCGGAAAAAATTCGTATGGGGCTTTGATGGTTAAACAAGCGTTCGAATATGCATTTACTACTCTACACCAGGCTGTTGGTCCATTATCAACAACTGTTGATCAGACAAAATCAATATTGGGCCGTATAGTTCGTGTCACCGATGAAGTAATTGATTATCGAAATTCTATAATTGAAAAATTCCCACTGCCATATTCAGATATGAATACCAATAATGACGATAGTTCAAATGGTGGTGGTAGCGACGGTACTAGTGGAAAAAGTTCTGGGACGAATCTAGATAGCACAAGTGGCAAATATATGGGAGGATCATTGACTAATAGCAGTCATCATCATCATCATCATCATCGTCAGACCAAATCTCCTCGACATCATCATCCTCATCATAATAAGACGTCAAATTGCAATCCAAATTCAACGGATTTCGATAAAGACTCAAGTGATAGTGATGAAGTCATCTGTGATACAAATACAACGAAATCCAGTTCACTTCCTTCGATGGTATGCCTAGTGTATTTTATTTTATTGATGATGAATCATTTTTCATTGTTCCTAGTTAGATACAATTACGTCTTCCCAGGACACAAATGCTAACGATACGGCAGCTGCCTCCATTCAACAATCGCAACCACCTCAGCCATTATTGTTGAACACTCAGCCACCGCCAGTTCATTTAACATTTCCGACATCAGCTGCAACGAATCAATTTTCAACAATATCTACATCATTTTTATCACCATACGCAAACGCGATGCATCATGCAGCTGCCGTTGCTTTACAACAGACAATTACACATCAACAACAACAACCTGTTCCGGTTAGCTTATCACCACATTATCATCCGCATCACCATCATCTTCCATTGGCTCATGCGAATTATATTCAACATCAATCACAAGCGACAACGATTCCACAGCCGCCACCACCCTCAACATCATCACACCGTTCATCATCAACTGGAATGTTATTAAATAGAAGATATAATAGCAATAACAGTAATAATAATAGTTCATCAAATAATAATCCAATGGTTGCGATCAATACAAATGGCCTTTCTAATATAACGACAAATTCAAATTTATCATCATCAAGGCGACCAAATTATTACAACAGTAGCAGTAGTACGTCAAGTAATTCGAGTACTAATTCCAATTCCAACAGTGGAGCTAATTGGAATAATAACGTTCCAATGATGACCACCACGAATGGATCGAATACTAATAAAAATACATTCGATTCCGATATAAATATGAAAACTTTAGTCAATGGAAATATGATTGCTGGAAATAAGGCTACGTCTTCGTCATTTGGAAAGAATACGATTCGTCAATTTTCTAACTCAAATGATCATCAATCCATTCGTAAGACTCAGATTTATCATGGTAATATTAGCAACAAGTCTCAACAGACATCATCAGTATTTTCTAATAGTCTTGTTGACAAATTTCCATCTTGATTATCATCAATTGTTATCAGTGTGGGTAAAATCAATGAGTTCAAGATGAATTATATTTATCATACAGAATTCTAAAAGAGATTTGAACCTAAAATAATGATCAACAGAAACCAATTTGGTTTTCGCATATTTTGAATTATGTACAAATTGGATCATTCTGTTTTTGAATATAATTTTTATCCTGGATTTTATTTCATCGACCAATGTAGTCGTTCTCAGTGACTAACTGTTAGCAAAGATAATAAAATCAAAATTATAATTTTTTTAGTTCGATTTATCAATGCGAGTTTATGTGATTATGGTTATGATTGATACTCAATAGCAATTATCATCATCATCATCATTTTAATGTTGAAATAAATACATCTTGGTCTGCACAAATAAAAGTAATTTTATCATTAACTTCAATGCTCGTCATCTATGGGCAGGGCATTAAACGAACACATTTGAACCCCCTGTGTACAGGGTAGACTTTGAACTTAAAAATGTATAAAAGTGAATTTCCATCATGTACGACATTCATTCACATTGAGTTAATTGTCATATGAAATGAAAACATTTTTTAAAGAACGAACAAAATGGATATGAAAAATTGGCTATTGAATCATTTGGAAATCAAAGGTGATTCTGGTGGCGATGATGACCTGATCGAAACACTCTCTATCGATAAGTTTACCATAAAAATTCATCAAAGTCCTCAGTCGTTGTTGGATAAAATTTCTTTTATTGAAAATAATTTCACATTGACGTATCCAATGATTCATCTGAATGATACTTGGTATTATGAAGTTCAAGTACGCATTCGGGTTGCTGAAACATTAATTGCTAAATTATCACAGCTCAAACCTCTGGCAATGGGGACTGAAATTTCAAACATTCATAAATTTAAATTCCAACGACGTTTACAAGCTTTGAATGCAATGTTAAAAAAAGCTGAACCTATTAATCAAAAATTACCAAACGTGTGCCATTATCGGGTGATTAATTGCACCAAAACCTCGATCTTGGCTTGTTTTCATGATGTTTTAGCTGAAATAATCCATGGAACCCCAATTCTTTTGGTCACAGATTTGTATTCCACGATTCCGATTGTTTTTTTACGTGAAATGTTCATCGAATGTGGCGGCCCAGCATCCGTTTTTAAACATTTAATTGATTTTAGAATATCAAATCAAGGACAAATTGGCACATATTTGCTAACGGATACCGCCGATATACATTCAGCGCTGGATAATTTGTTCGATGTTTACATCGTAAGCAACTTATCTTGCATCAAAGTTTTTGCTCAAGAATCGTTGCGACCGAAAATTGAAGCAATTGTCGAACAAAAATTGAAAAATCAATTTGTCAATGATTCTTTGTTTGCAGAAAATGAATCTTTTTCAATTGGTTCAAAAGCTTGCTTAAATCTTGATGCTATTCGGGTCGATCAAAATAACCAGGGAATCGAATTTCATTATTATCGTTATGTCGATGAATCAATCAACATGATCAACCGTTTGAAAGGTTCTTCATATCGAACTTCTTTCGTTTCTATCTGGTCTACTGAAGATATTGGGATAGGATATAAAATAGCGCGACAAATTCAAACTACCCAACGCAAATCGATTAACTGTTGTTCAATCAACCTACAGAAATCATTACAATCTTGGTCATTAGAGTTGATTCCCTCAGAATCATATCATAGATTTGCCGAAGCGGCAAATTTCGATTTGAAAACGACATTAAACAAAAGGTATTTATCATCATTATTCATTTTTATTCTCATAAACTTTATTTGTTTATAACCCAAATCATAGTTGGTCGACGTTGAAAAATCGCTCACAATTGATCGTTGAAACTCTGGACGCAATTCATGAGGATAGCATAGAAATCGAATTGATACGATTTAACATTGAATGTCATCCAACGTCTGAAGAATGGAATCATTCGTTTTTTGAATATGAAGATTCTGATACTTCAAGTCTAATACAATTAAATTACAAAGCACCGTTGGGCAATATTATTATTCATTTAGACAATCAGATTGATAGTGCTAAGTATCAATATGATAATGCTTCCAGATTGATGTTATCAATATTCTGTTTTAGCTTGCTATTGGATGGAAATGTTCTCACATTATTAGTCCCCAAGAATATATTCAACGATTGGCAACCAATAGTCCAACATTTCAATTCAAATCCTATTACCAGGGGCATTCTACAAATTATTGAAATTGACGACACATCGTATCTAACAAAATGGTGGTCAGACCTTAGGAACGAAAAACGTTATAATGGATTGCTATTACTTCTTGATGATGAGAGACGAATCGAATCTCTATTCATCAATCATAAATGTTTTTTCACCAACAAGGGTGGATGGCAATCGTTAATCAAATGGATTCGTTGTCGATATCAGTGTTTGATTACAATGCCATTACAAGAGTACAATATGAACAAAATTGTAACATGAATGTAATCTGTTAAATTCACTTTTTCATCTAATATTTTCTAAATTGCTATCAATTTTATTAAGTGAATCTATACTAAAATCCAAATAAAGCTTTATTCTATTATCGATTCAGGACATGATTTTACAAATGTTTTCAAAAGCTCTATTTCCATCAGATTCCAACATTGTTGTTGTTTATAGTTTTAGTAGAGTTTTTAAACTCTGTCTAAACTTTCAGGTATTTGCTATTGTTATTTTCGCTGCATTTCGATAAATAGATTTTGTACACATAAATAAAAATGATGATGATCTATAGATTTATACAGAAAAAACGCATGTGGTTAATAATAATTATCAATCAAATGTATATTCATGAAATTCATGAAAACAAAAAAAAAAAAAATATACTGATGATAACAATGATGAGTGTTGAATGCAAAATAATGATCCTGAAAAAAATGAATTGAAAATTAGTCAAAACATGCTTTGTGGTGCGATTTTACAAACAACAAGATTCAAAATGTGAGTGTTAATGAACCACCAATCAAATAATAATAATAATAATAATAATAATAATGTCTATATTTATATACACAATCGATAAAAATACAATTTAAAGCTATGACGAAAATAAGGATGTATAGGGAATTAATCAATAATTGATGGAAATTCTTATATAAAATATAAAACAGATGATTGAATGGTCATTGAGGGTAAACATATATATATTGTTGCAAAAAGGGTAATATCTTAAGGTAGAAACATCTATACAAAAAATCTTTTGATTTGTCCATTTTTTCAAAATTTATAATAACCAAATTACAAGTTGAAAGTGGTTTCATCAAAAATCATTTGGAAACATCTTTGGCCAATCGACGACGTTTTGCCGATGGTGGTGGTGGAGATATGGTTTCTATATAAAAAAAAAAAAGATGTTAAAAATCACATAGAAGAGAAAAAGAAAATTCACATAGATAAAAAAGCAAATACCTGATGCAGAACTATTTCTCAAAGATGGTCGTGGATGTATCGTGGTAGTAGTACTGGATGTTACTGCCGTAAGTAAAGTTTTTCGAGATCGTTTAACTAAAAGAGAATTATTGTTACCACCACTTGTTACAGGATTATTACCAGCAACTGTATTGACGTTATTACTGCTATCTAATAATGAAACCAAAGGTTCACCAACATTTGAAACGGAAATGACACTTATCGGATGAGTTATTGTCGGATTATTAGAGATAACCGATAAAGTGGTCGCTGAACTATTATTATGTGTGAGCATTGTTGATGATGAGTTAAGACTTTTACCAATTAAATTTTGATTGATCAATGATTGTGGTTGTTGTTGATCAACATTTATTGTATCATCAGTAACAAATGTTTCTGAAACATGATCAGATGAATTAATTAGTGTTGTTGCATTATTCATTGTTTGGTTTGATGTTGATGATTCAGTTGGTTTCTTTCGTCCACGATTCGATCGTGTTTGTCGATTTGTAGTCGTACTTGTGTTTCCGACAGCAGCTACTAAAGTGATGGAAAAGATTTTAATTTCATGAAAATATTAGAAAATTTAAGATATTACCTCTTTTAGGCTTTTCATTTAATTTAATCGATTCGTTTATTGTATCCACTGAAGTTGTTGTGAATAGCGAGATCGAGTCATTTGTTGATTCTGTCATTTGTATTGATGAGGCCCGCTGATTTCGTTGGCCACGTTTGACGATTGTTTTGGGAGTTGGTTGTGTGTTGGGTTGTACAGTTAAAGTCGTCGAATTTCTTAATATTCGAGAATTGGTCACCGTCGGCGCTGTTTCATTTTTATCATCTTGACCAGATTCTGATGTTGGTAAATCTGAACATGGATTTGTAACAAAATTGACATAAACGGGTGATACTGTTGGTAAGGCCATTGATCCAATGTGTTGCTGTGGTATGGTTGTTATTTTAGTTTTTCTTGCCCGTTTTAGAGGTCTTGTTGCGGCTGCAGTATGTGTTGATGAATCTGTTTGATCGGAAACATTTGCACTATCAATACCTATATCATCATTCATTTTCGATGTAGATAATATAGATTGATATTTTTGTTGTTTGAAACTCAAAGATCCATGTTGAACGTTCGGTGTAGAATGCGATTCTGGGTCATCAGATTCGGATGATAACAGAACGCTACAATCGTTCGTGGTGACAGCAGCTGTCTGTTCAGCAGAAGAGGATGATGATTTTACAGAATCAATTGTGATCGTCGATATAGAGGATGTGTGGAATACTTGTTGTTGTGACAAGGTATCATTTTTTCGTTTTCGTTGACGAAGAATACTAGGCAATGTTTTTGTTGCTGTTACAGTTTTGCTATTATTAGTAGAAGATTTAGTTGCATAGATAGAACCTTGTTGTTGGGTTGTGGTGGTATTGGATGTCAAATCTTGATTCGAGGTATAATGATGATGATGGAGCGTTGCTGGTTTTGATATTAATATCTGTCGTCTTAGTGGACTGTTACTAAGGCTATTAGAGGTGGTTGTAGTCGTTGTATTATCGGCTTTAGATAATAGTGGACTTTCCGCTTTCAAAATGACTACATTTGAACCAGCAATCGAATCCGAACCGCTGGGTAACATAATCACTGTACGAGCTACCGACGTTTGAGGTTGAATTGCTAATTTTGTGTTGGTCGTTGATGGATTATCGGTTTGTAGTAATGTTGATTTCATCATGGTTGTTTCCATAATTTGTTGGGTTGGTGTTAACTTAGACTCGAGTTCCTCCTTAGATGATTGATGGGCTGAAACAGATTCTTTGGTTTTTTCATTAACGTTTGAACGAATAGGATCTTCGGTCGAAATCGAATCAGTCATTTTAGTACTTTCTACAGAATTATCCGAAGAGTTGATTATATCGTCAGATTTCTTTTCAATACTTTCTTCGTTTTTTAATGTCTCAGAATCTATAGTTTTCAAATTTGATGAATTCATTGCATCGGAAACTGATTGCGTCCGTTGTTCCGCAGATGGTATTTGTTTATTATTGCTAATTCCCTGTAGATAATCTGATGTAACAATCGTTGTCGTTGTTGATTGAGCAATAGTAGTTGCTGCAATCGCCGCTGATGATGTTGGTGCTTTCACTGAAAAAACCGTACCTTGATTATTTGATACAGCCATCGGTATCAATAATGGCTGCGATGATCCTTGTTGACCAACCATTGGTAATTTATTGGATATAAGTTTAAATGATGTTGGCGTTGCTGATGATGATGGTGATTGTTTAATTGAAAGTAATTGAATTTGTGGAAATTGTTGCTGCTGGCCACCAGTTGATGTGGGTAAAACAGTCCGATACAATGGCGAATTATAGACGACACGAATCTTTTGATTAGGTGATGACGGTACAGTTGTTGTCAGCATTGTAGCAGTTGTTGTTGGTACAACGGACGAAATATTATTGTCTGCATTCGTTGCGGATGATGTTTGAGGGGCAGTCAAAAAAGTATTCATTGTATTTGCCAATTGTATCGTGGAACCAGTTGAAAGTGTTTGTGATGTTGGATGTTTAAAATGCACTAATACAGGTTGCTGCTGTGGCTGTTGTTTTTTATTTGGTGATGGTGCTTCATGGCTTGTTTCCAGATTAGAATTCGATGATATGAGCAATGTAGAATCTTTGCTACTTGGAGTGAGCAACGAAGATGAAACGTCTGATAATGGCGATGAAGTTTTGCGTCGAAATTTAGCAGTCGTCGCCGTCGATTTACTAGCCAAATGTTTATTGGAAGATGAAGAAATTTGCTGGTTTTTGGTGAATGTTGATGAATTAGAAATTTCCGGTTTCAAAGAAGATGGCAATGATGTTTGTGGTTTCAACACTTTAGGTTCATCTAATTCGTCCAATACAACACTTGAAGTGGTATTAGTCGAATCTTTTGTTTGAAATGATTCATTTGTTGTAAAATTAGTAACGGTTGTTGCAAGTGGATGACTTTTTGATGCGATCGATGATGGAACCGTTGTTGATAATGATACTGCAGGTGACTGAGCTGATTGCTTTATCAATGGTTTTTCGATATCAGAATCAATACTAGTTGATGGTGATTCTTGCGAAGATATATCACCATTGATAATCAACGTCATGGCCGATTCTTGCTGTTGGCACTTTTGCTGTTCTTCTTGCTTTTCTTCAACAGAAGATGACTGCTTAGTTGTTAATTGTGAATCAGTTTTTATAGATGAAATAACTTCCTGATTTGATTCTTGAATGGATTTTGTCGTTAAAGAATCAGAAGTGGATAATTTTTTAGCCACATTCCCTGGTGCTTTTTCTAACTGATCGGATTCTGATGAAAGATTCTTTTTACTATTTTGATTGAAATCATTTGTTGGCATTGATGATTTGGATACAGAAGCAGAATTACTACTACCACCACCTCCACCAATACTACCGATACTCCCGCTTAGGAAATGTGATGGACGACTTGAATAGAAACCATAATCATCAGCATCACTATCATCCTCACCATCTTCTTCATCATCATCCAAAATATGATCGGGCAATTCTTGTGAATAATCATGTTTTATAACATAGAATGAATTAGATCTTTGTGAACTTATTGCGGATGAAGTATCGACTAAAGTTTTCATCATAGATGTAGATCCTGATGTCGTTGTAGTAGATGATGGAAAGATGGCTGCTGTAGTGGTCACCATCGAAGATTCCGCTTTATTTTTAGTTGAAGTTGTTATTATTACATCGCTTTTTTTACCATCAACGTTAGTTTTTTCTTCAATTTTAGAATCCGTTGTTGACTTGCAATCAATCCGGGTATAATCGTCATGTTGAATGGTGGAATTCAATGGATCTTTTGTGGATCTATCGAATGCAGACGCAGGTGCTAGAAAATATGAGGGCGATATCGGTGCCGATGATTCACTAACCGCTGACATTCGTCCAACACCTGAATCATCCAAAAATACAGAATCTGGTGGAGTCCTTGATTGCTGTTCCTCATTCCCACCATTGCCTTCGACGTTACCACTCAGCATTTTGGATAATGATTGTTTGAAATTAACTTGTGATTGTTGTTTATTTCCAGTCATAACCATTTCAGTTTTTTGTTGAAGTGCTGATGATTGGTCGCTGCTTGTAGTCTTAGTAAAGGTAGTGGTTGGAGCAGATACAGCTGCCGATTTTTGTTGATCTACAAGCACCAGCGGAACTTCCTGATTTTTCACAACAAAGGTAGCATTGTCCAAGACACTTTCCTCCGATTTTGTAGGTATATCTGCTGTGACAGATACTTTTGCATGAAACGGAACTTTTGTTGCCATCATTGTGCCAGGTGAAGATACACAAGAAGAAACAGTGACAGCAGTTGGTAATGCAATTTTAGTGCACATTGGTGGATTTACAGTAGCTGAGTGTTGTCGCTGACTCAATTTATTCAATAATAAACTTGATGGATTGTTTTTTGATACAGAGCCGGTGGCTTGTACTTGGAAAGTTTTGTGAAATTGTTGCGGGATGATGTTAGCAACAGATGTCGATGATGATGATGCCATCGTACTGGCAACAACGGGTGTAAGTAATAATTGCTGTTCCGATTGTTGGTGAAGAGATTTTGTCGCTCGAATCGGTGATGATGATGACGACGGCGAAGCTATCGAGATGGTTGTTGCGATTGTAGCTGATGTCGGTTGATTAACAGAAAAACTGTTGTTGTTGCTAGTGTTTGTATTAGAAGTGGGTATGGATATTGATTGACTTAATTGCATGGTGTTGGATTGATGAACCAACGTTGGCGTTGTCGATGTTGACAGCAACGTATGTTGACTAGATTTATTTGGAGATGTATTGGCAACTGCTGAAACAGTATTTAACAGCTGTTGTTGTTGCTGGATAGTTGTCGTGGATTGCTGCTGATTAGGCTGTTGGAAATTCTGATTTGACTGATTAATTGTTTGCTGTGATGATGATGAAACCAATTTCACTGTCTGTGAAGTCGATGGTACTAAATTTGGAGTCGATGACGATGATGAGGAAGCACCACCACCAGAATTAACAAGTGACTGATTAGCGAATCTTACGATAGCACCAGCGGATAGAGCTGATGATACTGGAAATGAATTCGATTTGGTTGCCAAAAATATCTGTTTCCTATTACCGCCCAATTGAACACCGGGTGAAACTGTCGATGGAGATGCGGCTGTCATCATTGATGCACCTGTTGCTGAAGATGTTACTGCATTCTGTAATGAACTGGCTGGTACATTTGCAATGATAAACGTTCCACCAGATGGGGATGAAACAATAGTCGGATTTCCCATCGTCGTTACTGACGATACAGCAGCCATTTGATCGCTAGCACCAGTAGCAGCATTTACCATCTGATGATGAGCAGCGGGATTCGTTGCAATCATCATTAATCTTGGTTTTTGATGATGAAAACGCAACGATTGCTGTGATGCTTGTTGATTCAACATTAATGTTGATTGATTGGCAGAATTAGATGTTTGCGGTTGTTGTTGTTGCAATTTTTGTTGTTGTATTAGCTGTGCATTCGCCGGTATCGTCAGAAAAGTTGTTCCCGAATTGGATTGAATTCTAAAAATTATGCCATATTATGAGTTAAAAATAATAATAATTTTAAAGAAAAACATGGAATTTACCTAGCCGATAAATCTGTAGTTGGTGGTTGGCAAATAGAAATGCCACCACTTGGTGTAAATTGATTCGATGGTGTCGTTGGTGTTGATGGCAGCGAAGACGAGGATGAACAATCCGTGGTCAAGGTCGTTTCCGTTGACTGATTTGCCTTTTTCCTCGATTTTCGTTGTTTTTTTGGTTTGGCCAATGGCGTTGTTGGCGTAGTGGTACCATTATTATCTGCATTTGATTGAGATTGATCAATGGTGGATTGCTGTTGTTGCTGCTTAGTAGAAGTGGATGATACAGCCATTGTTGGATGGTGAACGACATTTCCGGCAACAGGATTACTTATCTGATGGATAGTTGTGGTGGTTGCTTGACCAGCACCAGCTGATGATACTTGTACCATCATTAATTGATGCGTTACTTGACCCAAAGAAGCAGCGGTGTTACTATCACCACTGTTTTGATGATAATGACGATGATGGGGAGTGCTACTTAACAGACGAATTTGTTGCTGTTGGGAATTTACGTTTTCATTTCCTCCTCCTGTGGCGACAGCTGTCGTAATTTGTTGTTGAAATGACGTTGAATTACTTGACGATGATGAACACGATACGACCGGCACATCGTTTTGCAATAAATTTACTAATAATGGGCTGGATAATGCAACAGCATTCGACGATGATGATCCAACGGCATTCGTCATCGATGATTGTTGTTGTTGGCTAATCGAAAAAGCTTGACCAGGACCACCACCGGTTCGAATCAATATTTGCTGAGGTTTTGCTATAACAGGATTCGACGAAGAATTTATTGTTTGTTGTCGAATTAATGGTGACGAAGATGGGGGTGGAGGGGTTGACATGCCACTATTAGTATTGTTATTGACCGATATGAATCTTGTACTGGTAGTTTGTGGTGATGAAGGCTGCTGATGGATTAACATTTCACTTCCGACAGGAGAAAGGGAAGTAGGTGTTCGAACTTTCGGTGGTGGTTGTGACGGCGTCAAAATGGCAGGTGGTATTGGTTGTTGTGATGTATTGGTATTTGTCGCAATAGCTGCTGCTGCTACGGTACGCCATGAATGTTGTGTTCTAGCCGGCACATAAATCTGCCTTGGACTTTCGTTCAATGATTGTTGAATAGATGAAATTGGTAGTTGCTGTTGAGATTTTTGCAATGGTGATGTATAGACTGAAGAATTATTGGATAATTGTTGCTGAAACTGTCCAACATTGTGGGCCGCAGTCGTTGCCATAGCTATTGATCCGGAAGTAGTTTGAGCTGGTAATGTCGTTGTCACTGGTAATACTGGTACATTGTTATTATTACTTTGTATCATAATCGATTGCTGTTGCTGTCCAGCACCATTACTGCTACTATTATTGATTAGAGACATTTTCGATTGTAAAGGAGATGATGATCGTATCGCATGCTGTTGATTATGAGTAATGAAAAATGGAATATTCTGACTTTTATTATTAGGATCCGGATTCATTGCTAATATTGTATGATGCTGTTGATTGGCATTTGTTTGGTTCGACATAATCGATTGAGTTTGATTAGCCGTGATCGTCGTCGTTGTCGCTATTGTTGTAGTGGCAACCAAAGAAGACGATGTAGTCGCCGTTGTCAATGATGAGGATTCCATCTCTTCCAATAATAAATTAAGATCATTAAGATCAGTCGGAAAATCAACATTTGGATCTCCGGCCGCAACCGAAACAAGAAGATCATCATCTACGGCATCGATTTTTGATTCCAATAATATATCACTACTAGATTGCTGTCGATTACTTTCACTATCAATACTACCAGTAGACAATTGATTATGCATCAAAACCTGTTGCCGATGTTGTGGATTCGATAACGATTCCTGTGTTTTGTATGCAGATGAGTTTAATGTCGGTGATTGTGATGTTAATGGAGGCAACAGATCAGTCAATTTATTATTTGTTGCAGTTGTCGTGGCTGATACCGATGGAATACCACCACCGCCACCACCACCACCAGCAGTAACAACCATTTGACATGATGTAATTGTTGTTGTATTAGGCACTAATAATTTCGATGAATTTGACGATGATTGATCCATGGAGACCATTCGTGTCATAAGTGTAGATGCCGAAGGTTGACGATTCAATAATAATTGCCGCGGTCCTATCGGTGATTGCTGCACACCTGTTGTTGGTAGTGTCACTGTTTGATTGGTGACTTGTTCATCATTGTTATTGATAAATTGAGATTCTGAGGTATTCTGGCTTCCATTATTGTTATCGATAATGAAATTGAATTTGATCGGTTGTTGTTGCTGATAATGGTGTATCGGATGTTGACTATTATTACTATTATTATCAGTATTTATACCAAATTGAGAAGAATTAGTGAATGAAGATGTAGATGATATGATTGGTATTGTCGATGCTGTTTTCGAGGTTGGTAACTTTGGTATGATCATAGGCACATTTGTGGTCGTCGTAGACGACGGCAGCGGCGGTGGTAATATACTGAGAAGTGTTTCATTATTGGAAGATGATCCATTAGCACCTCCACCACCACTATGAATACTAGTACTACTATTGCTATTTTCACATTCGATCGTAGTTGTGGGTAATGTGATGCCATTGATTCGATCATTCGTATGTTCGAAATAATTATTATCATTTTTAACTGGTGGTATGACCAAATGGGAATCCTTTTCGCGTCCGATATGATTTTCAATGGTAAAAGCATCATTTTGATTGCTATCGATCATGCAGGTATTGGATGTGGCCGTAACGTTGTTGTTTCTATTCACATCACTAGTATTTGTCAATGATATTACCTGTTGACCATCGACTTGTACCGACAGTATGCCGATATTACGGAGTGTTGAATCTCCATGTTCGGCAAGCTGCCGTAATTGTTGAGCAGCATCGTCCGATAGGTTTAAGGTCACTCGTACGCTATTCCAAGGCTCCACTTTGGTTACCTTGATAAGATTCTTACCTAAATTCAATAGAAAAGAGAAAAATTAAATAAACAAATTTTAAATTAGTTAAATTCATTTACCATTCAACAAAATAATCTTCAATTTGGTTATAATCGTGCGTAACTTGTTAGGGAAATTTGTATCATTCAAATTTCCTTCACAAGTAAGCCGTACTAATTTTCGTTTTGACAATAAATGATTTCGTTTGTTGGATGATTTTGTTATGGTTGTAGAATCGATTATTTCACTCTTGTTTACAAATAATCGTTTTGATTTAATAACTGTATTCACAGTTGCAGCTGATAATTTTATTTTATTTTGTAGAATTTTTAAATTCTCGTTATTGTTGTCGTTAATATCTTGTGATAATGATGATGTCAACGAATCCATAACTATTACAACGAAAGAGATGGAATTTTTCAATTGAAATTACAAAATCTAATTGAGAAATCAAAATGAACAACATACCAAAAACGCCATCTACAAAGTAATTAGTTTTGATGGAGATTCTTGATTTGAAGAAAAATTGGATCCGTATTTATTGTTGGCCAAACATTATTGTTTTTCAATTCTTATGTTAATATGATTCTTCGTCTTTTAGATTTTCAATTACTGTGCATACATGTAATAACTTTCTGTGTAATATGTTTATTTAGCAGCTGATCACCATATGATATCCGGATTTATTTATTTAACCATGAAAACATTCTCATTATATATAAAATTATGATTTAAACTTGAATTGACGAAAAGAACACAGGTGTGAAAACTGTTTCACAAAAAATGTTTTTTACTACGAAAAAAAATCTGATAAAATGAAGACAATTAGCGTTGTTAGCGTGAATTATTAACAAAACTATAAAAATCATAATCAAAATGATGGATCAATCTGTTGAATCATGATTGACTGAAACTATGATAATCAATAATAACAAACATTTGAATGAGAGAATTTGGATGCGGCAAGGAATCGATGTTGACAAATGGAACGGAATCAGACATGTCGAGAATATATAAAGAAAATAGAGGATAATCAAACTTTAATGAAACATATAATTAAAAATTTGGCCAAATGGAACTTTGGACCAGATAATGAATTTAATGGCTGTGATAATAATCATAATCAAATTCATCAATAAAAAAAAAGAAATAGAGGGAACGAATAATTTTTTTTTTTTAAACACACACACACACACATACAAATATACAGACATATATCCAGAATCGAAAGAAAGAGATGGGACAGATACATAAACATTAGTTATTGCTGGTGGTATGGCGTAAAAAGAGCTCGAAGCTCATAAATATTTACAGCTAACGACGATACGCATACAAATCCAATCAACTGTACGTCATTTTTGGATAGTTGATCGATAGTAGTGGTACATCATAAAGTGAGTATGATCAGTTGAGTAAAAAAAAAAAAAAAATAAAGTGAGCTCAAACAAAGTACTCTGTACTCATATCCCGAATTAATGGTGATGAAAAAGAATATATGAAAAGGCGGTAGTGAAGTAGAAGGATAATAGCCATATTTCTCTTCATAGCTCATTCACATGGCCAATATTCATATCGAATAAATTCAAGCCGGAGTATATTCCTCAAATATACACAAATATCGAGACAAGGGGAAAAAAGAATCCGGTTCAGGAAATGCATGAAACCGAATGATTTGTAATCATTATTTCATTATATTATGTTTATGTTTATAATCTTTTAATCATTATCATTAACTTTTGCAGTAATATTTCTGTTGTTTCGGTTGCTTTACAATTTTTTTCTTTCATAATAATTATATAATTGTGAAGAATTTGTCGCTTGAACAAAAAAAAATTAAAATTCGTATATATTGCATGTATAATAATAGTATAAATGAAAATATGAAGGGTCGGAAATATCTAGTTTCTTGTCTTCATCATAAGCTCAAATCAAAATAAAATAAAAAATGAATCTGATTCTACTGCTGCCTTAAAAATTTTTTTTTTGTTTATCTGAAATATTACAAAAAAAACAGGTAATCTTCTTTCTACTTAGCTGAAAAATTCGAGTAACCATCAAATCAATGACTGAAATCAGAAAAAAATGTAGAGGAATTTGATTGTTTTTTCTGACTTGCTGCATTTTATAATTCCAACTTCTGAATGTAAAATGTTTCTATCGAAACCGAATGAATAAATCAATAATAATTTGAACAGAATTCAGAATAACTGGAAGAAAAAAAGTTATTTCAAATATAGTGTTGAATAATAATAAATTTAAAGTATTTTATGTCTGTATGATTGCCCATTTTCCATGTGTAAGTGGGTGTGTAGATGTTTGTGTAATGGTTAGTTGAAATTGAATTATTCTTCAATAATGATGTTCTTCAAATATCTTATTGAATTGTGGATTGTTGTTGTATTTCAATTTTTTCCACAGTCATATCAGGATTCATCATTGTTGCTTCTTGTATGGCATCGGCTAATGCACGATCATGATCAATGGGATCACCATCTGATTGTATGGTAATTTTTTGTTCCACACGTGTTTCGACAACACCATCTTTTTCCATTTTGTACTGAAATTGATAAGATTCAATGAAGTAATTTTTCAAATTAAATTGTTGTTTTACACATTTTAATGATGAACTAATCCTAATACAAGACTTACCGTTATGGTTTCTACTGTACGTGTTTTAGATGAAATTGTTTGTGATGAAATGATATCGGCCGGATCAACATTCTCAAGACCAGGTATTGAATGAAGCTCTTCAGCTGTGATACCATTATCATTATTATTATCATTAGCAAATTGGGGCGGAGGTGGAGGCGTATATGATGATGATGATGATGATGGTTTTGATTTAGGCTATAATTTAATTAAATGATAAATTTGTTCTTTCATTCTGTTGACAATTGAAAATTGATTTATTCTTACCTTTGTTTCAGTATAAGCAACTTTACGGGTTTCAGTAGCAATAACTGGTACCGATTTTGGCTGATTTAATGCACCAAATTTCGGTTTAATACCGGAAGTTTGCGCTGCATCATCGCCACTATCACCGATCATTTTAGCTGTTGTTATATTCTCTTGTTTATGTTTTAATTTAGTTCGTTCCTCATAAATGGTTTTGGCAAGGCCATCAGAACTTTGTCCATGATAACCTTTTGTATCCTCTTCGGATGCTTCAACAATTTTTGTTGTTGTTGAACCTTTCGGTCCAATTTGTTGGGTTGTTGAATAGGCATTATAATCTTGACTATGATTATGATAAGTTGGTGGCGATGTTGGAGTCGTCGTTCCACTCAAACGGAATCGAGCCTATTTTAAAAATTTCAACAGATTAGATTTGGTCATAGTGAATAGATAAAACAATGAATAATAGAAAAGAAAATAGAATTAAATGAAATCATAAAATGAAATTGGCCAAATAAGGATTCATTAATGGAATGATCATTAGATTAGAGATTAAACACATTAAGAGCAATAGAGCAAAGGGAGACGAATTGCTGTCACCGAAATTGAAGACCATAAAATAGATATATAGATGAATAATAAATGTGTACAAGTAAGAAAAAAATACCGGTTCTGGTCGTGAATAAGTTGCCGTTGTCGTTGATGCTGTCGTCGACGGTACAACGCCCACAACTTTTGGCTTAGTTGTTGTCATCGATGTCATGGATGATGGTTCAAGAATCTCTTCTGTTTCATATGTAGAACCATCAGAATTAGTTACAACACGTTTGCGACTTGCATGAGTAATTTTTGGTCCTGAATAACCATGTTCTTGTTGTGGATGGGGTTGATGAAATGATGAAGGCCGATTATTGGATGATTGATAATCAAAAATGGATGCTGGTTTCGGTTTAGTAGGCGGTGGTGGTGGCGATTTCAATGAACGCTGCCCAGGTGAAATAGGTACCGACGAGCGATCAATATTTTGAGGTTTCGGTGATAATGCCGGCTTGGTTTTCATTCCAGATGGTGGAAATTTAGTGGATACACCGGCAGTATTGGTTGGTTCTGCATAACTTTCTTTTTCATATTGATCTAAACTAGATGATGATGAGGAAATGGAAGATTCACTGGATAATTCTTCCAATTTGGAATCTTTCGATTGACGAGAAAAACGGCCACTGCCGAATGTATCAGGTGTTGACATTGTCGATTTAGTTTTTGATTGTTGCTGCTTCCTATCCATAGACGATGATTTTTGTTGATGAATTGGTGATTGATGTGGGGCTGCTGCTGCCTTGGTCATTAAAGGTTTTGTTGTAGCTGCTGATGTTGGTGATATTGTTGATGTTGCTGCCGGAGTTTTTGATCTTGATGTTGTCGATGATCTGCTATATGGAGGCTGTTCGGGCAGACCACTTGTTTCAGGACTGTAAGTAAAAGCTAAACCGGTAACAGGTCGTAATTGTTGACCACTAGTAGTGGGTGTGGTCGGGCTACGGGCTGTGTTTGGTGATCGAATTGCTGTTGGGGAAGTGGTTGTAGTGCCTCGTTGATCACCAATGGCATCCATATAGCTAAAACCATGTTCCCGTGGGTCGATCATACGAGGACGAGATGTTTGTTGTCCATCTTGTGGTGAATCGTCATTATATGTGTATTCTCGTACATACGGAGATTTATGAGATTTACGGAAACTAAAACTAGTTGGTGATGTTGCAGTGCCGGTACCTTCATCTCGATGATGATGATGATGTGGATCTTGATTGCCATTACTGATGGATGTAGATATCAATTTACGTGGTTCATTAGTGAAAAAATCTTCGCGTAATTCTTGACGATGTTTTAATGAACGTGAAGAGTATGGCTTGATTTTCAAATGATTCATTAACGGGGTTAATAAGACGCGATTATTTAAAAGCCGTTAATTATAAGGGGACCATGACAATCGAAGCGTTATTTCAATTCAAGACGAAAGACAATGAACAAACATGAAACGATCGACATAAAAGATGGTGGCCAATCCAATTCAAATGGATAGGGAAGGATCATGCAAAAAAATAAAAAGCAAAATCAAAAAAAAAACAAACAAAAATCCATGCAAACAAAAAAAACAAAAGTAAAATAAAATCATCGAACCGAATCGAAAATAAAATGTTAATCAATCAATTTTTGTGATTTGAATTTCAAAAAAATTTTGCAAACTCATACCTCTTGACCATCAGATGGTGATGTTGGTGATTTTAATTTCGATTCATTTGGCGATGTTGGTGTTCGCCGTTGATCTTCAATACGTTTCATTTCCATTGGTGGCAAAACGGCAATACCACCCACCGGTTTTCGTTGCTGTTGTCCTTTACGTGGTTGTTGATCATACGTTGAATCATCGATAGCTGATGTAGGTGATGTTGGACTTGTTACACCGGATGCAGTAAATGCAGCTGAATAACGATTATTTATTGATGCTGGTATTGTTTCCATTGAATTGGTCGAATGTGGCTGTTGTTGTTGACCGTGGCGAATTTTTTTAGGCGATCGATCCAATGTTGAACTTTCATATGTTGATCGTGGTGTTCCTAATATTCAAAAAAGAATGAACAATAAAACACAAATTAAAAATGAAGCTTCATTTCAATATTACTGTTTTTCAAGTGATTATTTATATTCATGAAAGTCAGATCGAGCACAATAAACAAAAATAGACACCCCGAAAGGAACAAGAAACAACAAGGCATTGAATGTTGCCAAACAATCACTATTAGACGACATCAATAACACAGAAATAGACATGATATAAACGAGCAATTGAAAAAATCAAAGCCAAAAAAGAGATTTAATGAAGAGATATCAAAGAATCATTTTTACTTTCTAACAAAGGATTGGGTGAAGATGGGTGGAAGAAGAGGAGACCGACCTTGGAAAGGATAAGACGGTTTTGCAGTAGCTACAGAAGAATCTAAGATTCGTGATTTATAGGTTGTGGATGAGATACGTTTTCGGCCATTATATTCGGCTTCATTATTTGATTGATCACCCAATGGTGATCGTAATGCAGGTGATGAACGATAACGTTCCATACTACTAATTCCATAAACTATGGATTCATAATGTTTATGGTTTATATTGACAGATCAAATATTTGAGTTTTTTTTGTGAATGGTTTAAATTATACAATTGACAACAAAAAAGGGAAGGTATGTTTGTAATTGATATAAATATGAGTGACACTTACCACCATCAACGGATCGTGTTGTGTTTGTTAGATGACGGGAACTAAGTGATCGGCGAAAATTCACAGCAGGACGATCAATTAGATCACTAGCCATTTTGGTCTGATAATGTGTTTTGCCTGAATAACGAAATTTCGAGCCAAAACGTGGAAAGAATAATTTTGTGCGTGCTGGCGGTTCTGGTTGCATCAAACGGAAAAATGTATGATGTTCTACACATGTTTTCCAAAGACGTTTCGCTGCACGATGATTGGCCAACTTAAAACCTAAAGTACTTTCATATTGTTCGAATTCTCCAGGGCGAATTTTGATATAATAATTGTTTCGTTTATAAGATATTTTGAGTATTTTAGGCCAAGCGAATCGATTGATACGTAAACGATCACGAAATACATGTAGGCCGGACGATGACACACCTATCATAATGTCCAGGCCAGATTGTTCTTTGGCCGGATGTAGATCAATACCATACATGGCTAACTTTTTTGCATTCTCTAAATATTGTATATCAGCTTCATCAGATGTCATTCCACGGTGTTGTTTATGTAATTCACAAACTTTTTCCAATAATTCAGGGGTCTGATTTGGAGCGAAATGTAATACGTTTAAATAACGACCCTGTTCATCATGTTCACTAGTATCAAAATCACCCAATTCTGATTGAGCTAAATATGAACCAAGAATGGCATGTGTGACGAATGAACAAGGAATACGTCCGGAAAGAATATCTTTGCGTATCTGAAGACAGACCAAATATCTAGTTATGTCTTCATGTAATTGTGTGGGATCAGGCGGATAGAATTTCACTTCGAAACGTAGAAGCCATGAAGTATCTGCACGAATAGACAGAAATATTTTCAAATCAAAAAGTTCAAAGAATGAAATGGATATAGTTACTTCGCAATTGTTTCCCGATTCGTTTTTCTAAATTGAGCCAATTCTAAAAATTAGATAAAATTAAATTGAATTTATCACATTAAGAAGAAAAATAAAAAAAACTAACAAAAATAATTAACGTACTCTTGAATCATCATTTTCACGAAATGAAAGGCCAAAATAATCTTTTTCAAGTAAATTTAGATAATCACAAACTTTATTGAATACGTCTTCTCCTCGGGCGTTTTTCTATAAAACATATCGATTTAAATCAAAACATAAAAATGAATAAAAAATTTGATTAGTTTGAAAATTATAAATCATCAGATCAAATGACTTACATCAACTTCACAGGAAAATTCTTCATCATCAAGTAGAATAACCTGTATGTTGGCCATACTTGAATGGCTACCACGTTTATTATTATTATTACCCGATGTTGTCGATGTTCCTGTTCCTGTTTTCGATTTTTTAGGACCACCACTGACTCCACCTGTACTACGTGATGGTGAACGATCCTGATGATGGCCATTCATATCCTGATGATGACTTATATCGGCTGTCGATGCATCGGATGTTGGCTGTTCCATTGTAATGGAATCGCCTTCAGCCATTTTTTATTGAATATAATTTCTGAAAATTGGATAAAAAAATATTTACAAAAAAAAATTAGAAAAAAACTGATTGAACAGAGTGATCATTTTTTTTTTGTTTATACTGCAACCAAAATCGATGATTTACAAGTTCTGATCAATTTGAAATATATTGGGCGTCAATTCGTAGATAACATATTTAACAAAAACACGCCACCTCCATTATCAACATCATCTTAGACATAGAGAAAACTAGTCTATGGATTAATCGACCAAACTGAAATGAAAACCAAAACACATTCTAAATCCTCGGACAAACGAATATAACTGGCACGAATCGTCCATAAGCAGTAGTAAATAAAAAATAAAAAATCCAACCAGCTATGAAGTAGATAGACACTACCTGGTAGAACATGGAATTATGAACCAAGCCCACTATAATAATAATATATATAAAAGCCATTTGGTTCAAGTTGAGTTGATTTCATTTATATATATTCAAATGAACAGAAGGTAACAAATCTTTGATCATCATTAATTTGAAGATCAGAGATTTTTGAAATCAACAACAACAACAACAACAACAACATCATCATTATTTGATGAGAATTTTTGTTTGTACAATTTTTTTTCATTTCAAATACTTATAATTAAAACAAAAAAAAATCTTGTTGTTTCTGATTCTGTTTTTCATCTATACCAACAACTACACTAACTAATCCGAAACGGAAACAACACCCAAAAAAAAATCCAAAATAATTGAAATTTCATTAATGTTAATGAATGAAAGCCATATCACATTTATTTAGTTTTTTTTTTTTCCTAACTATATTTATATCGACTTTTATTTTCTTAATTGTTCTTAATCTTATACGATCAGTAAACGTAACTTGTAATGCAAACATTGACACGGTCAGTATCTCTGTTCAGTCATTCATTTGATTGTAAAATTATTGCATTGACAATTACACATTTTTGCTCATTTCCATCGAATGATATGATATGGTTGGTTTGTTGAGTCTATTAGTTTCCATGTGATGGGATTGCAAGTTTTGTTTGTTATGTGAATGTATGAATATGAATTGTTGCTATTCTATTATTATAACGTCAAATATGATGTTTGCATGGAAAATGATGATTTGAAGAATGTGTAGATCATTATTGGAAAATAATATGGCATCAAAATGTCATAAACAAACCAAAAAAAAAACAATTGATTCCAAACGATTTTATGAAAATATTGATATTTTTAAAAAACATTCGAAATTTAAAAAGAAGGATTCAGATAAATGAGAAAAACACGGCAGGTATCAAGTTGAAAAACACTGGTCTATTCTAATGTTGAAAATTTTGCAATCAACCATTCAGTTTGAATAGAAAATTTACAATTGATTATTGAGTCTATTAATATCCTTCTTTTCATGATACAATAGTTATTTATCTAATTGGCAATAATGTCGTATTATTGACAGAAAGAAGCCATAAATGGTCATCTTGATTATTGTCATTGCATCGAAAGTAAAAATAACTGTCAAAAAAAAAATAAACTCATATTGAGATGCAGATTAATAATGATACAATAATAATAAAAAAACAACACGTCATCATAAAGAATATTCATTTAGAACATGAATTAGTGATGATTAACCGTCATAATAATAAAATAATATATATTGATATATTGATTATTATTATTGTGTAAACAACCAAGATAAATAGTGCTATATAAATTGATGTGATCCATATGTACGATGGACCCGTATTTATATGGTTGACCCGTTTTAGTGTAACAAATAGATCATTTTTCTTATTGATCTATAGAAACAGAAATTCATAACAGAGTTTCATACATCCATCATTAATGTAAAACCCATACTTACCGATCAGATATCACCAGCAACTTTTCTGTTGATTAATTGCTCTTCAAATGTTGCTTGTTCGATATTCGGAATTATTGTTTTTTTTGTGGTTATCTTTTTTTTCAGCGTTGAAAAGGATAAATAGAATGAATTAATCTGAATTCCAAACAGATGTAGCAGATGATGATCGTGATGAACGATTCGATTGAAATGGCTTTTTTTTGGCACATTCAATTTGTCTTTCAAGCTTCTTTTCACTTTAAGTTTAAGTCTTAAACAGACACACATACACAACCACACACAAATTCGAATGAATTGAAAGTTCGATGTATATATTATATTAATTATAAAGTCAATAGTGACGAGTATTTTGAACTTGTTCGAACATTCGAATATTCGAACCAAGCAACCGATATAACTGAGTATGTGAGTACAAATGACAGGTGATGGTGAAAAAAAACCAGGTGAAATTTCAATAAAAATATCGAACAAAGATCAGATTTTTTTTTTGTAGACGAAGAAATGAACATCAAATACTAAACGGGAAGCGAAAAAAAAACTGTGTGAGAAATTTTTTTTTTCATTGTTTTTGTTTGTTTGGTTTCAAGGCAAAAACTTCAAATAATATAAGAAATTCACTTGATTGAAATTCAATCTAGATTAATAATATAGAACGACAATCATCAATCAATTAGATATATGATGATAGATTTTTGTTTCTGTATATTTTGTCATTGGATAAATTGATAATAATGATGACATGATTGTTGATTTGGTATCAAATTATATATATTATTTTTATTATTCATCTTTTTTTCGAATTGGATACACTGGTGATAATGAATCGGATTGAGTTTGGTTGTCTAGTCAGCACATATAGTTTTTTCAATATTTTTTTTGGTTTTCATTTCGTGTTTTAATTATTTATTTGTTTTTTTTTTTTTTTGAATCTTTTATGATCCAGATCAAATATTTTTTTACTTATTCTCTGTTACGCTTAAATTTGAACAAATTGCTACTTCCGAATAAGAAAAGAAAAATGAATAAATGTCATGGGCGAGTTGAACATATCAAACGATTTGTAAAACATACACGCATACAAAAATTGACACAATATAATTTTGATAAAGACAAATTGAATGGCATGAAAATTCTAATTTCATGGACACATGTCAATTGCTGGATTCATACCATAAACAAAAACTGATAAATCACATTTTACAATGACAATCAAAACCGATTTGGATCAAATCAATACCAATATCGGCAAACATTCACACGCATATGAAAAGTGTATGTAACCGAAATGAAATTGCTTCTTATCAGAAAATCAAATCAATAGAAAAAAAATTAGAATTGATCAAATATAGTCAAATCAAAAACGAACATTTAGATAAATCTAAAGATCAAAGATGTTGAACATTAATGTAAATAATAATAATTTATAGTACACCCACACAGACACACACACACACACACACATACAAACATTTGTCCTACAAATAAAATCAAGAAAAATCGAAACTTACTCAAATATTGGTTTGGGTTTGGTCCAGGTTTTTCGAATTTTGCTGTTAGCTTTTCAATGATGTTGCATCAAACAAACAATTTGTTTTAACATTGGAATCCGTGATGTTGATCTGGGCAACCAACGGTTGAATGAATGGAACACACTTGCTAACATAAAAATATAAGATAGAATCTTTGGATACTGATGAATATAGACCTGGCAGCACAGTGTTGTCGGCGTAGAATCCAAAATGTCAACACACACACACACACACAAAATAAAAATCAAAATAACCAGAATGTCATCAAACATCAGATTCTGTTAAGATAAAAATTTTCAACAAACAAAAATTTTGGTTGCGTAGTGATGATATCAAGAAAAAAAATCCAATTGAAATTAATGTGTAAAGAATTCAGCATTAAAAAAACTTTGGTTAGCCTATCAACAACATCCCTCAAAAAAAATATGAATGCCAATCAAATAAAACAACCAAACCAGGGCGGGACACTGACTGACTTTGAGCATGGATTTTTTTTCGGTTTATGTTTGTGTGTATGAGCTCGCCTTTGTATGCGTCACCACTATCCCATTTGATGAACACAACAAGAGAATAAACAACAAGAAAAGGGAGAGAGAGAAAAAAGATCCTGAATCTTGGATTCCGACCGTTCATACATTACAAGTTTATTATAATCAAAAAAAGAACTTTCATTATGTTAATAGATTTTTTTTTTTTTTAAATTTTTTCAATATGAATCGATGAGATTTATTTGGGATAAAAATCAATAACAGAAATGAATAAATATTATTATTATTATTATTATATGAATGATGATAAACGACGGTGGATCGATCCATCAGATGTTATCAATAGATCTGTATCTTCAAGATTATCACGTAGTTTTTCCATAAAATGTGCGGCCAATTCTTCATTGATAGCACGAGCATCATATGATAATGACATGATTGTTTGATTACAAATATGGTAATCATCAGGCTCACCAAAGAATCGTTGTCTTGTTGCCCCGACAGCCAAAATTGCAGCTTGTGGTGGATTTATGACACCAACAAAATGATCAATATCATACATACCCAAATTTGATATGGAAAATGTACCGCCAATAAATTCATGTGGCTGTAGTTTTCCATCTTTAGCTTTAACGATTAATTCTTTTGAATTGTTACTAATCTCTTCCAATGAAAGACAATTGGCATTCTTAATAATTGGTGTAATCAATCCAGTTGGAGTGGCCACTGCAATAGATACATCAATATCAGGAACTATTCGTATCGTTTCGCATTCAGAATCCCATTGACAATTCATAGCGGGCGTTTGTTTCAATGCCAATGCTGTTGCTTTGACGATCATATCGTTAAGGGAAACAGATAGTGATTTTTCTTTGTAATCTTTTCTTAATTTCAAAAGGCCATCCATAGAACATTTGATTCGCATGTAAGCATGCGGTATATTAGATTTTGATTCCGTTAAACGTTTGGCTATTGTTCGTCGCATATTAGATATTTCAATATCAAAAAATGGTGTATCCGATTTGGCCGGGCTTGATGAATCTTTTGGCATTTTTGAAGCCTCTTTCTCTTGAATGACTGATAAATTTTTTGGTTGGAGACTGTTTTGTTGAATAAATTTAAGAACATCTTCTTTCATCATGACTCCACGGTTTCCGGTAGGTTGAATGGTTGACATTTCAATTCCATATTGATCCATTAGATTGCGTGCACTTGGACTTATTTTAATAGTGTTAATATCTATTGGTGATTTGGAAATAGAATCCGATGCAGGTTGCTTTATTGATAAGGATTCAGATTTAACAGGGCTAACTATCGTATCAGAAGTAACATTTAAATTTTCGGGTATTTTAACATTCTTCCAATCATCATCTTCTTCACAAACTATGGCAATCAAATCACCAACTTGAATTTCAGCAGAATTTTCATTGACTAAAATTTTTGCCAATATGCCATCATCATCAAATTCGAATGCAACGACTGCTTTATCCGTTTGTACTTCACAAAGAATGTCACCAGCATTTATTTTTTCACCTTCTTTTTTATGCCATTTAACAATAGTTCCGGCTGTCATTGTTGGTGATAGGGCAGGCATTTTGATTGGCGTTTCTATACCCAAAAACTCAAAATCATTAGTTCTATAAATGAATAAAAAAAATCAAACAAACCTGCAAACAAATAATTAGTCGTAAAAACATGTCGAAATGAATTATCTTTGGAATTTACAACCGAAAATAATTGAGACAAATTTTTATTGAATAAACGAGATCGATTTGAGGTCAAAATCCTCATGAAAGTGGCCATTTTTGTTTATTTTTTTTTGAATTTTTTCAAAGAATCAAAAAGGTCATACAAATGGAAAGATGTATTGAATTCATTGTATGAAATCGAAAACTCAGATACTTTCAACATATAAAAAAATTAGCGCATGTTTTTAACAAAATAAATTAATTCAAATTAATCGGTGCCATGCTCCATTTCGGAATGTCTATCCTTATGTTTATGTTTTTGCTTATGTTTTTTCTTTTTCTTTTTTTTCTTCTTATCTTTATGGTGCCGATCTTTGTTGTTTTTATCTTTGTGTTCTTTTTCTTGGCCACCATCATCGATTTTTCCGGATCGATCTTTATCTTCTTTGCGTTTTTTATTAGCCGGGGGTGAAACTAGTGATTTTATTGATTGATGAAGATAATCTGAACCGCTTGGCTCGTTGGTTGTTTTTATACAGATAGGATCACCCGATGGATCACCTTTCATTCGAATGCTGATTGTTGGAATCGCTGATGAAGTAGCTGTTGGTGGTGAATGTGAATAAGATGTTGTACCTATTTCACCGTGTTCGCGGCCATCTTCACTTTCATCACCTCCATCAAAATCAGAATCGGGCAATGGATCGATATTATCCATACTTTGATGTCGTTTGTGTCGCATATCACCCGTTAAACTTTCTCGTTGATGTTCACTAAAATTATCTTCCATAATTTCTGGTTTAATATCATTATTTCGATCCAATGATTCAGAATTCGCAATAAGGTTTTCAGTATTAGTCTGAAAAGGAAGATTGTCTTTGTTTTCAGTTGCGGCCGTAAATGTGAGATAATTTTGTTCAATTGGTTTATCTACAGCTTTTATCCTATCGAATAGTTCCTCAGCAGTTGTTGGCTTAGAAATTGAAGGAGTATTTGTATTGGTGGTCAACAATAGATTTTCATTCATAGCATCGTCTAAATCCATTTGATTATGATCGGAATTTTCATCCAAAGATTTTTTATCTTTCAGGTTCAAAACGAATGAAAACTGTGAATGCAAAAAAGTTAGAAATTGTTTCAATAAATAAACGCAAAAATACTTACTTCCGGTTTGGGAAGACATTTAGGTCGACCACGACCATACAAAACAAAATATAGATCAACAATGGCGCATTGCAATTTAGACTGACAGGAGAAATATGAATTCATTAGTGTCCATAAACGTTCGACCAATTCTTCCGTATCGAGTGGATGAACATCTTCACTGACGTTCGAAAACGGTGGATTACGAATCAATTTTTTCAAAGTGAAATATCGAATGACTGGATGTGGATCTTGGATGGCCAGGTTGAGTAAAAAATCGAGATCTTCTTTTCGTGATTCAGCACGTAAAATATCGATAAGAATTTCGATGGCTGTTTTTCGAACATCAACAAAACAAGCAGTGGATGTATGACAACGAAAAATCTGTGAATTTGGTGGTAGATGACCCATTTTTTGCAAATTACGAAATGCTTTCAAACACGAAACGGTTACTACATGTTTGTATGATGGAAGTAATTTATCCAGATTAAAAAAACGAACAATTTCTTCAAGAATATTTTTCGTATCTTGAGATACAATATCCGATAAATTGTTTGAATTGAACATAGGCGTGATGGCTACCGGTGTGACTGTTTCAGCCAATGCATCAATCATGGCAGCTCGAAAATAAGCATCACTAAATTTATTTTTCGAATTATCATTATATTTGAATAGGTCGAGCAAAAATCTTAAAATTTCATTCGGACAAATACCATGATCAGTTCTTAAACCGGCCATGGCCACGATCATCGATTTTTGAATGAAATACATCTTGAAATTATTAAATTTATTCATTCGAACAATGTGTTGACAGGATGGAGAAGCGAACAATTTTCGAAACAATTTGATCATTGTTTGTGGACCATTTGCTAGTGAACCAACTTTGTTGGCGACTTTTCGCAAGCAAAATGCAGCCTCACATCGAATACGATAAAATATATGATCATTGCCAAGAATTTCTGATAAAGTATTTCTTATCGATATATTGGTCGAATAATTATCTAGTATGGCCAATGACTCAAGCTGAGCAATAATGTCACGTTCATAACGAAGTTGATATTGCCATTGATAATCTGGTTGTTCGAGTATTACTTCGCGAAGCAAATTCATTTCTGGATCTATACGAAGCCAAAGAACGGGTGAATCTTGGTCCATTGCGGATAAATCCATATCAATTTCTTCTCCTGTGCATAAAGGAATTTTTTTCTTTTTATTTCGACGACTTTTTGAATGACAAGTTATATCATGTTTAGATATATTATCTTCAATCTGTAGATTATGTTTGAATGTTCCATCCAGTTCCTGTAACCATATCATTAATGGTCCAAGATACTGCCAAACACCAGTTTTATCAACATGAATCTGACGAATTTCAAGTTGAACCGTATTACGTCGACGGTGAAAAACAAACGATCCAGTTAATTTTACATGACCACCTTGAAATACCCATTGTTTAAGAAAGGTATCGATATTTTTTCCGGTAACAGTAGAAATAGCCCATATGAAACTTCCAGTTGATGCATATAAATGATGCCATGTATTTGAATTATATTTTTGTGTGATAGCGATCTGTGCCAATGATAGCATCTTATTGAATACTTGCAACAGGAGAGCACGACCAAGATAATTTTCAAGCATACGCATGATTAAAAAACTTTTAATCCGATGCATTTTATCATACAATGGTGACCATGTGTGAAAATTTTTTATATGAAAATAATCTTTTTCTACATAGCCTTTGTGTGATGGATCCAATACGATCGGGCGAAATTGTTGTTCATATTTAATAACTTTGTTCATAGACTCCTTTACTTGATACCGATATTCATTATTACCGAAGGCTTTTTTATAGTAATCATGAGCAAGAAAACCAGCAATTCCACGTACGAGCCATGAGTCTGGACATGATTGCATTGATATGAAGCAGCCAAAATATTGTTCAGCAATAGCCTGTGCCAATACTTTACGGGTGGCATAAGTTTGTTCAATAATATGTTTCGAATGTAATAGATTGATAGAAAATATGGATAAAGTAGCATAGGCAACATAATTTGTATCAATATTATCAACAAACACTTGTTTATAAGTTGAATATGGATATCTTGTGTTTAGCATATCTTCATAATATTCAAATATTCGATGTGTGTTGCCGCAAGTATCCAACAACAATGATTTCAAAGTTGGAAAACAAAAATGAACAACTTCATGCATATCTGGATGGACTATTGGTGTGAACTGTCCGACAACTAAACCAATATTCGAGGCGCTAGTTGGTACTTGCAAGTGATAATAAAATCGTTTCTTTTTCTTTTGTGGACTATGTTCGACTTCGACTAATTCTCCCGATGAAATAGCTGTGTAATCTTCTTGGCAAGTAATCAATATGGTCCATGTACATGATTCTGAAAAAGAATCAACACAAGGAAACCAAAGCCTTGAAGAATTTGAACGTTCATATGTGAACATATGTGGTATGAATTGATCTTCTTGCCCATCATTATGATCATCATTTGAATTACTTGTTTCCTGTACAGAAAAATATATTCCACCTTTAGGATTTTCAATATAATAAGCAATGTTCACGGCAAACGTTTTTCGCTCTAAAATCAACGATTTTATGTCGGATAATTCTGGAACTTTGATAATTAATTCACCATTGCCAAGGTCTGAATCAGTACTTTTAATCACATCATAATGAACACTGGAAAACGAATCCAATTTACGTGCACCTTTTTTTTCAGCTGAAAGTACAATATCTGCTGTTGGTTCACTGTAAGTGAATTCGCACATATAATCATTGATGTAAATGCTATCGATAATACATTGTTGACAATTTAGCCGTATGAATTGCAGTTCATCCACTTGGGAAACAACTTGTAATTCAGTATAACCCTATTAAAATAACATCATTGATAAGTGGTAATTAAAAAATAAAAAGTACATACTACAAGTCTTTTAGTTGGAAAATCAATGTCCAGAATGCTTAAATGTTGATGCAAACTAAATGAAAAGAAAAATATGAAATTTTATGCAAAATTAAATAATATATTATTATCGTACACTTTAAAAAGCCGATACGATTTGGCTATGAATTCTCGTTTCACACTTGTTGTCATTTTGATACAAGGAATTTCTCTAATGGTCAGATCATTTTAAATTAATTTAGTCGAAAAATTCAAAGACCGGGAGAAAATTGAGTAAAAACAAATCGCAGTTGGCTATGATAACATATGTGAGCAACGAGAGTCGAAACAGAAATCGAGTACATGTGTCTGTTTTTTTTTCTATACATACAAAATTGTTCCGTTTTCCGCCTAGCTCTCTTTTTGCATGTGTTTCGTTGCATTTGATTCTTATTCAAAGATTTTCGTACGTTTTTTCGATTTTAATTGTGATTTTTTTGTTCATAATTTGCAAATTTGAACTATAGAGAATGGCTACCAAACCCGAAGGTAAAGGAGATGTCGAAATTCAACAGCAAATGAATCGAATTCGAGTTACACTCAACAGTCCAGATGTCAAAAAACTTGAAAAAGGTATATTGTAATAATACATAAAATGAACCAATATTAAATATACAATTTTTCTTTCGATAATATAGTTTGTTCCGATTTGATTCGTGCGGCTAAAGATCATGCCGTTCAGGTAAATGGACCTGTTCGTATGCCAACAAAAACGTTGCGAATAACCACACGTAAAACGCCTTGTGGTGAAGGTTCAAAAACATGGGATAGATTTCAGATGCGTATACATAAACGTATTATTGATCTGAAAAGTACATCGGAAATTGTCAAGAAAATTACCGCCATCGGTATTTCACCTGGTGTCGACATTGAATTCACTATTGCTAATTCTTAAACATTCAACAAATATTTTTTTTGTATAATTCAAACACGATATAATGGCTAAGAAATAAAAAATTCTTTTGAAAAAAAAATTTTTATTTAAATTTTTCATAGATAAAAATTGACCCAATTTTTAAATCGAGCATAATGGGTATCAAAAAAAAAAATATAATTCAAAATATCACCAACGTAAAAATGTATTAATGAATGAATGAACAAGATAGAAATTGTTTTTCTTAATGAAAATGTATATTAGATTCAATGATGCTTGTAAGAATGTAATATAGAATGTAAAAAATGACAAATGGGTATATGTAAAAAATGAAAGGCGTTCCTGCATGATATGTGGATGTGTTCGTAAATTGTTTTGAACTTTTTAAAATAAAAAAAAATTTGTGTTGAATAAAGATAGCAGCAGTAGTTGATTTAATTTTGGACAAAAAAAATTTTTGGTATAGCTATCTAGCTTGTAAGATATATTATCAATGCTTTTGTCAGACAATGTCCTCACGATGATGGCTAGCCTGACGATGATGTTTAACCGTTGCAACGGTTGGTTTTGAACAAGTGGATTGTGAGGTTTGTGGCCCATTAGGTCCAACCAATGATCCATTTGTGGTTACTAGTGAACTACTACCTCCACAAATTCTTTGCATGGTCGTATCATAATCTGGACATTGTGGACGTCGGCCAGTTTGTTTGCCCGTGGAGGATGAATTTGATGATTGTGGAGCATTAACCGATGGTCCACGACCACGTGGCATTTGATATTGATCTAATCGTCGTAAAGAGGTTACCGATGATGATTCAACAGGTAATGATTGTTTAGGAGGTAGTGTATTTGATTGTCGGCCACGACTGGATTGTCGCGTTGTAATGGTTGTATTGCTGGTCACACATGGACATGTAGGATGCATTAGGCCGGAAGTCTGTGGTGGTGGCATCATCATGATCATAGATGGACGCATCAATGCATTTGGTGGAGGTGTACAACATGGACAGTATAGCTGATTCGGATACAATGATGGTGATCCTGAACTACAACAAGGAATGGATGGCGGTCCTCCTGTTGAACAGCACATACTATTAGAATATGGAGAATTGATCATTGATATCGGATGTGTTGTCTTGGTATTTGACATTGATGACGAAGGGTGTGGTGCATGATGATTTGCGGGACCATTTCCATAATGTTGATGCATGCTCATTAATGTTATTGAACTATAATGATTATGATGATGATGATGAGATCCACCATAATAATAATTTGATGATGTCGATGATGATAAGGTACTATTACTGCCACCTACATTAATATCCATAAGATTAGATGAAGAGCCATGATGATGATATTGATGATGGCTTGATATTCTTTGGCTATTATTGTTGCCACCGCTGTTATTATACATTGAATTATTCGAAAGTTGTTGTGGATGATGGTGATGATGATTGTGACTAGCATTGTTGGTATGATTTGATGCTGTGGTTGGGGTATTATGATGATGATGGTGATGATGATGACTACCCCCACCACCACCACCACTTTGTCCGCTAGCTCCAGTTCCGGATTGATTGGAACTATGTGGTACAATAACAGCACCGTCCGAAAGTGCTAACAATTTCCGCAGTTGTTTGGGTGATGTTTGACCAAATTTAGGCCTATGTGGTCGGTAAAGAAGGGAGTGATTATTATTTGGACCATGCGGTGTTCCATCAGAATTCATTGACAATGAATTCGATGATGATGAAGCTGATGATGGCGTAGGCGATGGATGTGATAGCTGTGAATTCGATGACATTGTTGATGCAATCGACGAACGTGTCGTTGCTGCAAGACTTGATGAATTTGGTGTTTGAGGTAATTCACATGAATATGATCGAGACATTAGTTCATGTTCATCCGAACTAATCGATGAAAAACTTTCATCGAGAAATGATCTGTAAATTGATGAAAATCAGAAAATTATTTCTCTGTAAATTGACGAGAATAATTCTTTAATATACTTACTGAACACGCTTAGTCATACGTTGATTTTCCCATAATTTTTTATGATCAGATGATGATTTATATTCCGATGTTGATAATTGATCGGCAAATATTCGAAATAAAAGATTTGGATCAATAGGTTCATTAGTAGCAATGGTTGATTGTGCTAAATTTGATGTGGATGACGATGAGGTATTCGAGTTATTTAATCCATTGATGGCAGCTAAAGCCAAAGATGTTGTATTGGCCATTTTCTGTATTTCGCGAATCTTTTCTGATAATAGACGCATCTTTTCCCAATTCACTAATAATAATATTTCTTTTGTTGATTTATTCGAATCCTGTGATGATGGAGTTTGTGGTTCCGGTGCAGAATTTATATAAGTTTGATTGGCAAGCCAAATAAAACTTAGATCTTTTTTTACCAACGGAAAGAATGGAATGATTATCGATGCACCATTATCTTCACGCAATTTTTGCATTAATTGTTGACGGAAATTATAGAAATTCCTAGATGGATCCATAAGTTGTTGCAACTTTTGAAGTTGTTTCAGATGTTTTGTTGGCACTTTATCCCAACAACTTTTTAATCGTGACACAGATAAATGCATTAAACCACTAAGTATGGCAAACAATGTATTATAATTATTCAATTTCATAGCTAATGTTGCTATTCTAATCAATTGTTTTATCGCTTTCACTCGTTTTGATATAGATCTTTTTTCGCCTAGGACCTGATTGATTGTCCAAAACATCTCCTCATTAGTTTTTCGTTCGAATTCTTGCAGGTCACGTGTTCGATCAAAAATAATATTAGGTTCTCCATTATTTTTATGATTTGAACTACTTGAATTTGGATCATTGAATGCTAAATCATATACAAATTGTTGAGCTTCGATCTTGCAAAACAAACGAAAATCACGGGCAGTTAATTCACGAGCAATAGCATAACCTTTCAAAGTCAAGAGGGAATTGATTGATGAATCTTTGATAATTTCTTTGGCAATATCAGAATCGGTCATTGGTTCACCAACATGGCTAGAATCTTTTGGTTGTGAAACAAGCTTTAGATAAAGTCGAGAGTTTAGACCAAGATTAGCGACTAAATCATTCGTTCCATCATTCAATCGTTTGACCACAGTTGAACTATTATTGACAGCAGCATTTTCATCACCGACAACACAGCCATTTGTACTGTTTCCATTATTATTGAATATGACTGAATATTCATATAAAGCGAAATCACGACTTGAATAATTGTTTGAATATTTAAATTGCCGCAATGCTAATTGTATACATTCACGAACAGTTGTAGACGAATGTATCGGTAGAAAACAGCAATCATTATGTTCAAATGAATAAATTTTAATTATTTCCGGTATTTCATAAGACAATATTCGAGGATGAGTTGCCGAAGAAGAACCATTGCCATTACCAGTCCCCGTATTAGAATTCAATGATAAACTTGTTGATGATTGATTATGGTTTGATTGATTCATATTGTTATTGTTATTCGATATGGATGTAGATGAATTATTATGCAACATGTTTGTTGTAGATGATATCAACTGATTTGTCGTTGATGATACAAGTGAACGAACTTTCAGTTTCCAGCCTTCTTTTTCTTTTTTACCATCTTTTGTTGTTGTCAACAACGGGTTTTGACTTGAATTTATGCTGGACAATGATGTTGATGATGAACTACCGAATCCTGAGGATGTGGATGACGATGATGATGATGATGTCGTTGTTGATGTTGACAATCGATTTGTTAACGGAAACGTTTCGACAATTTGTCTTTTCGTTTCATGACGTCCTATTGGGAAATATGAATAGAAATGATATAATGGATATCAACAATTTATGCAACAAAATTTTTTAACATTCACCACATAAAATGAGGAAAAAATGCAAATACAAAATTTACCTTCGATCAATGCATAGAACAAATGAGGATCATATTTAACTTGCAATGATAAATGAGTAGATGAACGACAAAGTTCATATGCTCTTGCGATGGGCATCACATGACAATCAACACCATTGATCGATATGACACGGTCACCCGGCCTAAGGTCGATATTGGATAGTGTGGTTGTTGCAGATGATGATGGAGATTGAATGGGACTCGCACTATTATTGTTATTGAGCAATATTTCACCGATAAAAAGTCTGGCAGAACATTCATAGCCACCAATCAATGAGAAAATTAACGGTGCATTACGATCACTACGAGTAACGGTCACTTGTCGTTCAAATGATTTGGCCGATAAATGCATGTAGAAAAGTCGTAATTGAGATTTATGTACAGAATTTTCTTTCAAAGCATTTTCAAACTCATCCAATAAATATCGATTTTCATTTTGAAAATCCTGGTAATGATTGACCAACCATATCAATACTATTCTAACACAATTTTCTACAAGTTGATTATTTGAAATAATACATTCACAAATCCGGCGCATTAGATCGGCCATAATTTTCAAATCTTTGGATGGATGCAGATCCTTTTCGGACCATATTCGAAATGTGAGTAGAAAATCTTCAATAAAAATTTCATTAGGGTCGGACATGAGTAATAGTTCGTAAAGACGTTCTTTAGTTGCACGAATTAATTCGTTTGTAGTGTCGCCAATGACCGTTGTTTTCGATAATTGTTGTTGTTTTAAAAGACTTTTTGATGATGTTGGTGGTGTTTTAGGCTGCGGCTGATCTGGCGGTGTGACCGTATTGTTTGAACAATGAGCTGAGCTTTTCACTACCGCCGTAGCCGAACCTGAGACATTTATATCCGTGATGAAATCTTCCGTATTTAATAATTCAAAATGTGACGACTTATTGGCATCACTTTGTTGTGATAAACTTAAATCGCTGGCCGTCAAATTTGTCGATCCAAGTGAATTAATATCATCGGCTAATTTTGGCTGTTGTTGATTATTACTAGTAGCAACACCAGACGATAGAGATGGTGGTGGTGGCAACAGACAATTGGCACGCATTTCAATTATATTACCTGTAACTTCATCGCGTATCGTTTTGAATGTCTTTTCGCCACATATCTTAAGAAAACAAAAAGGTTAAATGACATTTTCGAGATAAAAAAATTAGATGATTATAAATGAGAAATTATTTTCCATACCTGATCAAAGATAACATGAGGTACGCATAAAACCCAGACAAAATCTTCATTTGTGAATATCTCTCCGTAGACAACACGATCATCGAGATGTGCACCAAATTCATCACCAACATGTAGGTAACGAGTATTTTGATGATGATGATGATGGTGCTGGTGGTGGTGATGATGATGATGATGATGGAGATTAGGATTCGAAGTCGATGATCCATTCGTCGTTATTTGTGCTACATTTGATGAGGATTCAACTTGTGGATTATTATTTGGCTGTTGATGATGAGGTAAATAACTGTTTGTCGTATCTGTGGTCGATGTAGATGACGCCGTAGGCATAGACATCATATAATTGTCATCATCTACTGAGGTTTCCTGTAGGTCTTGTTGTTGCATTATTAGGCCATCATCTTCACATGGAAGTACATGTCGTAATGATCCAGCAGCAACTATACAGTAGGCATCCAATTTTTCACCATGTGTTAATACACGAGTATCACGAGCTTCGATTTCGGCTAGAACAAAATGTGGTGCCAATCGCCTACGGGTCATATGATCATGATTTGAATTGATTATGGATAAAAAACGGACAATAATCTCAATATCATCTTCAGTACGGCTATTCGAATCACGTATCAATGCTTCACGTATAAGGTATAGATTATGATCGAATATTATTCCCGGTGAATATGTTCCGGTCATGGGTCCGTTGGTTGCCGTCGTTGTCATTGGTTGAATCATTGAGGAATCATTCATTCCACGATGATGATTACTAATGATCATCGTGTCCATCATTAAAAAATTATCATCATCATCATCATCATCATCTTCGTTGTTATCAACGAGAGACTCTTCAAGACCTACAGACATATCATAGCAATTGACATATGTGAAGATATGGAGAACAAGAAAAAACATTATTTAAGAAATTCGAATCAAATAAATCAAAAAAAAAAAAAAAAAACAAAGACATCTATACATACCTTCGAGGTCGAATGAGGAATGATTATGATGTTGATGATGATGACGATTGGGATTTGAACTATCAACGGGCGAAGCCGTCGAACCAGATTGATGGCACATTTCTATCGAAGACATTTTTCAATTTGATTTCGAGATTTTGTTACTGGAAAAAAAGAGGGAAAAATGCAGATTTTTGTTTTTTTTTACATCAAAAAGAAATCAATCGAATTCATTCATTACGATCATTCATTGTATGTATGGATAAATATTCGAAATTGTCAATATATACGAAAAAAGGCCGTAAGCATTTGAATTTTTTGTTTGAAAAATTTATGTATGTTTATAATCATTTCATGTTATCTGTACATTGATGAGGATAATTTTTCTTATGTTTTTTTTTCATTCAATTAAAATAAAAGCAACAAGTACGTGTTTGTATAAATTTTGTTCGTTTACACACATTCCTCGAATGAATAAATGTTGAAATATGGCCAATATGGTGGTTGACAAGCAAAAAAAAAAAATAAAAATAAAAATTTCTTTGGCCACAATGGACATTGAGTTTTTTTTCGGACATGGATCGTTTCGTTTCGTTGTCATCCAGTCAGTGAGTGGTGTGTGGTTACAAAATACATTTAAAATAGGGCCGAATTTAATTGGTTAAAGCTATTTATTTTATTTTTGTTATTTTCGCAAGTTTTTTTTCTTGCTTCTGTACAAACACATGAATGTGTAATTTTTTTTCTTTTTATTTGTAATAATGATGATAATGTTGGACGAATGATTAACGAAGACAGCAAAAAAAAAATTTAGGACAATGTTATCACTTTTAAAAGTGTCCAGCGTGAATAACATGAGTAGCTGTTTTCAATATTCGAATTTGATTTTGAATCAATCTTCAGGCATTACGGCAGTGATTATTGATTATGTTTCGCCAGTTGATCTTATCGATGTTATTTGTTGTTTGCTTTTTTCCTTGTTTTTTGTTTCATTATTATCATGATGATCAACAGTTATAAATGGCTAACATTTCACTTTTTTTCCCATCATCATTTCATGATGATGATGGCTGGTGGTGGTGGTGGTGGTGGAGCACATTTGGATTGCATTTATAAGGGACTACGAACTTGAAATATAAATATGTACGACAATTGACATTAATCTTGATGTGAAAATCAAAATAACATATAATATAATATATAATCCGTTGATTATGGAAAGGCAAACTTTTAAATCATGATCATGATGATGATGATTAGAAGATTAAGTACGAAACAAAAACAGTAAACAAATAATTAGATCCGGAGCAAAAATGGACAAATGTTTTGATATTTAGTGTTGGATATCAATATAAATGACCGGAAACAGACAAATGAAAATGAAAAATAAAACAAAAACAATTTTTTATGTGAACACACAAAATTTGTCCCAACACAAAAACAAATCGTACAAAACAATATATGGCTGAGTCAATTTGATTTTCCTTTTTGCTTTCAGAATTCGAGTTTTAATTCGATTCTATCTATAGAATTGGAAAATAAGGCAAACACACAAATACAGAAATGAATCAATGTGTTGATCGAATAGTTGAAATCACATATTAACAAAATTCAAATGGATCATCAGGTTAACTGATGTCAGATGTTGAAGAATAATAGCATAATGATGATGATTAAGCTCGTTTCGATTGAATTTAATGTTGATTATGATTATGATGATGTATATTCGATTGGATTGTGATCAATCGATAATTTTTTTTGTATAGTTGAATCTTTTAGTCGATGTTTTCAATTAAATTGTTCAGCAACAACAAAAAAAATTTTGATGAGCCAATAAATCACCAATTGATTCAAAAGATTATTTAAATCGAATAAAATCAAATTATTCACTCAATGATGATTGACCATCATCCAATATGATGAGGAGAGCTCTCATCATCATCACTGTTGTTGCATCTCTTTAAACTGAAATTTTTGTCCAAACTTTTGATGCGTTCGTTTCTGTTAAATCAACATCATCGTCATCATCATCATCATCATCATTCATTGAGCGAACAACGTCAGTTAGTCAGTGGAAATGGCTCTGAAGAAAACATTCACAACATCATCATGACCAGGTTAAATCGTTGTCCAATAAAAGCGATAGGTATTTTCATAGTATAATACAGTGAGAAAAATGCAACCAACAAGTTGGATACTGTTTTACAGGTGAGTTTGATGTTGTAGTCGTCGATACGAATCATCGATGATGATCAAAAAAAAGGATGGTAGAAGAAAAGGAGTGGATAAAAATAATGATGAACACTTTTGTGGGGGGAATAAATGTGCGCACATTCAATTGATCGGGTTGGCTCCAATTAGAAAGATGGATAGAGAGATGAATGGATGGATAAAATGAAAGCATCAAAGTAAGTTATTCGAATATTCCGGTTTCGGCGTCATCGATGACCATGTTATATTCAATATGAATTTATTAATATATCAAACATATTTTCGATACACAACCACAACTCAAATCCAGTTGTTGTTGTTGTTGTTGTTGTTTTTTTTCGTTGTCGATTGTTGTTGTTGTGGTGGTGGTGGTGGTGGTCGATGTTCGACCAAAATGAACAAATGCGTATGTCGAACAACAAGCGCAAAATTGTAAGAAATGAATTGAATCATGAATGAATTTGAGCCATCGGTCAGGTTGTTGTTCCAGACATGGTTCGGCCGCTATGTTGTAGCACACACATACACAGTAAAATAATACACAACAATTCTCATCATCCTCCTCCTCCTCCTCCTCTTGAGATTTTTACCCTGTTTTCTTAAATTGAAACCTTCATTGAATCCAATACCATGAAACACTAAGATCCATTCAAATACTATAATAAAACTCAGGTGTGGAAAATATTATAAAACCTGTTCTCATGATTAGAAAAACAGGATATATAATCATTATTTTTTACACATGCATTTGCTCGCTCGCTTTTTTCTTTCTTTTATTTTTCATTCCTAAATCGTCTCTCCAACAATGAAAATATTGTGGCTGCAACAATTTATTGATGATCCATAAATAACGTTCTTTTTTTTGGCGGGCATCTTCTGTTTTTATTAGAATATTCTGTTTGGTTTATAATTGATTTTTGGATCATAATACATTAGCCGGAACCAATGTCCGTAAATAATTGGCATACAATTGTTCTCTTTTTAAATCAAGCCTTTCAAGATCACTACGAATCTTTGACAATTCTAACCATCTAACAGGTGATATGATCGATTTCATACGAAAAACAATTATATAAATTGTAATTATGATTACTAATGAAAACAGTATCGAACTATAAAAAATTCGTTTTTCTATTGTTGTGGCAGCCAACATTGTTATAAAAGTCATGTAAGTTTCAAAAATGAGAGTGAATAAACCTTGTGTAGTTGATTCTTCTTCTTCAGCCAGACCTAATTTCTTAAACAATGATCTTCCCATTGTCAATTCCGATTCAATATAATCAATATATTGTTGTTCATCTTTCGATGATGTATCAATAGTGATGGCTACATACGAAAATTGCAATGAAAACACAAACATTAACGATAGTACAAAGATCTTTTTAAAATTTTCACGTAGATTTCTTAACGTTTGACGCTTTCGTTTATCAATCAATTCGAATACATTCTTTATATCACGTTCCATGACAACGAACGTATTCTGTATAATAGATCCAACTGTTTTATCAATTTCACGGCATGCATCATCAATCTGATTGACGCACATTCGTTCACGTAGTCGTAAATCTGGTTGATCAGGTAAGTAAATGGTCAACATGTCGAAACCACTTTGATTCAAACCAGGTCGTTCACAAAGTTCTTGTACGATTTGCATCATTATCTTTTGACGATCATAATCATCACCGGCTTCATCCGCTTTGGACAAGAAGAATCGCATACGTGAGGAATATAATGCATTCAATTGTTCCACAATATCCAATGTTCGTTTACATAATGCTTGACCAATCGGATCAAAGAAAACGAATATCAAATCGGCAATACTGCCCATCCATACAAGGCATTTGTTTATATCAAATGGATAATGAAGTTCACCATCGGCTAAACCAGGTGTATCGATCAACGATACTAGATTCAATCGATTGGATGATGTTGGTACAATTAATTCAGCATTGAGGTACGAAACAAAGCCTTTCATTGATTCTAAACGTTTAAGATAGGGAAATAATCGTATAGCTGATTCACCCGTCAATGTTTCACGCATACGACCAGCAGTGACAAATGTAAAACCTTGTGTCTCGATTGCAACGCCCGTTTTCTGTATCTTTTGACCAACGTACCAATTGATAAATGAACTTTTACCCGATGAATGATTACCAACTAGCAGTATGTTCATTTTACGTCGTGGTTCAAACAATTGATGCCCCAATTTTCGACCACATTCAATAAGGCCATTAGATTCTGCATAAATCGAATGTAATTGTTTGAGCGTTTTTTCGCGTTCCTGATCCATCGAGGAAGTCATGATCATCTGGCCAATAACTTCGTATTGAGATAAATTGGGTAAATTAAACACATAAACGCCCTAATTACAAAGAGGAATTTCGAAAATTAAAAAAGCACAAATAAATAATCATCATCATGTGAATTATGCTAACAGAAAATGTTTACAGACTACACCGTTTTTTACGTATTTGCGCCATCTTGTAATCAAGAACTGACTTTCTAAATTTCGAAAATGCATCTTGAGAAAATTGAACACATTCAATATTCATCATTGGATTTATGTGGCATATATCCGTGTATGCATTGTCATCATCATCAATGTCAACGAATGACATTAAATCCATCCAATAGGCTAAACAACAATCATTATGTTCATGTCGGATCATCATTTTCAGCATAATAGTGTTGTTAGCCGTTGAGAATATATCTTTTCTAACCGACAACGACATTATCGTGATCAACAAATGATAAATGATGATGAACAAAATGCCAACCAAACAAGCCATTCGATGATGATGATGTAGGTAGAAAAATCTTGCCATACACATCCATCGAATACATTCGGGATAATGATGATCAACGTGTAGCTTATGAAGTTGCTGCTGCTTGTTGTCATTATTTGTCTTGTTTGACCTGATCCTCTCTTTTTTATTAGATTGTCTTCGTTTATGATCATGTTTGAGTATGAACCAGATTTACCATTATCAAATTTTGGAACAAAAAATATAAATTTTATTAACATTGTCGGCTTGATAGAATTATTATTGACCAATTATACAATTCAAATTCTCTGATACTTAGAATCTATCACATCGGTAGTGGTATATTTCGTTAATCACGAATTTAAAGAAATCAATCGGACGGATACGGATTCGATCAATCATATACCGCTCCCTTTTTTCGGGATTTTATTCGTCTTTTTATGCTACTTCCTTTCTAACAATAAAAAAAATATGGACAAGTCAATTGATGCAAATAGTATCCACTCTGATATCCTAATACACACTAACCTATACAAACAGAGGCGGTCTATTGACATTGCTACTACTACGGATGGCTGAAACGAGCAAAAATTTTTTCCCAAAAAGATATTCACTTCAGACAGACACTCAAGAAACTTTTTTTTCGTTAGCCAGCAAATGTCTTGAATGTTTGGGATTCATAGTCTCGAATACAAAGAAGAAAAAGAAAAACCAGCTTAGAATCCCCCCTCAACTTTTGATTCTGTCATGAATAAATCCATTCACTCTTTTCTTCCGATCAAATATAGTGATTCATTCATTTGAAATTAAAATTCTTTTTGTGTGTGTGTGTGTGTGTTTTATTCAACATCCATGTTATCGTTTCATAAATATTATAAATTCTTTTGATATTCCGGCAAAGAATTTTTTTCAGCCGATTTTTTCCTCGACATCATCATAATCATTATTCGAAAGATAAGCAAACCTAGCTCACAATAATCATCATCAATTTCAAATTTTTATAATTCTGTTTGATTATCATTGTCGATTACTGATGATGACCATCGAATCAATACAACAATGATCAATGGTGTTGATGGTGATGATCATCATTGTAAAGTATCATCATCATCGTCTAAACAAACAGATCCACGATCTGAATAGCTTCAAGTCTCATTGTTTGTGATAAAAAAAAAATTCATTTTTTGAAAGTAATTCCAACGAAATTTTAATAATTGGTCGAAGATAATTTTTATAATTTAACCCAAAAAAATGTGGAGCATGATGTGTGATGTGATGCCCACCATCAGTGAAGATGGCATCACACAACGTACCGGTCAATTCGGTGCAACATCGGCAGCCGGTGATGAGGCCAATTTCGAACAATTAATGGTCAATATGTTGGATGAACGAGATAAACTAATGGAATCATTACGTGAAACACAAGAAGAATTGAACGAAATTAAAACCAAATTGACCGAAGTGGAAAAAGAACGGGATTCCTTACAACGTCAGCTTTCATCGCATATGCCTCAGGTTTGTGCCAAAAATTATGGTTAATTAATCGGAATTAACAAACGTGTTCACATACACACACACACTTAATTTTCTTTCGAATTGTAGGAATTTACCAGTTTAACACGAGAATTAAATCAAGCACGTGAACAATTACTGGAAAAAAATGAAGAGATTCAAGAACTTAAAGCTGAACGGAATAATACAAGGGTATTTGTATTCATTTTTTTGAACTTTACCATTAATTTAATTTTTTTTAGCTTCTACTTGAACATCTAGAATGTCTTGTATCACGACATGAGCGATCTTTACGTATGACCGTAGTCAAACGACAAACACAATCACCAGCCGGTGTTTCATCCGAAGTGGAAGTACTCAAAGCGTTAAAATCTTTATTTGAGCATCATAAAGCGTTAGATGAAAAAGTTCGTGAACGATTACGTGTGACATTAGAAAAAGTGTCCACATTAGAAGATGAACTAAGTCAAGCGAATGAAGAATTGAATAAATCTAGGCAGATGCAATTACAACAACAACAACAGATTGAAAATCTAATGCTTGAATCAAAGATTCGTTATAAAGAATCGACAGCCAATAATGATCAACAAACGGATGCAAAAAAATCAACAGCAACGACAAATAATCAGACATTAAATAATGAAGATAATTCTATTGACGATGATTCATCATCGGCAACTCGAATAAAAGATCTACAATCTTTGATCGATAAACAAAATAATGAAATGACTACATTACGTAATCGTTCAGTAGAATTAACAGCTAAACTAAAGGATTATGAAGATCGTATCGTCAAACAGGATAAAGAAATGGCACAGCTAAAAGAAGATAATATTAGAATGTCAAGAGATATGAAAGAAAATCTAGCACAAAAAGAAGATCAAGAAGAAAGAATCGCGACCCTTGAGCAGCGATATTTACATGCACAACGTGAATCGACATCATTACATGATAATAATGAAAAATTACAACGAGAATTGATTAATAAAGAAGCACAGCTAAGGATTCTGGAAGATAAATTCAATTCCTTAAAGGAGGAAATCCGTATGCTAAACGAAAAGAAAAAATCCAAACGGAAAAATAAGCGTAGTTTTCGATTGGAAGGGGAAAATGGTCAAAATATCAATAATCAAGATGGTGATGCTCATCTTGATGATGAAAATGATCACGACGATGCAGCTGCTTCTGATTCTGATGAATTAAGCGAAGAACGTAAACGGTCATTTGAAGAACGAGTTATGCGTCTCGAACAACAATTAGAGGAAAAATCTGCCGAATTAAATCGTGCTCGACAACGAGAAAAAATGAACGAAGATCATAATCAACGTCTCTCAGCTACTGTTGATAAATTATTGGCCGAATCTAATGAACGTTTACAGTTACATCTTAAAGAACGAATGTCAGCGCTGGAAGACAAAAATACGATGACACAAGAATTGGAACGTATTCGCAATCTATTGGATGAAACACAAATGGAAAAGGGTAAAATCCTTCAAGAATTAAGTAAAATGCGAATAGAAATGGAGAATATGGCTGCTCAACAACAATCACAACGAGGAATGTCACCATCATCGGCCATGGCCAGATTCCATCATTCATCATCATCATTTTTAAATCATCATCAAACAACGGCTCCGACAGCAACAGTAATGTCATCACCATTATCATCGCCACTATCTGATGCAGCTAGTTTATCGACAGCCAAACATATTGGCGGTGGATCATCACATACTGGTGGTGGATCGACACCATCATCAATGGTACAAGCTGCAGTTTCGACAGCAGCAAAAAAAGAATCGATTTGTGAAACCCAAGCTGTAGCGAAAATTGAACAAGACAATAGAATATCGCCAATAGCAGCCGAGGGTCATACCGCTGATGTTGAATGCTGCAGCCAAATAACTAATGAATCCAATCCATTTGATGATATTGATCAACAATTAGATCAGATAATATCATCCTCAGCTGCAGCCATATCACAGCCACATCTTCATCACGGCCATCATCATATACCAACATCACATCATTCTCATACTGACCCACAAACATTAGCCATTATGTTACAAGAACAATTAGATGCTATTAATAATGAAATACGATTGATACAAGAAGAAAAACAATCCACTGAACAAAGAACAGAAGAATTAGAATCACAAGTTGGCTCAATTGATTCACATATGAATAATTATCTTACCGGTTTAGGTTCAAGCCATTTTGGTACTGGTCTTTCACCTCCGCAATCCGGTACATCCACACCTAAATCAACATCGATGAACATCATGAATGCAGCATCAGCAGCATCAATAAGTAATTTTTATCCAGCATTGACCACTGGTCATCGTCAACCTTCATACACCGGATTGACTTCCGAACGTGATGCATTTTCGCATTATGCATCGCCCCATCATCTGGCTGGTTATACGAATCCTAATTGGAATTCATCAAATTCATCATTACCAACTGATGTTTATCAAAGGTTTGTCTTAATCATTATGACTAATAATAATAATAAGTTAATTTATTTTGAAAAATTATTAGAGCATACAAGACAAATCAAGGAAACCAAATGAATCCGTATGTAATGGATGCAATCGATCAATCGGGTGGCGCAACACCTCGTCATTTATCTCCAAAATCCTCCCAACCTTCGAGTATGAATTTTGCCGGAGCCACAGCTATCGAATCAGTGAACAATAATGCAACTACAATTGGTGGCAGTAAAAAATCTCCATTTAATCAACGTGTGATTAATGTATCCAATATGAGTGATTATGCTACAATTGGATCACCAGTTGGTGGCAATTATCAATCAGTCAATACATTAGTATCACCAACCGGATCCACAGTTTCCTCTATTCCATATTCTCCATATGGTTATATTAATCCAACTTCATTCGGATCCAATACATTGAATTCAATTTCCTCTACCGGTTCTACAACGACGCCAACTACTAAGAAAAAATTAAAATCTTCATTAGTTGGTCGATTATTTTCCAGTTCTTCATTATCAAAAAAGTCTTCCTCAACAGATAAACTAAAATTACAGAATACAATGACCTCCCATAATCAACTTCCTCAGACAATGCTCGCAGCAAATCCATCGAATAGTTTCTATGGTATAGGTGTTGCCAATAGTCCAAGTTTTGCCAGTGATTATAGTGATTATATGAGCCATGGTGAATTATATGCTAGTGTTACTAGTTCAGCTAATTCAATCTTGGCATCACCGGTGGCTACACGTGCTGATTATGATCGTCGTACAAAGAAAAAACATGAATTATTAGCCGAAGCTATGAAAGCCGGTACGCCATTCGCCTTATGGAATGGTCCCACCATTGTCGCCTGGTTAGAGGTATGTTATTGTTCAGATAAAGTGCTTCATTATTATTGATTTAAATTTTTGTATATTTCATTCAGTTATGGGTCGGTATGCCTGCATGGTATGTTGCTGCTTGTCGTGCCAATGTTAAAAGTGGTGCTATCATGTCAGCCTTATCTGATACGGAAATTCAACGTGAAATCGGTATTAGTAATCCATTACATCGACTTAAATTACGATTAGCCATTCAAGAGATGGTTGCTCTTACATCACCATCAGCTGCAGCTAAACCAACTGTCACTACAGGTTTAGCCTATGGTGAAATGAATCATGAATGGATTGGAAATGAATGGCTGCCATCATTAGGTCTATCACAATATCGTTCAACGTTCATGGAATGTTTGGTTGATGCGCGAATGTTAGGTCATTTGAGTAAAAAAGATATCCGTACACATTTAAAAATGGTCGATGCGTTTCATCGTACTAGCTTGCACTATGGTATTGCTTGTTTAAAGAAATTAAATTATGATCGTAAACTATTGGAAGATCGACGACGAAATAGTGAACATGATATCATTGGTTTGTTTACATTTACGTTTGTGGTTGTTAAATTTATTATACCTAACGATTCTATCGAATTTTCAGATGTTCTTGTATGGAGTAATGAACGTCTAATACGGTGGTCCAGTAATGTTGGCCTTAAAGAATTTGCCAATAATCTAACAGAAACCGGTGTACATGGTGCATTGATTGCATTGGATGATACGTTCGATGTCAACCACATGGCTATGGCACTTCAGATACCACCGCAAAATGTTCAAGTATGGTTCAATGATTGAATTTTTGTTTGTTGGAATATTCCTGTTTAATTTCTTTTTTATCGTGAAAAAATAGACGAGACAAATACTAGAGAATGCATTTAACGAGCTTCTAATCAATGGTACTGAACGTAGGCCAAACAATAAGGTAATTACCGAACATAAACAGCATGAGCATGAACATTTTTTACGACGTAAACGAGATTTTATTCATCAATGTTTTGTTCACCATAATCATCATTAATAATTAGATTTGTATTGCTGGTGGTGTCGGTGGCTCATCATCATCAACATCGGTTGCGGCCGGTAGAGCGGCATCAATTGTCGCAATCGAGCCAGATCGTTTAGTCTAAGCTCGACGATCCGATTTTGATTGTCACATTTTTTGTTACTGGATTACCATTCATCTTAGACGCAATTTATTTAATTAAAAACTAACCACTTTGGCTTTTGAAAGCATTCATTCTGCTTAAAAAACTATGAATGACAACACTAGGCAGAGAAAACCCCCTCGTAAACGGAATTTGAAAATGTAATTAAATAACGTGACCTACAACCACGAATATCATTATCGTCATAAACATCGATGAATTTATTCATTCTGCTTATTAACCAATTCTATTAACATACGCGCATACATCTAAAGATATAGAATTATATCTACACGTTTAAACTAATTTTTTAACCATAAAAAACTACTAGTCATCATCATCCACATTATTATCGTTATTATTATTATCCATCAATCAATCATCATTTTCTTAATTTTCATCCTAAACCCTTCCTTTCCCTTTTGCTAACATAGCTGTGTATATGTGAAAGAAGTTGATTTGTTTTTTTTAAATAATAATTTTATGATGTGTATTTTATATCATCATCATTTTATGAATTATATAATGTTGGTGTGATCAACATGTGTCATATTATTTATTAAATTGAGACTGATTTGGATTCTCTATACATAATAAGTATATCATAAGTGCATAGATATCAATTTTTTTGATTCTTACATACCACCCACACACATTTATATTTGCATTTAAATCTGGATAAATGAATTGAAATTCTGTGCATTCACAATGAATAAGCTTTTATTTTATCGATCAGTGAAACAATTTTTTTTTCGACAAATTCTTATTTAAATTCACTTGTGATATTCAGTTTTTTCATCATCATTATCATCAATTTTTCCTTACACATACACACATCCACACACACATATAAAAAACATGTATTTGTGAATCTTAATTTTCGTTTTTATTTTTTTTTATTTTAAACTTCAAAATTAAATTTATGTATTGCAACAAAAGATAAAATAATTGTTCTCAAACTCAACAGATGTCCTTCCCTATAATTACAAATTTTTTCTGTTTAATTCATCATTCAATCAATCAATAAACATAATTGTATAAAACTAAAGTCATACTCTTTAGAATTCATCATTTATTTAATTCACAAATGTTCTTCAGATTGATGACATTTTTCTGATCAAGGTTACAAACTGATGATGAATTTTGGCCATAATTTGAGATAAATAGCTAAAGCCATACTAAGTAAGTAAATAAATTACTTTGATATTCAAACTTATAATTATGATGATTAAATTGAATGAAAATCCAGCAACGAATATCGAATAAATTGACATGTTTTTCTAATGTTTTAAATTTAATCAATCAAGGACAAATACAAATGATTTGAGGCTATGAAAGATGAATAGGTAATGAGATTCATAAAACAAAATTAATTTTTACATTTGCAATTCGAATGCTAAATATTCACACACCCAGATATATAGAGAGAGGGCTTTTTCTGGATATATTCAATAAAGGTCATCCTTTAATTGAGTTTAAGTCATGGAAAACAAATAACCAGCTGAATATTATCGTAATTTTAAAATTACAATTATTCAATTGGTAATTGATAGAGGAAGAAACGTATAACCATCAACATTCGATATACTTGGCAACAATCATCAGTAACTTGATTGATAATCGTCATCATTGATTGATGCCATTACCATCGTTGAATGATCATATTATCACGAAAAATAAACACAGATATGCAGATACCGACAAAGTAATTCCGATGCATCAAATGAAGAAAAAAAAATTCGTCATCAAATGGCCCAAGCTCATGGGTTTAAAATTACCGAAACAAAAATATGGTTCGATTAATTTTATCAAAATTGTCGACGACAACAAATAAATTTAAATGTTTTGACCATCTGATTTAAGGATCATATGTCAAAAAATACTGTGGATTGGCCATTTTCGAATCAGATGATCATTTGGTAGATTTCATGATTTATATTACAATTAAGTGTAGTATTTCCTAAAATCAACAATTCTTCAAGGTTTCATTCTTTGATGATGACGACGTCAACAACAGCATATTAATGATTGGAGAAATCCCAATCTGTTGGTTGATGAAATTCGAAGCCAATCATGATAGAAAGATAAAATGTTAATGAATAATCATTACAAATAAAAATTTCCATTGATTACATAAAACTCATCTACATCATCTTTTGCTGATGAAATGGGGAAATGTATTTTCAAAAAAATGACTCTGATCATCATGCATTGGATTTTGGATTAGACCTTGATTTATTAATCACCTTTGTATATATGCGAAGAAAGGGGCATCAAAATCTATCATTGATTCCATGATTATTATATTTTATCAAGTGATCAATCGGTTGATTGATTGATCGATCGATTGGTTAATTTATGAATCGAATGATCGTATCAGCATCAGCCTATAGGCGATCTCTAATTTCATCAACAAGAGAAGAACAAAATTAGCCAATAATTGTTCTCAATCTTTGATATTAAATGATGAAAAGCTGATGCAATTGACCAATTTTAGTTCATTACATGAAAAGACTTGGACGTCTTGACACATCATTTCTTTCTTAATCAACATAAAAGTTTTTTAGTTTTAACAATTGTGACAAACAATTAAATAAGAACAAAGAAAAAATGTTCAAATCAAGTGCCAATTCTTTATTCATTCGCGTGAATGTAAATCATACCAAAAAATTTCTGAACGATATTCGTTATAGCCGTTTTCTATTAAATCATCGGTCGATAAATTCAATTTCCAATGAACAAGCAGCATCGTCGACAAGTTGCAATAAAAATTATTCAACCGTAACATATTCGCCGAATAAACCTCGTGTACTAATCACAGGTTAGTATGTTTGATATCATAATCATCATTCTTCATGTGAAAACATTGATATCCAATGAAAAAAAAACAGGAAGTTTCGGACAATTGGGTTTCGGTTTGGCAAAACTTATACGAAATCGTTATGGCCGAGATAATGTGATAATGACTGATATTGTTAAACCACAATCCGATGTAATTGCATCGGGACCATTTACATTTATCGATGTTTTGGATCGCACAAGTATTGAATCGGCTGTCGTTCAATATGGAATCGATTGGATTATTCATTTCAGTGCATTGCTCAGTTCTGTTGGTGAAAAAAATGTATCACGAGCTATCCAAGTGAACATTGGTGGCTTACATAATGTTTTTGAAGTAGCTCAAAAACATAAACTATCCGTTTTTGTTCCAAGCACTATTGGTGCTTTTGGTCCTGAATCTCCACGTAACATTCCGACACCGGATTTCTGTATTCAAAGACCCAAAACAATATATGGGGTATCTAAAGTTCATGCAGAACTGCTTGGAGAGGTAAATGATTGTGTCATTATGTTTTTGTTCATAATAATAACATGAATATTATTAGTATTTTAACCACAAAAACAAATTGGATTTTCGTTCTCTTCGACTTCCGGGCATAATTTCAGCTGATTCACAGCCTGGTGGTGGTACAACTGATTATGCTGTTGATATATTTCATCAAGCCTATGATAATGGATCATATGAATGTTATTTGAAACCAGATGCTCGTCTACCTATGATGTATATAGATGATTGTCTACGATCAATTGTAGAATTGATGGAAGCACCTGAGCAATGTTTACAACAACGGACATATAATATTCATGCGATGGATTTTACACCAATTGAATTGGCTAAGGCCATTAGGCAATACATTCCCAATTTTGAGATTCGATTTTCCATTGACGCTCGTCAAGCCATCGGTAGGTGATAACATGACTATTTTAATGTCTTGATTAATAAAGTTTCAATTATCTAATCTAAAATTTCCTTCATTCAACCTTATTATTTATTGCTTACTTGACTTGTCAACCAACATTAAGCTGATACATGGCCACAAGCATTGAATGATGAAGCAGCTCGTCATGATTGGAATTGGAACCATCATTATGATTTAAATAAACTATGTCAAATAATGTTCAAGAAAATTTCAGAAACAAGAGCATCGAAATATATTGATCACGAAACATTGAATAAAACCGTACAACATGATCATCAACAATCGGATTGTACACAAGATGATCGTTCAATTCATCATCGCCGACAACACCAACAACAACAGCAAATGGCTTACTAACGTTAAATAATGGCATGCTGAATTGTCAGAAAAAAAACAGCAATCATTGCTGACCGATCGAACAAATAAGGAATGAAATGAACCTTAACTGAATGGCTATTATCTTCTACCGTCTAACTTTATTTTTTCGCGAAATCGAACCGAACCCTTATTATTGTATCTATCTGAAGCCTATGATGATGACTACCACGAAGATGTTTTTATTATGTGTACAACGATGTTGTTATTATTATTTTGACAACATGCTTGTAATCATCTTACCCTATATTTTATGTCTTACTATTTTTTCCAAATAAACACAAATTCATTGTTCAAACTTGTTGAAAGTTGAACAGGATTAAATTGCATTATTATCCGTGTATAGAAGCGCGATAAGAATTCATAACGGGACAATCCTTCAAATGTCCTAATTCTGGCAAACCCTCGAACGATATATAAAAAAGAGAGAGCGAGATGTTCTTTTTCACTGTATAGCATCATCATCATCCAGCCGGAAGATGAAAAAATCCTAATTAAAATAAGCGTTCTATGTATTTTATGATGGGCATGGTTTATATGATGATGATGATGATGACCTAATGAGTTATTGAGGGTGATATGTAGTTAGGTAGTTGGTAAATTATAAGAATTCAACAGCAAAAAACAATGACCAACTTTCAAGTCAATCTACAATAGAATGATTAGAGTATCTTATTATTACTATCATATAAAATGGATGCAATTCATTCGTTGTATCATTGAAAAATAATGACAATTTATCCTATTCTGTTGTTCAAAAATGTTTACTCAGTGATACAGACAGATATGATGGTCGTAAAAAAACAAGTAAATAGCAGTGGCAGTCACTTGTTGTCCATCAACATTCAACATTATTATCATCAGGATGTGGACATGATGGACAACTTTGTCCAAACAAATTCTTTTCTTCCTTCGTGTTTTTACATTACACACACACACACACACACACACACACACAAAGATTTTGCTTGGATATATGTTGATAATATCTACTAGTACCAATGCTGACATTGACCGACAAACATAGACAACTAAATTAAAAATAAATGTCCAATCGGATGGACACAAAAAAACACTAGTATTTAAATAAAAAAGAATGAGCAGGTTATTGAACTTTTTATATGAGCCAATTCGAATGACAATAATGATCAATGATCATCATTATCAACATTATGATCAGTGGATTTTACCAATATTCCAATTTAGAATTCATCATCTATTTTAATAGTTTTTTTTTAAATTTTTTTTTTTTTCATTTTGTTCAAAGATAAGAATTCTTTTCAAAATAAGTCGAGTTAAATGAAAGAGTAAAGATCTCATGATAATGGAAAACATGAACAATCTTGATGATGATGATGGTGGTGGTAAAAAAGTATTTCGCGAATAAGAAATAATACATACAGGTGTTCATACGATCATCACGGCTCAGGTATATCTGGTTTTATTTTTCTTTTTTTTTTTTTTTTGTTCGTTGGATGAGATAGTTGGCCTTTTTGTACCATCCATATTACCTTGAACTTGAAATAATTTACTGTGCATAATTTTGATTAAAAATTAGATAGAGAGAAAGACCAACCACTACGAACATGATTGCCGGTTCGGTTGCCGATGGCGGTCAGTAGTGGCTTTCTGATGGTCACATACGATATAACGGTATTTGTTACTGCTGGTTTGTTGTTACCGTTATTTAGTGTGCAATCCGAATATTTTGACCATTCGATTCACAACTGTCCTTCATAATCGCCATTATTCATTCTTGTCAGAAAAAAAATCAAGTGTAGCTGCAAATAAAAATTAGTTTTATTCAGCTTTGACATTTTTTTGTGTTTAGAGTTCTTTGTTTCATGTGTGTGTGCTTGTGGAATGTCATGAATTATTTGTATACCAAATTGTTGCTATTTATTTCATCTTTATCATTGAATATTTGATACTAAACAAAACAAAATGTTAATTAGTCGATATATTTTACATTTTCTAAATATTATCATCATCATCATTATATCGGTTGCAATCGTAATCGGTGTTGATGCCATATATCAACGGCAACTTCAACGACAACATCCTAATCCGATCAATTCATTAGTTCTTCGACGATTTGCATATCCACCCGTTATACATTCGATGCGTACGGCTAAATTTACAACCAAATTGAATCAGAATTCAAATCAAAGTAAGTATTAAAAAAATATCTGTCTATGATTATTGTGATTGATTGTTAGTAGCCCAGATTGATTTTAGCTAAGCTCTCACCAATTTTTCGAATATTTGTGGATATTTTTTCTTTCATCCCAGTTAAAACATCTTGACCTGAAATCTATTTGTTTGCCTTCACATGCCCACATGCAGACATTCAAAATACAAATCATTTATCAAAATATGTATCTGTTTTTTTTCTAGACAAAATATCATCGCCGTCTATAAATAGTGGCACTATTCAATCTTCTGCAGAGCATTTATTACCACCGTCAAAATTACCGGTTCCGGATTATTCACATTATAACCATCAAAAAGGCTTAATCATATTGAATCGTTTGGTGAAAGAATCATTTCTAATACCAACGTGGAATGAATTATGGAACTATCGTAATGGTCGAAGACGAATATTTACGGATTTACCGACCTACATTGGAAAAGTGGTTCGTGGCTTAACCAATCTGACAATGGCCATTGGTCGAACAATAAATTCAGAAAATGGTAATGGATCATTATCGCGTTTGATTACACATCGATTAGTTGGAGTTTCTGAATCATTGATGGGCTGGGTGGAACGATCTGTTGATGATCTGCCAAGTATACCTCGTTTGGATGCTCAAGAATGTATGAAACGATCGATTTGTGAGGCTCATAATCAACCAAAAAAATATGGTGCCGTCGGTTTAATTATACAACTATTCTTTCCGTAAGTATTGAAATTTCATTTGTGTAACCATATGATGACATAGATACTTCTCAAATCATATAGGCCATATTTGGATGCAGAAGATGCAAATAAAATCGTATCAAAATATCAATTGGCTGCACGTTATGGACGTGGTGAGAATGCCAATTGCGCTGCACAATACGATGATTGTATGGTTAATGTTTTAGACATTCTACAGGGAGCCCTCAATATGATCTTTTAGAATTCAATTAATCCATAGCAAGTGATATTCTCTCAAATAGATATCATCAAAAACTACATATTATTTATTGATTCAAATTCAATGAGTTCACTTTTTCATATTTTTCGTGTACATAAGTGCATCATTTTTTAATTTTATTCAACTGATTGGTTCAATCAATTCCTATCATTCATGCTTTCATATATTTATTTATTTAATATTTTCAAAAATGATTGTAATTGTAAAAAAATTTCATGCTAATTAAATGACCTCATATTTATTGCAACTATAAAATGAGAAAAATATTATTTTCTTCGATTTTAATTTCTGATCTAACAAAATTTCATCCAATGCAATATGTCTTCAACGAAGAGGGAAAATATATTTTTTAAAAATTATAACTTTTTAATCTACTCGATAGATAGCTCTGCAAACTAATCGAAAAGGGTACCGTCCAGTGTCGGCCTCTATTGTCGAATGAAATATATAACGTGTGAGTTGTTTTATATTTGCGCATGTCGAACATATGGTTACCGTTCATATACAATGTTTTTTATTGATCTTTGAAAAAAATTTAGGAAACATCTACGCCCTAAATTTTATATAATAATATAATAATGAATGAAAACCAAAAATTATTTAAATCAGATTTTATTATCATTGTTATTATTTAAAAGACACAAGAAACGAAAGAATATCAGGAAAAAAAAAAAAAAAAAATAGCATCATAAAAATATCACAAAAAAAAATCCTACTGTAAGAATTGGAAGTTTTCAAAATGAAAAAAGAATAAAATTTAGGCAAGACTATTAGCTGCAAATTCAAAGGATGGCGACTGTGAAGAAAAAATGATGAAACAAATAACAAGCCAGAAAGAAAAAGAGGAGTATTAGGGGGCCAAAAAAGTGAGAGAATATTCGTGCGAGTATTCTATACGCTACGTATATGGCCGTAAAATTAAACGACAAATATATTTGAGCGACTTTGTATTGATGTTCATAAGAATGTCATGTTGAAATTGGTGTGTGTTTTTGTGTATTTGGAGATCAGAATCGACTTTGAGATTCTTGACGAAAAGAGATGCTTTTTATTCATTTCCTATTGAGGATGATCATAGATGTGGCCATCTTTTTTCATTGTCTGTGGATTTGGCAATGGTCGTTCCCATGGTGTCTGAAATATATGAGAAAAAAAAAATAAAAGAATCGAATGAGATTTTGATTTAATGTTTGTATTTGGATTTGATGGAAAATCTCCATCAATCGATCGATCAATTGGATTATTATATTATATTCTAATTTAGACTGTTGACCGGGACGTCAATCAATCAACGAAATAAACTCTGAAACATGAATCTAATTTGCTCTATATTTTTAGTTTTAGAATATTATATTTTATCTTCTGGGATTTTTCCGGTTACTTAATTGCATCTTGAATGTTAGTGTGTTCATAAATCATTTTTTTGCTTTTCAAATAAGAGAACTGTAGATAAATGTCTGGACCATTTAATATTTGGTCAACACTCACTAAGCCTAAAGCCTAAATCGAGTAAAATGGTCCTGATAGCTAGATAATGATCTTTCGATTGAACTGAATTGACTATGGGACTCTTATTCACGCAAACTCAAAATGTTCCACAAACTAACCGAAGCTGCATATGGTGTTGGATAGCCAGCAGTAGCCGAAGTTGGTGGTTGTCCGTCGATGCTCATCAACAATGTTTTATTGGCCGTCTTTTCGAAATCAGCATAACGAGGGGTGGTTCCTACGTTGTATGCAGCTGACAGACGTTTATTCAGAGTAGCTGCATCCAAGTTGACTAAACGAAAAAAAATAAACAAGAACGAAAGAAAAAATCCGTGATAAACACATACACACTATTTGACTATTCATTGACACACACATCATATTTGCGCAATGTCAAGGATTTCGATTGGATTCTTGAAAGATAAATCCCGGAAATCATTTAAACATATATTTTATATACACTTACAGGGATTATCGCTTTCATTTCTTGTCTTACGAATGCATACATATGCAACGATCATAACGATTATAATGATTACCAATGCAAAAAGTAATGGCCATAAAAACAATGGTTCTAAATAATAATTAGCGCCATGAAAACGTCGTATGACTTCATGCGATACTACGGCCATTCCTTTAGTTGGGAAAAAATTGAGAAAAAATGATGAATTCAAAAGGGATCATGTGAACTTTCTCTCCAATTAGCAGTAAAAGTTGAACTTTTCCCCCTCAAAATTAAACATGTGAAGAATTTCCTTAACAAACATAATTTTGTATGAAAAAGTTAGCACTTTTGTAGCTAATTTGGAAGAAAGTTCATATGATCCAAAAAAGTATATTTACCATTATGTGTACGTGCTGTGATCACATTGCTTGGGTCACCAACACCGAAACGATTAATAGCCACCAGATAGATCATATACTTTGCATTGTGTTCCAGATTCTCCAATACAAATGAATATGAATTGAATGATGAATTTGGATCGACCGTTGGCTGATTTGCATTATTATTACTGATGGGCACTTCTTTCCATTTGGCTTCATTTTCTTTCCGATAATGAATAGTATATCCGGAAATAGCTGATTGTGGATAATTAGAGTGAGGTAATTTTTGGTACCATTGTAACGAAATTGTCTCCTCCGTATTGTCGATAACATTCAATTGGAATGCAGGTGGTAAATCACCATCGAATGTATGTGCAACCATCGGATGTGATTGTGGACCACTTCCAGCCGAATTATAAGCCTTGACTACGACACTATATTCAGTTCCTTTGTTTAATTGCCGTAGAAAATATTCATGAAATGTTATCTCTTTTGGTCGTGTTTTTTGTGCTTGATTTGAATCACGACTGGCTGCAGATGTAGGTACAGTTATATAAACATAGGGTGAATTATTGTCCCGAGCTTTACGATATCCAACATAATAGCCTGTGATTTCTCCGTTCCAATTTTCGATTGGTGGTGATCGCCAGACCAATCTGACCGTTGAGGGTCCCATCGATTCAAGTGAAATGTCATTCGGTGGAGCAGAAGGTTCTTCCTCACCGGTTGTAAATGTGACCGGTGCTGATGACGCACCTTTACCGATTTCATTTTCAGCTACCAAAAAATATGGAAACAAAACGTAAATGGATGAAAAATTACCATGTTATTTTTTACCGATTACACTCAATTCATACGATTGACCAGGGCTTAGATCTTTGAGGAAGAAGGATGTTTGTGATCCGGGAACAAAAACTTCGTTAAGACGATGTGGTGCACTTTGATAACGCCAATATTGGACCGTATATTTTTGTATTGGGAGATTACCATTGAATGGTTCTGACCATGATAAGCTTACTGTCCGAGACCAAACCTCTTTGACATGAACATTTTTTGGCATACCAGGCACTTCCACAACTTCCAATCGAATAGTTCGTTCATCTTTACCATGTTCATTTTCGACAAAACATTTATAAATGGAAGTGTGTGCATCATCTGTCATAGTCTGGCTAGTCTGAATGAACAATTCGGATCGAATTCCATCATCAGTGTTCGTATCGATGATTTCATAGCTGAATGAATAATGTTTTTCAATGAAAAAAAAATCGTGAAAGAAAAAAAGTGACATACTTGGATCCAAGCTTATCAAGTTTGACATTATTTTTGGTCCATTGTACCGTAAGCGGTTGATCACCAGTAGCATTGCATTCTAGCCGTACACTTTCGCTTCGTTTTACTTTTAAAGAAGCAAACTTTTCGTGAAATTTGACGGGCACTAAGCGATGAGTAGAAAAGAGAAATAAGTACATTTCATGTTTATCTTTAGACATTGATGATTTTGAAATACTTGCCCATGAAAGAAACTTTGATCGATTTTCGTAATGGTTCGCCAACACCGTTATCAGCTACACATTCATACGTATCAACATTGGCAGTCCGATATTTATTGACATCCAGATATTCAGACTCGATTGTGATTCCTTTTAGTAGTATTCAATAATTGACATTTGAATGATCGACAAATAGATTAAATAGATTAGTCATTAATCATAAATCTACAAACCTTTTGATGTGATCCATTTGATAGTCGGTTTGGGTGATCCATCGGCTTTACATTCCATACGAACATTTTCCTTACCATTGGTGTGTGTGTCTTTCGGTTCGACTATCCATGTTGGTGGTACTATTTGAAGCAAAAAAAAAATTCAAACTCATTCATTAGTAATCATAGAACATTAGTGATTATTGCCATAGTCAAATTGAAAAAAAAATTTGGCGCTTGTAGTAAAAGAATCATCACACCTTGAACATTTAGTTTGACAGACCATTGATCTGAACCAAAATCGTTTTGTACACGACATGTATAATTACCACTGTCCAATTCTGACAGTTTAGTTATGATTAAATTGGAAAAATCATCACCAAATTCGAGATGAACATTGGATGTTTGTGTAATTAATCGGATACCATTACGAAACCATTCAAATTCTAAGGGTTCTATGCCTTTTTGTATGGAACAAACAAGACGGAATTTATTGCCAACATTCTGATTGATTTGATCACGAAATGATGGCAATAATTGTGGTGCTAAGAATTCAATTAGCATTAGTCAATTAAATATGCATTAGGTTATAAATAGAACTGTTAGGATACCTTGAGCCAAAGTAAGAGATAAACATATGGAAAATAACCAAATAATATCGAATAGAATCATTATTCTAGTCATAAACATGCGAGAAACTCGAGTACTGAAAGAAATGTGAATAATCTAAATCTAAGAGCCAGAAAATAAAAGAAAGCAAAGAAAAAAAAATTGAAACGGCGATCTAGACGCCGCGTTTTGGATATGAACCATAATAAACAAACAAATAACCAAACGTAGATCAATCTATTTATCTATCCACACACATCTATCCATCCATCTTAGTGTAAGAAAATCAAACGCAAAAGCAATTTACCTATTTTTTTGACAACCAAACACAGACACACACTCATATTGCAGAGAATGTATGAATGAATGAACATTCATAATAATATGCAAGTCTTGTGTGGAAAGTAATTTCCGGAGCAACGTGACCGATATTAAATTGAAAGAAAAAAAAAGCCATATTGATACATGATGAATGAAGCAATAAAGTCCTACAAGCTATTTATAAAGCTATTCGATCAACGAATAACATGTATACACATAGAGGTAGGTCGAGATTTGAAAATCAAAATCTTTCTCAATAAGATGATGAAAATATTCAAAAAAATTTCGAACAAAAAATGAAAATAAAGCAAACAAAAAAATGTTGTCAAACCTTTGATTTCAAGTCTAGTCGATTGAATATCATGACCAAAACGGTTTCGTACCCGACAGGAATAATTTCCTGAGTCATTTTGTTGAAGTGTTTCGATTGTAAACACTGACGCGTCATTGATCTCTTCGATAATGTAATGATTATTCGACGGCGATGATGAAAGTGGATGACCATTTTTAAACCACTCAAATTGGAATTGAGGAACACCGGCTAATGGATAGCAAAATAATTTAAATTTGTGGCCAACATTTAATGATTCACTAGGTTTGAAATGACCAAGCGAAGGTACTGATGTACATGATATGAAAGAAATGAATGAAGATAAAATGATTGAAATAATCATCAAATACATAATGGAACAGTTACAGATTACATTAACATTCAATAATAAAGTAAACATCTCTTATAGAATCACACCACAAAGAAAAAATAATTCAACATTTCTATACGAATAAAAATGCTGCCACACTTTGGTCGATATTATTAATCTTTACAAGAGATGATACTTGTGAAATGAATAAGAAATTCAAATAGATCATGCTACAATTGCTACTACTACTTCTTTGACATAGAATCTATTCATTGATTGAATTTCAATCGATATCCATGTAATAGCTAATTACATTCCGGAAGTCTAACAAATCATCAATTCCAAATGAATAGAGAGCAATTCGAATGAGGCTCATTTGTCGTCACTAATGCTAATTGCATGCAATTGAAAGTTACATAGACATATATAAACAAGAAGCTAAAGCTTGTTCCGAAGAAATTCGATTTATTCGGATGTAACTATCAACATTCGCACAACAATATAGCTAATATAGTGTATAGTAAGCACTGTAAATTGAATTTCCCAACCAAAATGACTATAGACTTGACAGGAATAAGTAATGGTCAAAACAGATTCATACGTAACAATGTCTATATGATAAAGATGTTGTTATTGGTCATTGCTTGATGAAAGAACTTTATCATTTTTTCGCCACTTGAATGATAATGGTTTTTTTCCGTATTGTGTTGTACACCAATGTTTGAATTTCGTTTCATTCATCTGCGATTGACTGGATCTAAAAGCAACCAATCGAGAAGCTATTTAACAAAACCAATGAGATGTTAGTAGTTGAAAGATCGTCTTGAGCTTTTACCTGTCTGGTTGCAAAAAATTATGCTAAACGAATGAAAAAAAAGCGGCAGAAAAAATATGAACAAAATTTTTACATCATGACCAACGATAAATCAAACTACAGAATCATTCAAATTTGATTTTGAAAAAAAGAACACACAAGAATTCAGATTCAAAACTGAATATACCTTTGACCGTTAATGAAATGGTTTTTGAATCACTGCCATAACTATTACGAACAAGGCATGTATAGCTGCCTGTATCATTCAATCTAATTTTATCAATTGAAAATAGTGTATCATCTTCGGTAGTTGAAATCGTATACGATGTTAGCTTATCGCCATAATGTCGTAATATTTGTCCATCTTTTAGCCATTCAAAGTGCAATGGTCTACTGCCGGATGATTGAAGATAGCAAAAGAATTTGAATTTGGATCCAATCAATAATGTTTGATTGTGAATATTTTCCGCTAGCTTGGGTGCTATCAAAAAAGAGATGGAAATAAATAGATGAAGAAAAATAAATGAAAATAAAAATGATTCGTGATTAAAAGAAATTCCAATCAAAACATACCTTGATGATGAGAAAGAAGCTCGGACAATAACCAATCGGGTAGTAACAAAAAGAGAAGTAAAATGGTGACAAATATTCGATGGAACATGATGGAATGTAAGAAATATGAAAAAACCAAAATAACAACAACAACAACAACAACTACAAATCGAAATGAATTGCAAAACTAAGCGTACAAAATTCAACCGAGAAAAAACGCATTAAAAAAATGAACAGGAACAAACAAATGCTGAAACACAAGGCGCCATACATCGATTGTAATATGAATCGAAGATACTACATACTGTCGTATCAAATGTATCAATCGGTGAAGAACATGGTTAGGATATTATATTTTTTTAATGATAATATGATAACACAGAAATGATTTAAATTACTAAAACTATCGAACCTTTAACAACAAGCATTGTTGTTTGTCTATCTGATCCGATTGAATTTTGTACCAAACATGTATAATAGTTAAGAATGTGCATTTGTCATCAATGTTAGGTTATGAAAGATAAAAATTTTTTCTACCAAATAGCGTTTGAATGTAGAACAAATAATCAAACCTTTAACCAAAATATTAGTAACAATCGAATCTTGACCAAATTGATTTTTAGCATAACACTCATATTTTCCACTATCACTTGTTTGAACATTTGTAAGAGAAAGCAACGAGATTCGATCTTGATTATCAATTTTTACATTTAATCGTTCAGCAACTTTTTCATCATTTCGATACCATTCGAAAAATATTGGTTTCGAACCACTGATCAACACACACGTTAATGGATATGTAATGTTTTCAACCAATTCTTGAAGATCAACATTAAATGGCAATAATTTCGGTGGATCCGAAATGGTAATGGAAATTATGGAGAAAAATGTAAAAAATTTAAAGAAAAACATTTTGTCATTCATGTGTTATGATTGAAAAGATTTCAAAGACTGAAAATTGACTAATGAAAGTATAGAATTTAGAATGGCTAAAAAAATTCAAAATAAGCAACAATAGCGCCAACTATGAATTCAACATAGTTTCATTGATCGACATTGATTTTGTCAAACCTTTTATAACAAATTGTGTGGTTGTCGAAGCACTTCCATATGCATTTTTAGCAATACATTCATAATTTCCCGAATCGGCAGAAGTTAGACCGGTCATCGTTAGTAATGAGTAATGATTCGTATTTTCCATACGAACATTTGTTGTTCCGGAAAATTTTTGTCCATTTTTATTCCATTCAAAGAAAATTGGTTTAGTACCGGAAAATAGATTACAAGTCAATAGGTATGTTGAATTTTCCAAGAATTCAACAATTTTTTGAAATGGTGCTAATTTTGGTTCGTCTGAAAGTAAAAAAAAATTCAAAATAGAAAATTGGAATGTTCATCATTCCAAAATACCTGAAAGGACAGTGGATATTATTTGACTAATGTAAAGAATATGAACAAAAATATTGAAAAGATGCATTTTATCAATGAAATGAACTGAAAACAGCAATTGAACAACAACCTGACTGAACTAAATGAATTTGGAATTCAAGCAACACCAACAACAACAAAAAAACCTTATCCATAATGATCAACAATGGCGCCAACTTTTAACCAAAAATATAAATAATCAAAATGATCGAAAACATTCATCAACCTTTGATTACAAGTTGTGTGGATGTCGATGTACTTCCATATGTATTTTTAGCAATACACTCATAAATGCCCGAATCAGTGATGGTTAGATTTGTAATGGATAGCACTGAATAATGATCGATATTATCGATACGAATATTTCCGTTTGTAGATAATTTATGACCATCTTTTATCCATTCAAAAAATACTGAAGAACCGGATGCTAAACTACAGAGTACAGAAAAAGTAGATTTATCTACAAGTTCAGAACGTTGTTGCAGCGGAACCAATTTGGGTTCATCTAATGAGAGAAAAATAGAGTTTAGAAATTTTTTTGTTGAAAAAAAATATTTTAAAACAAACCTGCGACGACGAAATTTAACGTAAAACACAAGAAAATTAAAAACAACATTTTGAGCAACACTGCTTGGTTGGATTTAAACGATTGAAACAAAATGTTGATAAACAAGCAAAAAATTGATTTGAAAAAATCGACAAACTAATTTTAAACAAATAGCGACACGTTTTGACCACGAATAAAAACTCAATGAAACATAAAAAAATGAACCTTTTACATTCAGTCGAAAAATCATGCTATCAGTTCCATAAGCATTACGGACTTGGCATGTATAACGACCAGAATCATTTCTGCTTGGTGTTTGAATCTTCAAGAGGGAAAATTGTTGATTAATTTCAATTTTCAAATTGTTCGTTTCATGAAGAGGCTGATCATCTTTAAACCAAGTAAAAAATATGGGTTCAGAACCAGATATTAGACTACAACTCAACAGTTGAAACGTATTTGCAATTGGTTCAACATTAACGATGACATTTTTATTAATTTTAGGCGGATCTAAGGGATAAAAAAAATTAATTTCAAATTTCGCAGATTCATTAATCGAAAATAAACATTACCTTGAGCAAGTCCAAATGAGATGAAAAAAATTAACAAAATAAATATTCGAAACATTATTGAGAAATGGAAAAAAAACATTTCCGATGATTCACAATAGATTTTTTTGCAATGAAATAATGAATGAAACCGAAAGAAAAACACAGTAAAAACAAAATTTTCACAACAACAAATTTAGCGCCATGTTTTGGTGGAAAATATGAACAGAAAAAAATAAGTAGGTTTCAAACCTTTAACTTGAAGCAACGACCATTGTGAATCGATACCGAAACGATTCTGTACGGTACAAGAATAATTTCCTGCATCATCAATTTGAATATTTTTAATGGTAATCATTGAAAAATCATCATCAACATCAATTTTGATTCGTGGATCCGGCGATTGTGAAATGGAGTGACCATTTTTGGTCCAAAAAAATTTCAATGGTGCTACTCCATTCATTTTGTTACATGTCAAAATAAATCTAGAATTCACGGGTTGTCCGTATAAACTTTTAAATTCAAGCAAACGAGGAGCATCTATTTTTTTGGAAAAAAAGATTGGATAAGTACGTCACGCAGAAACAACAATTCGAAAAGCTTACCATTAGCAATCACAAAGTTTTGAATCGCCAAAAAAACAAAAACGATCAAAATGAATGGCCGAAACATTGTTAAAACACAAATACACAAAGAAATCAAAAGACAACAAATGAATTGACGATTGATATGAAATGTGCAAAAAGAATTGCCATCGATATTTTTCGGACAAAAAATTTATAAATCAAACAAATGATGATGATATAAGCGCAACCTTTTGGTGAAAAAAGAATGAAACGGCTACATTCATAATCTCATTGTATGTTAATTTGTTTGTTTCTGGGTCAAACTTAAAAAATTGTTTCCGGTCATATCATTTCCGAAAACGTTGTTGTTTGATCAACCATGAAATTATTGATTGAAATAAAATTGATAAAGAAAAAACCAATAAAATCAATAGAATTTTGCAAGTAATGAAATGATCATTGGATTAATTGCAAACCTTTAACATCAAATTGTGACCATTGTGAATCCAGGCCAAATGCATTATTAACTACACATGAATAGTTTCCAGAATCCAAGATAGAAACATCATTAATGGTTAGTTGTGAATATGAGTTCTTTTTTTCAATAGAATAACGATCCATATCAAAGCGATGTGAATTTTTTTCAATATCATGACCATTTTTTAACCATCTGAATTCTAATGGTTTTGATCCTTTAATGGAATTACATATTAGCACAAGCAATGAACCAACCGGTTGACTTTGATAATTTGATTGTGATTTTATAAGTTCAGGTCGATTTTGATTAGCAAAAACCAAAGTTAAAATGAATACAAAAATAATCAGAGAAATATTGACGGAAAATAAAGCCATGGTTCAAACACAACAAGTCTTTCACGATCAACGAATGAACAAAGAATGAATACAAATACGTGATTCTAGAATCATTCATATGGCTGCTTCTTATTTTTGTAACTAAAGAAATTTAGCGCCATCAATGAATCTATAAGTTCATTAATAATGATGAAAAGACACATACACATCAGTAAAATGAACAAATAGAATTTTCGTTTCATGTGTAACTAGAAATAACGAAATGCAAACCTTGAACGAATAATTCGGTCGAAGTTGAATCAATACCATATTGATTCTGTGCCGTACACGTAAACGTTCCAGAATCATTACGTTTTATCTCTTTTAATATCAACGACGTAAAGGAATGGCTACTTTGATCTATTTGAAATTGTTTTTCAGAAATTTTATGACCATTTTTTGACCAATAAAACATCACTGGCTTTATGCCTGAAACAAGATTACAAGCCACTGTATAATCGAAATTTTCTTGCAATTCAATACGTTTTGGTAGATCAAATAATTTTGGTGGTGAAGGACCTGATTTAAATATAATCAAAATTAAATTGAAAAAACTCAGAAGTAGTAATATAAACAAAGAAAAACAAATTTACTTGTTTCAATCGAATCTGACGATAATAAAAACAAAATAATGACACTGATAATAAAATTTGAAATTGATGCCATTGTTTGATTATGTTTTTATTCGATGAAATGAATGACAGGCAATCACTCTTTTCTTTAACTTCTACAACCAAATCACACGATTCAACAGCGAGAAAAAAATTATCAAAATAAAAATTTCAAAAATCTAGCATTACGAGCGCCATCCGTATATTCGAATAACAAAAATAAGATACCTTTAACTTGAAGCAATGTCCATTGAACATCAATACCGAATGGATTGCTGGCCACACAAGAATAATTTCCCGAATCATCCGGTTCTAATTCCTGTATCATCAACACAGAAAACGAAGGTTTATTCTCAATCGATACATGATGATTTTCATGTTTAATTTCAATGTTATTTTTGAACCATTTAAATGTAATCAGTTGTGAACCAGTAGAAATTGGACACATTATATTCAACATGGAGCCTTGTGATTGACTCATATGTGTTGAAACTATTTTGGAAATAATTGGTACATCATTTGATGATGCATCAAGAATGTTGGTATAAATTGAAAAACATAAAATCAACAATTTCAAGACACAATTCATTTTTGCACAATTCTTGATTGGAATCTCAATATGACGAGTGAGATAGAAGGCAACTAAACTAAAATCAATCAGCAAGCTAGAATAGAAAAATTGAAATTGAACACACCAAAGGCGCCAACTATTGGTTTGTAATAAATACGATGATGAAATATTTTAACACTTGATTATTGGAAAACCAACCACCACCTTGATTATGGTATACAAACCTTGTATAATGAGCTTAGTGCTAGTAGTATCAATGCCTTCAACGTTTTTAACACGACATGTATATGTTGCCATATCGTTTATCATCAAACGTTTAAATGTTAATGTTGACCATGTTTCATAATGGTCAATTTTATATTCAGACAACAACGAATGGCTAGTGGCTACGAGTGGATGATTATCTTTCAGCCATTCGAAGTATATTGGTTTAGAATCCGATATGACATGACATTGAAACATATAAGAAACATTTTCTCTAAGTCGAATTTCAGATGGCAATTGCATTACCGATGGTTTAGCTAGCGAAAAAAAAAATTTTTGAATATTAATCAATGAAATCCAACAGAAAAATTATTTAAATTACCCGAATCAATAGCAATGAAAAATGGTAAAAATATAAAACAAAACAAAAAAATTCTTATAGCCATCATTACAATCAATCTAGAATGGACAATATTAAATCACAAATACACAATATGTGTTGATGTTTCAATTTTCAAAAAACAATCAAAAACATGGCAGAATTAGCGCCATATTTTGGCCAAATAATCAAATCAAAATGTATGATTCAATTCAATGCAATGCAATGCAAACCTGTTACATCTAGATGAAACAAAAGTTTATCGAAACCAAATTGATTCGTAACAATGCATGAATAATTTCCAATGTCTTCGACATCAATGTTATACAATGTCAGCAATGAGTAAATATCTTTTGATTCAATTCTGGATCGTTTATGATCTCGAAGTTCAACATTATTTCTATGCCATTGGAATTGAAAAGGTTTCGTTCCTTTGGCCACATTACAAGTGAACACTATATCTGATCCTTTTAGCGAACTTAAATGAGCAAATTGTTTCAAAAGTAATGGTGATTCTGGTAGAAAAAAAGAGAAAAACAAATCAATTCAAGTCAAATGAATTCAATTAATTTTAACTTACCATTTCCGTTAATAATTAACGTGTGGAATATTAACAAAATGATGATTTGAATACACCATTTTAAAATGATACCACCACTAAACCGACAAAACATTTTGAAAAATGCTTTATGATTATTATGATGAACAGAAAGAGACAGCATTATGTGAAAACACTCAAACAATGGTAAATTTAGATAAAAAAATTAATGATTTAAAACTGAATCAATAGCGCCGCGTTTTGGCCGAAAACATGATCAAAACAAACAAACAAACGGAAAAACAAACAACTACCTTTCACTTGAAGCAATGTCCATTGAATATCGATTCCAAACTGATTGCCTACGATACAGGAATAATTTCCAGAATCAGAAGCTTTCAATTTCAAAATGGTAAAAAATGATAGAAAATTATCTGTTTTAATCTGATATGATAATTCCGGATTTCTATGTCTAAGTAATTCTTGTTCATTTTTAAACCATTTGAACGATAGTGGTGTTCAACCACTGATAACCGAAAATGGAATATTCAATACTTATCCTTCAGATTGATTCAATTCTGTTGAAAACAATTTAGAAATTCGAGGTGCATCTGAAGGAAAAACAAGGGATTTACATTAGAAACGTAAAATTAGAAAAAAAAATTCTCCAACCTTTTGAAGCATAAATAACCGTGAATGAAATACAGAAAAACAGCAACAATTTAAACATTGTGAATGTTTTTAAACATTTCACAACACAACACAACAACAACAAAATGATAATCAATTCAAGTAGAAAAAAATGAAGATGACCAGAAAAAATTAATTTTTGGTAAAACAAATTATGCATTAAAAGGGCCACCTATTGGTCAAGCAAATCACGATTATAATAAATAGCAATCAAACCTTGTATGACAAGTTTTGTTGTAATCGAATCAGTACCATGAACATTCCTGGCATTACATGTATAGGTTCCGGTATCATCATTTGAATTAAGACGTTTGAATACAATCGATGACATTGTATCATAAATAACAATTTTATATTCAGTCGAAGATAATTTCTTATGATCATCTTTGTACCATTCAAAAAATATTGATGTCGATCCTGATGAAATGGAACATGGTAATATGTATGATGAATTAATGGAAAGATTAATTTCAGATGCAGGAAATTTATTCAGAAACATCAAAAACAAAATTCAAATGAATTACCAGCATCAATTGAATGAAAATAAAAAGTTGAAAAAATCACCGTTAATAAAATTATCATAGCCATTATGTCATGAACAATGTGTGTTCATACTCTTAAACTCAAGTATACATTTCATGGATAAAATTATTTTATGCAAAAAAAAAAAATTATAACCCACAAAATGGAAGAATTAGCGCCATATATTGGCCGATAAAAAACACATTGAATAAATTGTTCAAACCTGTAACTGTTAGTTGAATCCAAAGTTTATCGAATCCGAATTTATTGGTAACAACACAAGAATAATTTCCCACATCATTGGAATCGATATTTCTCAATGTAAAAAAAGAGAAAATATCTTTGTTTTCAATTGTCGATCGTCCAGTATTGGATAATTCAACACCATTTTTGAACCATTGAAACCGTAATGGTTTACTGCCTTTGGCGACATTACAAGTCAACACAAGATCTGAACCTTTGGTTTGTTCATTTTTTGAATAAAGTTTAACGAGTACTGGAGATTCTATATTTAAAGATTATTTTAAGATAAAAAATTGAATTAATTGAAGCAATGAATAATTGACAAACAGACTTACCATCGCTGTGAACAGATGAAATAAAAATGATCAAAGCGAAAAACTTGGAAATAAAATTCAGCATTTTCACAGGCAAATTTCTTGTAACCAAACATTGAATGTGAGTAACACAATCGAAAAAAGTATTTTGGACAGAAAATTCAAAATCAAGTTTTCAATAAGATAATTAGCGCCGCGTTTTGGTGAAAATTATGATGAAAAATTTAGAATTTAATCTAAACCTCAAATTCGATACCACAATTAAATTAAAAGCAAACCTTGTCTTGTTTTTTTGTAATCGAATTACGATTATCTCCTTGATGCCATCGTAATGAAATAGAATTTGACGTGGTTTCCTTTTGCAATTAGAAGTTGTGCAGGTGGTATATCTCCATCAAGTGTACGTTTCAGCACTACTTGTGATTGTGGTCCACTTCCGGCCAAAATTTAAGTTTTAACAAAGATTTCATATTTTGTTCCATGTGATAGGTCACGTAGGAAATATTCATAAACCTCGTTTTCAATTTGATTAACTTCTGCACAGAGACACAGAGACGAAAGTCTGCGGTGTACACTGCAAGGTGAAATTTATCATAACATGAGACATACCCGAAATATTGGTTAACATTTGTCAGTACCAAATAATCATCATAACTCGATATGGTTGAGAATTTCATGATCATTTCATCAAAAATGAACAAGACGAAACTTGAGAAAAAACGAGCATTTTTGCACAAAGACAGCGAGTACAAAAAGTCAACACATAAAGTGTTGTGTGATTTAAATGATAGTTGTAATTATTAATTCGTTTTTGTCGTTCCATCAATAAAGTCATATTTTGATACTCGAGATTAATTTGTTTAATAAATAATTGGGGGGCAAATTTATAAGTGATCGGACAATTATGGTCCCTACCACTATCCTCCCCAACAAATAGGTTTTATAAGCGAGGGGGAGGCAAATTTATAAGTGATTGTCCACTATCCACCCCCAACACTGACTATTTTTTAAATTAATTTATATGTAATGTGTAAATGTGTATATAAATAATTGGGGGGCAAATTTATAAGTGATCGGACAATTATGGTCCATACCACTATCCTCCCCAACAAATAGGTTTTATAAGCAAGGGGAGGCCAATTTATAAGTGATTGTCCACTATCCACCCCTGACACTGACTATTTTTAAATTACTTTATATAATTGGGGGTGTGTATGTGTATATAAATAATTGGGGCAAATTTGATTATAGTGATTGTCCACTATCCTCCCCAACAAATAGGTTTTATAAGCGAGGGGAGGCAAATTTATAAGTGATTATGCGCAAACCACTATCCACCCCAGCACTGACTATTTTTATATTAACCCAGGCGGCCGCGATGGGATTTGAACCGACGTCGAATGTGTATATGCGTGTATATGTGTTAATGTGTGTAAATGGGGCAGGTAGGCAAATTTATAAATGATGGGGTAATTTTTACATTGTATATGAAGAGACCATTATCCTCCCCATAATATAGAACGTAATTATGGTCGTATATAACAATCATATTTTACGACATTACAGAAATACTTCGCTTAACGCTGCCCCGATTAGCGCTGTTTCGATATAACGCTTTTTGTTAAATATTTATGCAATTACATTACATTGCAATACATTGTTACATTGTATATGAAGAGTAAAATTTTGCATTATGTAAATTATGCAAAAACGACTAAAATAGTTATGATTTTATAACTTAACTTTTATTTAATTATTATTATTATTATTTATTTATTAATACAAAAACAAGAAAACCCTTGCTCCATATAAATACAAGGGTATTTAAGAAAAATACAAAACCAAAAATAGTACAAAAGGAAAGAAACAATTATTGCATAATTAAACTAGAATAAATAAAATTAATGTAAACCAAAAACAATGGCAAAGCTTCATCTTGGAGCCACGCCGACACATCAACATTATTAAATTTGGCATTAATCATGAATCGGGATCTTTCCAAATTGAAAGCAGGACACTCGAGCAACAAGTGCAACGAGGACTGCATCGATGATAAACAAAATGAACAACTAGAATTATTCTGGCCAAAACGAGATAGATATTCACCAAATTTTCCATGATTCGAAACAAACTGTGTAACAACAAAATTTGGCTGTAATTTAGACTTTAATCGCGATTGGATAGTTGGGAAAAACATTTTGTAATTCGACCATTCATAGCGACATCCCAACTTTGTTGCCAATTTCCATACATATTAGATTGAAAATTACGATAGACATTAGTAAACGATAGTTGATCATAATCAATAATCGGCAAAAGAGTAGCCTTTTTTGCATAAAAATCGGCAAGATCATTTCCATAGTTGCCAGAATGTGATCTTGTCCAAGCAAAACATAAATGATTACAATAACCAACAATAGTCCGGAAAATCTCCTGAACAATACGGTTATACGAATAAATTTTACATATAGATTGAATTGCAGATTTCGAATCGGAAATAATCTGAACATCAACAATATTATTTGCAACAATCCATTCAAAGGCCTTTTAATGGCAAGAATTTCCGCCTGAAAGACAGTACATTGATCAGCTAAACGAAAAGATTGAACAGCTACCGGTCTACAATCATTTCGATAAAATGCCACAAAAGATGCACCGACCAATCCATCAATTTTTGAGCCATCCGTAAAAATATAATAATTATGCGAAACACAACAAAATTCCATATTGCCATCAATTCCGTGGACATCAAAAGAGGTGATCAAAGCCGGATGAATTGTATAAGCATATTTTAATGGTAATTGATAAGAACCAAACATCAAAGAAGGATAATTTTTAGCATCAAAAACTTCTGACCAATACTGAATTTTTAAATCAATTGGAACAATATTAGCAATCACCAAAGATGCTTCCAACGACACAGTTCGATACGCTCGAATCATACCAATGGCAAAGCGACGTTGTAAACTCAATAACCGGTTCCGCTTTGTAACGTTGCATAAAACACTTCTCCACACAGGACAAGCATAAAGTATCATCGGCTCAATAGCTCAATAACTTTTATTTAATATTTAAATGAATAAAGTGATTTAATTTACGAAAAATTATTCAATTCAATTATTATCATTTTTTGTCACATGTACAATATTCCGTTGTTGTTGTTGATGGTGTTGAAAATTATGATGCTGTAATTGTGGTGACATTATCATCATATTTGATGATGAATATGCATGATGAATCAATCATTCTAACAGGATCATGATGGCCATTTTTGTGCCAATTGAATTCGATCATTTTTGAATTGAAATGATATGAAAATCAAACTTACGTTTTTTATACTTCATTCATATATCACCAGCCCGGTACAGGCGCTTCGCGCCTGCCCCAGGCTGGCCCTGCGGGGCTGACTCCTGACAGTCAATATAGCTGGATACCCGCAGGTGTGGCGGCTGTGCCGCCCCCCCTGCTTGGTATCCAGTCAAAGGTATCAATCCTTGACGGTCAATATAGCTGGATACAGGTTGGTAATTCAGGATTCGGTAATTATTTTGGCCCATATTCATTTCCCCCTACTTGGCATCCAGTCAAAGGTGTCAATTTTAACGCTTCGTGCCTGACGGTGGGTTTCTATGCACGGCGTGTTGCTTCCGGCCTTCGGTTTGGTACCGCAGGGTCAGCCATCACTTGTGCATTGCACCTGATACCTTTGAAAAAGTTGCGTACACCGAACAGCATAATTATTATTGCTAATCGATAAGTTGTAGAAATACGATATTTTTGGTATAGATACTGTGGTCATTGTTGATCTTTTCCTAAATTTCCTGAACAAAAATCTTCAGATTATTAGGATTTTTGCAGCGGCAAAAACCCACATAAATCATTCCATGTTGCAATACTGTTGTAGGAAGGTACACACTTATTTACTTTTTTTTTATTTTTAACATTAATTGTCAAAGCAAAAGCCAATACGACAGGAAATCGTCAATTTAAATGGTAGCTTAGGATCTCGATCGTTTTGCTGCAAAATGAATCATAGCCTCCTTGTCAATATTCGAGCTTCAATGCTGCGTCTATTTACAAATAAACCCGTGCCATTGAGCAAACCACTTTGTGGTTCAATATTGTGACTGAACATGATAATCGATCCAATGTTTAATCCAAGTTTGTGTCTATAGATCCTATAGGATAACCTTGTGGGTTCATCGCAAGAAGACACTCAACATTGAATCGTCAACCGCTGTGGCTTTCTGCAATATCGTAAATGCTCCATTTTCTTTATTTTAAATGAAAAAAGTTATCAGGTATTTTAGGTATAATCAGGTTAAATAACCGAAATAACTTACCAAACGATGATCATAGATCACGGGAACAAAAATACAGAAAAAATCATTCCAATGAATGCAGTCTTCAGGCAAGATTTCATCATCAAATATACACTCACACAGGCACACAAAATGAAAATCACGTGTGACACATGTATTATCACAATAATCAATTCGAAAAATTCGAATTCGAACTCTTTCTATGTTCTATTGAAGGACTGCACCATCTATTGGATGCAAAATCTGCAGCAAAGTGTGCTGAGCTAGAACAATGAAAAAAAGCTTTGTCAAAGCTACATACCACAGAATGCGTTTCTTTATAAGCGGCTTCTACTTTTGAGCTGGACGAACTGTTCAGAGGCATTCAAAAGTTTTTCCCACTGTTCGATATGTTCAGACACAACACACACTGAGTAGCTTATACTACATAGTTATGTTTGTACTGAAAATAAGTATGAATGCCCGACTCAGCTTCGTCGCATTAAATGCCAAGTTAATACCCAGTGCAAGTACACAGTGCTAAGCGACATAGAATAGTAGATACCGAGAGAAAGAGAGAGAGAGAAAAAAAACAACCGACCACAGACAGAGTATTAGTTTCAAGTTCAAATCATTCTTTCTCATATTCATCATTGCTTTGCAGAAATTAAAAAAAAATTAAAACAACAAACGTCAAGTTTAAACCTGGACTTCAATCAAGAACCAACAGACAAAAAAGTCATCACATTTGATGAAGGCAGAAAAAATCCCGCCATTTTTACATTCATCCACAATAGAGCATTCAGACAACAGTGCTCACAGTGGAAATTTTCAGAGGAAAAATTTTTATAAGAATTGCAAAAGTTTTGTCGAAAATATAGTATTTGATGTTGACGCGTCTGAAAATTATTGGTAATCCGTTTAATTTGCTGACGACGATTTTAATTAAAACATTTACGTCATTACCATTTTATTGATCATTTTTCACATTTTCATCATGAATTTGAATCGACCAGGTTTGTTTATTTTACCCGAATAATTATGTTTAGAATATTATTTCTTTATCCATTAGGACCATCTCGTCGTCATATTTCATCGGGTACTGACAATGTTTCTTCAACTCCCATGTTTACCGAAAGTTATTTTACTGTCGATTCTGATAATTTTGACCAAACAACAGCAAAAACATCATCGTCTTCACCAGCGGTTCCACCATCGACACAATGGTTTAATAATTATAATCAAATGAATTCCTTCTTCAACCAGAATGATAATTATGGAATTTCTTCACCTACTCCACCGGTGTCATGCTCATCATCTTGGCAACAACCACCTTCGATGCCGCCAATGTCGGGATTTTCTTCGGGACGAATACCACAACAACAATTTCATCAGCCAATGTTTCCAAATCAACAATTTTTAATGGCTGCTGATCAACAACTCCTATCTAATCCGATGAACGGCGCTGAATCGCAAACATTGTTAAATTTTTCATTGGAAGATGCATTCGATTATATTGAATCTTATATAGTTGATTCCGGAATCGATTTTAATGTTTATCAATTTAGTCAACGTCCAGTATTTGTGACATTTGTACAATTAGTTACAGCTTGTTTTGTTTCTATCGGTGATAAATCAATGAATTTTAATCAACGAACTAAAATGGAAGATGTTTGGAAAAAATTGAATTCACAATTTGAAAGTTTATCGCTAAACATTCGAATTCATCTTCATGATTTGAAATTAATGTCACATAATGAAACATCTACAAATAAAGTGATTAAAGCATTTGCATATCTTCTCAAAAATCGTTTGAGTTTAATATTGAATTCATTAAAAGAATTGAAACCATTACGTCAAAACGACATCATTGATACAAAGTAAGTTGATCATTTTTTAACAAAAATTGTTTTTACTATTTATTTGGTTCAAGAACTATATTTAGGATTGATCCTGATTTTACTATGGAATTTCCCGAATTAGAATTACTGAAACTGTCAAATCGAACTAATATTGACTTTAAATCGCTCACGTTAATTGATGAAAACATCATTAAAGATTTACAAACAATTGATAATGAACTGAAAAATATTGATCAATCTACGTATAAATTTGAATCTGATATTATTAAAATGAACGATGAAATCAAATTACTTGAAGATGAATTAAAAGAACTTGATGAACGGAAAATTATTGAAGAAAAATTTACTGAATTGATCCAAAAACATAGTAAAGATTTGAAAAATTTAAAAATCAACTTTCATACTTTACCATTGATGAAAAATTTGGAAATTCTTCAGAAAAAACGTAATGAATTTTCAACAAATAATGATTCGAATGATCGATTTGATGATCTTATAAGATTTATCGAACAATTTGAGGTAGATCAAATTGAATTATTTGAAATTTCATTTTTATTCTATTTGAAATCATTATAGAATGATGCAATGGCCAATATTGATGAAAATATGGAACCAATCACCAATATCATTGAACAACTCGATAAATCAATTAATGAAAAAATGAATATGGAATCAGCAAAACATCAATCGATTGAAAAAGAATCACAGCAAAATAATTCAAATAAAACTGATGAAATTGGTGAAATTAATGAAAATCAAGTTGTTGATGATCAGCGGAAAAAGACCCGATCAAAGACACAGGAAACAAAAACAAAACGACCAAGGCAAAAGGACCAGAAGAAAAAAGATGAAAATCAAGTTGTTGAAGAACCAAGAATGACGCGATCGAGAGCACGACAAATCATGACAGAACAATCACCAAAACAACCAAAACAGATGCCATCGAAACGAGGAAAAAAGAATTGATCTATTTTTTATTTTATTTTCAACTTTGTTTTACTAGCTCATCACTGTTATCTATTTTATTGTTTTATCTTGATTGTAAATTTTAAGTTTGTTGGTTTTTTTTCGATTTTCATTTCATAAATTATTCATGAGTAACAACAACGGTGTTGATTTTTTTTTAAAACTTTTTTTTCAAAATTCAAACACATGGAATAAAGAACTGTTATTTATTCATTTAACATTTGGGAACAAATGAGAGAAAAAGATGGAAATAATAATAATAAATGAGATTTAAAATTGATTAGATCAAAGATCAGCACCATCATCATTAATTTAAAAAGCAGCACATTTACGATCACCAATCGTAGTGATTATTGAACGGTTATTGTTCCAATGGTTTGTTTGATTGATTGATTGATTGATATAAAGAAAAATCGAAAGAAACGAAGACATCATTCGATTAGATTAAAAATGATCGAATTCAATTGGATCGATCGATTTCAATATTATAATTAATATATAATATAATAAATTAACACAGACAATAGAGACAAAGAGCGAGTAAGAGAAAGAAAAAGAAAATCAAATCAAATCCATGAAAATCATGTAAAAAATAAAATGTGTAATAGGCTTATGCGTGGGTGTGTGTGTTTTTGTTTGTGTATGTGTATCCATATCAGTCTTAAAAGCATAAAAAATAAAAGAAAATTTGTACTTGTATTTCTATCTCTTTGTGTGGTGGTAAATAATAATTGTTTGATTTGATAATCAACGGATAGAATTCAGAATTCAGTTTAAAAACAATAAAATTGAAATATTTTTGCCGTCATGTAGAGGAAAAAAAATGAATAAAATTTTTGATGAGAAAAAAAATTTTAAAAGAAAATCTTGAATCATGCAAACACAAATTCTATTGAAATATTAGTGTAATGATTTCATTTTTTGTTTTGTTTTGTTTCATGTTGTTGAATGGAAAGGAATCTTGATCTTGTTAGTGATGTGTGTGTGTGTGTACTTTTTGTATATCATATCAACGATAATCAATTCATGATAATATAGTGATGATGATAATTATGATGATGACCTAAAGAATTGATGTATGAATCGAGAAAAGGAAACAAGAGCCAAATTTGAATTTTTTTTGTGAATATTTTCATCTTGTTTATATTATTAGAAACCATTAGCAGCAGCAGCAGCAGCTTCTGAGTCCTGTTGTTGTTGTTGTTCGGTTTGTGAATGATGATTAATAACATTACCATTTGTTTTAGAAATGGAATATGTCAATAAATTATCATCATAATGTCCATTTGTATGGCCATTGGTTTTTGTATTATTATTATCACTATTATTATTATTATTACTGCCATTTGGGATTGGTTTCAATGATGATGTTGTTGTTTCAAGGCTTGAATCCGATGATTGTGTTTGACCATGACCATGTTGTGATTCACTCGATGATTCTGTCGCCGATGTTGAATCATCATTTTCATTATTTTATTATTGATTGGACTTTTGCTTCCAGAATCATCTTTACGTGTTCGTCCTTTTAGAATCTCATGAATTCTCTATGGTTTTAGTGGTATGAAAAGAAATGAAAATTATATTCAATTCATCAACAATATTCAATCAACAATTATTACCGATTTATGTTTCATCCGTTCCATTTCATGTTGTTTAAGCATTTCATTTTGTCTTTCTTCAATTTTTTCTGATGTTAATATTGTATTTGTTGTTGATAATATTGTGGCTGTTGTGCCATACCAGCCGGTGATGTAGAATGCATCAACGATGAATCAAACGATGTTGTCATAATATTAGGCTGTAATAGATTTTTATCAATGGCACCACCGGTTTGAATCACCGAATCATGACAAGTTTTCATTGATGGTGATTCTTCTTCATGGAAAAAAATAGATCAAACGAGAAAATGATTAAATGAATAGATATTTTTGCCAAAGTACTAACCTTTGATTGACATTTGTTTGACTGATTGTTCCAATTCAGAAATCGATCGATCTGTATTGGATGAAATATCAATCAACAATGATTGTGGTTCATCACCATCGATTTTTGGTCCTTGTTGTTGAACCATTGTCGTTGTTGTATCAATAGAAGTGTCTTGATCTAATAAATCTATAAATGATCAAGATGGTCATCAAATTCAACAATCAATGGCTACAAAAATGGCCATCATGATCATGTTAGAATGATTGATTCATCATGCATATTCATCATCAAATATGATGATAATGTCACCACAATTACAGCATCATAATTTTCAACACCATCAACAACAACAACGGAATATTGTACATGTGACAAAAAATGATAATAATTGAATCAAATAATTTTTCGTAAATTAAATCACTATTTTATATTTTATTTATTTAAATATTAAATAAAAGTTAAGTTATAAAATCATAACTATTTTAGTCGTATTATAAAGTATAGTATATATATGATGATTTCTTTTTTTCGCCTATGATAAAAATTTTTTAAGGCCTCGCGATTTTCTCGGCCCTGTGTACTGGAATGTATTATTATTAAATTTAGATATAAATGTGTATATAAATAATTGGGGGGCAAATTTATAAGTGATTGGACAATTATGGTCCATACCACTATCCTCCCAACAAATAGGTTTTATAAGTGAGGGAAGGCAAATTTATAAGTGATTGTCCACTATCCACCCCAACACTGACTATTTTTAAATTAATTTATATGTAATGTGTAAATGTGTATATAAATAATTGGGGGCAAATTTATAAGTGATCGGACAATTATGGTCCATACCACTATCCTCCCCAACAAATAGGTTTTATAAGCAAGGGGAGGCCAATTTATAAGTGATTGTCCACTATCCACCCCCAACACTGACTATTTTTAAATTATTTATGCGCAAGTGTGTATGTGTGTATATAAATAATTGGGGGCAAATTTATAAGTGATTGTCCACTATCCTCCCCAACAAATAGGTTTTATAAGCGAGGGAGAGGCAAATTTATAAGTGATTGCGCAAACCACTATCCACCCCAACACTGACTATTTTTAAATTACTTTATGCGCAAGTGTGTATGTGTATATAAATAATTGGGGGCAAATTTATAAGTGATTGTCCACTATCCTCCCCAACAAATAGGTTTTATAAGCGAGGGGAGGCAAATTTATAAGTGATTATGCGCAAACCACTATCCACCCCAGCACTGACTATTTTTATATTAACCCAGGCGGCCGCGATGGGATTTGAACCGACGTCGAATGTGTATATGCGTGTATATGTGTTAATGTGTGTAAATGGGGGAGGCAAATTTATAAATGATGGGGTAATTTTCCCCCAGACCATTATCCTCCCCCATAATATAGAACGTAATTATGGTCGTATATAACAATCATATTTTACGACATTACAGAAATACTTCGCTTAACGCTGCCCCGATTAGCGCTGTTTCGATATAACGCTTTGCAATTACATTACATTGCAATACATTGTTACATTGTATATGAAGAGTAAAATGCATTATGTAAATTATGCAAAAATAACCCTTTGCTTTGCGCTGTTGTTTCGCTTTACGCTCAATATTTTTGGAACGTAACCCCGCGTTAAGCGGGGTATTACTGTATATTTGTATTATATCACTGTATATATGTAGCATTACTGGCTGCGCATGCTCCTGCCTATTTCTACTTTCCCCTATTTCGACCGAGAATGTCGGTGAGAGAGAACGAGCACGTTTTTCAGCCGAAAATTCCGAGTCAGGAACACTAACACACACAACTCGACAACAAATAAAAATCCGATTTTCACAAACGATCCCACGACATATTTATTATTAAATATTGTTCGTTTTGCATTCAATTGATTCTCACTACAACAATGGTTCATCATTATTATCAATTTGTAGAAACCATAAAGGTGATAGTCCAATTGTATCAGTAAAAAAGATGAATAGGTTTGTTAAATATTTATATGTTTCAAATTAAATTGGTTATAATTTTTTTTTCTGTTAGCTGTTCGCTATTTTTAGGCATTGGTAATCTTTTGGTTTGGTTTCCATTATTACGTTATTTTGCCTATTTTCAATCATACAACATTCTCTTATTGTAACATTGAAGAAATCTTTTCCAAACGTTTTGCGGTTCTGTCTCTGTGCATTTTTAGTTTATGGGTTAGTGTAATTGTTCATCATTAGTTTATAAAAAAAAATTGTTTAAAAATTTTATCATTTTACAGAGGATTTTGTTTTTGTGGTTGGGTCGTTTTGGGTCCTCATCATCTCAAATTTCGTACGCTTAGTTCAACATTGGAATGTTTGTTTTCACTTATAAACGGTGATGATATGTTTGCTACATTTTTTCCACTGATGTGAAAAAAGTCTTATATGGTGGTTTAGTCGCATTTATCTTTATCTTTTCATTTCATTGTCCATATATGTGATAGTCTCGTTGCCATAATACTCGATGCATACGAACGGTTCCTATTTTTTTTTTAATAACATGAAAACTTTTTTTAATTTTTATTTAAGAAACTTTTATTTATGATTGAAATTTTTGAAAACAAAATTTTAAAAATACTTGCGCATTCACTGTCTGATCAGACAATTTGCATCTTATTTCTTAAAGATCAATGTCATTGGAGACAGTGAAGCGCAAATGATGGTTTTAACAGCAATTGGTTCAAAAAAAAAATACTTAAAACAATAATGTGCAACAATTGATTGATAATATATAATCATAAAATTTGAATTAGTAATTAAAAAATAGGAAATAAAAGAAAAGTATCACATATTTTGTTGTGTATGTCAGGGAATTTTATGAAAACCATAACAATCCCACAGATCGAAATCCGAATGATCGAGCATCAAAGGATGCGACAAACATTCATAAACATGTAAATGTAAATATAATTTGTTAGAATTACATTTGTTCTTTAAGTGTATCGAGCAATATTAATATTGCTCGATACACTTCTGGTAGATAAATTTTATGTTTATGTTGTATTATTTGTTATTGTAATACAATTTGTTGTAATAAAATTGTTATATTGTGGTTATTTTGTAACGTCAATAAAAATAGTATATCGAATTATCGAATATTCGGAGTATTGATTTTTATGATACTGAATCAAATGATCCAAATTCATAAATTTTTATGTAAAACTGTTGGAATTATTTGTTCAATAATTCCAACACTCCTCTTGTGGAAATAAAGATTGGAACGTCACAAAACTACAACAAATGACTTGACTTCCAACTTTGACCATAGAAAGGTTCCCTTTACCGCAATATCGATATGGTTGCCTTTCTAGGATTAAACCAGTCCACGTCTATGACTTGCTCTTTGAACAAATTTCCAATCATATGATATCTAAAACGATATATTTCAATCTTGAGGCAACAGCCACTTGTTTTATCATCAAATGTTATTGGTGAAATCAATAGCTGAACCGATGCAGAAGCAAATGATGTCATTAGACCATCCATTTTTAGGTAATAACCATTTGCCTAGTAGTCTTTTTAAAACCTTTTGGTTTTGAAAAAGTAGGAGCTTCACTGTCTTCGATGACATTGATCAATAGTGGACCAATAAGCTCGCCAATGATTTTTGAAACAATGACAATTGGCTATTTGTCCGTTATATTGAAAATCAAAATCAAGTGTCGTGTTTCGTGGACGATGTAAATAAAAATTTTGCTTGATTTGATGAATCAACCACTAGTGTATCGAGCAAAATTTAATTTAGCTGTGAATTTTGAATGGAACCATCAATTACCACTAATAATGGGATCCTATTTGTGTAATCATATACACTTGTAGCGTTATTATTAATACAATTTAATGATGATAAAATATTGCCAAAAATCCTTGTTGTGAAAACAATTGTTTCAGCACCATTTATATCTTGATGTGGGATCAGAAACGTTCTTCCACGGCCATTGTTAAAAAAATTATTTCATCACTTTACATATTGATTTCGATTTTAATAATGGTCATTTTTTGATCACAAATTTTATCATCAGCAATATTTACAAGAATTTCATCAAAAATTTTATATAATTGGGGCACATATGAAACATCACGTAAAACCATTCCATCTTGACTGTCATATACCCACATTTGCTAATGATAATAAGATTTATCAATTAAATGATTGAATTCTTAATGATCAAAAGATATCTTACCTTGGTGACTTTCTCAACGGATCCAATATTTGGACGTATGTAACATTCACAATTTATAAACTTTATTTCTGGAATTGAATTATTGAATAATAAATTATAATTACAATGATTAAAAATAGATTACGTACCATATGTTGGTATCGTTTGTAAATTCAAAAAAAAATCAAAAAAATCAATCAATATAATTTAATATCATAAAGAGATGACAAACACTCAAAACTCTCTGACAAAAGTTCGATACATGTGTTTTTTATATTTTATCTTCATTCATATATGACGTTCCGCTACAGACGTAACAAGATATGTTCTATGTTTCCTCGATTTTTGTCAAGTTGTTTTAACTATCAATGCAAGTTCCAACACGTATTCAAAGGCTGTATGGACATTTTCGATCTTTGTGTGGTCACTAATTTTGTTCTATCCAGATAAAAATGGTGCTAAAGTAACTATAATTGATCAATTCGATTTCTAGAATTTTATTATTTTTCAAAATTTGCTTTTCCACTAACATTATCTTTTTACTCTAGTTTTTTTCGAAGAGTCGGCCAATGAACAGCATAATAAATCTAATAATGTTTGAAAATAAATCTAAACAATCGGAAAAAACAGAACCGAAAAATAAGGATAAACCTTTGGTCAACGAAATTTCATTTCGAAAGAATGTAATCATCAATTCATTCACGGATAATATCCTTGTTGACATATTGAAACATGACTATCAACTTTCAATCATACACGAATTCATCTACTTGTCTTATTCTGTTTAATAATGAAACAAAGAATTTATGTGCTAAACAAATTGCTCAATCATATAATCGTTGAATCATCTTATTGATATGTTGGAAAATGGATCATATTTGTGGATTATTACATATGAGAAACAAAAAACGATCAATTTCGACTTACCAAAAATGGATGTGGCATCATCAATTCTATTGATTGATTATTAATCGTCAAATTGTTGTCTTATATGGAAACATTTTGATAAATGATACAATTCGTTGGTCAGCATATCAAACTGTATACGATATCCAGAAATCGACAAATCATGTTTTCTGTTGATACATAGAATGTATGCTTTTTCGTCGAAAAGAATGGCATAAGTCGTTTGTTGGAAATATCATCACAATGCTTTATTTTTCCTGGTTCTATTCCAATGGCTACCTTGATCATTCGTCATATGATCGAACACAGTTTATTATTGAAAACATCAATGGATATGATTCTTTGTGCTCAAACAAATCCACCACCGAATTCTATACGTGAACTAAGATTATTTGTATTGTCGTTTCAGTCTCGCTGTCCATATATTGTGATAGTGATATATCTAAAAAATCGACATTCAATTTTATAATGTACTACACTCACTGACTGCATCGCACCAAATGACACAGGTATCATAACAATAACACAATCATCAGGTAAGTAAACTTTGGTTATTTCATTGTGTCAAATTTTTGAATAACCTAACTTTTTATTCCAATTTTAGCTCCACCTGCTTACGATACGAATGGTTGACCATTCCAAGTTGATGGACAGACATGCAAGCTTTTCGGTTAGAAATGTTGATGGTTCTAGTTATGGTTATGGCAGCAGCAAAGGGTAGTTTCAGTCATCAATTCTCTAATGCAATTTTACTACCGTTGTTCATTTCGAGGAAAAAAACCTATAAGACTACAAGGCCCTTTCATCTATTTTGGCCCTTGGTCCTAGTGATCATTCATGATAGTCAAATCAGTTCAATTCGATTCTTTCTGTGTAAATCGACAGAGGATCATCATCTTATAGTTCAATCAAAAAGACCGATACAATCAGAACCAGATCTACCAACGATTTGAACCAACCAACAAGCTTAATTATTCGTCTGTGAAAATGTTTTGAACATGATTATATTTCTTTGGCCCAAACTTTTCCTGAACAATTATCAATAGAAGGAAATAATAATGTTCATGTATAGACTGGTTTACAATAAAAACTAACCGATGACAAGAAACGAGTCAGCGGTCAAAAGAAAACGATCATGTTCTGGCGTTATTTCATTTTTTTAAAACTATTTGTCTGTTTTCCTATAAACTGTTGTTTTAATTATTTCATTGTTTAAAGTCGTTTATGAATAAAGATCATTTTTTTAAAAATTCCCTAAACGGTTCGTTTGTTTGTTATGTTTGCTAAATCAAAGATCAACAAAGAAGAGTGGTATTGAGAAACCACCCCCAAATTTTTTTTTTATTTTTTTTTTTAATTTTTTTTTAAATATTCACAAATTCATTCATGTAACAAAAAAAAAGACAAAATCAAAGCAAGTAATTCCATTCTAAGCTTTCTTTGTTCAAAATATATCGAAATTCTAATATTTATTCAATTACTATCTTTCTTTTTCATTCTTTTAGCTACATCATTAAATTTTCAAACTGTATCTTTCATGGAAAATCATATCATTTAATTAAGAAAAGCTCTGTTTGAAATTAACTGATCGTTTCATTCGCATAATTACACATATTATTACAATGGCATTAACACCCCGGCTGCTGATAATCAAGATCATTTGTTGGCCATACTCGAATTTTAGAATTTGATGTCAAACGACGATATTTCCACCAAGATAGTAAGTTACCCGTCAATATTCACATGTTTTAGAAGATGAAAATTTTAAATATTTCCCATATTCATTTCACTTTTAACTAAATGACCAATAATAATGATTTTTAATGTTCAAATGAGAGAATACAGATAGTGAGACAAAGAGACAAAAAAAAAAGAACGAGACAGAAAGGTTGTTTTGTTTGAAAATGTATTTTTAAAATAATTTTTGAGCAATTTATGAACCAACAAAAAGAATTTTTTGCTTTGTTTTGCAAATATAATCACAATTAAGATCAATCTATTAGATCAAATCAATGTTGTGGTTTATGATTTTTTCAACCAAATCCAAAACCTTTGAAACATTCGTAGATTTCTTTTAGTAGCATCATACGTGATTTATCATAAGTTTCATAGTTAAACAGGTGGTAGGATCCAATTGATTGATACTAAAATTTGACCAATAAAAAAAATTAGTTAACTTTATCAGAAATTGAAAAAAAAACTTATCATGTTTGTTAATCGATCATCTAAATGGATCTGAAATTTTTGTTGACCATTCACACATACACCTAAACTGTGCAGTGAACCATTTCGATGTGTCGGTCGATTCTGGTAATTATTTATACAATGAAATAGATTTCGAATTAATTCGACGAAAATTTTATGTTGTCGTTGTCGTTGTTGTCGTCGTTAGCGATATCTTTGTCTTTGTTCGCAACAGCGTTGTTATTGTTATTGTTGTTGTTGTTGATAATATAATTGGATATAAACAACATCGATCCATACGATTAATACGTTGTTCTGGATGATGACGATGATCCGGCTGCTGTGTTATTATTGATCCAGCCTGTTTCAGTTGATGATGTTGAACATCATTTGGGTTATCCAATTGATTATTTAGATCGATAGCAGAACATGTTGCATTTGTTCGCATATTGGCTGGCTGGTGTCCATCACTCGTTAAGAAAATCTTTTGATCGAATTTTAATAATGATTAACATTTTAGTATTGAAAAAAAATTCAAAAAACAAATTTCAAATGCATACTTGAAAAAAATTCATATTCTTTTTTATTGAGAATATCACAGAAAAAAAGTGGTGGCCAGCGAGTACTCGCGATTTTGGCGTCACCCGAAATCTCGCCAAAATCGCGAGTACTCGCAAACGACATACGACTAGCCGACTGACTATCGATATATCGATAGTCTACTCGCAATTTTCGCGAGTACTCGCGATTTTCGCGACCACCCGACTGACCGATTGTTTTTTCGATATATCGAAATCATCGATGGTGTCGCTCACCGATTGTTGCAGCAATTTTGACCCCCTTTCATTCCCTTTACCCCCCATATTAATTTAATCCATATATATTGAAATTTAATTGATTTTATTGAAATATTAATTTAATAAAAATTGGAAATAATAAAATACATCCACGTTTCACACCCCAATTGCGCCATACAACGTTAATTGTCCCGTTTGACATAAATAAATCCATAATCGCGGTCCATGTTCCAAGACAATGTCCAAATTCTATCCGTGGTTCGAGATTCAATTTCCCAATTGTTCGCCGGCGATCCTAATTAAAAATAAATATTAATTGTTTGTTCAATTAATCTATTCATTTGCTTACCATGATCATTTGAAATAGGTCCAATATTCGCGGTCCATGTTACAAGACAATGTCCAAATTCTATCCGTGGTTCGAGATTCAATTTCCCAATTGTTCGCCGACGATCCTAAGTAAAGATAAATATTAGTTGTTTGTTCAATTAATCTATTCATTTGCTTACCATGATCATTTGCAAGTATGCGTTCCATCCCGTGAATCTTCGACTTATAATCATGTTTTCGATCGCTTCATTGATTCCAAAGATTCAATCAGCATCAAATTCAATAGGAAATAGTTCAGACCATGTTCCTAAGCCTAATCTAACCCTAGCCTAACCTGTTATCATGTGTTGAACATGGCCAAACTATTCTTGAATTGAATGCTGATGAACAATGGAACCGCCGAATTGATCTCGAACATAATCATAAATCGAATTTCAATTTGATGATTGTAAAATTTCAGGAACGAACCTAATAAAAAAAAAGATAGACCAATCTTTATCAGATATGAAGAATGAATATGTCGACTTACCGAATAAGTTGCTCCAACAATTCAATCCAATGCAGGCCTTTGAGAAATGTAAGTGTTAGAATCATTGATCGATAGCGAAATTAGAAAGTTACCTGATGACAAATATGTTTCATTGGACATCGTACCATGTTAGTGACCAGATATCCACCAATAAATTTGTAATGTTCGGCATCATTACCATGATCGTTTTTCTAAAGACGGCATTATATGATTCTAATGACCATTGATTTTATGCTTCAAAAGACAAGGAAAATTGTTAGCATTTTCAATCAAAGGCAAAATGTAAATTACCTCATTGACCATGTTTTAATATATTAATCCGAATTCCATGCATTGTCATACATCAAGTATAATGGACTCTGAAAAAGAAAACTTGAAAAGGATGTGATTGAATACAATTTGATGAAAAACAAAATGTCATAAATACATTTGAAAGTCAGCGAAAATGGAATTTTTTCTCCAACTTGTATCATGATTACATGATGGCCGAACCAAACGATCTTCATCGATTTCGGGGCCAATTTTTGATCTTAGACCGCAATATGTTTTAACAACGATAATCTTGAATCGATTAATTTCTTTGTTCCAAAATTTACTGCAAAAATCCATGATTAAAATAGAAAAAATGAAAAAATATCACGACATGATCACGAAAAATAGCTCAAAGTGAGGACAACCGTCTTCGACGACCGTTGAGTTCGAATGTTCGATTTTCCAACGATCAAATTCAAATTTGTATGGAGAATAGAAGGGGAAAAGAAGCGCGCGACATTTGCATTGAAAATAGTTAGCTGCACTACCACTATTTGACTATGTGCAGTTGCCCATTAGTTGTACTTTGAGTTGAAATTTTTGGCGGCAAAATGAATGCATTATTTTTGCCGTAGACTTAGCATGAAAAATGAATAAAAAAATCCACTCATGATATGATAGATATTATCATATCAGATGCAAAATTGATGAAAAAAAATTATAATGTAATTTCAATGGAAAGTAAAAATTGACCTTTATCACATATTGATCATTAGTGATTTGAGCCAAAGAATTTTCGCCACTGTTTGATAAATTGGTGTCAATTTGTCAGGATTAATTGATTGATGGACAGTTATTTCATTCAAAGTCGAGCTATTTATTTATTTATTCAATAAAAACCCCTATACCTCAAAAATGGGGGGAAGAAAATAAATTATAAATTTTTAAAATCATATTTAAAGAATTATAGCCAAATACATAAATTCTCTTCATGTAGATCATGTAGATTTACATCACATTGATTTTCAATTAAAGTTCGTTCCGCACAAATAAACAAATCAGATGAATAGAACTTTGAGCAGTATTACCACAAAAACAAGACGTCTTATAACGATAGCCAATTTAGCCAATGCAGGTAAACATTGAATTTTCCATGTCCCGATAAAAACTGAGTGAACACAAAATGTAGATCAATAACAATTATTTTACGACCATATACAGATGGAAAAATTTTTTAGTAACTTTGCCATCTTCACTCATTATCCATCTTATATTATAAATCATGATCATGATATTTTTCAAAAGATATAATGAAATGAATGAGAATGAGATTGTACCCAGTGAAAACAAATATATCGATTCTGAAAAATGTTTGGTTTTTATGAGACCGAAATAATGACCAACAAAATTGAATCAAAGTTGAATTATATGTGTGATGTTGAAATCTATCCAGTGACAATCGAGAAAATGACAAATCCAACCTAACACGAACAGTTCAGAATTCAAAATCAAGAAAATGACAAATTCCCCAAACTAACACGACCAGTTCAGAATTCAAAATTCAAAATCGAGAAAATGGCAAATGTCCAAACTAACACGACCAGTTTAGAACAATTGTGAAAATGACAAATCACCAGCAGCAGTAATAAACGAACAAGATGAAGTGACAAAAGAAAATGCCGTGGTGTGGGACCATAATATCACTGTGGACAGCGATGAGCAAATCGAAACCACTACAATCATTGGGAAAGTAATCAATAAAGCATCGCCAACCAATTCTGAACTGGTCGTGTTAGGTTGGACTTGTCATTTTCTCGATTCTGAACTGGTCGTGTTAGGTTGGACTTGCTATTTTCTCGATTTTGAATTTTGAATTCTGAACTGGTCGTATTAGATTGGATTCGCCATTTTCTCGATTCTGAACTGGTCGTGTTAGTTTGGAAATTTGTCATTTTCTCGATTCTGAACAGGTCGTGTTAGTTTGGAAATTTGTCATTTTCTTTATTTTGAATTCTGAGTGTTTTAAAACAAAAGCAAAACAACAGAATTGATCAACAGATGACCAAGAGTTATCACTTTGTTCTTCCTTAGAATTAAATAAATTTATAGTCGACCTCGGACAAAATATCGTATGACACTCATCGCTTTTTCTTGTTCTATCTTAATCATGATAGTCATGAACGATTAAGCTCAAACAATGTAACCATTTTATTTATAATTGACTTATAAAAATACAATTTAATTTATAAAGGATTCTTTTTCATTTGTCTTTCTTTTTTTAGTCATTAGACCGTTTGATATTTTTATATTTGTACCATAAAAATTTCTGAAAAAATACATGAAATACAAATTCCATTTTTTTGCATCACAATTTAGTTCATTATATTTTTTGGGTAAAATTGGGTAATTGGCGTCTATTTTATTTAAAATGATGAGCATCGTATTTTTAGGAATGCTTGTCATATACAAGCAGTCGTTACTTGTTCCGCAAATATGTTTAACGATTGATCTGATAATCGAAAGAATAATTGAATTCAATATCTTAAAGCTGGCAATCGAATTCGGATTCAGCAAAAATACGTTTAAGTCATCATCAAATACCGGGAATTCATAATTATCCGGCACAAATGTGCCATTTGAATTTATAAGATTTCCTTCGTAATACTAAAATAAAATAAAATTCAACATTATTATTAACATAAATGTCTGCACGAAAATATCATATTCAACTTACAGAAAAATGAAATGTGAAATCTTTTTTCCATCACATTGAAGACCTTTTTGGATTGGAATAGTTGGATCGTTTTGTACCAAATTACCATTTTTATCGATATAATTCTAATCCATTAGTTTATGATTCGAAATAATTCCGTATCCAAACAAAAATGAAAATGTTAAACATCGAAATCAAATTAAACAATCGAAAACTTTTGTTTACACACGATTACCGCGAGTAATCGCGATTTTGGCGAGTATTTCGGCTATTTACACTTTATTTTGCTGGACTAATTGAGTGTATGTAGCCAAACAATCGAAACTTTGTGAGTACTCGCGATTTTTGCGAGTATTCGGCTATTTTTTAGCGACTTTTTGTGTGGATATAGTCGGAGTACTCGCGAAAAATGCGAGTACTCGCAAAATTTCGATTGTTCGGCTATATACACTCAAATAGTCACCAAAAAATAGCCGAAATACTCGCCAAAATCGCGAGTACTCGCGCACTTTCTTTTCTGTGTAGGAATAATAATGAAATTTTGATCGCAGTAAACTATTTCTACTTAAGCTGGGTTATTGGTTAAAATAACCAAATAAACAATAGCGAAGCAAATATTATCAATATTTTAACCAACAAGCAAATTTTCTTTGTTCGTTTTCAACTAAATTTTTTTTTTGGTTTTGTAATTTCATCATCATCGATCTGCCAAAAAACATACACACATAATCATTCATCAACCAATTAGTGAGATTGAAAGAAAAAGCCAACGATAAAATTTTTTTCCCTTATAATGGATGATTTTCCCAATAGACCTCTGAAGGTTTGTATGCGTGTGTGTCATTCGATTATTGATCATAAATTTATCATCAAATTGTTGATAGTGGTAGTGGAATCAAAATACAAATATTTTCCATATAAAACATATATTTAGCATCATATCATTTATGATGCTGTTGATGATGATGAAATTTCATCATCAATATAATTTTTCATTGTTTTAATTATTTAGCTATTAGTATAGAGAAATTCTGATCGAATGAATCCCATTCGATTAATTAGATTAATAAAATCTCAGGATGTCATTGAATTGTTCATTTTGTCTACAACAACGACGGCGATTGTTTTTGCAAACAAAATATTCTTATCAATTTGTCTGCAGAAATATTGTAATGAAATCCTTCGATAATCTGCTAATTTTCTAATTTTTCATCCATTCACACAGGCACAAGGCAGTAGTCCACCAGTCAAAAAAAGTCGAATAGATGAGCCATGTCAGATAGAACATATCTTGTTACGTCCAAATATTGGATCCGTTGAGAAAGTCACCAAGGTAAGATATCTTTTGATCATTAAGAATTCAATCATTTAATTGATAAATCTTATTATCATTAGCAAATGTGGGTATATGACAGTCAAGATGGAATGGTTTTACGTGATGTTTCATATGTGCCCCAATTATATAAAATTTTTGATGAAATTCTTGTAAATATTGCTGATGATAAAATTTGTGATCAAAAAATGACCATTATTAAAATCGAAATCAATATGTAAAGTGATGAAATAATTTTTTTTAACAATGGCCGTGGAAGAACGTTTCTGATCCCACATCAAGATATAAATGGTGCTGAAACAATTGTTTTCACAACAAGGATTTTTGGCAATATTTTATCATCATTAAATTGTATTAATAATAACGCTACAAGTGTATATGATTACACAAATAGGATCCCATTATTAGTGGTAATTGATGGTTCCATTCAAAATTCACAGCTAAATTAAATTTTGCTCGATACACTAGTGGTTGATTCATCAAATCAAGCAAAAATTTTTATTTACATCGTCCACGAAACACGACACTTGATTTTGATTTTCAATATAACGGACAAATAGCCAATTGTCATTGTTTCAAAAATCATTGGCGAGCTTATTGGTCCACTATTGATCAATGTCATCGAAGACAGTGAAGCTCCTACTTTTTTCAAAAACCAAAAGGTTTTAAAAAGACTACTAGGCAAATGGTTATTACCTAAAAAAATGGATGGTCTAATGACATCATTTGCTTCTGCATCGGTTCAGCTATTGATTTCACCAATAACATTTGATGATAAAAACAAGTGGCTGTTGCCTCAAGATTGAAATATATCGTTTTTAGATATCATATGATTGGAAATTTGTTCAAAGAGCAAGTCATAGACGTGGACTGGTTTAATCCTAGAAAGGCAACCATATCGATATTGCGGTAAAGGGAACCTTTCTATGGTCAAAGTTGGAAGTCAAGTCATTTGTTGTAGTTTTTGTGACGTTCCAATCTTTATTTCCACAAGAGGAGTGTTGGAATTATTGAACAAATAATTCCAACAGTTTTACATAAAAATTTATGAATTTGGATCATTTGATTCAGTATCATAAAAATCAATACTCCGAATATTCGATAATTCGATATACTATTTTTATTGACGTTACAAAATAACCACAATATAACAATTTTATTACAACAAATTGTATTACAATAACAAATAATACAACATAAACATAAAATTTATCTACCAGAAGTGTATCGAGCAATATTAATATTGCTCGATACACTTAAAGAACAAATGTAATTCTAACAAATTATATTTACATTTACATGTTTATGAATGTTTGTCGCATCCTTTGATGCTCGATCATTCGGATTTCGATCTGTGGGATTGTTATGGTTTTCATAAAATTCCCTGACATACACAACAAAATATGTGATACTTTTCTTTTATTTCCTATTTTTTAATTACTAATTCAAATTTTATGATTATATATTATCAATCAATTGTTGCACATTATTGTTTTAAGTATTTTTTTTTTGAACCAATTGCTGTTAAAACCATCATTTGCGCTTCACTGTCTCCAATGACATTGATCTTTAAGAAATAAGATGCAAATTGTCTGATCAGACAGTGAATGCGCAAGTATTTTTAAAATTTTGTTTTCAAAAATTTCAATCATAAATAAAAGTTTCTTAAATAAAAATTAAAAAAAGTTTTCATGTTATTAAAAAAAAAATAGGAACCGTTCGTATGCATCGAGTATTATGGCAACGAGACTATCACATATATGGACAATGAAATGAAAAGATAAAGATAAATGCGACTAAACCACCATATAAGACTTTTTCACATCAGTGGAAAAAATGTAGCAAACATATCATCACCGTTTATAAGTGAAAACAAACATTCCAATGTTGAACTAAGCGTACGAAATTTGAGATGATGAGGACCCAAAACGACCCAACCACAAAAACAAAATCCTCTGTAAAATGATAAAATTTTTAAACAATTTTTTTTTATAAACTAATGATGAACAATTACACTAACCCATAAACTAAAAATGCACAGAGACAGAACCGCAAAACGTTTGGAAAAGATTTCTTCAATGTTACAATAAGAGAATGTTGTATGATTGAAAATAGGCAAAATAACGTAATAATGGAAACCAAACCAAAAGATTACCAATGCCTAAAAATAGCGAACAGCTAACAGAAAAAAAATTATAACCAATTTAATTTGAAACATATAAATATTTAACAAACCTATTCATCTTTTTTACTGATACAATTGGACTATCACCTTTATGGTTTCTACAAATTGATAATAATGATGAACCATTGTTGTAGTGAGAATCAATTGAATGCAAAACGAACAATATTTAATAATAAATATGTCGTGGGATCGTTTGTGAAAATCGGATTTTTATTTGTTGTCGAGTTGTGTGTGTTAGTGTTCGTGACTCGGAATTTTCGGCTGAAAAACGTGCTCGTTTTCTCTCACCGACATTCTCGGTCGAAATAGGGGAAAGTAGAAATAGGCAGGAGCATGCGCAGCCAGTAATGCTACATATATACAGTGATATAATACAAATATACAGTAATACCCCGCTTAACGCGGGGTTACGTTCCAAAAATATTGAGCGTAAAGCGAAACAACAGCGCAAAGCGGGGTTATTTTTGCATAATTTACATAATGCATTTTTACTCTTCATATACAATGTAACAATGTATTGCAATGTAATGTAATTGCAAAGCGTTATATCGAAACAGCGCTAATCGGGGCAGCGTTAAGCGAAGTATTTCTGTAATGTCGTAAAATATGATTGTTATATACGACCATAATTACGTTCTATATTATGGGGGAGGATAATGGTCTGGGGGAAAATTACCCCATCATTTATAAATTTGCCTCCCCCATTTACACACATTAACACATATACACGCATATACACATTCGACGTCGGTTCAAATCCCATCGCGGCCGCCTGGGTTAATATAAAAAATAGTCAGTGCTGGGGGTGGATAGTGGTTTGCGCATAATCACTTATAAATTTGCCTCCCCCTCGCTTATAAAACCTATTTGTTGGGGAGGATAGTGGACAATCACTTATAAATTTGCCCCCCAATTATTTATATACACATACACACTTGCGCATAAAGTAATTTAAAAAATAGTCAGTGTTGGGGGTGGATAGTGGTTTGCGCAATCACTTATAAATTTGCCTCTCCCTCGCTTATAAAACCTATTTGTTGGGGAGGATAGTGGACAATCACTTATAAATTTGCCCCCCAATTATTTATATACACATACACACTTGCGCATAAATAATTTAAAAAATAGTCAGTGTTGGGGGTGGATAGTGGACAATCACTTATAAATTGGCCTCCCCCTTGCTTATAAAACCTATTTGTTGGGGAGGATAGTGGTATGGACCATAATTGTCCGATCACTTATAAATTTGCCCCCCAATTATTTATATACACATTTACACATTACATATAAATTAATTTAAAAAATAGTCAGTGTTGGGGGTGGATAGTGGACAATCACTTATAAATTTGCCTTCCCCTCACTTATAAAACCTATTTGTTGGGGAGGATAGTGGTATGGACCATAATTGTCCAATCACTTATAAATTTGCCCCCCAATTATTTATATACACATTTATATCTAAATTTAATAATAATACATTCCAGTACACAGGGCCGAGAAAATCGCGAGGCCTTAAAAAATTTTTATCATAGGCGAAAAAAAGAAATCATCATATATATACTATACTTTATAATACGACTAAAATAGTTATGATTTTATAACTTAACTTTTATTTAATATTTAAATAAATAAAATATAAAATAGTGATTTAATTTACGAAAAATTATTTGATTCAATTATTATCATTTTTTGTCACATGTACAATATTCCGTTGTTGTTGTTGATGGTGTTGAAAATTATGATGCTGTAATTGTGGTGACATTATCATCATATTTGATGATGAATATGCATGATGAATCAATCATTCTAACATGATCATGATGGCCATTTTTGTAGCCATTGATTGTTGAATTTGATGACCATCTTGATCATTTATAGATTTATTAGATCAAGACACTTCTATTGATACAACAACGACAATGGTTCAACAACAAGGACCAAAATCGATGGTGATGAACCACAATCATTGTTGATTGATATTTCATCCAATACAGATCGATCGATTTCTGAATTGGAACAATCAGTCAAACAAATGTCAATCAAAGGTTAGTACTTTGGCAAAAATATCTATTCATTTAATCATTTTCTCGTTTGATCTATTTTTTTCCATGAAGAAGAATCACCATCAATGAAAACTTGTCATGATTCGGTGATTCAAACCGGTGGTGCCATTGATAAAAATCTATTACAGCCTAATATTATGACAACATCGTTTGATTCATCGTTGATGCATTCTACATCACCGGCTGGTATGGCACAACAGCCACAATATTATCAACAACAAATACAATATTAACATCAGAAAAAATTGAAGAAAGACAAAATGAAATGCTTAAACAACATGAAATGGAACGGATGAAACATAAATCGGTAATAATTGTTGATTGAATATTGTTGATGAATTGAATATAATTTTCATTTCTTTTTCATACCACTAAAAACCATAGAGAATTCATGAGATTCTAAAAGGACGAACACGTAAAGATGATTCTGGAAGCAAAAGTCCAATCAATAATAAAAATAATGAAAATGATGATTCAACATCGGCGACAGAATCATCGAGTGAATCACAACATGGTCATGGTCAAACACAATCATCGGATTCAAGCCTTGAAACAACAACATCATCATTGAAACCAATCCCAAATGGCAGTAATAATAATAATAATAGTGATAATAATAATACAAAAACCAATGGCCATACAAATGGACATTATGATGATAATTTATTGACATATTCCATTTCTAAAACAAATGGTAATGTTATTAATCATCATTCACAAACCGAACAACAACAACAACAGGACTCAGAAGCTGCTGCTGCTGCTGCTAATGGTTTCTAATAATATAAACAAGATGAAAATATTCACAAAAAATTCAAATTTGGCTCTTGTTTCCTTTTCTCGATTCATACATCAATTCTTTAGGTCATCATCATAATTATCATCATCACTATATTATCATGAATTGATTATCGTTGATATGATATACAAAAGTACACACACACACACATCACTAACAAGATCAAGATTCCTTTCCATTCAACAACATGAAACAAAAACAAAACAAAAATGAAATCATTACACTAATATTTCAATAGAATTTGTGTTTGCATGATTCAAGATTTTCTTTTAAAATTTTTTTCTCATCAAAATTTTATTCATTTTTTTTCCTCTACATGACGGCAAAAATATTTCAATTTTATTGTTTTTAAACTGAATTCTGAATTCTATCCGTTGATTATCAAATCAAACAATTATTATTTACCACCACACAAAGAGATAGAAATACAAGTACAAATTTTCTTTTATTTTTTATGCTTTTAAGACTGATATGGATACACATACACAAACAAAAACACACACACCCACGCATAAGCCTATTACACATTTTTTTTACATGATTTTCATGGATTTGATTTGATTTTCTTTTTCTTTCTCTTATTCGCTCTTTGTCTCTATTGTCTGTGTTAATTTATTATATTATATATTAATTATAATATTGAAGTCGATCGATCCAATTGAATTCGATCATTTTTAATCTAATCGAATGATGTCGTCGTTTCTTTCGATTTTTCTTTATATCAATCAATCAATCAAACAAACCATTGGAACAATAACCGTTCAATAATCACTACGATTGGTGATCGTAAATGTGCTGCTTTTTAAATTAATGATGATGGTGCTGATCTTTGATCTAATCAATTTTAAATCTCATTTATTATTATTATTTCCATCTTTTTCTCTCATTTGTTCCCAAATGTTAAATGAATAAATAACAGTTCTTTATTCCATGTGTTTGAATTTTGAAAAAAAAGTTTTAAAAAAAAATCAACACCGTTGTTGTTACTCATGAATAATTTATGAAATGAAAATCGAAAAAAAACCAACAAACTTAAAATTTACAATCAAGATAAAACAATAAAATAGATAACAGTGATGAGCTAGTAAAACAAAGTTGAAAATAAAATAAAAAATAGATCAATTCTTTTTTCCTCGTTTCGATGGCATCTGTTTTGGTTGTTTTGGTGATTGTTCTGTCATGATTTGTCGTGCTCTCGATCGCGTCATTCTTGGTTCTTCAACAACTTGATTTTCATCTTTTTTCTTCTGGTCCTTTTGCCTTGGTCGTTTTGTTTTTGTTTCCTGTGTCTTTGATCGGGTCTTTTTCCGCTGATCATCAACAACTTGATTTTCATTAATTTCACCAATTTCATCAGTTTTATTTGAATTATTTTGCTGTGATTCTTTTTCAATCGATTGATGTTTTGCTGATTCCATATTCATTTTTTCATTAATTGATTTATCGAGTTGTTCAATGATATTGGTGATTGGTTCCATATTTTCATCAATATTGGCCATTGCATCATTCTATAATGATTTCAAATAGAATAAAAATGAAATTTCAAATAATTCAATTTGATCTACCTCAAATTGTTCGATAAATCTTATAAGATCATCAAATCGATCATTCGAATCATTATTTGTTGAAAATTCATTACGTTTTTTCTGAAGAATTTCCAAATTTTTCATCAATGGTAAAGTATGAAAGTTGATTTTTAAATTTTTCAAATCTTTACTATGTTTTTGGATCAATTCAGTAAATTTTTCTTCAATAATTTTCCGTTCATCAAGTTCTTTTAATTCATCTTCAAGTAATTTGATTTCATCGTTCATTTTAATAATATCAGATTCAAATTTATACGTAGATTGATCAATATTTTTCAGTTCATTATCAATTGTTTGTAAATCTTTAATGATGTTTTCATCAATTAACGTGAGCGATTTAAAGTCAATATTAGTTCGATTTGACAGTTTCAGTAATTCTAATTCGGGAAATTCCATAGTAAAATCAGGATCAATCCTAAATATAGTTCTTGAACCAAATAAATAGTAAAAACAATTTTTGTTAAAAAATGATCAACTTACTTTGTATCAATGATGTCGTTTTGACGTAATGGTTTCAATTCTTTTAATGAATTCAATATTAAACTCAAACGATTTTTGAGAAGATATGCAAATGCTTTAATCACTTTATTTGTAGATGTTTCATTATGTGACATTAATTTCAAATCATGAAGATGAATTCGAATGTTTAGCGATAAACTTTCAAATTGTGAATTCAATTTTTTCCAAACATCTTCCATTTTAGTTCGTTGATTAAAATTCATTGATTTATCACCGATAGAAACAAAACAAGCTGTAACTAATTGTACAAATGTCACAAATACTGGACGTTGACTAAATTGATAAACATTAAAATCGATTCCGGAATCAACTATATAAGATTCAATATAATCGAATGCATCTTCCAATGAAAAATTTAACAATGTTTGCGATTCAGCGCCGTTCATCGGATTAGATAGGAGTTGTTGATCAGCAGCCATTAAAAATTGTTGATTTGGAAACATTGGCTGATGAAATTGTTGTTGTGGTATTCGTCCCGAAGAAAATCCCGACATTGGCGGCATCGAAGGTGGTTGTTGCCAAGATGATGAGCATGACACCGGTGGAGTAGGTGAAGAAATTCCATAATTATCATTCTGGTTGAAGAAGGAATTCATTTGATTATAATTATTAAACCATTGTGTCGATGGTGGAACCGCTGGTGAAGACGATGATGTTTTGCTGTTGTTTGGTCAAAATTATCAGAATCGACAGTAAAATAACTTTCGGTAAACATGGGAGTTGAAGAAACATTGTCAGTACCCGATGAAATATGACGACGAGATGGTCCTAATGGATAAAGAAATAATATTCTAAACATAATTATTCGGGTAAAATAAACAAACCTGGTCGATTCAAATTCATGATGAAAATGTGAAAAATGATCAATAAAATGGTAATGACGTAAATGTTTTAATTAAAATCGTCGTCAGCAAATTAAACGGATTACCAATAATTTTCAGACGCGTCAACATCAAATACTATATTTTCGACAAAACTTTTGCAATTCTTATAAAAATTTTTCCTCTGAAAATTTCCACTGTGAGCACTGTTGTCTGAATGCTCTATTGTGGATGAATGTAAAATGGCGGGATTTTTCTGCCTTCATCAAATGTGATGACTTTTTTGTCTGTTGGTTCTTGATTGAAGTCCAGGTTTAAACTTGACGTTTGTTGTTTTAATTTTTTTTTAATTTCTGCAAAGCAATGATGAATATGAGAAAGAATGATTTGAACTTGAAACTAATACTCTGTCTGTGGTCGGTTGTTTTTTTTCTCTCTCTCTCTTTCTCTCGGTATCTACTATTCTATGTCGCTTAGCACTGTGTACTTGCACTGGGTATTAACTTGGCATTTAATGCGACGAAGCTGAGTCGGGCATTCATACTTATTTTCAGTACAAACATAACTATGTAGTATAAGCTACTCAGTGTGTGTTGTGTCTGAACATATCGAACAGTGGGAAAAACTTTTGAATGCCTCTGAACAGTTCGTCCAGCTCAAAAGTAGAAGCCGCTTATAAAGAAACGCATTCTGTGGTATGTAGCTTTGACAAAAGCTTTTTTTCATTGTTCTAGCTCAGCACACTTTGCTGCAGATTTTGCATCCAATAGATGGTGCAGTCCTTCAATAGAACATAGAAAGAGTTCGAATTCGAATTTTTCGAATTGATTATTGTGATAATACATGTGTCACACGTGATTTTCATTTTGTGTGCCTGTGTGAGTGTGTATTTGATGATGAAATCTTGCCTGAAGACTGCATTCATTGGGAAAATTTTTTCTGTGTTTTTGTTCCCGTGATCTATGATCTACTCATCGTTTGGTAAGTTATTTCGGTTATTTAACCTGATTATACCTAAAATACCTGATAACTTTTTTCATTTAAAATAAAGAAAATGGAGCATTTACGATATTGCAGAAAGCCACAGCGGTTGACGATTCAATGTTGAATGTCTTCTTGCGATGAACCCACAAGGTTATCCTATAGGATCTATAGACACAAACTTGGATTAAACATTGGATCGATTATCATGTTCAGTCGCAATATTGAACCACAAAGTGGTTTGCTCAATGGCACGGGTTTATTTGTAAATAGACGCAGCATTGAAGCTCGAATATTGACAAGGAGGCTATGATTCATTTTGCAGCAAAACGATCGAGATCCTAAGCTACCATTTAAATTGACGATTTCCTGTCGTATTGGCTTTTGCTTTGACAATTAATGTTAAAAATAAAAAAAAAGTAAATAAGTGTGTACCTTCCTACAACAGTATTGCAACATGGAATGATTTATGTGGGTTTTTGCCGCTGCAAAAATCCTAATAATCTGAAGATTTTTGTTCAGGAAATTGAGGAAAATATCAACAACGACCACAGTATCTATACCAAAAATATCGTATTTCTTCAACTTATCGATTAGCAATAATAATTATGCTGTTCGGTGTACGCAACTTTATCAGGTGCAATGCAAAAGTGATGGCTGTCCCTGCGGTACCAAACCGAAGGCCGGAAACAACACGCCGTGCATAGAAACCCACCGTCAGGCACGAAGCGTTAAAATTGACACCTTTGACTGGATGCCAAGTAGGGGGAAATGAATATGGGCCAAAATAATTACCGAATCCTGAATTACCAACCTGTATCCAGCTATATTGACCGTCAAGGATTGATACCTTTGACTGGATACCAAGCAGGGGGGGCGGCACAGCCGCCACACCTGCGGGTATCCAGCTATATTGACTGTCAGGAGTCAGCCCCGCAGGGCCAGCCTGGGGCAGGCGCGAAGCGCCTGTACCGGGCTGGTGATATATGAATGAAGTATAAAAAACGTAAGTTTGATTTTCATATCATTTCAATTCAAAAATGATCGAATTCAATTGGCACAAAATGGCCATCATGATCCTGTTAGAATGATTGATTCATCATGCATATTCATCATCAAATATGATGATAATGTCACCACAATTACAGCATCATAATTTTCAACACCATCAACAACAACAACGGAATATTGTACATGTGACAAAAAATGATAATAATTGAATTGAATAATTTTTCGTAAATTAAATCACTTTATTCATTTAAATATTAAATAAAAGTTATTGAGCTATTGAGCCGATGATACTTTATGCTTGTCCTGTGTGGAGAAGTGTTTTATGCAACGTTACAAAGCGGAACCGGTTATTGAGTTTACAACGTCGCTTTGCCATTGGTATGATTCGAGCGTATCGAACTGTGTCGTTGGAAGCATCTTTGGTGATTGCTAATATTGTTCCAATTGATTTAAAAATTCAGTATTGGTCAGAAGTTTTTGATGCTAAAAATTATCCTTCTTTGATGTTTGGTTCTTATCAATTACCATTAAAATATGCTTATACAATTCATCCGGCTTTGATCACCTCTTTTGATGTCCACGGAATTGATGGCAATATGGAATTTTGTTGTGTTTCGCATAATTATTATATTTTTACGGATGGCTCAAAAATTGATGGATTGGTCGGTGCATCTTTTGTGGCATTTTATCGAAATGATTGTAGACCGGTAGCTGTTCAATCTTTTCGTTTAGCTGATCAATGTACTGTCTTTCAGGCGGAAATTCTTGCCATTAAAAAGGCCTTTGAATGGATTGTTGCAAATAATATTGTTGATGTTCAGATTATTTCCGATTCGAAATCTGCAATTCAATCTATATGTAAAATTTATTCGTATAACCGTATTGTTCAGGAGATTTTCCGGACTATTGTTGGTTATTGTAATCATTTATGTTTTGCTTGGACAAGATCACATTCTGGCAACTATGGAAATGATCTTGCCGATTTTTATGCAAAAAAGGCTACTCTTTTGCCGATTATTGATTATGATCAACTATCGTTTACTAATGTCTATCGTAATTTTCAATCTAATATGTATGGAAATTGGCAACAAAGTTGGGATGTCGCTATGAATGGTCGAATTACAAAAATGTTTTTCCCAACTATCCAATCGCGATTAAAGTCTAAATTACAGCCAAATTTTGTTGTTACACAGTTTGTTTCGAATCATGGAAAATTTGGTGAATATCTATCTCGTTTTGGCCAGAATAATTCTAGTTGTTCATTTTGTTTATCATCGATGCAGTCCTCGTTGCACTTGTTGCTCGAGTGTCCTGCTTTCAATTTGGAAAGATCCCGATTCATGATTAATGCCAAATTTAATAATGTTGATGTGTCGGCGTGGCTCCAAGATGAAGCTTTGCCATTGTTTTTGGTTTACATTAATTTTATTTATTCTAGTTTAATTATGCAATAATTGTTTCTTTCCTTTTGTACTATTTTTGGTTTTGTATTTTTCTTAAATACCCTTGTATTTATATGGAGCAAGGGTTTTCTTGTTTTTGTAATAATAAATAAATAATAATAATAATAATTAAATAAAAGTTAAGTTATAAAATCATAACTATTTTAGTCGTAAAATTTAAATTCTTATATGTCAAGAAGCATTCGACGATGAGCGAAAACAGATTCGAAAATAGTTTTGAATTTGGTCAACAAATGAGTTATTATGGAATCAAGAATCAAAATTCTCCATTGGATATTCTTCTATAAATTTTTTTAGAGTTGAATTTGACTGTGATAAGTCATTGATTTCTTTATATGAATCACGAACCGATTCGTATGCATCGAGTATTATGGCAACGAGACTATCACATATATGGACAATGAAATGAAAAGATAAAGATAAATGCGACTAAACCACCATATAAGACTTTTTCACATCAGTGGAAAAAATGTAGCAAACATATCATCACCGTTTATAAGTGAAAACAAACATTCCAATGTTGAACTAAGCGTACGAAATTTGAGATGATGAGGACCCAAAACGACCCAACCACAAAAACAAAATCCTCTGTAAAATGATAAAATTTTTAAACAATTTTTTTTATAAACTAATGATGAACAATTACACTAACCCATAAACTAAAAATGCACAGAGACAGAACCGCAAAACGTTTGGAAAAGAATTCTTCAATGTTACAATAAGAGAATGTTGTATGATTGAAAATAGGCAAAATAACGTAATATAATGGAAACCAAACCAAAAGATTACCAATGCCTAAAAATAGCGAACAGCTAACAGAAAAAAAATTATAACCAATTTAATTTGAAACATAAATATTTAACAAACCTATTCATCTTTTTTACTGATACAATTGGACTATCACCTTTATGGTTTCTACAAATTGATAATAATGATGAACCATTGTTGTAGTGAGAATCAATTGAATGCAAAACGAACAATATTTAATAATAAATATGTCGTGGGATCGTTTGTGAAAATCGGATTTTTATTTGTTGTCGAGTTGTGTGTGTTAGTGTTCGTGACTCGGAATTTTCGGCTGAAAAACGTGCTCGTTCTCTCTCACCGACATTCTCGGTCGAAATAGGGGAAAGTAGAAATAGGCAGGAGCATGCGCAGCCAGTAATGCTACATATATACAGTGATATAATACAAATATACAGTAATACCCCGCTTAACGCGGGGTTACGTTCCAAAAATATTGAGCGTAAAGCGAAACAACAGCGCAAAGCGGGGTTATTTTTGCATAATTTACATAATGCATTTTACTCTTCATATACAATGTAACAATGTATTGCAATGTAATGTAATTGCAAAGCGTTATATCGAAACAGCGCTAATCGGGGCAGCGTTAAGCGAAGTATTTCTGTAATGTCGTAAAATATGATTGTTATATACGACCATAATTACGTTCTATATTATGGGGGAGGATAATGGTCTGGGGGAAAATTACCCCATCATTTATAAATTTGCCTCCCCCATTTACACACATTAACACATATACACGCATATACACATTCGACGTCGGTTCAAATCCCATCGCGGCCGCCTGGGTTAATATAAAAAATAGTCAGTGCTGGGGGTGGATAGTGGTTTGCGCATAATCACTTATAAATTTGCCTCCCCCTCGCTTATAAAACCTATTTGTTGGGGAGGATAGTGGACAATCACTTATAAATTTGCCCCCCAATTATTTATATACACATACACACTTGCGCATAAAGTAATTTAAAAAATAGTCAGTGTTGGGGGTGGATAGTGGACAATCACTTATAAATTGGCCTCCCCCTTGCTTATAAAACCTATTTGTTGGGGAGGATAGTGGTATGGACCATAATTGTCCGATCACTTATAAATTTGCCCCCCAATTATTTATATACACATTTACACATTACATATAAATTAATTTAAAAAATAGTCAGTGTTGGGGGTGGATAGTGGACAATTACTTATAAATTTGCCTCCCCCTCGCTTATAAAACCTATTTGTTGGGGAGGATAGTGGTAGGGACCATAATTGTCCGATCACTTATAAATTTGCCCCCCAATTATTTATTAAACAAATTAATCTCGAGTATCAAAATATGACTTTATTGATGGAACGACAAAAACGAATTAATAATTACAACTATCATTTAAATCACACAACACTTTATGTGTTGACTTTTTGTACTCGCTGTCTTTGTGCAAATATGCTCGTTTTTTCTCAAGTTTCGTCTTGTTCATTTTTGATGAAATGATCATGAAATTCTCAACCATATCGAGTTATGATGATTATTTGGTACTGACAAATGTTAACCAATATTTCGGGTATGTCTCATGTTATGATAAATTTCACCTTGCAGTGTACACCGCAGACTTTCGTCTCTGTGTCTCTGTGCAGAAGTTAATCAAATTGAAAACGAGGTTTATGAATATTTCCTACGTGACCTATCACATGGAACAAAATATGAAATCTTTGTTAAAACTTAAATTTTGGCCGGAAGTGGACCACAATCACAAGTAGTGCTGAAACGTACACTTGATGGAGATATACCACCTGCACAACTTCTAATTGCAAAAGGAAACCACGTCAAATTCTATTTCATTACGATGGCATCAAGGAGATAATCGTAATTCGATTACAAAAAAACAAGACAAGGTTTGCTTTTAATTTAATTGTGGTATCGAATTTGAGGTTTAGATTAAATTCTAAATTTTTCATCATAATTTTCACCAAAACGCGGCGCTAATTATCTTATTGAAAACTTGATTTTGAATTTTCTGTCCAAAATACTTTTTTCGATTGTGTTACTCACATTCAATGTTTGGTTACAAGAAATTTGCCTGTGAAAATGCTGAATTTTATTTCCAAGTTTTTCGCTTTGATCATTTTTATTTCATCTGTTCACAGCGATGGTAAGTCTGTTTGTCAATTATTCATTGCTTCAATTAATTCAATTTTTATCTTTTAAATATAGAATCTCCAGTACTCGTTAAACTTTATTCAAAAAATGAACAAACCAAAGGTTCAGATCTTGTGTTGACTTGTAATGTAGCCAAAGGCAGTAAACCATTACGGTTTCAATGGTTCAAAAATGGTGTTGAATTATCCAATACTGGACGATCGACAATTGAAAATAAAGATATTTTCTCTTTTTTTACATTGAGAAATATCGATTCCAATGATGTGGGAAATTATTCCTGTGTTGTTACCAATAAATTCGGATTCGATAAACTTTGGATTCAACTAACGGTTACAGGTTTGAACAATTTATTCAATGTTTTTTATTGGCCAATATATGGCGCTAATTTTACCATTTTGTGGGTTATAATTTTTTTTTTGTTTTGCATAAAATAATTTTACCCATGAAATGTATACTTAAGTTTAAGAGTCTGAACACACATTGTTTCTGACATAATAATAATTTTATTAACGGTGATTTTTTCAACTTTTTACTTTGATTCAATTGATGCTGGTAATTCATTTGAATTTTTGTTTTCGATGTTTCTGAATAAATTTCCTGCATCTGAAATTAATCTTTCCATTAATTCATCATACATATTACCATGTTCCATTTCATCAGGATCGACATCAATATTTTTTGAATGGTACAAAGATGATCATAAGAAATTATCTTCGACTGAATATAAAATTGTTATTTATGATACAATGTCATCGATTGTATTCAAACGTCTTAATTCAAATGATGATACCGGAACCTATACATGTAATGCCAGGAATGTTCATGGTACTGATTCGATTACAACAAAACTTGTCATACAAGGTTTGATTGCTATTTATTATAATCGTGATTTGCTTGACCAATAGGTGGCCCTTTTAATGCATAATTTGTTTTACCAAAATTAATTTTTCTGGTCATCTTCATTTTTTCTACTTGAATTGATTATCATTTTGTTGTTGTTGTGTTGTGTTGTGAAATGTTTAAAACATTCACAATGTTTAAATTGTTGCTGTTTTTCTGTATTTCATTCACGGTTATTTATGCTTCAAAAGGTTGGAGAATTTTTTTCTAATTTTACGTTTCTAATGTAAATCCCTTTGTTTTTCCTTCAGATGCACCTCGAATTTCTAAATTGTTTTCAACAGAATTGAATCAATCTGAAGGATAAGTATTGAATATTCCATTTTCGGTTATCAGTGGTTGAACACCACTATCGTTCAAATGGTTTAAAAATGAACAAGAATTACTTAGACATAGAAATCCGGAATTATCATATCAGATTAAAACAGATAATTTTCTATCATTTTTTACCATTTTGAAATTGAAAGCTTCTGATTCTGGAAATTATTCCTGTATCGTAGGCAATCAGTTTGGAATCGATATTCAATGGACATTGCTTCAAGTGAAAGGTAGTTGTTTGTTTTTCCGTTTGTTTGTTTGTTTTTGATCATGTTTTCGGCCAAAACGCGGCGCTATTGATTCAGTTTTAAATCATTAATTTTTTTATCTAAATTTACCATTGTTTGAGTGTTTTCACATAATGCTGTCTCTTTCTGTTCATCATAATAATCATAAAGCATTTTTCAAAATGTTTTGTCGGTTTAGTGGTGGTATCATTTTAAAATGGTGTATTCAAATCATCATTTTGTTAATATTCCACACGTTAATTATTAACGGAAATGGTAAGTTAAAATTAATTGAATTCATTTGACTTGAATTGATTTGTTTTCTCTGTTTTTTTCTACCAGAATCACCATTACTTTTGAAACAATTTGCTCATTTAAGTTCGCTAAAAGGATCAGATATAGTGTTCACTTGTAATGTGGCCAAAAAGTCAACACATGAAGTGTTGTGTGATTTAAATGATAGTTGTAATTATTAATTCGTTTTTTTCGTTCGATCAATAAAGTCATATTTTGATACTCGAGATTAATTTGTTTAATAAATAATTGGGGGGCAAATTTATAAGTGATCGGACAATTATGGTCCCTATCACTATCCTCCCCAACAAATAGGTTTTATAAGCGAGGGGGAGGCAAATTTATAAGTGATTGTCCACTATCCACCCCCAACACTGACTATTTTTTAAATTAATTTATATGTAATGTGTAAATGTGTATATAAATAATTGGGGGGCAAATTTATAAGTGATCGGACAATTATGGTCCATACCACTATCCTCCCCAACAAATAGGTTTTATAAGCAAGGGGGAGGCCAATTTATAAGTGATTGTCCACTATCCACCCCCAACACTGACTATTTTTAAATTATTTATGCGCAAGTGTATGTGTATATAAATAATTGGGGGCAAATTTATAAGTGATTGTCCACTATCCTCCCCAACAAATAGGTTTTATAAGCGAGGGAGAGGCAAATTTATAAGTGATTGCGCAAACCACTATCCACCCCAACACTGACTATTTTTAAATTACTTTATGCGCAAGTGTGTATGTGTATATAAATAATTGGGGGCAAATTTATAAGTGATTGTCCACTATCCTCCCCAACAAATAGGTTTTATAAGCGAGGGGAGGCAAATTTATAAGTGATTATGCGCAAACCACTATCCACCCCAGCACTGACTATTTTTATATTAACCCAGGCGGCCGCGATGGGATTTGAACCGACGTCGAATGTGTATATGCGTGTATATGTGTTAATGTGTGTAAATGGGGGAGGCAAATTTATAAATGATGGGGTAATTTTCCCCCAGACCATTATCCTCCCCCATAATATAGAACGTAATTATGGTCGTATATAACAATCATATTTTACGACATTACAGAAATACTTCGCTTAACGCTGCCCCGATTAGCGCTGTTTCGATATAACGCTGTGCAATTACATTACATTGCAATACATTGTTACATTGTATATGAAGAGTAAAAATGCATTATGTAAATTATGCAAAAATAACCCCACTTTGCGCTGTTGTTTCGCTTTACGCTCAATATTTTTGGAACGTAACCCCGCGTTAAGCGTTGTTTTACTGTAAATATTGTAAATACTGTAAACACTCTCAGAAGTGAGGATTGAAGAAGAAGCATAGAAAATAGTTACGAAAAAAATGAGAGAAAATTTGTACAGCCAAAGTAACAATGTTGGAAGCATAGAAATAAACCATGTAGCAAAAATCGGGTGGTGAACGATTTATTCGATAGTATCCCGATTTTTTTCGATTGTTTTTAGTTTCAACAAATCACGAGACTATCATGACAATCGATAGTATCCCGATTTTTTTGATTGTTTTATTTATTTTCGGAATAAATCAGGAAATTAAAAAATTATTATAGTAACGTTCGTGCAACGGTTGAGAAGAAGAACTTTATTAGTCAACTAATCAAAGGTTAAACAACAAGTGTGTGTCCAGTGTTTGTGTCATGACTTATATACATGTCGTGTCCTTTGTGTGTGTGTGACATTAGTGGTAGTGGTGGTGTTGTGTAGTGTGAGTGGTATGTGTGTGTGTGGAGGCCGCATACTTTATTATTATAAGAAGATAAAATAAAAAATACAAATTCAAATTCAAATTAAAAGCCACAAATTGATGAAACGGTCGAATTTTTGAGATAAATTATAAAATGAAGCCAGAGAATTTTGATAATCCAATGGATGCCTGTGAATGGAAAAGATAATTAGAATCGGAATTGATAAAAATTGAATAATTTACATTTATTTCAAGGGTCTTTACTCAGTTATCCATATTCTCGTAAATGATGATGATGACGAAAAGTTGAGATAGCCAGATTGACTTTGACTGATTGATCATTCGGCGATCGTGCACTTGTTAATGTATAACAAAAGGAATGGTAATTAGAATATGAGTTGATGAAAATTCAATCATTTACCATTCATCCAGAATGTTGTGTTCATCTATGATTTTCATTATTCCCAAGTTACGATCTGAAATTAGAATGTGAATGAGAATTAGAGATAAGTCACGTTGAAATAAAGAAATTTACCATTAATTGAAAGATTCATCTGAATATCCAGAATATTTTCTTTTGATCAGAGCGATGAGAATTCGAATCCATCGAAATGATTGATTTTCATGTAGCCAATGTGTGTGACGGATGAATGTGGCAAAGATTGAACTTGATCGTCAGTCAATAATTATGATTCATTGATTGAACATTTCAAGACAGAGATGAACATTTTAAAAAGTCGATAGGTACAAAAATCAATCGAGTGAATAAGTCAACAAGTGGCCGAGTTCAAATTGGCAAGTCGAGATGACAGTCAATAAATAAATAAGTCAAGTTGCAATACGAATATGTTTCGACTAATCATAATTGAAAAGTAGCATAGCATCATTGAATCAAAACGTTCAAAAAAGACCAAGTTCAAAACATTCCTTTGAATTTCGTGATGATAATTTTACATCTTTGATGGAGGTTAATATGTAACTTTTGTAACTTTATGTAAATTTTTTGCTTATAAGCTAGTTTTTAACCTTTCATATTATAAAAAAACAGCGTTAAACGAAGCAACATTAAGCGGGGCCTTACTGTATTTTTCAGTGTGTCAATCCATTAATCGCGATTGTGCTCAATCGATATTTTGGCACAATGTTGTTTCTGAATCAGAATCAGATTCTGTGATAATTTTTTTTTTGAATGATGAAATTCTAAATCCAATGAAAATTTTGACAATAATGTTCAAAAATAAATGGGAATAAATGTCTCATTTATTTCGTAAAGTTGTACTTTTTCTCGTCTTTTTGATTGCCGTCCTTCAGGTATGATGATGATAAAAAATGTAATTTTTTTTTGTTAATTTTTATTTTCATACATAGATAATTCATATGTCATTGATGTCTCGTTTGGAATCACGGACCAATAGCATCAAAAATAATCATTTGAGTAGCCAAAGTAAAAAAAGTGATAATAGTGATAAATTCAAATATACGAACAACAATGTTGGCGAACAAGAACAGAATGTTCTCTATTCAATCGATATGGTTAATATTGAACGTGAACAGATGTATAATTCCTTAAAATCATTAAGTTCAGTGTTGGATTCATCTGGTGAACATCGAATTCTACATTTTCTATCGACAGCCGATCAATTGAAAAATTCTCGTTGGCGTTATTCAATCATCAACAAATTGGACACATTGGATGGCAATCATTTATACAAAAAGAATGACTTGTCCATTGCATCACATTCAACCGTCACACAATTGTACAATCTGGATCTGATGTCACGCAGATGGAATGGTCCTATATCGATGGCCATATTTGCCGTGACCATACAACAAATTCCAGTTGTAGTTGAGGCAATTCTTTTGTTGCGTTATTGTAACCCGTTTATCCAACAACGTACGAGCTTTCATCTAGTTTATCCATTAAATTTTTCTTCCAAACTAAACAATCGCCAAGTTCGTAGCTTATTGGACTTTCTACGTTGGTCTGAAATAAAAGACTCTTATCCCGAACTCGATCGATTTGTTTCGAAGGCAAATTGTGGCCATATAAAAGAATTGATCGATCAAATGGATAAAAAAGATAGTAAAAATTATAACCATCATGTAGAATATCCAAATAATCTATTGCGTAATATCGCGCGTCGCTATTCACTTACAGAATATACGCTAGTCATAGATATCGACCTGGTGCCCTCGAAATTATTGTACGAAAAATTTCTTGAATTTATACAAAATTCACGATTGTTCAAAGATGCAGATTTTTTTAATATTGATAAACAACCGCCAAACACATTCAGTGATAATTTAACAGGAAAGAGTTCCAGTGCTCTAATGGTATTCATACTGCCTACGTTTGAAATTGATCTCGAATTAGCTCGAAAACAGCACAACAATCTTGGTGATGAAGAATATGATCAAATCATACCCGATGACAAAATCAAACTTATTCATGCAATCGAACAACGATATGTAAGACCATTTTATATAGAACTTTGTTGGAAATGTCATAAATATACCGATTATGAAGCATGGTTACACGATCATCGATTAGTCAACTATTCTAGATCGATTTCCAACCTTTATGATGACAGATTCAGATTACAGATTCTTTACCAAGTTCAATGGCATGATCCATGGGAGCCATTTTACATCAGTCGGAATAATGTGCCATTCTATGATGAAAGATTTCGACAATATGGCTTCAATCGGATTAGTCAGACATGTGAATTAAACATGGCCGGTTATCAATTTGTCGTGCTTAACAATGCCTTTCTGATCCATCGAGGATTTAAAACATCAGGTGACTTTCATCCGACCAAAGATGTCGAACTTGAACGTAATCGAATATTGTATAGAAAATTTAAATTGCAACTAAAAGAACGATATCCAAATTCAGGTAGAAAATGTTAACCATGTCGATTTTTGCTCGACATTTTATCGTGATAAATACATATCATTCTCATTCGATGGCAATATTTAGTCATGAAATACTGTCAAGTCAGCGTTACATACATAAAACTCCCATATTATTAATTATTAATTAAATTAATTAAAACGAATAAAAATTTACTAGATTATCATTATTAGATTTTTTAAAAAATTTCATGCATTTTTTTTTGAATTTCAAATTTTAATGTTAAATGTCGTTTGAAAGCAAAACTATTGAAAACGATTTTTTTTCGTTTTTTTTTTGAACATAAATTAGGACAATAAAATAAATCGATTATACATTTGAATATAATAATGGAAAAAAATTGAATGTTTATGATTATCATCCTCATATTCATGCAAACTGGTTTTGAGAATGGTATCGAATCGGATCACATTGATTTCAATTGGAAACATAGATAACTGCAATAATGATGGCCAATATAATCAAAAATATCAGGATCATAATCATTTTCTTTTTTCGTGCTCGTCTCTGTAAGGAAAAAAGAGAATTTTTAATTTGAAAATCGATAAATTGAATGGACAAGAAATGCTTACAGAATAATCACTAGCTTTAGCCAATTGCTCATTACCCTCATGAATCTGAATGTTTGTTGATTCGATATTTGCTTCGATACTATCAATGACTTCGCCTTGATCATGAACTATTGAAGCCAAATCTTTGAATATTTGATTAACTTCGACAATATCAGATTCAATTTTACGGATTGCTTGCTCTCGTTCCTGTAATAATTGAATGTCAACATCCTCTTCAATATGTAATTGTTTTTGTTGTTGTTGTGATGATGGTTGACTTGGTGCCTGAAATGATTGTGGGCTAATTTTGATCAAGTTTAAAAAGCTCATTTGGTCAATAAAAAAATTGTTAATTTCTGACAATCAATTAATTACCTTTGCAAATCGATTAGAGCTGATTTATTATCATTTATATGTGAATTTGCACGTGCACGAATGATACTTTCTTTTTCTTTTTGTGCAGCTGTCCGTTGGATGACCTGAAAATTTTTCAAAGCTTCAGAAAAATCATTCGTCAAACGTTCTTTTTGCATTCGTCGTTGTTTCTGTTCGGATGATATTCCTGATGCAGGAATATTGGCCAATTCTTTTAAGTTTTTATTCGTATCTCTGGCCAATTGATTTGTATAATGCTGAATCTGATGTCTGGATAGTTTGAATTAAAAAATTGAGATAGCAATAATTAATTATAAACACTTACAATTGCGAACGAAGATTTTCCGAATCTTGTGGAGTACCCAACTGATTGACCATTCGTTGCAATTGATTAACTGAGAAAAGATGAATAAAGATCAAAATAACAAAGAAAAAAACAAAATTCGATTACCATTATTCGAAATTTTCTGTACATTATTCGCCACGATTTGAGCCAATTTGGGAAAATCCTGGAATCCATCATTACTACCAGTGGTGAATCCACCACCACCACCACCACTACCGGTATTGCTAGTTGATTGATAATTGTTGAAACTCATTTCAATCAAAATTCACTGGTTGTTTTTTTTGCAAATTATTGTTCAAGCAAGAAATAAAAAAAAATGAATATTACGCCTAAAAAACAAACGTTGATATTGACAACGAAAACAATGAAAGAATTGACAATAAACAATATGTTAAATGATTATGATGATAATGAATAAAATCTCAAAACAAATGACTCAATATTTGACAATACTACAAATCGATGCCATATAAAATCAAATGATCAGATTGTAGAATATTTATCAATTTAGATTATTGATGATGACTGAAATAGCAATGATGATATTCACGATAAGTTTGAATTTTTACAATAACAAAACCAAAATGGTGCAGTACTTTTGTATACAAATCATTCATTTTGAGTCATTAAATTGACGTCGTTGATATATATCAGATGAGACAGCTGTAAATATATTTTTTGCGCATACGCCTTAATTGTATAAAATACATTCTATATGAACAGACATTCGAATTGATTGATTCAAAAATTCACATTAACATTTTATTTATCGCAAAAAATGCAGTTTTTAATTATCGTTTACTTTTAAATTTTGAATTTTTCGTTTTCATCATCATTGATTTTTTGTTGGCCATTTTTATTTGTCGCATTTTGAATGTTGTCATTTTTTTGTTCTTACTCTTTTTTATCGAATCTTTCATCATCATTTTAATTGTTTTTGATTTCTGTTTCATCTCACGGATTGCTATCTCATCATCATCATCATCATCATTATCGTTTTTATGATGAACTTTTTCTTCTTCTTCATGATCAAATTTCGATGACAATTCCTTTTCATCACTATTATTATCATGATTATTATTATGGATAAGACTGTCACTAGTAACTATGTTCGTTTGTTTCTTTCCATCATCAGATTTTAGAATTTCAGGATCAATTTTTTCGGATTTTTTTGCTGCTTTAGCACGACAGGATTCCAATTCTTCTTTTGTGATTTTAAGTTCCGGCAGGATGAAATCATGTTCAACGTTAGAAGTTATTACAGAAGTCCAAACGACTAAACAAGTTGGACGACAAGTACTGTCAACTTTGGCGATTAAAATCGGATTTTCCGTCAACTGAAAAATTAAACAGAACTAATAAATTTAAACTATCGAAATCAGATTTGATCTGCAGACTTACGTCATTGAAATTGAACAACCAAATTTTGATAAAACCATCACTTGAACAGGTAAGAAGCCATCGCTGATGTGATTGTCGTTTCGTTTCATTGATCAATTCGGATAATTTTTCATCCGGTTCAATTCGATTCCAATCGATTAATGTTAAATCTTTGATACGATTTTCATGTGCCCGTTGAATTCTATTTATAATTTTTTTCGTTTCCAAATCAAACACGATTAAATCAGGTGAATCCCCAGTGATTATTAATCGATTATCCTTTTTTGACAAATTAATTAATTTCATCTTTGAAAAATTTATTTAAAAAACTTACATCTATGTATACAATCTTGTTCAATCGTTTACCAATTAAACCAATATCTCGTTGCGAAATATGATATTTAATTGATCCATTGCTTATATCATATACATCGATATGTGTGTCAAATATGATGGCAAAATATAAACATGAAGAAGACCATAATACTTGATGGCCAACATCTTTAAGATTGACAATATATGCACATCTTCCTTTGATTAGGTTCCATGTTCGTAATGTCAGATCCTTAGATATTGATAGTAATAGTTTACCGGATGGATGTATATTAATGGCTGTAACTGAATCTTTATGGCCACGAAGTATTTTTTCTAAATTCCATACTTTTCCTGCTGACCATATTGCAATTGTTCCATCATCGGATGCAGAAAATAAATATGATGTACGTAAAAACTCTAATGCTGTTATCGTTCCTGAATGTGATATTAATGTTCCGGTTTCCAAACGATGACGTATATTAATCAAATTGATACGTTCATCAATACTGCCTGAAGCGATATATTTATTCGATGCAGCTAAACATCGAACACTTCCATTATGGCCATGATTGGTGAAACTTTGTTCCAGCAGATATTCATTTGATACATTATCTTGTTCTTCCTGAAACAAGGAAAAAATTAAAATATTATTAAATCTATCTAGTGAACGAGCATATTATTGATTACATCCAATCAAATTAGAATGGATATATTATCGGATCAATACAACTCGATGAACTCGTCAGTGCCGTGTCTATTTCTCTTTTTCTCTGGATCACGAAACTCACCTGTATCGATGATCGTTTTTTCAATTGAAATCCAACAAGAAACTCTTCATATGTTCCAATAATTATCTCCATTTCTTCGTTTCAATAATTATTATGTAATAATTATAGACGTCAAAAGGATAACGAGTGTTTGTTCCAAAAAAACCAGTTTGGAACCACGGTGATGAAACATTTAACACGTGAGATGAGTGTGTGTGGCTGTTTTGCGCTCTCATAATCAGGTCAGTCAATATAGGCAACTTGTTTCGAATCCAAAATACTCATTCGTATAACACGGTTGATTGCCTTGAATTTTTTTTTCTGTATTCCTTTCATTTCCAGACACTTCTATATACAAAAACTTTTATATTTATTGCGAAAATCAATTTTATTTCAAACGATTTTCACCATCTTTTTTGTGGGTTCAATTTTTCAATAATCATCGTCATCGATAACAAAAACAAAAGAGAACATTTCTGGCTTTTTTGTTTTTGCGTAAATCCCGAAGAGCATTTAATCCCAGTAGTCGTATCATTATAATGGATTCAAAAGTTGCTCAAAATCGAAGCGGTAAGTAATCTGATATTTCATAATCAATCCAATAATATCTAGAAAACATTAACACTTACACACCGAGAGAGAATATGAAGTAATTATTCATCTTCATTTTCTCTTTTTAAAATTTATCAATCTGTCTCTTTTTTCTTTGCTTCTCATAACTAAAATTATATTACAAGTTGTTTTTGAACATTTTAAATATATGGTGATGATGAAAGAAAAGATAATTTTCCCAACATACAAACATATGTGTGTATTTCATCCTTAATTTTTTTCAATTTTTGCCTTGGATATATTGCTTGTTGCTTATTGGCGCGTTTTAAATAAACGTACGTTTACGTTTGTTCGTCATCAAAGACCATCGTCAATAGTTTTATATGATAATGTCGATGTGATTGAATACGCACGCACACATACAAACACTCTTATTGGGTTTTTCCATGGTTGATAAATGATATCTTCACAAAATGACGATAAACACATTGCCTATATAGTTGGAAATTTGTTTACCAATAATTTTATTTTAAACCGAAAATTTAATCTGAAATGATATTTTCATAATACTACTTTTTTCTCTCTGTGTCTGTATTATTACCATCTCTGTATTGAATTCTCATTTTTTTGGTGGTCAATGTGTATGATCTCATCAATCATTTTCATCAGCTTTTCATCAATATTATCTGAATCGTTTTCCATTAAGATTTCTGATTACCCGTTTATTTCGGATATTCATAAGTGGTGAATTGTCAAGAAGAAAACTTGTGACCATGATGGTCAATAGTGTTTGTGAAAAACAAGGATGTTCGAATAAAGATACCGGAATATTACGATGGGCTGTGAATACGAATCGTTGGCAACCGACACGTACAGAATGGCTAACAGCAATGCGTATGGTCGACAATGATCATGAACGTAATCGTATCAATCGTTATATATATAAAAAAGATGCTAAACATGCATTAGTTGGACGTTTACTTATACGAAAATGTTGTGAACATTTTGTTGGAAGCAAAAGATTTTGTCTTTATTCTTCGAATAATTCTGAATCATCATTTGTTGATAACGAAGATCAATTGATACTCGAAAGAAGTGATAAAGGAAAGCCAATATTGATTGAAAGTAAGTGAAAGAAAACAGGCTACTTATTTTTCAAAATGGATGATGTAATTGGGCCTTTTTTCATTAATTACAGTCGATTCCAATGGTAATCACATACCTTATCAAGATTTTCAATTCAACATATCTCATTCGGGTGATTATTGTGTACTTGCTGCTGATTCATCCACTACTAAATTAGGTATTGATGTTATGAAAGTAGAATATTCTGGCGGTATGCACAAACTTAATGATTTTTTCAACATAATGCGTAAACAATTCTCGGAAGATGAATGGAAATATATTCGGCAGTCGTCTTCAGATTATGGCCGTCTAGCTCGTTTCATTCGACTCTGGTCATTGAAAGAAAGTTTTGTCAAAGCAGAAGGAAGTGGTATCATATTTCCTCTATCGAAGATTAGTTTCGTTTGTCCTAGTGACCTTGTTATGCCTAGTCAGAAGAGTCGTTTTGATTCGATCGTTAATGTATTGAATGGCAATTACAATAGTCAACAAACATTAAGCAATTGGATATTTGAAGAATCAATGATTGATCCAAAACATTATGTTTCCGTAGCTAAATTGTCCCAGAATTCCAATGCTGAAGAATTGAAAACAGATCGAGATTATCAATTTAGAATGTTGTCCATTAAAGATCTCATTCCTGATTTTCAATATTCGGATCTACATTCGTTTGAAGATGAATCCTATTGGATTGATTTTTGTCAGAAATCTTAATGTACAAATTCAATGAAACATTTATACACAAACACTTGAAATCGGAATTTTTTTGGGTTCTAAAAATATTTTCTTTTTTCTTATCTCAATGAATAATGATTTTAAACAACTTTGTTTATACTAAAGAATCGGAAGATAAGATTCGGCTACAGATTGAACTTGAATTTGTACAATGTTTGGCCAATCCAAACTATCTCAATTGTGAGTAGAATGTTTACGATAATTTTGTGTAACTAATGAGCTAACGAAATCCTCTTTTTTTTGCTATGAAAAATAGTTTTAGCTCAGCGTGGATATTTTAACGACAAATCATTCATCAACTATCTTAACTATCTACAGTATTGGAAACGGCCCGAGTATGCAAAATTCATCAAGTAAGACTTATCTCAGCAGTTTTATTGTTCTGATTTTCACTAATCTTATTTTTTTTAGATATCCAATGTGCTTACATTTTCTTGATCTCTTACAGCATGAACATTTTCGACGTGAATTGACATCAACACAATGTGCAAAATTTATCGATGATCAAATACTTTTGCATTGGCATCATTATGCTCGAAAACGGACAAAATTATTTCAAACGGTTCAACAGAATAAGCAACAATCGAATAGCAATCAAGGGCAAATTGGCTCAAATCAAAATCTAACCAACAACAATATAGGCAGCCTTAATAACAGCACATCAATGCAACAACAACAACACTCCATTGCCACTAATAATAATAGCTCACCATTATTAATCAATGGTCATCATAAATAATGATAGGATATATTTATATAAAAATTCTTGAGAAAGCACAAATTTTTTTTAATAAAAATATTCGAATTTAACAATCATTTACAGCATCCTTAAACGCATGCCAATCTTCTTTGGCAGATTGATAATCATCACGTTTACGTCGCCTTAAAGCATTCGAGTCGCCCTTGACATTTTTCTTTACATTGGCAGCCATTTTAATTCGTTGTTTTGTTTCCCGTTTGCGTTGTTCTTTCAATAGACGGGATTTGATCATTTGTGGATTGATAGTACTCGTTGCCGTTGAATAAACATCATCCCGATCGTTAGGATTTAATGTGGTCGAAATCTCCACATTTTCATCACAATCATTGGGATTTTTTTCATTCGATGATGTTGGAGCCAATTTTGCCATTCGTTGATCAAGAATTGCTATTTCGCCATTTATATCTTGATTATGCTTTGAGCTATAATATAAATTTTTTGTAGTATCATCGTTGATCATTGTTGATTTATGATCACTATGATCGATGTTATCGGCATCGTTTCTAGGACATAAACTATTTAAAAATTTTGAAAGTAATTCACTTTTGCCATCAACGATTGGAGAATTTTTGTCGTCGCTGGATATTTTTGGTTCATGATTTGAATCAAATGTTTCTTCATTTGCACCATCAAATGCATCGGCCAGTTGCTGAAGGTCGTTTTTAGTTATTGTTTGATCGAATGGCTCAAATTCTGGTATCGAATCTGATTCATAATGAAAACGTTTAGCGAAAAAATCGACAATACAATCACGATCACGATCAAAATAATCTTGTGCTAATTCATGGTGAACGGAAATCATCTGTGGAAAATCGATTAGAATCGGATCCAATGATCCGTCTTCACGTTTTCGTATCATTATGTTAAATTCATTAAAATCACCATGTACGACACCAAATTCGTTGGTCAATTTCATCATCAATGATATTAATTTTTCATATAGTATTTCGATTTGTTGTTGTTCATTATTATTATCCAAATAAATTTGGTTTAATATGATGCCGTCTATCAATTCCATGACGATACAATGTCTATTCATATCGATTGGTTCAGGCACAGGCAATAATTTATGTTCATATAATAATTTCATGAAAGCAAATTCACGTGTTGCTGCCAAACGCGATAGATAGATCCAACTGGCTGTCTTGTGATTCTTACCACGTCGTTGATAATAATCACGTTTATCCGATACCCTTCTGAAACATGTGCGGCCTAAACGATGAAATTTGATTGCAAATTGTCGGCCATCGTCATTCGAACAGATATAAACATCCGATTCTTTTCCAACGCCTATTTGTTGGCCGATCGAACTGATTACACCTGAAATAAGAAAATTAATAATAGTTTCGATTTCGATTGATGAAGCAGTTACCTCTATTCCGGAGTACATTTAATGCGAGATAATCATAGCCATGGTATGTTAAACGATAGCCATCATATCGTTTACCACGTTCATATGAAAGCAATTTATTCTTGGACAGGTTCATCAAAATTTTTGAGACAGATCCATTTTGAATTCCAGAAATAGAATAAACAAGACTTCGAGGAACAAGTTCATGATTTCGCATACCCATTTCGATGGCTGTAAGCACACGGAAATCATCTTTATCAAGATAACGAAGTAATGATAAATCTAGTTTGACCATTTTTCCTCGTGATTTATAAAACAAAAATTAAAATATTTCAAAAAAAAACATGCATGTGGCCGAAGCTAAATTGGCATGAGCTATTCATAAAGCGCGTACGCCAATTGAAATGATGATTACTATCCTTTTCCGAATTTTCGAATGAATGTATTCTATTTGATCATTGTGTTGGATGAATATTTTCTATCAGCAAAATTTATTTTAAATCTTTTTATTGACAATAAAAATTCTTTGTCTAAAGACAATAAAATTTACAATCGGTGTGTAAATAAATAAACAAATGATATTGAAAAACGACAAAAATGATTTTTGACAAGTCGCCGGGAAACAATTCAGGCATATTTTATTCATATTGAATTTGTTTTTGTTTTTCAAATTGTTTATTCATATTTTAATATAAATATAAATGTTTGTTGATAACCGATTCGATTGGATAGAATAGATGATATAAGCAATGAACAAAAAAATTGAAATTGAACTTCAAATGAATTTCAGCCATTGACAGCTTGAATATGATGACGATGATGATGATGATAGAGAAATGTGAAAAATTGATGCCACAAATTTTTAGCCTGTTTTTTTCACAAATTATTCACAGAGAATGCGCATCCAAAAAAAAAAATCAAGATCCTACGAATGAATTCAATTTACGTCGGAATCACATTACTACTTCTACGGGTATCTTTTCTCTATCGCTTTCATTGATAATTTCGACTTCAGTGATGACAGTCGTTGCGCCCATCAAACATTCCTATGAGATTTTTATCTTGTCATCAAATTCACTTGAAAATTGAATTATTTATTCATCAAAGATTACTTTATTACTTTGACCAAGGTATTTGTTTTTTTTTCATTTTTTTCATATAATTCTGATGAATATTGAATTAATTTTTTATATGAAAAAGTTCTTTTTTTGTTGTTGTTGGTTGACAATCGATATATTTATTTATTTTTTTTTTTTTTGAAAATTCCATATTTTTTTTGCTCTTGTTGCATAGCAAAAAAAACAGATTCATCTATGAATCTAAATTGTTGTTTCACAATTTTTTCTAGCATGTTGTGTAAATAATAATAATAGTAAATTGGTTTGAGGGCGTTTTTCGACAGAATCCAACAAAAACAGATAACAACATCAACGATCAAAATATATTAAATTATAAAGTTCTACAGTGGTAATGTCTAGTTCTTCATCATAATCCTTGACTTTTGTCAAATAATAAATTCCATGAATTGATAAAAATTTGAATTGAAAAAGCCCATTTAATCAAGATTCTATGGCCTAGTTTCTCTTTTCAAAATGTGTTTATCGCGGTCATCAATTTTAATTCATGAATGATGAGGATCATATATTTATTTCGGGTATTATTTTCCAGAAAATTAATTTATTCAATTTTTTCACATTCATTAATTCATCAGTGTTTTGTTTTTGTTGTTGTTGTTCTGCTCTAGACTTTCTCTCTTTTTTTTTGATTCTTGGTTTTGCAAAAGAGAGAATGCAAATTATTCCTTTTAGTTTCTTTTTTTTTTGCTTTGTTTTTTGCCTGGCTTCCAGAAACAATGCACACACACACACACACAATTGATTTTTGTATTCATCAAGAATCAAGATTCTGGTTGTTTATGTGTTTCTGTCTTTATATGTATGGCATGTTTTTTCGACAGATGCTATCATAGTCATCAGGAATGATGGTATATATTGGTTTTTTCTATTTCTATTGTATGTATTTGTCGTCTATCATATGTACAAGTGAATGTCATACAAGTCTTTACTTTGAATGGAAATTGTGCAACAGACAAATTTTCTCTTTTGTCTGTGAGATTCGATTTCTTGATGTTTGCTTTGTTTTGTTGCTTTCATTGGAAAATATCCACTTTTTTTTATAAATCTGTTTTTTTTTTTATTTTTTTTTTATTTTATTGCTTTTTCGTTGTTTTTTGCACCATTCGATTCAATAATGTTGTACGTTGGTGTATGGTGATGTCCATAGTTTTTCTTTCTTTCACAGTATTCCTATTTTTATGTTTTCTTTCCATATCATTTTTTTTATCATTTGTCATTCATTCATTATTTCTGATTAAATTCTGAAGAATTTGCTTTTATAATTTCATAGGTTCAATATGTACCATATGTAATAATTTTGGATAGTTGGATAAATAGATAAAAATTAAACGATGCATCTAATGTTTCGATAACGGATAGTTTGGCTATCCATCCGAGATATTTTGTTGTCATTCAATCTTAGATTCGTTTCATGGTTTTTGATTTCTTTAATTCGTTTACTAGATTGATAAAGAATGTTGTCGAGTTGTGAACAAATTACATTCACTTTTTCTTTCTAATATCATTATCATAGTTTGCAAGTGTCAACAGATGAATTTTTTTTTTTTCTATTTATCTTTATTATTATTTTTCATAGACGAATTATTTTCCACAACAGATTTATATCATAATCAGTGTTGTTCAATTGTAGGTCCGTTTAAAAAGAAAATAAATTGACAATAATCATTCTTTTATTGTACAAATATCGAAATTTGTTCAACACAATCATACATTGAACATTGTAATATATTATTATTAACAAGTAAAATACAGAATGAAAATAGCAATTCATATGAAATATATATAAAATATATTTACAAACAAATCCCATTATACTGACGATGATAAAGTTCTTTTTCTTTCAATGAAAAATAAAGTGACAAAAAAGGCGGCGGCTCAATCATTTTGTGAATGTCGAGAAAAAAAAAGTGAAAGATAACAAAAATTGAGCTGCGAAACAAACAAAATTTTTTTTTCTCGCCTTGCAACGACAAAATCACACTGTTTTTAACAAATAAATTGAAATAGAATAAATTCAGTATCAGGTCCAATGTCACGGAACCCGAAACAAGAAGATAACAACGTTGTTCCAGACGCCACGGAGACTAACGTTCATGAAGCGGACAATCAAACCATCCTCCACAGATGCTGCAACAGGTCATTGCAACGATTGCTGCACCATTTTCTCCCCGCCTATCGTCCATCACTGGTTTAGAATCAAGAAAATGATTAATTTTTTTTATGACTACCATTTGTTTCTTCACAATAATCATTCTTTATTGTACAAATATCGAAATTTGTTCAACACAATCATACATTGAACATTGTAATATATTATTATTAACAAGTAAAGCAGAATGAAAATAGCAATTCATTTAGATAACCATTCAAATTGTAGTTAAGTCATCATAGCAATTGAAAATGGTACAAGTGTGAAGAATCAATTTGTACACAATATATAAATATATATAAAATATATTTACAAACAAATCCCATTATACTGACGATGATAAAGTTCTTTTTCTTTCAATGAAAAATAAAGTGACAAAAAAAATCATCATTTTGTGAATGTCGAGAAAAAAACAAAAATTGAGCTGCGAAACAAACAAAATTTTTTTTTCTCGCCTTGCAACGACAACCACACTGTTTTTAACAAATAAATTGAAATAGAATAAATTCAGTACCCATTTTATTTCATTTGTTTGGTTGTTTTTCTTTTGTTTTCCCATAGGACTGTCAAAAAAAACTACATTAAAGTATTGCAATTTTTATTATCATTTATATTAAATATAAATGATCGTCGATTCTAGTCGTCGTTGATCATTATTTCATAATTTCATCATGATCATCATTTCATAGTTCGCATTTGTTTCCGTCTAATTCTTGATGATGTTTATGAATTTTCAATATTTTCATTTCAATTTTTAGCACAAAAAATTCTTAGTTCCGTGACATGAAATTTTTGTCGTGTTTGTTTGCTTTTTCTTCAGGGTTTCTTATTATTTTAGTTCATTTCTTAGATTCTGAAATTCTTGAAAACATCGCTTTCATTTGTTTCTTTTCACATACATACACCTGCTTCATATTTTTATTCACTGACTGATTGCCTTCTGATTCAAAATTTAGTATAAAAATATTAATGTATTTTTTATTTGTTCTATTAAAGTTGTTTCAATTTTATTTTAGGAGAAAAAACCCCAGGAGAATATTCTTCTTATTCGATCATTATAATTGAATGATATAAGAGCCATATTGCTTGCTTATTGAATTTTGTCGAAAAATTGAGTAACAATAACCATGCCAAATGGTAGTCGACATCAAGATGCGTTAGACTCTAGAGAGATTTTTTTTTTTTGCTCAATTTTTTTCGGGTGATGAGCATTCAAAAATCAATTAAACCTCTATGTTATATGGAAAGTTGAAAATGTTTTTTTTCTCAGTGTACCGGTTCATTCGAATCAGAATGTTTGCCCAATTTTTTTACACAATTTCATATGCATTGATCAATGATCATCGCTCTTTCTCTATTCCAACATGGATCTCTTGGTGATGATTATGATGACAAATGTTGTCTTCACTGTAATACATTTTTTTTATGTCGAAAATATTGAATATGTTTGTCGAATAATTAAAATTATTAATTATTATTTTTTGAATTCAATCACAGTTGCATAAATGTAATTTTCTTCATCAACATTTCTTCAGAATTTAATCGTGAAATAATTGACAACTTCAAAAAAAAATAATATACATTACCAACCAAGCCCCTGAAACGTCAAGAATATTGCAATGACGTTATGTCAGAAGTGAGATTATAAACCATATATCTGTCATTGTTATTATTTATTTGTCCGAAAGAGTACATTTGTTGTTACAGTTGCCGATTTCTCTTGTATTTATATTCTAGCTACTATTTCGTGACTTGCCAATCAATGATTGTCATCGTTGCCTAATATATTGAACATTATCAAAAGCCATTGAATCATTATTAACAACAACGACGGCTTTTTCACTCAATTTATCAATTGAATATTCAAATGGCTTTTGTGACAAATTATTATTTTATATGGCAATCTATCATCCATCATCATCACCATTATTCTTTTCTGGAACAATTGCCTTTTTCTCCTAAAAGATACTCATTGACAACAACCTCTTCATTATTGTCTATGTCAGAACCAAACAATATGAAATAAACAAGTAAAATTAGTTGTAAAATTGAAAATGAAAACATCATCTTCATCGGCAGTAACGGCGACCATTACTACTACAGATTCAACTGCAATCACAGCCATGATAATAATGGCCACTTCGCAATTACAACAACAACAGCAACAACAGCAGCAACCATACAATGAACAGCAACTATATGATCCATATCCCGACCTAACACAAATTTCCGCTATTCGATTCATCTTCATATTTTTTTATGCTTTAATCATGATTAGTGCAGCATTGGGCAATCTATTAATCATATATATTGTCATTTCAAATCGTAAAATGCGTACAATTGTCAATTATTATATTGTCAATCTAGCCTGTTGTGACATCCTGATCAGTGTATTTGTTCTACCTACCAAAATGCTTGAATTACTTGCACCGGCTGAATGGTTGGCATTGAATAATACATGGTGTACGGTTATGTCATTTTTACAATCAGTTATGGTATTTGCTAGCCTGCTTACACTGGTAGCAACTTGTTTCGAAAGGTAATTTTTTTTATAAAAAAAAACCTTGTTTCTAATGTGATCAATTGAAATTACATTATTTTTATTTATAATATCAATCTAATTAGTTTTTTTTGATAAACACAAGGAAATACAAATTAAAATAAATCTCTAATGGAATCTGTTTTTCGAAAAAAACTATTTATAAATTAATAACATGAAAAACCTATGCAGATGTATATAAAGCAAAACGAATTGCGAAGAATTCTTGGATCGTCAGTAGATTGTGATCATAAATCTGACCCATATTATATTTATTATTAAGATGATTATTATTATAAGAGAATTTCTCAGTTTTTTTTTACTTTCATTCTCATTTTTATTTAGTTCGAGTGATTACAACATTCATTGTCAAATGAGAAAAAAAAAGAAAACTAATCAACGTGAACACAGTTTTTTTTCGTTTATTGTATCAAAGATTAGATTTCGTATTTTTATATTGAGTAAGATTTTTTTTTGTTTAGCAGAAATATATCAAAAATGGTGATGATTGATTAAAAATTCCACTATTATTAAAGTTTTTTTTCGGCCATTTTACGACTATTGCATCAAGATTTTTACTGCTTTCATACAGCAAAATGGAAGCAAATATTTTTATGATGTGTCAATGACTGATTTATTATATCATTTATTTATTATTTATAGTGGCAATGAAATTGTACCCACAAATAGTCTCTTTGAAATTAATAATAATAAGGTTGAATGTTGAACATTATCAATTTTGTTACACATGAATATCAATGAAAATTGAGTTGTAAAGAAAAAATCCAACTCTCATGAACATTTTCCGATTGTTAATTCTATCTGGTTTCAATGTTTTCAATGTTTGTTCACATAATACCACCCATTTAGTGATCTAGGCACGATTTTTTTTTTAATAATGAAAATCGTTTTAAAACCTGAATTTTTCATATATAAAGAAATTTTGTAATCAAATCGAAGCAAAATAAGAAAATAGATTTCACTTTCTTGATTGAAATTTGATCTGATTTTTTTTAAATCATACCAATTTTTTTTTTACTTTATTAGTATAAATGAAAATGTTAAAAGTAAATTGACATTGGTTGATTTATGATTTTATTCCATTTTCCATATATTGATCAATAATGTTTTATTCTTTAATTCAACGTTATGATTTTTAAAATTCTTTAGAACTTTTTTTTTATATTTAGAGTAATCTTTGATTGATGAGTTTTTTTTTTCTATCATGTCTCACTTTTTATTAGATATTTTGCTATTGTACATCCATTGAAAAGCCGCATGCAACAAGGCAAACGTCGTACATATCGTATATTATTAGCCGTATGGTTATTGTCTTCCTTTGCTTCATTGCCCAATCTACTACACGGTTCGATGGCTGTGATCAATGTATTGAAAAGTGAATATGGAACCATTGCAAGATTGACGTGCATGCCCACATTTGATGATGAATTTCGAATGGTATATTTTACCATATTGTTTATTTGTCTATATCTTATTCCGTTGGCATTGATTGCATTCACCTGTTTTTGTATTGCTCGTGCCTTGTTACGTACATCAATATTGCATCGACAAGGTAGTCTATTAAGACAAGAAGTTAATCGTAGAAAAGTATGTTATCAGGAAATTAAAATATTTAAATATTTTAAATGAATATCCACTTAATCTTATCCATTTTTAGGTTGGCAAAATGATTCTAGTAGTTGTCGTTTCGTTTACCATTGCTTGGACACCATATTTTCTAATCAGTGTAATCACTCAATACCAAAAAGAAAATTATTTCGATAAACATGATTATTATTTCACAATGTTAAGCATAAACCTATTCGGTTTTCTTCATTCATCAATTAATCCCGTAATTTACCTTACTATGAGTGCTCGATTTCAAAAAGGTTTTATGCGTCTACTACGGCTAGTTGTTTGCTGTCAAAAACCAAAAGAAAATGTTGGTCATACTTCGATACCTGATCCAGGTACAAGTTCACGTTATAGCCCAAATGGCAATATCAACAATATGCCGTAAGTCAGTGACTAAACTCATTATATCAATTCAATTAATATTGACTTTAATAAAATAGGAAAATCATTCTCACTTGAATGAGATTTTTAACAATAAAAACTACATTACGGAATACCGGGAAAGAAGGAAAAATTATGGCGATTACAACAAGTCAATCGATCTATATTGTCTGCTGATATATCTTGTTATCAGTTTTTCTATAAAAAACTTAAGCTCATTATTATTGCGTTACATGTTTTTTTGGCATACGAACAACTTAAAAGAAAAATTTGGAAATTGAAAACTTTTTCCGACCTCTATAGAAATTCTGGAGAATGTGAAATTTTTCGGATTTTTTTTTTTTTTTGGTTATTTTAACGTCAACAATTTTTTGGGTAATGTTCTCTGTATCCGGGACATATGTTGATGGTGGGCGAGATATAGTACCTAATCAAGAATTTTTCTGATCAAACCATGTTTGTGCTTTTGTTTTCTATTTTTTACGTCCATTGAATTAATACAACGTATTTAAAAAACAACAAGCCAATAATCCGCTTAAAAAGATGTTATCATGAAACTTGTTTCAATCATATTCGACAACGACGTAAAACAAGAAACTTTTCAAGCTAAAATGAAATATCGATATTCAAAATGACGTGCATTATCAATTTCCATTATAAATGTTAAAAATTCTTACAGACGGCATATTATCATGTTTTAGATCTTTATAAATGTTTTATTTCCGTTTCTTTACCTAAATTCTAACCATTCGCTCAATAATAAGATACTAAAATTAAATCATCTGAAATATGACCATGAAGATAATACAGCTGTGCTTTTATTGGAGCTATAAATGCTTTGAACGTGTCGTAGAAATCTGTACAAAAACGAATGATATCGATTATTTGGTCATCAGGCAAACGAAGAATATTTTCAATTTTGTATTAACATTCTTTTTCCTGTCAATATGATACCAAAAACTATATCCCGATTTCAAATAAATTTTCGGTAGCTGTATTATTTCAATTCACAATATGAAATAGAATTTGATAACTTTACAGAAACTGACTGGATGTTTGCTAAATATTCATCTACATCAAATTCTGTTACTACATCTGTTGTCTTTAATCCCTAACGTATGAACAAAACTTGAATGCGACCTTGCAGATAATTTTGATTCTATCAACATTCCATGAATTCGTCATAAATCAAGAAAAAATTGTCGATTTTGGAAATGGAAAAGTTGTAATCTTTAATAGCAAATGTATGATGACTGATCAATTAGAGTATTTTCATCTTCACTTATTAATTACATGAATAGAAGTTGTTAACATTCAACTAAATGAAGATTATTATTTACAGCAAGTAAAAGTAAAATTATAATAAGGGATTTATTTAATTTTTAAAAACAATTTCAGGAATACAAGAATCTTTAAGAATTTCCTTGTAAACACATGATTGGCAATGTTGAATATATGATGCATGATTCAATTTTATAAATAATTATGAAAATGATTTCAGGAAATTTGAATGTATTTTTTTTTTGTAAATAAATGCTTGGCAAGGTTGTTCAAAATTTGAATTTAGAAACTCCTTGGAAAGCAACAAGACCAAAGACTGCCGTTACCATTGCCGATACGCATACCGCAGCATTTTCCCCGGCGATCCAGATCAATCTCTTCATAATCATAGGAATCATAATAGTAGAAATCTTTGAGCTTTTCACTCTTCAGTTTTAATTTTTGTTTCTCTTGTTTAGATGAACACCCTGACAATGATGAGGTATTATTATGTGGATGGGGACTTGATTGTGAATGATGACTTGATCCCGAAGATGAAGACAATGATGATGCTAACCTTCGAAACATGGAACTTTTCCTGTTACGTAACTCTGTTACACTAGTAGACATAATTTGATGAAATAGGTCCAACATTGATTTGTTTGTATTTGATTGATTATTTGTTCGAAATAGCTCGTTCGATGAATGAATTGATGATGATGAAGAAGACGATGAACAAGACGAAGCCATAGAAACGGATGAAGCGGTTAAATTAGATTTTGATAATTTTTTCTTTTGATCTTTTTTCTTTTTGGATTTATCATTTGTTTCTCGTTGTTTTTTCATCATCCTCATAGTGTTAGATGGTAAAAAAAAGAATGATGATGATCGAAGTGTGGTTGCCAAATTGGTTTTTGATGAATGTGAAGGTCGCTGTTGTTTCGATTGTTTTATTTCCGATTTACAGAAATTAGGATGTAATTGATGGAATATTGAACGATTGTGTACAATAGGAGTGGATGGAGCGGAATCCTGTTGCTTATGCTGCTGCAGTTGTTTTGAATGATGATTTGTTTGGTAAATTGGTGTCGGTGATTGGGATTTGACTACAGCAGCAGGAACAACAGTTACTGTTGTACCATATGGTGTTAAATATGTCGTCATAGCATAAGGATTGTTCAAAGAATTTTGAGGTGATGAAAATTTGTAACAGGAATCCGGATGATATATCAATGGAGTTGAAGGTGGTGACATCAACGTTGATAATGGTGGCGATGGTTGATAACCAGATGATGAGGAATAATTAGATTTATTGTTCGATCGTTTTTTATGTGTTATGATTAGACTAGAATCATTTTTAATCTGCACCCTTTTATCATCCTCGATTATTGTCCGATTCTTTTGTGGAGAATTTGGCATCAGACTATGTTGACATGGATTATGACAATGAGAGGCAGTGATTTTTGAAGATTCGAAACCATTTTGAAAGGTTTGATCACCTTGATCAATATTACTTTGAAATTTTGTTTGTGATAAATTATTTGTATTAATATTTTTTGATAATGATGATGATTTGGCTGATTTTGAACTATTGGTTTTTTTTGATTTTGTTGCATTCATCTTTGAGCTAGATGTTGACGTTGATGATGATTGGTACTTTTTATCAATATTACTGTTTTTGGCATTGTTGGAAGTAGATTTTGGATATTTTGGTGAAGTTATCGGTGATGGCAGTGGTGAGAACGTGGATAGTTTGGCTGTAGTTACATTTGAAGGTAATAGATTCGACGAATCAGCTGCATGATAGTAAGGATGGTATTCATAATAAGAATGTTCATCATCATCATCATCATAATGAGAATGAACTTCGCGGTTAGCTTCGGCAGCTTCAGATTTTAATGCTTCTTGTGCAGATAATTTCGTCAATGATTTACGCCAACTAACTAATTTTGCATCGGATATTTGAGCCAATTTAGGTGGTGTACATGGAAGGAAATGTCGATGTCCATAATCCTGATAGATTGAATTTTTTTCATAGACATTATTTTCATTTGTATGTGAACAGTAAAATTCATTATTCATTCGTCTGGATAAAAATGGCGATTTTGGAGAATCATTTAATTTAATTTTCTGATGCTTAATTGATTCAGTACGATGATGATGATGATGATGATATGGATGTTTATGATGTTGATTCTTTTGATATTCCAAACCAGCTAGAATGGCAGAATCAAATACTTCCTGCAAATAAAGAGAATGACAATAATTAAAAATGAAAATAAAAACATCTCAACAAACCTTTAAATTTTTCTGCGTCAATGCCGAACATTCAATATAACAGATGGCTCCCAATTTTTTCGCCATACTTCTGGCATAATCCGACGAGATCGGTTCCTCACCATTAGAATCCAATTCAATCAATACTTTGACATCATGTCGAAGATCGCATTGCGTGCCAATCAATATGAATGGTGGCATAGAACGTTGTTGTTGCATTTGATTGGATTTAGAATGATTACCCATAAAAGTACGACGAATTTCGGGTAGCCATTTCTGACGAATATTACGAAATGAACGTGGTGATACGACCGAAAATGAAACCAAAAATACATCAGTGTGATTATAACATAATGGCCGAATTGAGTCAAATTCATCCTATATCGAAAAAAGATGAAAAAAAATAATAATTTTATTAATTGAACAAACAAAATCTCGTCTTATTACACAATTGATTCAATTTTGCTCGTAAATGAAAGAGAAAAACAAAAAAAAAGAATCGTGCCAAGGTGTCAAAATGATCATTATATAGGAATCATCATACAAATATACACGCACTTAACCTAGATCTCGCTAATGATGGATATTCAATCTCGAGGCCATAAATTTTCTCTGGTTTTCAAAAAAAAACTCAAAGTGTATGTAATGCGATCCAACTCGATTTCATGTATCCATAACAATAAATGAAATCCCTGAAATGGCCTGTTTTTTTTTGCCAATGTGTTTATTTATAAACTCACTGGCGAAAAAAAAGCCAATCGATACAACCGATTAATGATGATGGCCACCACCATCAAAAATCATCCCAAAAAGTATTACCATCGGCTAATTTTCAGTCTTCAAGTCCATCATCATCATCAATGTTCAACAGTTTCGTTGATGGATTAAACCGGTCGGTCCATCGATCGATCATTCGGTCATTGGAGTAAATCAATCAATTGATTTTCTTTCCATCCATCATTCATCGATGATGATGATGATGATGATCATTATACATAAACTCGTATGATAATGCATCGTTCAACAAATATCATTACATGATGAGATGACTAATAATACTCATTTGGTTGCCCCCGCTTTTCCCACCATCAACCATCATGTTAATGATGATCGAATAAGTCATTCTTCCGATCAATACAATCAAAACATGATATTTTAAAATGTTCAGTCCAATAGTCCATAATTACAATTGAATCGACTTCATCATGTTTGACTTTGATTATTCAATGACCGGTGTTTTTTAACGGTGTGTGTGTGTGTATGATTTAACAAGTTGTGTTTTTCGATCATCACGATGATAATGAAATTTGCCCTACAAATTTTATTCGAGTTATTCGGACAGTCAAGAATGATATATAAAATAATGATAATGAGCCTTCGTGCATGAATTCGTTTTTACTATCTAATTATACCTTTTATATTACCATTATTATATCATCATTGACAAGATATTGATAGCATCAACATTACGGTCATCGATGATAAGAAAAATGAAAATTTGAAAACCCATAAAAAGTGTTCTGTTCGTGTTTTGTCGTCGAAAAAACCCTTCGGGCAAGCAGCAACAATTGGATTTCCGTTTCAATATTTCTTTTTGAAAATAAGGATTAAAAACAATATACAAAATTTTAAGGTCAAATTGATAAAGATCATAGTGATTGACGTATACATACAAATGATAACAAAAATCAACAATGAAAATGTAAAAAAAAATCTCAATCATTGACATTTTTGAGTTTAAGGCCGAAGTAGAAATATTTTTTTCGATTTCGAAATCCCTAATGACAACGGTGACTTGGTTTGATTTAATCTTTTTTTGACTGCTAATTGGATGAATTTAAACAAAACATGGAAATTCAATCAAAGAGAGAAAAAACTAGAACAACAACCATCATTATATTATTTCGGTTGGCATCGATAGAAATTATCCTAAATTATCATCACCATTTTTTTTCTCTAGAATTAGATAGAGGATCATTTATGCAGGCAGTTCATCCCTAATACTGCTATTACTACTACTGTTATAAACACAGATGAACTATCTATCTATATGTATTACTGGATGTAAAAAAATTGTATTTTGTTCCCATAGAATGATCATATATATATCAATTAATGTTGACAATGTGAACCGATTCGGTAATCCAAATCACACAAACTGTTTTAATTTAACAAATAGATAGACAAAACATTTTTTTGATTGACAAATTTGAACTGATCAATGTTAATCAATTCAATAAAATATCAAAATAATAATCCAGATGGCCATTGGATGCCACCTGTTACTTATATTATATTACACCTGTTATCCTATCTATATAAAGGTAATTGATAAACATTGTGAATAGGAAAAAATAAACAGATTTTGAAAAATTTTTATTAATATACAAATGAACATTAAAACAACAAAAAAAAATTATTACACTCAAACATGTGATCACATGTTGTTGCATAATCATGAAAATAATACGGATAAGAATTATTAATTTGACATGAGATCAAAATGAAAATCTTAGCAAACACCTACACATGAATTGTTATCATTCAATTCTATTAGTATTTTTTTCATATAAAAAAATGAATTTGGAAGCTTATCCAAATTAGGCAGACAAATGAACAAGCGTAAAAAAAGAAGGAATGTCAAAGGGATTGATAATTATCATAGGAAAATGGTAATCTCTGTACATGATTATATTTCAATGATTTCATGTATTGCGAAGAGAAAACAATATTTTCAAAAACAAGCAAAAAGAAAAAATTAAGTAGGAGTCAATAAGGAAAATTTATCCATGGACAAATAATTTGGACAACAGAACTTTAAAAATTAGAAAAACATTAAATGAGAACAGATTAAGAATTTTTAATGTCAATTTGTTGAATTGACAAATCAATCAAATGCTGGAACTAGGTTAAACCCTTATGTTTTCTTTCATAGATTTTGTTCCAAATATATGAGAATAATGCAAAAAATACTTAATAGCTTTATCATCATCATCATCATCATCATCAATATTATTATGGATGATCTTTTTTCATTGTTTAAGAGATAAATCCTATAAAGCAACAAAAATAACAAGAACAAAAAAGATTAAATCCAGTAATAACATCCGAACATTGTATGAAATAATTGAAAAACAACGAAAACAGACTAATCACGACAAATGAAATCAGAAACTAGTTTTTTGTGAAAAAAAATCAATCCATTTTTTGACGGGAGAGGGGGAGAGAAAAGGAAGGGAATCCTCCGATCCATGAATCATTCGATATGATGTAGGCGTTTGATGGTTATCTGATAATAATTACTTTCGAAAAAAAACGTAAAGAAAAAAAAGAAGAGGTGGTGTCTATCGAACGATTATCAACGTCAGCAAATTTTTTTTTTGTATGTGACCTGTGTGTGTTCTCACGATTTATTTTTTATTTTTTGCTTTTTGCTTCACATATCAAATCATTTATTCTGCTTGTGTGTGTTGTGTGTCTAAAGGATTTAACACCCCTGTAAAAGATTTTTTCTTCGCACATATACACAGAAAAACTATAAGGATAATCACTAGCTTGGATCATATGAGAATGGAAAAAAAGATGGATGAAAAAAAATTTTTAGGTTGTCGATGTTTGCTGCGAATGGCTGCTTTTTTTTCGTTGATATAACTTGTCGGCAAATCTATTATCTCATCGAACAATGTTTTTTTAGGAAAAAAATCCTAATAATAAACCATTGAAAATGAAAACTAAAGAATGAGGGATTTAAAATGAACTTTATCATATCCGTTTTTCTTACCAAGGTTCATTTAAGCCGGTGTGTGTAGATAAAAATATGTGATACAGAGTATGAAACACACATGAATACACACGAATGAACAACTTTTACAGGTCCTATTGACCTTTGACCACAATGAAATAGCAGGCAATGAACAGGATGTCAATCATTCTTACAAGAAAAGAAAAAGAAAAAAAAATTTATCTAGATATACAGCTGTGACCATATAAAATAGAACGAATCATTTGTTGAATAATTATAAAACCTTTTTCCAAATATGTTTGATGGTCAAAATGATATGATCATGGATTATTTTTTAAAATGATAATTTTACATGAGAAAAAATTTAGATAAAAACAAATCATCAGAAACTTTGTTTACGACTAATTCTTGATCACAGTCATAACATGAAATAAAAAAAATTAGATTAAACAATAATGAACTAATTATTTGTTATACGATCAAAGTTCAACAATCTAAAACCAAAACATAATCATTATCATGGTATTCAATACTTGAACTTTGTAAATCGAGAACGGAATATAAAAACCACAAATGCATCTACAAATGATAGATAAACTTGTCGAATATAATCAAACAAGAGAAAAAAAATGTTATGCACGACATGATCATCATCATAATGTATGGATGAATTCCTAATGTAGTTGCATAGTGTTAGAGAGGTTTTCAACCATTGGGCCATAATCTGGTTTACGGTTGAAAGTTATTGAAAACCACTGTTGAAAAAAAACCATAAGCTTTTTTCATCAGAATTACACATAATAATAATAATAATAATGGCAAAACTTGGCCATATTTCGTACATTTTATTGCCTATTTTTATATCGAGCTAAGGTTTAACCTTGACAGTAATGGCCAAGTATTTTTACGATAATATTATAATAGCATCCAAAATAAAAGGATACCCATTGGACTGTTTATAACCGAACAACTAACGATTGATGATGACCGATTATAATTCTTTCTAGTCGTCATATAACTACATTAAAGTGTACGATTTAACCATCATACATTTTCATTGATGATGATTATTTAAATTTTTCTTTCCATTTGGTTCAAATGTTATTAGGGAACAATATGGATTGACAAAATATTAGCATATATTGGTTGAACTGAAAATAAAACCTTTGATTGGTTCTTATTAGCATTTAGAGATGAATAAGAAAAAAAAAGAAAATAAGGTCATAAATTTTATGAAACCATTTTTAACATTCATTTTCTTTGTCTATATGCAAATTATTAGTGTGAAACTAGATTTTTTCAAAAGAAAAACAAACCAAAAAATTCGAAAGTGCAAGTTTCACCTGGTAAAATTCGTGAATAAAATAGTCATTTACAAACACACACACACACAACAAAGCATACAGGTCTGACAAATTCAATTAATTTTTTTTATCTTTACTTCAATTTTCATTTAATGGCTGTCTAAAGAAAAGTACCATAAACATAAATGCAAATATATACATGTTTATGGTGGAAAAAAAGTGATGTTATTGTTCAGAATGAATCGTATTTTCGAAATCGACAATGACGGCCATCATCACTATCAATTCAACATTATTTGGCCGTAAAAAAAAGCAATCATATAATCATGATGAAAATATAAAGCTAATTAAATGACTTTTGATGAAAAATAAAAAATGGCCCCTGAACATTCAAAAGAATTGACATAGGTTCCAAAGGTAAAAGTGCAACTATTATTTAGAAAAAAAACAGGTTTCAATTGAAGAAAAGGTAAACTTGTTTTTTCTTTCGCTATATTATTGATGATATTCAAAAAGATATTTTTTTTTCACACAGTTCTTATGCTATATGGTGGTGTGTGTGAACGCGCGGTTGACTTTTGACGAGTTCGTTGTGCTTGAATAATGTTGAGGTCAAAGGTCCAGGGTTTCTCACTCTCACTCAAACTTTGCTATGTAAAAATTTCAACTTGTACAGATGTTTAATTTTTCAAAAAAATGAACGATGCATTATTCAAATGTAAAGTAAGAGAAAAAAAAATAAAATGATTGCGTGTTTATATAATATTATCGTATTGGTCACAAACGAAAATGCAAATTCTTTTACTTTTGAGCAAAAACAAAAAAAAAATTTCCACTTGTTTAGTTTTTTTGACAAATGATTCCGCACTCCTGTTTATGAGATCACATAGCTGAAAAAACAGTAATTTTACATTTCCAGATATAAGAAAAATTTCCGACGACAGTTAAATGAATCAGTGAGCAGATTCTTTATATATAAACAAAAAAGAGGTAAAACTTACTTGGCCGGCAGTATCACAAAGTTGTAGTTGACATGGTTTGTTGTCGATCGTGACCAACACTATACAAAGGAAAACAAAAGATTTAACATCAGATAAGAATAATAACAATCAAATGTATAAACATCTAAACAAAATTGGAAAGAGAAAATTTAAAGATAATTGGACATTAGGCTGTTTGCAAAAAAAATTACGTAATTATTTGAATTTTGTTCAGTAGTTATGACATGAAGAATCACCATCATCAACAACATTTAAAGACAATTATTCTGAACACAAAATGCACGAAAATCAACCAAACACACCTGTGTAACATGGTTTAGAGAGAGAGAGAGAGAGAGAGAGAAAAAAAACCTCACAAAGATAATTATCATTCCAAAATGGGCATATGATAAGAAACCGATTATTTTCTCAAATATCATCATCATCATCTTTGTATCGTCATTGAACCACAACAAAATAGATCATAAAAAATTGACCTTTATTCATTCACTTCGAAATTCAGTTGGACATTGGACACATTAATGATGGTGGCGACCCTTCCAAAAAAAAAAAAATCATCATTATCGACGGCAATCACAATCAACAATGATGATGATGAAATATAATGAGTAATAAGTATGACCTATCAACCCCCTTCACTGTAGGATTGTTGATGTTAAGGACATTTTCAATCAGCTGTAGAAATGAAATGACTAAAAAAACAATTTTCATGTAAACACATCTCCCTATTCGTACAACATCTTTTCATCGATTTTGTCCTCCTCCTCTTCATCATCATCATCATCATTATCATCATCGACATTGGCAGGAAAAAACCATGCCAAACATACGGAAATTCAGATCATTAACAATGATGAAGCGATGATCTATCCAAGCCGGTTATATTTATTGAGTATAATAATGTTTCGGTATTATTATTGTTATAATAATTTCATTGTATGTTTCAAACTGTTTAGTGTTAACCACATCAACAACAAAATGAAGGAATAAAACTTGATTCATTCAAAATGCAAACAACAATATTTTAATGATGACGATGATGATAATCCATCAATCATCATACAAAGCAAAAGTTATAAAAGATGAACAAAACAATGAATGTTCAACCATGTTGGTAAAAAAAAATGGTGTCGAAATTGGATCTTACTCTCAATGTTGATTGTTGTTTGGTTTGATTTGTTTGAATATGTTTTGTGATATTCTATCGAGAGACTAATAAATCTTCAATTTAATAATAAAAGACAACCAATTGTGTGTGTGTGTGTTTGTGTGTTTTGTATAAACAAAGAATCATTTCACATCAGATTTTTTTTTGTTGTTCCTGTTCGTCTTGTTACAAAACGAATGCGGAAGACTTGCATGCAAACAAATAAAACAGAACAGATAAAAGATACACCAATGATGATGATTGGCATAAAATCAAAACCACCACCATTTGAACTCGTCTCACTGATTGTTGTCGTCGGCTATATGGACAATTATAAAATTGGTTTTAGGTATGCATAGACATGTTATGGATTTGTTTGATTATTATTATTATGAGTTATGATCATTAAATGATTATCATCATCATCATCATCATCAATTTTCATGTATAATCCAAAAACAAGATACAACTATAATGAAAGGGTTGATTATACACACAGTCGGTCACGAATATGATCAGGAATCTTGTTCTTCTCATAACTGATATTATGATGAAGGCCATGACAATTAAGATCAACGTTAATAGTGCTTATTCTATGTTGTTCATCATCATCATGTTATGGGTGATGAAATAATAAAAGGGTTCATTAAACGCTAGATTTGATTTTCAGGCAAACGAATTATTCTTATTCATGATGACGATGTCTGCTCGAAATCGTCGAGACAAATTTTTTTTTATTTGTTCATTCCATCCCCTTTTTCCCATTGATGATGATTATAGTCGATGACACAACTAATTGATAATTATAATCAACAATAGTTCATATATCATTTATTTTTCTCCTTTCTTTTAGTTCAATATGTTCGAAAACAATGATCATGTAAAAACAAAACTGGAACACATAACCTTTAAACCAGACTAATCCAATTTGACAACAATCCAATCATACTAAATGCAAATTATGTTTTTTTAATATTTGTTCCAAACAAACAACGACAAACAACCGAGTCGAATTCGCATTGTCCAGCGGATACATACACACAGACAGACACACACACACACACATCGTCATAGACAATGAAGTGGCGATAATTGACAGGTGCTGGTGGCGATGTTGTTAAAGAAGATGATTTGTCCGAGAAGAAAAAAAAATCAAGGATAGTCTTTTATCATTAGAGCAAAAAAATTTGTCCATCAGATAACATATAGTAGTAGTATAAAGAAAATTCTTGTACAGTTTTTTTTTGTTTGTGCATGAAGATCATAATCAAAAAAGAAAAAAAATGTTCACTTGAACACCGTAATCATTCGTGGAAATATTCTACTTCAACATGGAATTTTTTTTTTTTTTGAGATAATATCCAAAATTGCATATAAACGCAGTAGAATAAAAAATAAAGGAAGTAAAACATTGCTTGAATGACCAGTGGTTTTTTTTCACAGAAAAACAACAACAAAAAAACCCGTTTGATTTGATTAATTTTTATTTTGATAAATTTTCTGTGATCAATGCCGCAAACAGTAATAATTTCTGGAAAAAATCAACCCAATCTATCCAATTTGCTTGTTGTTGTTATTTTCATGCCAAGTTAATGACCTCTTGAATTGTGGCTAATCAATATGATTTAATCATGATGATTCGATTATATTAATCAAATCATCATCTCATTAATATTAATCAAAAAAAAACAGTAGCAAAATTGGAATTTTAATTCTACATTTCCGGATTCATTAAAAAATGATGATTTTAATCGAAGAATGTGTCTGTGTGTGGAAAAAAATTTTATGTTATAAGGATGACCAGAAAAAAACTAGCCATGAATAATGTTAACCATTCTCAGAAAACTCAATTCCCATCATTATGATCAAACTAACAATGATAAAAAACATCCACATGTTGTAATTTATTTGAAAAAAAGCCAATGGTAAAATCTATTTTCTCACCATTTACATTTCCTTCAATGAATCGAGGATCAAGGTTAAAAAATTGACATTAACTTTACCATACAAATATACAATGAAGAATCCGATCTAAATCATCATCATCATGATGGCCATCGTGACAATAAGTTGAAAACATTCCGATCATATTGTTGATGATGGTGTCATTTGTTCATTTTTTTCTTATCTTTTTATTTAAATGGATAAAAACTGGTGAATAGATTAAAGAATTTTTTCCTTCTTTCATTATCAACAATAAACTCGACCTGTTTGTTGTTTGTCGGTTATATGATAGTATAATCGATAGGGCAGCAGGATAAAAAAAATTTATCCATTGTAATCTTTTGGAAGAAATAATTCATTTACATATTCAAACGAACATTATAATTTTACAATAGATTTTACCTGTCTAGGTTTTGATTCTATCAGCATGATGCATCAATAATTTTTTTTCATATAACCTTTCACCTTATCATACTGTATATTATGAAGCCTGATAATAATAATTTGACAATACATAACAGATATGACATCTTTGTGATTATGTGTGTGGTAGTTTCAAAAATTGTTTTGAGATGTTATCGATTAATTGATTGACAAGCTTGTGTACAGGTGACCTAACCACACACATACACAAAGAATGACCCTTAAAATTGAAAAATGGATTTACAAATCTTATAGGATTGATAAATCAAAAAGTTCGATGATCGCATAGGTCAAGAAAAATCAATCAAGCGCATCAATAAACACTTGAAGATTCAGGAAACATTGAATAGTAATAAATCAAAGAAAAAAATCGAGTCTATAAGTTTATAGCTTGAAGAACAATAACATAAATAAAAAAGGGAGAAATCTTTTGGGGCAAACAACCTCACTGGAATCGAATGGCGGTCAATGGCCAACATTATAATGTTATAAGTAAAACTCTCCTTTTTTATGCCAATAATAGAATTGAATTCGATACAATTTTTATTTCAATAGCGATGATTCATAGTTCAGACTTTATCCAATTTAATTCTAATGTCCTTGATTGATCTGAATCATTACATAATAAAACGAGAATTTATTTTTTGCTCGTGAAAACTATCAGAACGTAACAGTGAAACAGTATTTTTTTCAAAAAGATAAGCTTTTTTATTATGATGAACAATAAAATAATTTTGTGGATTTATTACACACACACACACGTAAATATACTTAAACATGAACAGATAAAACATAAGAGAAATTTATTTTCACTGTGATGATTGTTGTTGTTGTTGTTCATTTCCTGTCTATATGCTACGTACATGTCATTATTAGAATTGAAATGACAAAAAAAATCGATGCATTCTAGCATGACATACACACACACACTAACCGTCAAAATGGGTGGAGTATGAATTAATAGCCGATTGACAATTATAAATCAAATGAAAATTCTTTCATTTTCAAATGTCATGTATATTACAAGACAAAAAAAAATTCACATAAACATTTACTTTCACTGAATATTTTGTTGATTGTATAATAACTTAATGTATGTAGATGAAAACAGAAATAAAGAAAAAAATCAATCTTTAGCATGCAGACAAGGTGTAATGCTTAACATCTTTATTGTAATAAATCTTTAAACCTAATATATTTATGATGAAATTTCATTCTTATCATGATAATGAATAAATTATTCAAGGTTCATTGGAATGATCAATGATTAGTATTAAAATAAAATAAAATAAAGAAAAAAAAATTTTATTTTATTGGGTTCATCATATTGAACAATAAACAACAAAACAAAATGGACGATCAATGAAATTGTTGAAATCAAGAAGATAACGGATAACAATCACCACAAAATACAAACGCAAATCGTATGCAATAACATGATTATCTATTGATCCATGTTCTAAATTTATATATCTGAAACATCATAATCATTTTCATCAACAATAACAACACAGTGGTTATAAAATGGCAAAAATGGCTTCTGCT